CTGCTCTTCAGGACCCGTAACCTGATGAAGTCGTTCTTGAAAATTGTAAACCTCAATATTTCTCAATTTCTCATCTACTCGCAGCTAACTCGTCGGCACCGGTACTTCGGCCCTGGAGCCGAGCTGGTGTTTTAGCATAGCTCTGCTATATCGCTGTAAACATCTTTCGCGTTACCTTCAATGCTCGTCGCTTCGCGTGGCTAGTTTACGGGCCGCTTCGCTTTACTCAACTTAATAATTACCAGCCTTTGCTAGTCTTTATCTAAGCTTTCCAGCGGATGTACTAGGGCTTACACTAACTACCTATCGCAAATTCCATCGTATGCTTCGAGCCATGTCGTGTTGTCTGCTCAGCCTCCACGTTTCCACCATGTTGGCAAGCAGAATACCCTACCCTCTGAACCAGAAAGAGAATCTTTGGGGACTCATTGTAAGTAGTCGACCTCTCTGCGCCTTACATAACGCGCCCGTTGCTTACAGCCTATTGTTGGCAGGGGGCCTCATCTACCGGCCTTCTCCTTCTTCTATGTCCTTCCTTCGCCTATTTCTTCGACCCCAAATTGCGAAGCTGCTTTGGCATATAGCCGCAGACAAGTAAGAGGTAATCTGCAAGCTTGCCGGGACTGCAGAAAAGGAAGAGGACCATTTAAGAAATGCGTGATCCTGGACGGAGATTTCAAGAAATCCTGCTCCAACTGCTATTATCCCCCTCCGTCCTGGGGCATTAACTTTTGCTTACTAAGCGAATGTTTGGGGGTTCGGCCCATCTCAATATCCTCGTAAACAAACCACTATTTATATTAATCCTCAACAACAACGAATCATGCGAGGTTCTGATGATCCAGATTATGTTCCTCCACCTCCCTCGCAACCTTCCTGTCGTTCTCAGCCTCCTGCGCCATGGCCTACACCTGATTTCACACCCCTGCACGCCACCTCCGCAATCCCCGACACTGGCACCTCAACCATCGAAACCAACGCCTTCGCTGAGCAGCCTGTTGCTATCTTTGGTCAGTTCTTTACGGTTTCGGTCCTGGAGAAGCTATGTGATGCAACAAACGGCCGTGCGGAAGCAGATCTCACAAGAATAAGAGCCTAGAGAACAGTCGTTGTTGTGGATATTGAGCACTACCTCGGAGTGCTCATATGGTGGGGCCTGCACGACAAACAGCCTTTAAAAGAGTTCTGGAATACAGGCCGTGATGAAGCCATTCACATCCCTGTTCTAGCAGCCATAGGGCGTGATCGCTGGTATGAGATTGATCGCTATTTCCAGCTCCCAGGACCGGATGAGATGGATGTTGAGCCACCACTCCAGGAGCCGCCATATGAGTTTCAGAAGGTGTGGGCCCTCTCAGTACACCTTCAAGAGAAAAGCCGTCAGTTCTGGAGCCCAGGAAAGCACCTTGCTGTCGACGAAACGTTTGAGCGCTTCGACGGCCGCTCACTACATAAGGTCATCATCCTATCTAAACCAACTCCAACCGGTTATAAGATATGGGTACTAGCTGATGCAGGCTATGTGCTTGACTGGATGTTCTACTCGAAGCTGAGGGGCTCAATTGACCTTGACGACTACTGGTTTGGGCGTAAATGGCTCAACTTCAGCTTAACACAGGCTGTTGTTCTGGATTTGGTGGTGCATATGGGACTTCCGCGAGGCCAACACGTGATCTGGCTGGATAATCTGTTCACATCGAAGAGGTTATTGATTCAATTGGCTGCAGAAGGCGTTGCCGCAGCCGGAACTGTTCGAACTAGTGCACAGAAAACACGCCGCGAGCAGCAGGAAGAACAGATGGAACAGCCACCTCATAAACGGCTGAAACGCATATCATCTCATGTCTGCACAGCCGCCTGTTCTCACCGTATCACCACCGTCCACATCGATGTAGCGAGGCTGCGAGCGTTCTTGCACCCAAAACGTGAAGAGAACAGAGGCCTGACATCGCGGATATCTTCTCTCAAGACCTCTCGACCGCCTACATGGGGCTCAACCTATGTGGATGAATCAGACGGTGTTCTACAACTCGGCGTACAGGATTCAGCAATGGTACTGTTTATGAGCACCTACCACACATGCAGCAGCCTCAATGGGATTGAGACAATCGAACGGAACCGGAAGAGGCCTGCAGCCACCTCCAGCAACGCCGCCGTCGTCCGAAAGCCGTTTGGAGACCAGCCGCGGAAGGTACTACTGTTTGCCGTCCCATTAGACGACTACAACCACCATATGAACGGCGTGGATATCGCAGATCAACTCCGCTCAGCCTATGAAACCACCAATCGAGTCAACAAGGCTTGGAAGGCGCTGTTCCGATGGCTACTATGGACGACACTCAGCAACTGCTGGCTCATCAACCAGTACTCTATTTATAGAGTAGACGATCACCGAGGCTTCATACGCTTAATCGCCCTATCCCTGCTTCAACCAGGCCCAGAACAGAGAGTAGAGGTCTCGCTACCAGTGAGGCTGGGGCTTCAAGGGATGGTGACGCGCGCTGGGGCCCAAGAACACCACTAGGTGAGGCTCCAGAAGCAAGGCTACTGCATTGTATGCAGTAGGATGGGACGGAAGGCCGAGGAACGGACGCAGAGGAAGCCATTCACAGAGTTATCAGGCAACTCAATCAGGAACAAGCCGTCTCGACGTAGAAAGAGGGCTCCATGTACTTTTTTTGGCTGCGGATTATGTCAAAAATCCATATGTATGCACGGTGACTGTTGGCAACAACATCTAGAATTGATTTGATGTAAATAAAACAAATAAACGTTGCTTCATTTGCATAATAACGCTCTATTTCTAATGCCAAGACTTAATGCCCAGCTTAGGACGGAGGGGGATAGTTCCGAAGGGACGCGCTGTAGCTTTCGAATTCACCAGCAAGACAAAACAACTAAAAGCAAGACGGAAAATGCAGAAAAGAGCAATACGTATGCAGAAGCTCGCTAGACTGCACAGGCATATGAGTGAACTTTTGGAGGAGGAAGTAGACGAACATGATAGTTATATAGAGATGTGAACGAACGAGTCGAACACGGCTCCAATAGCAAGTCTGTCATGGATAGTTACCAGGTGCCAAAAGCGTGCGCTTCTTGAGGGGAGACACCACGAATAGAGCAATCGCATCCTCCGCGGCGCACTTCTCTCTCCGGAGATGGTCTCCACGGTGCGGTTCTCTCCACGACGACATTCTCTCCACGACGATATTCTCTCCACGGCGCTCTTATTTATTTATTATTTATTCAATCATTCATAGACTGCCCCAGCCGCCCTTCCGGCAGCTATGCATGCAGCGGTTTCTATCACGTTGATAAAAAGGGGTGTCTCTCATCTCGCTCCTAAGATAGATCGACGCTGATGCGTTATTGGGCGAACGAGATCACACGTAGTATTGTCCATATATAGTTTATCCAAAAGATACAGTCGAGTTTCTCTCCTTAACCATGACCGAGCTGGTAGAGACGTTTGTCGAAGGTTTTTAACGTTTCGAAGATGGTGTGAAGACGACACCTGTTTCTTCAGCGCTAGAAATTCAGATACCTCCTTCAGCAAATTCTACTCTGCATGGTTAGAGATATAATCTGCCTTTTCGGTCCTGAGCAGCACAAGTTCATCGCCTCGCACTGCAAAGGTCCATCATCAGTGCAGGTGCTGACATATGTGAGCCCGGCCCAGGCCGTCGGACGCCTAGCGCTTTAGCGGCACCGATTTTGGGCCCTTGCCAATCTTAGGGGTCTGAAATCAGGCCCTTCAGGCGACCTTATGCATTCTGGCTTGGCAACCTTGATTATTTACTGAAAATCTGGTAGTCGAGATTTGCTGATACTGTAAAGATTCACCTCATGCCGCAAAGGACTTATAGAAAGAAGTCCAGGCTGAAGCAGGAACCCGTTGACAATGCAGGCGTGGGTAGCAAATAGTAAGACATATTCTCCTCGAATGCGGGGACTGGACGGAGGAACGGGAATATACTCTATGTGGGCAGGAAAAACTCCATGCGAGACGTGAAGAAGATATTCTGCAAACCGTCAATGGCAGTACAGGCAGCCAAGAGTTGAAATGTGGTAGCAGGCTTGGTATTGCGTATCTAGGTGACTGTGTATCCTTATATAGTTGACAGTACCCATAGCTGCCTATGACTGCCTAATAGGCAGCCACACATGACTGGAATTCAACTCCAAGATGACGATCAGGACGGGCCTACTCAGCTGCCATTCGTAGCGTAGACGAGTGTATTTTATCAAACAGAAGTTCAAGAGGGCCAGGAAAGGCCTGACAGGTACACAGAGATTGAACACTCATATCGAGCTGCTGCAATTCGTATAGGCTATACCTCATCGGATATGAGAGAAAGGAAGCAACTCGTGCAGGACCGGCTTAGTTTCTTGAAGTAATGACGGAGGATGCCTGGATCTATAGTACCGCTGCAATAAAGATTAGGATAGCCACAACATTAGAACACCCGCAAGATCAGAGCTGCCGTTGGGTGCAATCAAGACTAGTGTAGTTGACCCAAAATCGGGCCCGCCTTAGGTCCTGAAAATGAGCCTCTTGTGCGTTGAGAGTTGGTCTGCGACAGGGGTCTGCAGCGAGGCTCGCGCGTTTAGGGTTTACGTGCTGTTGGCTTCAATATATGAGGTAACTGATCGATCATAAATGAAGCAGAATTGACTGAATTGACGTCGCTGTCCTCCAGATACATGAATGGTTGTAGTGCCTTATATAATGTGATAGACGAAGAGTCATTAGTAGGCAGCAGCAGGCAGCAGCAGGCAGCAGCAGGCAGTAGCAGGCTGTAGCAGGCAGCGACTGTAGCTGACAGGATGAGAGAGGTTATATGTAGGAGCTGCGTAAGGTCGCTCGTCTTTGGTACCGCGCAGGTCGACAGCTCATCCAGCCTATTGACTAGAATCTTGGAGCGGGAGTGCGCGGTCCTGCCGCTATCGAGGAGCGTGGCCGCAATGCCGGTAGAGGCGACCGCGAGAGCAATAAGGCCCTACGCGCGGCAGTGCGCGAGGATGGCGTTCTGCACAAACGTCTTCCCTGTGCCGCCAGGTCCATCCAGGAAGAAGAGGCCGCCGGTAGCGTCAGTTACAGCCTGGGTGATTGTAGTAAAGGCGAAGAGCTGCTGCTAATTTATTGCCGCCCTATCAACCTGTGCGTGCTCTGCTAGAGCATCGACATGTACCGCGCGCTGCTCGCGCACCAGGCGGTTTACAGTCCCAGTCTGGAGATGGGCCCAGTCACGCTGTGGCAGAGGCAGAGGCCAGGTCCGAGTGCCGCCTGTACAGCGTACGAAAGCCTCGTGTAGAAAGAAGAACGCCAGGTCCTCCACCAACTGCGCGGTCGGATTTACGATGCTATACTGCTCGCGCAGGGTGTACGCGCAGTTATCTGACAGCATCTCCTAGAATTTGGTCTATAGGCGTAGAGGCTCTGCCGGATCGCACTAGGTAATAATAGTGATAAAGAGAGCGCGGAACCTTCTTCCAGTCTGGAAATGGCCAGCTTCCTCAAGCGCCTGCTCCCACTCTCTATCGTCCTGTAGCAGGCCACGCGCAAAGCATGCGGCCTTAAAGGTCGGATAGACAACGCCTTGATAAGTGCGTACGTCGTAGAAAGAGAGCTGGCCAGGGACGTTTACTAGCAGTATGCGCAGGTAGTATACATCACTAACAGTTACTGGAACCTAGGTGATGCGGCCAACTGTAAAGCTACGCTTGCGGCAGACCCAGGAGCGAGTTTTCCGATCCCATCTAAATGTGCCAGGGAAGTCTTGATAGAGGATGCCTGTCTGCTCCTTGTTGTTCTGCTTGAAGAAGGCAGTAAGTATTGTATCCGTTCTTCTAACGCCTCGCAGGCGCCCTAAAGGCACATCCTCTTAGACTATGACAATCTGCTAGTTCTCTAGATAGACTACAAGCTGCTGTACTGGTACTGAGCGGCCGTGCGTCTTAAACTCTAGGACGCGCCAGTATGCTTAGTGGTATGAGATGTAGAGCGCGTCGATAAACTCCTTAATCTCGTCCTTTGGCCCAGTAACTTCGCCTACTACGCGCGGCCCTCCTCCTGTCTGCTGTACGCCAGCGCCTGCCTGTGCCTGACCTGGCGCAGAGATGGAAACAGTTACACGGTCGGCGCCCTTGTACAGATAGCCGTAGACGTACTTCACGCTCGAGTAGCCCTGGTAGGACTCAACGTTGATGTAAGCGTTGAAGCGCGCAGACAGGTAAGGATTGTAAGTAGCAACCAGGCGGTTGTCGTACTAGAACTGCGCCTGGCCCTTTACGTGTGTGCGTCTATTGTCCTGCCTTTTGTATACCGGGCGCCCTCCCATCATGACGGTCTCCTCCTAGAAAGCCTTTGGGAACTGCCAGCGGCAGCGGTTGTTGCGCATACAGGGCGCGCGCGGGTTGGCGGGGCCGCAGGGGTTGTGCAGCATGAAGCGCGTAACGACATCGTATAGAAGGGGCTCTACGCTCTTATTCGGCAGGTCTGCGCGGATGGCTACGTTGACGTCCTCTGGCACGCGTGGGCGCGCGTCCGGCTCTATAATCAGCAGTATGTGGGCGTGCGGCAGGCCGCGCTTCTGGAACTCAATGGTCCACACCATAGCGGCTGCCGGGCCAAGCACCTACTGCTTCATCAGCTCGCTCTGGAGCTCCTTCAACTTGAGATTGAAGACGCCGTTGACCAGGTCCGGCCTGTCGCGCGCGCCCTGCCCTGGCTTGAGCTCTCTTGTGATCTCAATCCAGCTGGTATTGCAGGTGAAGGTGATGAAGTAGTCGGGCCTGCCAAAGTGCCGGGCGAGCGCCATCGCGTCTAGATACGCGTTGTGCATCTGGCGCAGGCTGCCAGTATGCGTAGCCGGGAGGATAACGCGCTGCCCTATGTCTGAGGTTGTCATGTCCTCATTCTGCCCAAGCGTATCCATCAAGCCTGCTGCGCGCGTCAGCCGGTAGGCCTCCTAGTTGTTCCGGTGCCACTGCAGGCGCTGCATGAGGATCGATGTAAAGGCGTCTACGCAAAGCTCGTGGAACAGCCGGCCGGCGTAGAGGAAGGGCGCGAGGGGAACGCGCATCTGCAGGCTGTACCGCCACCACTGCTGCTTGGAGACTAGTAGAGCCATTCTGTCCGAGCTGGACCTCTCCATCCTCCTGCGCTTCTTCTCCATCTTCCTGGGCATCCTCTCCTTCCTCCACGCCATCTTCTTCCTCGCCCCTGCCATGTGCGCGGCCTTGCCTGCTATACGCGCGGCCTTGCCAGCCGGGCGCCCAGTTTACTCCATTGCGCGGGAAGGCGGGCTGCCAACCAGACTCTCCAAAGAGGAACAGAAACACATACCGCAGGCAGTTGTACTTAGCCGTGTTTTCGCTAATGTACTAGAGGCGCCCAGTTGCTGCGTTCTGCAAGACGAGATGGCGATTTGCAACTGCATCCTCGCGCGTAGAGATTGGAATCAGCGCGGCAACTTCCTCGACCTGCGGCCGGTTGTAGGTGCGTGGATCTGCAGTAACGGCCTCTTCAATCCCGAGTCGAAGCGTCACGCTCTTGTCGTTCCTTATACGCTCTGCATTCTGGCGGAACGCGCGCACATAAGGATGGTGCTGCCACAGGAGCTCTTGGATAGTGCGCATAATGTCTCTGTCGATATTGTGGAACGCCTCCATCCTACGCTCGAGTTGCTCCTCGAATCCGTCGTAGATGTAGAGCTGCGCAAAGGAGGGAAGATTGCCTTCAGCAGGAAAGAGGGCGCCAATAGAATGATGGAGCGCACCATGCAGCCGAAATGTGTAGGCGCCGCGCAGCTGCCGCGCAAGAGTGTTGTCAAATTGGGTCCCTAAAGAGGCGAGCGCAAAGGCGTTGTTAATGTGCCGGATGAAGCGGTAGAACTCCTCAGAGCGCTTTGTCCGGCGCACGCGCCCATTGACAGTGACAGTGCCAGCCAGCAGCTCTATCAGGGCCTCTGGATACTCTACCTGCTCTGGCAGGCGCACGCTACCTCTCCCGCAGCAGTTCAAGCCCGGCTTGGACTGAGGAGTATCGTGGGCCCTCTCCTACACCCAATGCAGCGCGCCACACAAATCACATGCGCGGTTACATCTCGACAGCTTAGAGCGATAGTCGACGCCAGGCTGGAGCGGCAGCTTTGCGCAGTCTCTGGCCGGCTTGTGCACGCGGCCGTTGTGCCGATTGCTGTAGTAGAATGTTGTCTCTACTCCAGCGTCCTCTTCCTCTTCTCTATACTGCTCTTCCTCTTGTGTCGCGCCTAACGGCGCCTCCTCTTCTTCCTCCTCACTTCCAAAGCGTGGCGGCGTATTCTGCTCGTCCTGGTCCGGTGAAATCCTCTGCCGGCCTGTACGCCTGCGCGTGGGAGACTCCTGCGCATGCAGCTGTTCTCTTTGGCCTCGAGACTGAGCGCGCTGCGTAGAGCGCGGGGTGACGCTTAGGGACAGCCAGCTTGAGCCCAGCTGTGACTCTTCCAGAGCTTCCGTGCTGGCAAAGGACATAGGAGGGCTTTCCTCCTGCGCGCTCCAGTCTGGCGTGCTTTGCGCTGGCGTACGCGCGCCTGCGGCCTCCTCCTGCTGTCTCGGCTCTTCCTGGCGCTCAATCTGCCATGCTCTTAACTGCTGTGATCCGGTGCGCACGTCGAATCGCCGGAGAAGCGCTGCCGCGTCCTGGGAAGAGGGAAGGCTCTGGCTCTGCGTGCGGCGGTGTATAGGCTGCGCAGGCGTATCTTGGAAGACCTGGAGCTTGCGTGGTTTAGAAGGACCGGCGAAAGGATTTGAGGCAGTAGGCACAGTAGGTGCGCGAGACTGGAAGCGTTGGTTCTTATATATAAACAGTCAGGAGGTGTTTTTCTATTCCCAGCTTCTGGCTTGGATCGAGCGGTTGTAGAGGCTTGCGCGCGCCCTCTTTCTGGCCTGGGGCAAGCTGCGGCTGCCTAGCAGCGCGCATCTTATCCTTTCTCTTTGAATTGTAAGGCATTATAAGTTGTATAGAGTAGAGAGAGAGTGCGAAAGTGTACCTGCACTCACCGACGCACTGCTCCCAGAGTGGTTTGTGGCTTGGCACCAGCTCCGCTTCGAGCTTAGGCGCCCTCCCGTTTGGGCGTGGTGTTGCCACACAATCTGGCGCCACTTTTGTCGAATGCCCGCCCCAACGCGTACGCCGCAGCATCAATAGAAACCCTCCTGAGTCCTGATCACCACGAACTCTTCTTGAATTCTTGACTTCACATACTCGTTCCTACCTCCCCACCCCCCGCTTTCGTCGGCGATCACTACCGATCTGGCCCTTTCATTTCACGCTGCCACCACCCTCCCCGCTCCCTGGGGTCACCAGGCCCCAAAGATTCGCCTTGTGTCGGCACGAATCCGCTCCAGTCGAAAGACCCTCCTCCTGGTGAGTTTATCTGAAGTCGGCCTTTATTTTGCTCCGAATTGGAATCTAAGGGGCGAATGGACTGTAGAAACGAGCCAAACGCAGCGCCGCCCAGAGAGCGGATGGCACTCGACGTCCGCGTTTCTAGCAACCACTGTATTACGTGCCGAATTCGACGAGACGTACAGGCCATAATATAACGGGTGGTATACAAACCTGACCGAACGCCTTATTGAGATCGTCACCCACCAACGACGTCTACTAAGGCCCGCGCCTCTTTTATTCAAGCGTACCGACAAACCTCGAGAATGGCTACCCTTATACCTCGCGGATATCGCTCCGCCACCGAATACCGTTTCGACGAAGAACAGACCGATGCTATTGTTCGAACCGCCGCCTACCATCGTAAAGACTACTGTCTCTCCGTGATCTGGTTCTCGCCTCGTGAACACGTCGATATTCGTCCGTCACTAGCAACACCCTTTCGGCGGACTTCGAACGTGGGACTCGGCTCTCTCGATCGGCTACCCCTCGAGCTCTTGTACGACACGTTGTTCCGTCTGGATATGCATTCTTTATTCAAGTTTCGACAAACAAATCTCAGATCGAGACAGACGGTAGACTCCCTCAAGCAATATCAGTTAGTAGTCTCGTATGGACTGAACCTTCTCTGCGCCTTGTTACGAACACGACTTGCCATCGGTATTTCTCTACTCGACTTTTACAACGTACTATGTACTAAGGCTTGTACTCTTTGCGGCGAATTCGGCGGATTTATATCCCTTCTAACGTGGAAGCGATGCTGTTTCAAATGCCTCAAGGAGGCTCCGGAAACCCAAGTGTATACTCTTACCGCTGTCCGAAAGCAATTCCACTTGACTAGGGTCGAATTAGACCAACTGAGGTCATTCAGGACCTTGCCTGGAATATATTCGATGAAGGAATCTGTGTACAAATCCCGTATTGCGATCGTTTCTGTTCATCAGGCTATTTTGATTTGCAGACGGCAACCACATACACGGGCGCAAGCCCAGCCAGCGAGCTCAGAACGAAATAAAAAATTCAACTTTATGGGGTCGTGCGCACTTCCTTATTACGATAAACTAACCGGCAAAGTCGAACACGGAATGTCGTGTGCTGGGTGTCAACTTGCTCTCGAAAAAGACATTATCGGCACTAGGGGCGAGAAATGGGCATTCGAGGCTCGAGACAAAGTATATGCGCGAGATGGCTTTTTGGAACATTTTCGATGGTGTGAACAGGCACAGCTCCTGTGGAGATCGAGTGGCGAAGGTAACAACCGGCCAACCGAGGTACCAGAGGCTGCTCGGAGAGGAGGCTACTTCAACAAGAGAGAATGACAAGGATGTGAAATATGTTCGCCAATGTGATCACCCATAATGCGTAGCTCCGCCTCGTCTGGGCGTGCTCTGTCAAGCAATTCGTCACATCTTTGATTCAAGTAGCAGTCCCGGAATCAGCCCCCTTGCCCGATTTCAGGCAAAATTGAAGCGCGTTGGCTCAGCCACGGCTCGGGTGCCTGATTAAAGAATGCACTAACGTGGATTGGTTGGGCCATAAAATAACTAAGTAAGCAGTGAAAGATACCACTAACTATATTCAGTAAGTAGAGCTAGGTGACAACTTCCGTCGTTTTCGGCGGCAGCTGCCGGCCTTTTCGTAGGGCATTGTCATCGGTGGTGGTACTGTATAGTGCAGCATGTATCTACCCAGAAATGCTGAAGGCTATCAGATGCAGCTTGCTTGTGGCAAAATTCAAGTTTTCGATAGCCATTTTTATGCGGGCCTGTCCCATCTAGGATGTCTCTAAAAGTGACTTCATCTCCGTCTCCTCCCCATGTATGCGATAATATAGCATACTGTGGGATGTTCTCACTGAGATATTCGGTGAATTCAAGGCTTCCATCACGTCGAATCGTTAGGAGGCGCATGATTTACCTATTCCGCAGCGCGAGGACTGTAATCTTGCGGTCGGAAAAGACTTGAGTTGTAGGGCGAAGAAATATGAGTTGCAGATACTATTCCTGTATAGCTCGTCATACGTAGTGATGAAGGGTCAGACTGGAAAGTGGTGTCAGCTATAGAATGTGCGCCTCCAGGTTGCCTTGATCAGCCTAATCGACAGCCTGACCAGCAGGCGCACCAATCGTTAATGCAGCATTAGGGTTGCATTCTCCGGCATCGCTACTTTGGCGTTACCAGATCAAATGACGGCAGGAAATATGCGAATTGAGCATCATATTTCGCAAAGGAAATTGAACTGCTGTAGAGCACTGTAAGTTCTTTCCAAGCCAGTGCACGTCCTTGTCGTGGTAGAATGTGATGAGGACATTGAACGAAGTTGCGACATATCTCACCACACTGTGTAATCAGCACAATGTCGTGCGACGCCACTAGTAGCTCCATTACCTTGCATAATATAGAGATGCTGTATAGGTATGGTATAAGCAAGGAGTTTGGCGTTAAGCTGTTCAAGTAGGTATCTATCTACCTACTGTATACTGACTGCGGTTTTATTACAAAGCTGTACGTTAGTGTAGTGTGACTAGACAGGTAGGGTTATGGGGAGTCCCGAGTGAGTAAGCCGCATGTCAAAACGTTCGGAGAGCAAGTTGAAGAACAAGTTAAGGCGACATTACGCTTAGGGATGACATGAATATCCCTGTCTTGGGTCAGCGATGTGCTTGTGATCCATCAAGTTGAGTTTAGCAATGCTCATCGATCAAAAGACAAACTCGAACGCTGCACATCGCTGCCGGAAAGGCAAAACCCTAAACAAGCACTATGTAAGTCGAGTAGACTCGTCAAAGGAGGAATGAGAGGACCACCGTCGGCGCTCACGCAAGATAGGTTTGATGGATACAATGCCTAAGTACAGGTCAGTCGGGTTGTCACAATGCATTTCGTGGGCCGAGACGACCGGGAAGCTGATTGGGCGGGAATGGAAAGGATTCTACCCGATGGTAACATCCCGCAGGATTGCAGGCAAAGAATGGTTTGGTCGTTTCAATAATAAATTGAAATAAATCCTCGGGCAACCGTGTCAGCCTGGTCGAAAGGGGAAACGCTTAATCTCCGGTGTGTGGGGCTGGAGCGATTGCCCTCGGGAACCTGTGCCAGCAAATCTCTATTTCGACGGCCCGGTGTCTCCAAGGACTTTAGCTTAGCACCGACCGGAGTCTGCAATATCGTGGATAGGATAGCCCGTGTCCGTGTCCGATGGTTCTAGACTACCGACAGTTGAAAATAGGCACAGCCACCATCGCCATAACACGTCCAACTATAGAGAGCATAGGTAGGCATACCGGTATAGCACACATGCATGTCTGCTCCAGCAGTGCTCTGTAGGTACACTACGTCGTAGGTAGGCTCCTGCATCGCTTTCAGACCGCTTCTTAGGGCTTCTATGATGCTCCTCCTCCTGGCCCCCAGTCCTCAAAGTGCAAAGTGCAAAGTGCAAATGTAGGTATGTAGGGATGGATGCCTTCGTGTCATCCCCGCTCCTTTGCCGTGCGACATATCGCAAACCACCAACTTACGCCGTCGTGTATGGTGGCCGCCACATATTACCAGGATTACGTTACCACAGTCCACAATCGAGTCCACATGTGCATCGTGTGCTGCTTCGCTTGTGGCACGGCTTCTTGTACAGCAAAGACACTAGAAAGGGTGACTCCTCTGATAGCGGCGATGGCCGATGACGATTTCTGTCTTAGGTATGTGACTGCGATAAAACTGTTTGCAAGGTTTTGTACGCATTTGGTTGAGGTGACTTTGGTGATATGGTTACAACGACAAACGATCACCTCACACAGTTCCCTTTGACGTCGTAGTAGAATGTCCCGTCTAGCACTCTAGAATATCACGAACACTCGGGTATTACGGCCGACGTAGTCGAGCTAGATCGAGGGAGAGAGGAAAGGACCGAAAGGTGTCATCTTGTTAAGCGACTACAACGCAAACGAGTTCCAATAAGAGCCTTGCTTCTAGTGCAAACAGTTTTGAAATCGGTGCCAGCTTTCCTTCCTAGGTGATGAGTGCAGTCACATTTATCACATGAGTGCAGAGGATGAGGAGGAGGACCAAGCGCTTGCGGACAGCAAACTGTCTTCAATAAAGTAGGTATGACGGTAGGTAGCCAGGACATAACAAGGACGCGAAACGCCAGGTCGCAAAAGTGCCTACAACTAGAGTTCTCATACATTCCCTGCCGCGTTGTTGGAAACCCGAATACATGTACTTCCTCACCTACTGTAGGCTCGAATCCTGGATGGGGCGTGGGGGTGTTTCTGTGAAGTGAGGCAGTTGCCAACCAGTAACTTATCAGGATGTACATGATGTAAGAAGTGCGTTTTGCCTACATACATACCTAGTACATACATAGTACTTACATACCTAGTACAGGTAGCAGACAGGTAGGATACAAGTGAGTTAGACCTGTATCCGCCCGGGAAGGTTCTGCCCTGCTACCCTACCTAACCCACTACTTCGTACTAGCGTCGCTCGGTGGAGCAACAAATAGGATGCTCTCTCGACTCTGCTGTGGCACCTAGCGCAAGTTAGGCTGTGATGACATCGCATGAGATGCTGTTCTTTGGAGCGTGAATTAGGTACTTACGAAGTAATTGCACGTAAATTGGCACCGTGGGCAAAGCAGAAGACCATCTCGACAAAGACTGCACATTAGCGTGTGAACAAGACTTGGCAAGCAGCAACTTGCCCCATCGAGTAATGAAATAGTGGTTTAGTTAATGGTTCAGTTAGTGGTTCAGTTAGTGGTTCAGTTAGTGGTTCAGTTAGTGGTTCAGTTAGTGGTTCAATTGTCTGCATGCCTACCCCTACACGATCGTTGGACGTATCTACACATAATTCAAAGTAACCAGATGCCCAAGTACAAAAGGCGCCCACTTATCACGGCATTCTATATTTTGTCAACTTAAGTAGGTAGTCAGTCCTATGCAGTGTGGTCTACGACTCACCTTCGACACCTACACTTAGCGCGATAGGCTGGCTATCTACCTAGGTAAGGACTTGCCACGCGTACTACAGTATGTTCCTTTTTGAAAAAGGAATATCAACATTTAGTGAGTGAACAATACCAGGAGATGCGCTACCAGCATACCTGTCGGAATGATACTACCACGATAAGCGATCGCATATCAAAGGGGAGATTCATGCATAAATAACTGAAGCAGACTGTGAGTAAAAACAGATGCACCGGGTACTCGAATACCTAGTAATACTGCCATATATGCCAACACAGACAAATAAATACCGATAGCTTATATATCTCGTCCTGAACATCAGAAAAAGCAAGGATAAGAGGAAGAGATCATGCTTTGAGTGAGCTGACCTTGGGGAAGCGTGAATTTCTCTTCAAGGGGGTCTAAACAAGCCACTTCCCGAGATGGGCAAGGTGGGCCTATTTGCCCACTTACACATGACTACCTACCATAGAAATCTTCTACTATGTATAGAGGTTATTCTAAGGTTTAGATCTTCCATGATATATAACGCACTGAGAAGTACCGCTGAAAGTACATCTTACTAGTATATGTAATATCTAATGAAATATACCTAGGTAATGTAGTATGCAGGTGTTAGCTACCTAGATGAGTCAGGGTTTTAGACAAGAAGCAGCTGTAAGTAAGCATTTAAGTAACGTCGCAATAGTTTGCGTGTCTCATAGGTAGATATAGTATATCATTTACAGTTTAGCACACTGCAAGCCGCTCGACAGATAAGTAGGGCCCCCAAGGGCTCTCCCCTGTAACCCGCCCTGCAGCAGCATTCGCCCGAACCAGCCATAATGCGGTACAGGCTGGAGAGGCTGGATGGATCCTTGACCCGCAGGAGCTCGAAGTAACAGCAACCTGTGCCTTAGGTATGTACCTAGGCTGATGCAATTAAGTATGTACCTAAGTAGGTAGATGTAGGTAGGTAGATACATACCTAAGTTTGTACATGTGTACACTACACCACCTAGGTAACTAGGGGCAGGCGCCTGCAAAAGCGGGTCTCTCGGCTCCCTGAGCCAGCTTGTGTGCATGTCCAGCAGCCAGTACATACCTACGACGCCCGTCTCGCCCAGGCTGCCCAGGGTAGCAAAAGCCCCGCCAGAGTCCCCCCGGCAGCCTGCAGGAGTGGTGCCGATACATGGGGTGGTACGCTGACAATGTGGTCAAACTACATTGCACAGCAGTGTACCCACCGCGATGGCCAGGTCTACGGATGCATGGACAGATGTAGATGCAATGTACCCGAAGTGGGTACTGCAAGGTAGATACTTGGGTACAGGCTTACCCCCCTACCCCCATCCATAGCGCACAGTAGTATAGGTACCTAGGTACACACACGCGCAGATGCACTGCAAAACCCACCCACATACTTAGTGCTTGGTACCTGGTAGCCGTACCCAGTGTACACCGGCATAGGCTGATGTACATAGCACTGCACCTATCACCCGCGGCGCAGGAGGTACAATGTCTGCAGAGACACACAGGACGGCGTACCTACTCAAGGCACAGATGTCCTACCTAACCTAGTTCCACCATGCGGCATGGGCAGCTGCAGTCCAACAAAATCTGGGTACAAGCCGCGCTGGTTCTCTGGCTCCTCTTCTCTTCCATCCACCCTGCTGCCGTTTCTTCTTCCTCCTCCGGCGCCAGCACGAAAAGGTATCTTCCTCCCCTTTCCATCATACCCTCTGCATCCGCCATCCGCTCAACCTGCGCGCCGCGCACAACAGCATCATCCCAACGCATCGTTATATCGCAGCGCACCGAGCCAAGCGTTACGACTCAGCTCGACCCACCGAGATACCGACAACAGCTATGCTTATATGGTGACGAGGCTTGCAGGCGTTACTCATCTGAAGTCTTGCCAGTCTCGTTACTCACGGCCATTGGGTTCGCCGGGACCGGTTGTTTCGTCGGCCGCGATAAAACCTGACCGACATCTTCTATATCGATTCATCAGCTCCGCTCGAATCACTGGTGAGGCAAGCTCACAGATTGTGTCGCGACACGTTCGCACGCGGAATAACACGCGCCTCTGCCAAGAAGTTGAAAGGCCAATTGCTACCACACATCAGTATCTGACGCCTCGACTTTTTACGATATAACGGCCCGGTTATCCCCAACGATTGATTTATCGCAAAGTTTCGCCCATCATGTCCATGTATCCGCATCGCGGCCTCCCGTCGGCGGGCCGTCTCAATGAACTGCTGGAACAGATTCGTTCCGAGTTCGAAGCCCAGGCTCGTATCAATGAAGGCTATGAACAGCAGAGTATGTTCTTCGCTCGGTTCCGCCATCTTTGCAACCCTCTTTCAAAATATTCCCTTCCTATTACTCTACGTGAAAATGTTGGGACAAGCTACTAAATCAATGTTTACTAGTCCAGCAACAAGTTCAAGAGGCCTCGCTTATCAGAGACAAGGTCTATCAATTGGAGCAGGCTCATATGAATATCAAGAACAAGTAAGCATATAATCCCCCAGTAGTTGTTCTTAGGACCTGCCCCCCTGACTTTGTTTAGATACGATGAGGAGATTGTGCTACTCCGCCGCCAGCTCGATATCGCTCGAGGGAATGCGCCTCCACAGCCTGGCGTGCCTGGACCTCAGCACGGTGGCCCTTCCGCTCCGCCACCGTCTATTGGCGTCGGGAATAACCTCTTCGGAGGTATAATGACTGGCCAAGGAGGCCAAGGTGCTGGTTTGCCCCCTCAACCTCCTCCACCGGAGCACCAACCACCCGGAGCTCAGCATCCGATGCCACAGCCGCCTCCGGGTCTTCAAGGCCCTCCGCCCCCGCCTCCACCGCCGTCTCAGGCACCTCCATTCCAGCCTGCGTATGGACAAGGGCCTGGACCAAATGGCTTCCCTGGTCAAGCCCCTCAAACAACAGCCTCTCCTGGGCCTGCTAAGCGTGGTATCGGAAGACCTCCCGCTGGTGGCCCGGCTACCCCTCAGATTAACACACCCCTGCCGTACGCTGGCCCCGGCGCTTCGCCTCAAGTTCCAAATCATCCTACACCTGACCACAGAGTTGTTCATCCACCTCCGGGCGCCATGGTCAACAATGCACTTGGTGAGCTAGATCCCGACCGTGTTCCTGCGCATGTTAAGAAGACTCGTGATGATTGGTTCGTCATTTTCAATCAACATGTTCCCCGTGTGTTAGATGTCGACCTTGTCCACACTTTGATTCACGAGAGCGTTGTCTGCTGTGTTCGATTCAGCCACGACGGAAAGTACGTTGCTACTGGCTGCAATCGTTCTGCGCAGATTTACGATGTCAACACTGGCGACAAGGTCTGCGTCCTGCAAGACGAAGGCGCCGATGTCAGTGGCGATTTGTATATCAGAAGCGTTTGTTTCAGCCCTGACGGCAAATATCTGGCTACTGGGGCAGAAGACAAGCTTATCCGGGTAGGATCTTTCATGGGTGCTCTTAACTTATTACCATACCGACTAACCCATGTTCTTAGGTTTGGGATATCGCTAGTCGAACCATTCGCAATACTTTCGCCGGCCATGAACAAGACATCTACTCACTAGACTTTGCTAGGGATGGCCGAACTATCGCCTCCGGTAGTGGAGACAGGACAGTACGTCTTTGGGATATAGAGAACAGCACGAACATATTAACTCTCACTATTGAGGACGGTGTTACTACCGTTGCTATCTCACCCGATACCAAGTACGTGGCAGCAGGCTCTTTAGATAAGAGTGTTCGCGTCTGGGATATCCATCAAGGATATCTCATAGAGCGTCTAGAAGGACCCGAGGGTCATAAAGACAGTGTCTATTCAGTTGCCTTTTCTCCTAGTGGTAAAGAGTTGGTCAGTGGTAGTCTCGATAAGACAATCAAAATGTGGGAACTTTCGACCTCTCGTCTTCCAGGCAGTTCAGGACCTAAGGGAGGCAGATGCATCAAGACTTTTGAAGGACACAGGGTAAGTCTTAGGAAAGCTCATTCATGATGTTGTACTAACCAGTCGTAGGATTTCGTCCTTAGCGTGGCCCTCACACCGGACGCCAGCTGGGTGATGTCTGGGTCCAAAGACCGCGGTGTCCAGTTCTGGGACCCACGGACCGGTTACACTCAACTCATGCTACAGGGGCACAAGAATAGCGTCATCTCCGTGGCCCCTAGCCCAACTGGCGGTTTCTTTGCCACTGGTTCCGGTGATATGAGAGCTCGCATTTGGTCATATCGCCCGCTTACACAGTAAGGTACTCGCGTAAGGAGAAAGATGTCTGAGAGTATTCTAAGAGCAGCACAATGTCAATTCCAAGACTGACTAACTAGCTGCTGAAGATATCAGTAAATAAGCACGCATTACTGCTGTCAGTTCCTCCCCCGCTTTATATCCTGGGTCTACCCCCAAAGCATGGTTGGAAGATTGCGGAATCATGAGGAGCACCGTGTGATGGAGCGAGGGTATTAGGCAAGAGGGTGTAAAAAAAAAGGATAACTAGGACTGTTGTTTAATGATTCTTTCTCTCAACGCAGATAGCGGAGTTAAACCCCAATATTAGTGTGTTTTTGTTTTGCTGTTTTCTGATCGAAAAACACCCCTCTCTTGACCATAGTTCGACCGGAGTTCAATGGAAGCTGGTTCGGACAATTTGAACTTCCCGTCATACTCGTATTATGCGACGCAGCTGGCAAAAAATAGAGTACTGGAATTCGCGGTGGTTGTGCCAAAGTCTATATCGAGAGAACATACTAGATGGGGTTGGAAATTTAAGAATATTGAGATTCAGGAGGTATTATTGAGATAGAATAGGTCGTTGGTAGCACTCGGATCTTAAGCCGAGCTGAGCTAGTAAAATAAATACATTCCTTTTAAGCCGTGAGGCTACATCAGACCCTTGAAGAGATCGTCGAACGCATCGCCCTTTTTGGCTTTCTTCTTGGACGTCTTCTTGTCCTTTGGGCCCTTTTCCTCGACAGCTTTTGTCGCTGCCGTAGCCGTTTTCAGTTTCTTCGCTGGTCTACTGGGGATATCTTCGTCGGGTTGGGCTTGTTTTTCCTGGGATGGGAGAGTTGCGCTCTCCGCTAATGGCATTTTGCTCCTTGCCCTGGGAATGTCTTTTATTTTCCCGGTGGCGAGCTTCTCCTCGGTTTTGCGAGATAGAGAATCCTTGTCTCTCTTTTGTTGCGCGGCTGCGCGCTCTACGGCCTCGCGGGATATGGTTTTACCTTTGCCCTTTTCGTCGCCGTCTCCCTGGTTCTCTCCCGGCGCTGCGCTGCTCTCACTTTGGTTTGAGCTGCGTTCGGCGGCAGAGGAAGCGATATTATTGGCTGTTAGTGTGTTATCGATAATTGAGGGTTGAAACTCTGTTACTGCTGAAGTGGCAAGTGCAGACGGAGATGGCGGCGGCACTGCGATGTCGCATGCTGCTTGGAGCTGAGCTAGGATTCCGAGGAGCACGACACCAATAGGGGAGAATTGCGTGTCTGCTATGAGCTGGGAAAAAGCTCTGTGCCTCGGGGGAGATCTGGTTAGTGGTTGTTTGAAACGGCATATGTGTTTGCATGAGAATAGCTATTTGGCGACGCATGAAAAGAAGAGTATGGAGTAATTATAGATATAAAGACGTAGATAACCGCAAGATGAGGAAATAGATAGTAAAATGAAGGAGAACTCCAACTCACAAGTAGCATTTTGGACTCAGCACGTCGCGTATCCACGTAACGTGTCTGACAACATTCTCATCCGTCACCACGCCCGTTGCAGCATCTACATCCGCATTTCCATCTGTCCTATTACCAGACGCCAACTCCTCGCGCCTGCGCTTCTTACTCTTCGCCTTGCCAGCCTTGGCCGCCTTGGCCGCCTTCGCGGCATTCTTTTGCGCGACGGCGACGGCCTCGACGAGGACCTCGACGAGCCTCGCGCAGTTCCGTCGCAACAAGCCAAAGTGGCGCCACCACGCGGCGCGGCGGTGCTGGTTCTTATTGCGATGCGCGATGCCTAGTAAAATTGGCTGGAGAGGCTCTAGTCGGGATAGAGCCTGTGAGTATGGCGTTGACTCATTTTCTTCCGCCTTTGCTTCTGTGATAGAGCTGGTATCTTTGGTGGTGGATGAGGAAGACTTGGTGGTGTTGACGGTTGGCGGGAGAATGCCGCGAACGGCGCTCTTTTTTGTGGCCATTACATTGTAAGTTTGTGAGATCGGTGTTGACTTGTACTAGTTCTGGTAAGGGTGCTAAGTTTCCGCGGTTGAGTCGTGTGAGTGAGTGAATGACTGAGAGAAGCTGAGTTGAGTTGGATGGGAGATTCTGATAGGATGAAAATGATTGGTTCAGACTTTTTGAGATGCTGATTTATGATTGGTTGGGTGGTAGCACCTATTCAATGGATTTGTATATGTACGTACAGCGATACTTTGGATACGCGTCATGTGTAGGTACCTCAACTCAGGCTCTACGAAGTAGCTTGATGTAAGTAACAAGGTTCTCGGACGCTCGGCAGAAGTTAACAGAGTAACCGACATTCAAGACGATAAGGAACTTGCTCAACAAGCCTTGAGCTTTATATTCCATTTTCTACGAATGCCTATATATGCCTTAGATTTACAGTGCCTACCGTGGTGCTATAGACGTACCTGCGTGGTAGCAACCTACATACACAGTACATTCATAGTAAGTACGTGAATGCACCTAGTTAATACTGAGCGTGACAGTGTGGAATACTCCCTAAAGCAACTACCGCAAGGTACCTACAATTTAGGTATATCCCCGCCCCCACGCATCGGGTACAGCCTTAACCTAGCAACCTCAGGTAGGTAGGTACCTGCCCTGCAGAGTACGGTAGGTATGGACAGTAGGTTACTTCTGTAGTGGCAGATCCACTTTGAACCTCACCTCCTTCCTGCCTTGTAAAACTCGATATTCAAGCATCGAAAATCATCTGCGCCCGCAGTGTTGCGTCCGTGTAAGATGCTGATACAACTTAGAACTCATGAATCTCTCTAGTCACCCCGATGCTAGCAGATACTTACCCAGCTGCAGGAATATCAGTCGAGAAACAAAGTATATGCCCAACACATTATTGTAGGTATTCAGCCCTTATTACAGTGTGGCTGCTGAAAATTTCTATGTCCTATTGCAAGCGTATTGTCACCAACACGTAAGAGCACGTAAGATAAGATGAATTTCACAATACTTGATATTCCGAAAGCAAACTCAATAGACAAGGGACGAAGTAGGTGACTTTAAGTGTCATGCAATAGATGAGTTTCGGATAGCCGGACATCCACAGTAGGATGTCATGTTCTCTCAACAAGGCTTATCCACAAGTTCATCCCGTGATCCATACCCCTAAACCCTTGAGATGAAAATCGTCGTCTCCCATTCATTCATTCAGGGGCCATTCATAGTGTAATGTTCAGTATCAGTCGAAGAAAACCCCAATCATCTTATTCATCTCCGCCTACTGTCCATCAATTTACTCGAATCCCTCCGAGTATCTCTCAAACCTCAAGGCGATCAGGCGAATACAACGCTAGTACTCTTATGGCGAGAGAGACCACGAGAATAAGAAATGTTCGTGATGGCTGCAATTGGCAACATAGGAAACTAACGTGAATGGAAACTGAGACTCGGTACCTCCGGGACCGTGGATATAACAGAGACCACTAGCTAAAACACATAACTGAAAACTTCATAACCCGGTTGGGTAGATGTGCTGTGGATCGTGGCTGTTTTTTCGGGCCCATCTGGATAAGTCTTTAGTTCTCGGTAATCGTGTTATGCAATATCGCCAATGAGTTGACTTACCTACAAATGCTTCTTACTCTACGAGCATTTTGGCGTAGAAGATGCCATTCTCGGTGACGTACCAGCGGAAGTTACCCATACGGTCTAGGGAATATCGGCTGCGAGAAGTCCACTGGCCATCAAGCTCGCGACACCAGTACATCCGGCTCTTGTCGTCATCAGCAGGCTTCATGCTCTGAGGCTCATTCATCTGGTTGTTGAAGGCGTTGTATTGATTCTGCATGTCGACTTCGCTCTTGGTTTTTCCCAGCTCAATACCACCCATAGGGGCGGCAGGAAAAGGCATACCAGTCGGTGTGATGGGAGGCGTGGGCTGCCCGATGCCGGTTGCCACATAAGTCGGGCCAACGGGTAGTGGACCGCCAGCCATGGGAGGCATGAACCCGGGCTGGTAGGTGGTCGCACAACCGGGCATCTGAGGAGGTTGCATAGGTGGCATTTGGCAGCCGGGAGCCATCATAGGGATCGGCGCAGTAGCCATACCAGGATGCACCTACAGTAAAGAGAAGTCAGCATTTTTCTCTGCATTCGTTGAGGCTAGTGGTTAAGCGTAAATGGAAGATAATATTAAATAATAGGATGGGCGACGAAATAACACATGTTAGTAAGCAGGTTAGAAGATGAAGCATTTTATACCGCCATGCGGCATACGGACTGGACTTGCATTCATGAAGGCGACACCAGGCCCTGTCGGCATGCAGGGTGGCATAAAGGCCTGAGGCTGTACCGGTTGATATGGAACAGCACCAGGTGCATAGAAAGCCGGTTGACTGCAAGGAGGACCACCATTCACCATGGTGGACGGCGGATCAGATCGCGGCACATAGATATGCTCGTAGGGACCATTGGTGGTATCAGGGACCGGGGGTTGGAAGTGGACCGCATTTGGGTCAGGTGTAATGCCAGCAGCAACAGTACTCATTTTGACCTGATGCGGTTGCGCAGGGTTGTAGGAGGCAGGGAGGTTGGTGAAAGGCAGGGGCTGAGTTTGCGGGAAACCAGGCTTGAAGTGACCAATAGGGCCGCGTGATTCCAGAACACCGTCGATGACAAGACCCTGGGGTGTATTGGCGACAGTATGAATGGGAAGACCGGCAAACGGATCAGGTCGCGAGACCCGAGGGGTAGGAACAGTGGTGCGTGGTGATGAGGGAGCTGAGGGCGGAGGACGAGTGTTGTTGCCGTTGTTGATGATTGCTGGCTTGAGAGGGGTCGATCTGGGTCGATAGTCGGGACGGGCGTTGTTGGGAATTGGGGAGTCGGGAGCTGCAAAGGAAACACGTCTCTGTTTCTTTATGTTGTCGTCTTGAAATGACATGACGGGTGAAATGAAAATGGAAGGAAGGGAGGCATATACTCAAGTATAAGGTAGACGGCTGGTGGACTTGAGATATATATCTAGGTAAGTGAATGTGGTTGCATTGGGAGATGCCCTTTTTACCGTTGCAATCAAGGTGCAATGGCAAGAATGAGAGAAGGGCATCTACGTGGAAAGAGTGCCATTGCCGTGCATAGGTGGGAAAGAGAACCCTATTGCGGTATTCTCGGCGATCGTCAATGGATGTGTGGGAATTGACAATAGAGAGACCACGAGGAATAGTGTGCATGTGATTGTGGCCCTGGCTTCTTCTCTATTGTTACAAGGGGGCATCAATGAGACCTCCTAAGTGCTAGAGCAGGACGGAGATGCCGCCTGTCCGGTCTCTCTTCATAGGCATCTACCTAGGTAGACAGACTGCTCATTCTATGGCTCACCGACATTCAGGTGTATTGAAGAAGGCAAACAAACTGCTATCGGGTGCGGGGCCAAGAGGGATTTATGAGTACAAATATGAATAGCATTAAAAGCCTCAATAGCTCCGATGACACAGACCATTGAAGAGAAAATGTTCAAAATCAGAGGGTGTGGTGGGGGGACCTACTCTATCACCGATGGTAGGAACCCAATTCGTTCCGTTCCATACATATTGAAACATGGAGGTTTCAGGGACGTCTTCAAGCTCAATGTCTCGTACCGGCCAGAATGGTAAGCAGCACATCCTTACGATGAGCTTTTTCGGGTTCTTGTTCCAAATCTTTCTGATGGTGGCGTTAAGATTGGAAGCAGAACAATGACAGCCGGTCTGAGGACTTGGGGTGGCAGAGGTTGGAACGGATATCAACAAGGTATTGAAATCGAATAAGAGTGACACTTTCAGGTATCTTTTAGAAGAGTTACGGGTATCATGAAGTGAAATATTTTGAAGGAGGCCAAATGAAGTCCGAAAGCTTTATGATCCCTGCGAATCAATGCGGTCCAGAAGTAGATGTTGCCGAAGCGCCCAATGTTACTTCCTATCTATGCACCTGACTGTAACACAGAGACCCATCCCCATTCGAAATAAGAACGTACATAGCAAATTCAGAGCATTGAGACTATTGAGGGCTATTGAGTGTTACTTACTCACTACTTGGGTAGTGTACGAAAGCGATGGTGCACCTCGCTTCTCTCACGCAGACTTTAATTTTACGTCGTTATAGAACCCCGAAGCGTTCTAATTCTTCAATAGTCAGCGTTCCCTGTCAAATCAAATCGGATATCAATAAGGACTAATACTGTTGTGTAGTCCTGTCTACACTAGTTAGCTCGTCATCTCCCAAACTCGCCTGCATGCCATCATGTTCATTTATATGCAATCCATCACCATCACTTTCAGATCACCACTATTTATGATTTCAATCTCTCTGAGCATTATGGCTGCCGCAGCTATCACTGTGTATAAATTACGTCATCCCAGGGCCGCATTGGGATGGAGCATGAAAAGACTACATGTGTGGCATATACGCCAGTGAAATATCAACAGTGTGAGAGAGGGAGGAAGAGAAGCTGAATATAAAATAAAAGATGACGAATTAGCGACCTGTTAATTTTAACAGATAGCCCTTATCGCATTCAGCTAGAGGCTGTAGTGTCAGTTTTCTATTACACATACACCTAGCCTGATTGCTGTCTCCCATCTATCATTATATCATCAAAGATCGTCTTCCATTCAACCTCATGTTTCTCATCTATCCAGACCTGTACCGCTGTCTTCCTTTCATCGTCTTCAATCGTCGAATAGGGAGGAGGGACCGCAATGGCATACATCATCTCAATCGCCTCCGTCGATCCCACGAAAGCGGCTACGTGAAGTGCTGTCCGTCCGTCATGATCTGATCTCCTGTTGACGTCAATGCCGGCACGCAGCAGGGTTTCGAGCACCAATCTCCCATCCTCTTTATTGTCGGACATTCGCAGGATTGCCTTCTCTACGGCTGCGCATTTTTCGTCTTCTTCACTCGAACTTATGATTGTGGCATCTGTCAGGGAACATTATAGCACTAGGGTAGAAGTTACCCCGAAGGGTGGGGACAGCGTAGAAGTTGACTATATAAAGGTGTCCAGGCTCCCTCTTCATGTTTAGAGAGCGAGGAATCAATAGTATTGAGCCCTTACCCATACCTTCAACCTATCTACTTCCTACGTACTACCTACTGGTGATCTAGCCTCACTCTGGGGACATACCGCCATGACAGCATCATATTCAAGCAAGATTTTTGCTATTGGCACTCGTTGTTTAATAGCAGCTAAGTCTTACCCTGATGGTCTATGGGGTTGGGATCTGCTCCCGCGGCGAGCAATGCACTGGCAGCGAGCTCGTTATTGGAATTCACGGCGGAGTGTAAGGGTGTCCGACCCTATGAATCCTTGCAGTCTAGATCGAGGCTTAGCCCCCTTCTATAGAGGCCTATCAAGAACGTCATGAACTCCTCTGCATTCTTATTCTGCTCGGTGACGATATGAAGCGCTGTGTGGCCCCAGCCGTCTGAGGAGGCGGCATTGACATCTGCTCCAGCCCCAATAAGATCGTACGCTGTCGATCTAGCACCCTCTCTTGCAGCAACATGCAGTGGCGTCAAGCAGTATTTGTCAAGTGCTTCCGTAGCAGGCTGTCCGTCATGGGGATATTGTAGTATGATACTCAACATAGAAGCGCCGTTTTGAGCAGTAGCGATATGTATAGGCATGTTGCTGCCGTTGTTGCGGAGTGCAGGATTTGATCCCTTATGAAGCAGTAGCTAGGCTGCTGAAACGTTGCTATTTAGCACTGCGCGATGAAGAGGCGTGTCCCCCTCGTTGTTTTGAATGCTTGGATCGGCGCCATTTTCCAGCAAGAGCCATATGATCGATCCCGCGCTCTTGTCTATAGCAATATGCAGTGCGGTATTTCCGTTAAGGTCAGAGACGTCAGGGTTAGCGCCTTAACTTAGAAGATGCTAAACTAGCATCCTGTGGCCGTGTCGAACGGCGCATGCCATTGCTGACCCTCCGCTCGTTATAAGATCCATATTCTCGTCTCTCTCAAGAAGCTGCGCGATGAATTCTTGGTAGCCATGGTCAGCAGCCCAGTGCATTAATGAGATCGTTCTCGCGTTTCTTCCCGTAAGCACACCGACAAGTTCGCGGTCGTCATTTTGAGCTGCTATCTCTAGGGCAGAGCAGCCGTCATTACCCCTCGCATTAATGTTGGCACCGGCGCTTGTCAGAGCCCTGAAGATGTCCAGCATGCCTTGTTTTGCGGCATATATTAAAGGAGTATGACCTTCTTTATCAGGCAAATCCACCACAAGCGGATGTAACAATGCGTTGTGCCCCCTCGGAGATATTAGCTCCATAATTGCTCCATTCTGCTTCAACGCGATGGCCTGGTGTAATGCTGTTTGTCCGTCTTTATTCTTGATATTTGGGTTGATTCCATGACCTAGGAGCTTCTCTATCATGTCCGGGTTGCCATCGTCTTGGGCGCCTCTGACAGCATAATCTGACAGCCTGGAGACGAGAAATATCGAAAAGCCATCGTATGATCTCCGCATCTGTTGGGCGATCAGGAGCTATAATGTGATGTCAGCCGCGAAATCAGTAATTATATTTTTGGTTGTTTACATTGTAAGTTCAACGTGGCATCACCATGAATATTACCGCCAGCGGCGACACTATGCGTGATGTCTTGACCGATATTGATGCCACGGGCCATGAAGATTATGATGAGCTAATAGCCGCGGTAATTATAGTCGTTGTGAATATGAACCGGCTATACCGAGATATTCTAGAGCTTACCAGCCTTGCTATGGGACCAAAAAGGCTTACGAAGAGACAATTTTTGAAATACAGATCGGAAACTACTGGCAAAGTAGAACAATCACATTTGTTTATCACTTTCAGAAACTCGAAATTACTAATATCTATGATGTAGTCGTTACTATCTCGACGTCCTTCATGTAGCGTATCACTCCCAGATACAGGTCTCTCATGGTCAGCACTACAATTTGGGAAATGTGCTGGTATCTATCCCTTGTAGGATGATCGTCCCCCTACAAATAACCCCATAAATTGCAGATGTAAACGAGTAAGCCGGTTTGATTTGAACCCGCACATAACACTTGATGCCGTGATATTACCTCCAACTGAGACACCATATCTGCAGGCATCGGGTCTAGCCTGCTTTAGAGGTTCTATGGCTACGCAGGTATGCTCATTATCTTCGTGTCGCTGAGCGCTCATCTGTCGCAGGGGTTCGTTCGGTGAGCCTAGAATGTCAATCCACCGCTTCAAGGTACCAACGAGTAGGATGAAATATCGGCGTCAGAGCCAAAGCGTACCATCTCCATGTGGTTTTTGTGGATACTGATAGATTCCCAAGGGTAGTGTGTAGCTGCTTGCTTGATGACAACATGCTCTCCAATACCTAAGCAGCGTGCTAATCGCTCAGCAGCCTCAGCAAAGCCTGACCCCGTCAGCGGGGTTCCCATGAAAGCGATGCCCCGAGTGCATTCGATTATTCTTCGCCGGTGTCCGGAATTGCTCATTGATGATGCATTGAGAGCCTAGAAAGTAATAATATACAGTAAGCACGGTGTACTATTGTCATGGGCGGCGCCGTGCATGCATTGTTTAGGAGTGGATGTGGAGATGACATACATCTTGACAAACGAGACCACTGAGGCTGTGAGCCACAAAAATGATAGGTCGACTCTTCTTCAGAGCGATAACCAATTAGCAAGAGTTTAGCAGTTTAGCAGGGGGTATGGTGGTAATATTGCACATATGCAACTCACAGCCTGCTCATCGGCATCCCGCGCAGTCGCGAGGGCTGCTAGAAAGGTTCCAGCATGCTCGCCGATACGGTTGCTCGACACTACGCCAGCCAGCTTTGCTGGATTGGCGTCGTAATTATATGTGAGAATCCTTGCGTTTTTTATTTTGGATGGCAGTAGGCTCTGAGGCCACGGCGTATCACATCCATGGACGGTCCATGTTCGTTCGCGGTCACCCATTAGCCCATGTATGAAGACGATGCTGAGAAAATGATCAACCTACTCTACTATCGCATTTTCTACTTCCCAGAGCATTTTCAAGCCATAATTATCGTCCTTGGCTCTAGCATGTTTAAGTAGTTTTAATAGAATCAACTTCATCTCTGCAAGACTATCCAAATTGCGATATCTGCTGTTTAGGGACGAAACAAAGAGAATTTAGGCTGAATTCAGGCAAGGTGCAGCAGTACGTCTTAATTTTCTTTTAGATTTTTTTGCACAAGTTTTATATATGCATTGGTTATCGCCACGTATTTCTTGGCATGTCATGAGACGTGGTGCCCTCAGTCAGCAATAAGCGAGCCAAACGCCTTCATCTATGTTGGAGAGTTTCATGAGTAAAATTCCGAAGGCTTATGTCTCTGATGTGAGGCTCTAGCGCACCTAGATTGGCCACAGCAAACCACTAGAAGGGCTAGGCTGAATCGATATACTTGATATGACCTCGGCCAACTCGGGCTGTGTGTCAGGGGCGCGCTGAGTACTCGTACGTACGAGTCGGCAACTCCGAGAGTCCCTCAAGAATCGGCCATAGTCAATTAAAGTGATATATGAACCCTCCACTCTGCTCTCGCATTTTAAGTTGTGAAATGGGCAACTTCATCGACAGCAGTATCATTAGTATCGTAGTTCGTACTAGAAAGGAGGTACAATGGATCGTCGACCTAACCTATCCCCAGCGATCTTCACGATCTCGAAGACAAGTAGAACCAAAGTCTTCCAAGACTTTTTAGATCGAGCTATGAGCCCCATAACAGCGATCACAGCGGTAACGGATATCTCACCTTCCAAAGAGACCGCTTCGATCTCAAATAATCTTGTAGTCGCGAACATAGCCTCTAAATCTAAGGACAAGGCGGATAAACCTAACGGCGTCTGGGTAGGAGGCGATGCAACTAAAGTTGTGGCTACGGCCGGAAGCGTTACCACTAAATCAATAGCTGTTAGTAGGTAGTGGCTGTCATATGCGCTTCATGCCTATCGGGACTGTAGTTAACGTGCTGAAGATCCCGAAGCTGCGCGTAGGCAAGCTGAGGTATAGTCTCTCGTATGTCCTTATTACTGAGACCGAGGAGCTGAAGTTTCATTAACCAGAGAAATGAGGAGGGAGAGCCGCAGCGCACTCCATAGCCTCCTTCCAGCACCACTGCTGTCTCCGTGGGCCGTCACGCAACTCAATGCATCCTTGTGGGCGAAGACCTTAAGACTAATGAGGGTATTAGTATCTAAGAGCATGCATATATGAGTTTTTATTTTCAAATTACCTCAGCAATCAGATTGGCTTATCTACATATTTCTCTCAACACCTAAATTTGTTTACGCTAGCAGATATGAGATTGATACATTTTGTTGTGTATTTGTTATGCCGTATACTGATTGAAGAATGGACTACCTCGGGGTCGGGCCTTAACAATCCCTTCTAAGTAGACAATGAAACTATCGTTAATACACAAGCATCTTCTAATACATCGGCCAACGGCCTATGTAACTATATACAGAAATACCCTTTGTTCTAGCGGTGTGATATTCTATTGCGTCTATATAATGTCAGTTCCGAACCAGAACTTATGGCATTACTTTCTACGGCAACCTCAGATTATTCCAATCAGATATCAAGCATATTTAGTATTGATCTGAGGGATGATTAGAAACGTATTGTTGTTACAAATATTGCATGCAATACTACCCACTTTGACGCATTCATCGTGAGGGGACAATGCCAGCAATGCCCCATTTGTGATCTTAAGATACGGCTCACCTCCTTATGCCTGAGATATGATCGTTTGATCATTAAAATGCGTATTGTTAACTAGAGACCTAGCCAATATTCCAGCAAATTAAACCCCTCTAACTTCAACGAGTAGCCAGAGAAACTTTACACGTTGAAGCAATGTGAAACCCTGTGTAGGCTTGATTCCAATGACCTAGATGGGGAACGCGATCTTGGACGTAAGCACATTATTGCCACCAATCACACCATCATCATCCTTTTCAAGTTAATTCATTGCCTTATAGGCATGCCCTATCTTTTTATCTGCTTCACATTCTCTACCTTTTTGCAATCTTGAGCTATCATGGCAGATGAATTGTGCGAAAGGATTGGTTTCGCTTGAGAATGTACATTCCACCTTATGGGCCACAACCCTTTCAGGGTCCAGTTCCTCCCAGTCATGGCGCCCCTCAAATGCAACGTCCACCGTCGTTTGCTGGCGCCCGAAGGATGCCAGTTGGACCGCCTCCACATCAAAGACTATGGTCATCAGTGCCGATGAGAGGTCAGCCACCCGGCCAGCTACCTCCAAGCATGCCACCGCAGGTCCCGCCGCCATTCGTAAATCGGTCAACGACGTTTGCAGGGCCATTACCTTCGCCACGGGACCACCCACGACGATATTCTATACATGGTCCTACGACATATTGCCCTGGTCTTAGCCGCAGATCTACATGTTTTGACACAAGACATAACAAGATAAACGAAGAAGAGCAAACGCGGAAAGCCCGAGGAGGTCACAGTTCATCAAGCGGTAAGGAAAAGAGGGGAAAGGAACAAGCCGAAAAGTTTAAAGAAAAGCGACGCCGCGGCAGAAACATAAACACACAAAATTCGCCGCAAACGAAGCTGGAGGAGCGACCGAAAGATGGGCCAACAATGGTCAATATCACAATCCTCCCAGAAGGTAAAACCGGACACCTAGATGAGCTTGGTAAAGGCCGTGCTTCGTTTCGAAAAGATTCTCGGAAACCGAGGCCAAGAAGTAGAGGCCGTTCCTTGCCAGATGAAAAGCGGCCGCGCCGGGCTATTACAATGACTAGATCATCATCACCGCTGCGCAATCCTTTTTTTCCCGTGGCACTGCAGATGCCGACCCCCCAGGCGCCTCCGACGCACCCACAGAGTCCTCGCTATGAGAATATACGCCCGCGAAGCCTAAATGTTGAGCACGATGTACCTGTGAGCAGTCCACACTCGCCAATAAACCCCGAATCAAGCGAATCAATCCAGAAAGTCATAAATCTATTGAGGGAAATTAATCGGAAACTTCCGCGGGAGGACACAACCCCTGCTTTCCATGGCGGAAGCGTTATTCGGAGACGGAATCTTTCCCGTGAGATTAGGACTACTGATGACTGGGACGGAGAGAGTATTCTGGATAATGTCCGCACCGGAAAGTACGTCCTTGCTTTTATACCCGCGAAGTTTTTTTCGTCATAAGACATGTTGAAACCCTAAATTCTATTCCCAAATCCTTAAGGTAGGTGGCATTGAGGGCCCTCCATAGACCTCGTCTTTAATAAGTTGTTTCTTAAATTGCTGCAGTACAATTATGAAGGCTTTCGCATTGGGGTCGGTGAGGCACAGCTGAGTCCTGTCACGGTACCATATAGTTGAGTGTAGGCGCATAGGGTCTCGTCCTGAAAACGTCGTTTCCATCTTTTGGTTAGCGTAGCGGTTTAGTATTGCACCCCTATTCTGTTCCGTGACAAGTCCCGGCTAGTTTCTGGTACTGAATATCATATAATACTAAGCCCCCGTTGGCCTGACTATTTCCATCATGTTATTAATATTACCTCTGGTTATCCAATGCGACCTCGTCCGTCTTCTTGTGGAAATACGCGTACGGACTTTAGGCGGCTTTCATAATCTCTGCACACTTCCCTTAGCAGTACTAACCCGTTCATCAAATTATGGCACCTATGGGGAGTCTTCGTGTACTACATCACTCGCTATAGGAACATAACCGTGCTTCGAACCAATAGTAATAGTCCATAGATGGTCCGTTGAACCTCATAATATTTATGCGTGTTATCGCATGTCTCATGAAGACTCTTCTTCAAGGCACGCGCCCGTACCTGTAGGCGGTCGGCATGTTCGGCCGTACGTGCGTGTAACAATGGCAGAGGAGTGTTTTCAAAGCAAATGAAGCCAATACCACAATACTGGGCCAACGCTCACGATTTCATGAATCTTCACCACCCATTTCCTGGCTTTTAGTCACATCAGTCTGCCCAACAGGAATACTGCGATGCACCCATAGTGCACGGAGCCGCCAAAAAGTCACAAACAGACCCCAAACCCAAAAGCCGAAGCCTGCTGACAAGAATATAACATGTAAGGCCAACACAATGACTGTGAAGAAGAACCATAATACACCATCCGTGATTCCTTTAGAGAGCGCTGTCATACCCCAAGCATAGATTGCAGCGAGCCAGCAACCATCCAAGAGCAATATGCCACAAACGATGGCATACAATGAAGACATGATTATTCGTTTAGAGAGAGCTTCGTTGTTGGGAATCTGAGGAGACGCTGGCGATGACATGGTTGATAAACATAGCTGACAAAATAACCAAATTATAGATAGTATGGTGAACGCCATGAAGGTTATGAGTCCAGGCTCGGGACAGACCGAGGGAAAGATGAAGCTAAAATCACGATGCGGGGAGCGTCTCATTGTTGACTTGTGCATATGACTTTGTGTCTGTACGAACAGAGAGGTCGTGCTCATTTGTATGGTGGGGGATAATTATTGCTTCTCTGGACTGCTCAGCACAGTAGTTTATGTGCCGCCGGGTATGATTAGGGTATTAATCTAAATGTAGAATATAGTGAGATGAAGTTGACTGCACATCAACATCAAGATGAGAGGTGGCATCGCAGGCGGTATGGTACCTCATAGATGCATCTGCTTCGAACTAACAATAACAATTCATCGCAACCCCTGTACGCATATAACGTAAGCATTGGGCGCTACATCACTCCGTTTTCGAAAATCAAGGAGTGCTTCAATCATGGGGCTGCCTCATCCTAATGTTTGTATACTAGCAATGCTAATTGAATTCCGCTCATAGTTAACCACAAAAAACAAACCTAAATGAAAATGTCGAGATGCTTGCTCCGGCCCCGCCAGGTCAATGCCAATATTCACATCAACAGTAGTACCATCATTCTACTCACATAAATACTGAGGAATAAGCTGAGCTAATATGACAGACAGTAACAGATAGTAAAAACAAAAATATAGTACATAGTTTTTTTTGGGAATTTGCAAAAGATTAACTTGACAAGAGTGGGACTTGAACCCACGCGGATTGCTCCATGAGGAAATCGTGCTAAGGTGCTCCTTAACCTCACGCCATAACCAACTCGGCCATCTTGCCATTGCGCACCTCAAAGTAAAGTGCTGGTTGGAGCAACAACTGCAAATTACAGTTGATAAAGCACCTTTGTATCAACGAACACCTGCGTCAAACTTTAACTTAATCATGCCTTCCGTGTACATGTGTTTCTATATACCTAATTATAGATCAGCTTTCATAAGAGTAGTACTGGCATGAGCGTCATGGGTTTCATATAATGAAGCATTCTATGTCATATTCAAGCGTGATGGTATCCCTCAGCTCGTTTAGAACGGGTACAATACCATCGCAAAGTGTTCTTGAAAAGGTGCACTTCCTGCTTCTTGCATCTATATATCCTCTTCTACATGATTGACAATCCTCCAGGCAGTTTTATTGGTATACAAGTGTTTGTGACCTCAAAACAAATGTGATTTGAAAGAGCCTCGCCTGACAGGCGAAGTCTGAGGAGGATGGTCTGTTCTATCTTCGTATGCTTGGCTGTAGTGATTATCTGAACAATGAATGATATGAGACCTGGTATATTTGGATGAATATACTGCTGTCTTCACAGGATGCTCATTACCGACTTGTTGCCTCCATCCCGTAGCACAAATCTGGATGCGAGTCACACAGAGTCGAATAATGAAGGCACATGGTCTCGCCCTAGTCGGAGAAGACCCAGATAATGCCACATCATGTTCAAATTAAAACAAAGTGGCTGCAAGAATTCGAACAAGACTTATGTAGAGTAAAATGGAATCTCAATTGCCGCCCAAGCGCGGGTTTCAACGCCTACCGAACCGCAACCGTTGCGGCTTTCTATGCGAAATGACCCACCCCTAATTGATACACGTGCCCAGCTTGAGGAGAGATCATCTGTTACCTGGGTATCATATCATGCATACTCGCCCAGTCGAGTAAACCATTCATCACCAGGTTTAAAGCCATCGATCGTTCCAATGTCATATCGATGTCGAGCTAATATCCTACACTATTATTCATTATATGTACAGTGGCTCGGGATTCGGCGCCTTCGTTCGACACGAAACATTATTTGATTTTTTTTATAGACTTTGATGATGTTCGTGAGCTTCTGGCGTCGGGCCCGCAAGGATTACCCTTTTCGTTACCTGCTAGAAGTTAGCTTTCAGATATAGTCATGCTAGGAGAATGGTAATCTTACCGCCCAGGCGGCAGCAATTGTGGCAACGACACCACCCGATATCAGCATCTGCCGGCCTCCCCGTGTACTCCTGAAGATCATGCCACTCAGCCCTCCTGCAACGATAGTATTGGCGGCATCATGTTTGCCCCTGGCGTAGCCTATCAGGGAGTTGAGACAGTTATATGTTATAGCAACAACACCGGCTGAATTGCCCAGGAAAGGACCTCTCCTTGTAATAGAGTTAAGGACTGAGTTTAGACGCAGCTTGGGCGGTTGACCGGCAGACTTTCGGAGCCCCTCCTGGAGACCCCAGGCGCCACCTATCGTTAGGGCAGTGAGATATGTGATACCGGTTCCATAACATAGATCGTCACTAAAGCCACGTGACGGTATAGCAGTATGTGCTCCAGGCAAGTCGGTGAGGGCTGAGTCTTCTAGACTTAAGTACTCAAGGTTCTCTTTATTAAGGCCGGCTAGAGGGTGGAGCTGAGAAGGATCGGCGAAAGCAGAGTTGTTCAGGAAGGCATCGACTCCTTGAGCCTCGGATGGGTCGAATGGGCTGGGATTGAATGTGTCGGTGCGCTGTGTTGTTGGTTGCGCGGGAGCGGCAGGTTGGTGTTGTGACGATGACGAAGACTTGCGTCCTGTGAGGGCGTCCCAAATCGACATTTTGAGAGAATAACAGGTGCAATGGTAAAATAGTATAAGCACAAGAAGAATTGAAAAACGAAGAGGCGCAATGCGCGGTTGGATAGGCGGGCCAGGCAGGAAAATTAGCGCAGGATATGGGCGGTTTGGACGGTTTGGACTGGCCGCGGGTGCGGGTGCGGATTTGAGGATGGTGTCGCAGTGGTTGATTTTGACGATGATGGAATCTTGCGGGCGGGTATAAAAAATGTTTCCTACTGTATCTTTCATATGCCATTAGCCCCATGTTCGCCTGTGTGGTCCGTGCCCGCGCCTCTTGACTAGTTCTATATACCTCGATATACTTGCTTGCACAGCGGAGATCTAGGTGCCTCCATGGTACTTAGCTGGTCCCCAGTACCTGTCTCTGTATGCTCGTGACATGGGTCAGTAAATGTGCCCCACACTTCCACTGACCCTTGAAAATCCCAGATGCCACCAAAAGAGCTTCTTGGCACTAGCACACTAAATCTTCGGTAATACTGGACATGAGGAGGGTATCTGATTCCCAAATACCGTACATGATGATTTGAATCCATCCGTGACATTATTGTCCTTCTTATTTCGTGCATTCTTAATGATTTGGAGATGTAGCCTGAGGCTTTCATTTTTATTTATACCTCTCTCAGCCGAGAGAAACTACCTACTTAACCGCCAAGATATACCTGTTGAGGCTATCAGTACCTGGGTGCTAAAACGCCAACAGCGATAGGACTCTCTTGAATGTTTTCACAAACTATACGTCACAATGGGATTAGATGAGCTCCCCGATGTTGGGGGGACATCCTTCAACCAGAAGGCAGCCGTTGTTTGGCTAGAACTACAGTCTGAAGACAATCAACCATCGTAAGTTTATAATAGGGTCGTAAGAGCTGTGAACCCTGTCGCCATGCTCACAGGTATAAACAGACTTGTTGAGGTTATCTTCGAGGGGCTGCTTTCAAATGCGTCGCAGCCCAAGCAATCCTCAGTTAGTGCTTGCAGCAAATTATGCGGCTTCGTGGACCACTGCTCCAAGTCCACCTCGTCCGCGCTTAGAAGCTTTGCGTTCACTGAAGCGACCAGCATGAAGCTGTTCAACTACTTCATTGACTGGAACGAGCAAGATTCTCATAGGTCTATGCGCCTTGTCCTTGATTATCTTGTTACTTCAATCATGTATAATCCTGATGTGGAAATAAGCAAGTCGATTAAGAGTGCCATTCTACGCGATACAATTTCAGTCATCACTCTACAAGCCTCTAGGCCCTCGACGAAATCTTCCATGATTGCCCTTGATCATCTCTTGCAGAAAAAGGTCGTGTACCTGGGCGAGGTTTTGCATACTTATCAACATCTTTGCGGAGACACACACGAGGCAACGTGGGATTCCTTCATCTCTCGTGTGTTCGCCTGGATGGAGTTCCAAAACGTGTGGACTGTAGCTGGTAAGCTTTTAGTCACCATCTTAACACAGCCATGGTATCGAGATGATAAATCTTCTAGACACCATCCCAATACCTGGCATAAGTTTATCTTGAATGGTGTGAAGGTCAATCCAGAGATCCTCGAGCCAGTCAAGGTGTATCTCTTCATGCCTCTGTTTAAGGCCGATGCGAGATCAACTTTAATGTATGTTAGGGAGTTGACATCAATGCAGAAGATTACAACCAATGACAGCCAAGGATGGGATGTAAATGCCATGATATGGGTTGCTCTGCTCGAGGCAGGGAAAAAGACTGGCGTCGTGGGTGAACCAGATCATGGTCAGTGAATAATTCCCTGGCGTCTGAAAATCACATGTTAAGAATAGGGCAGGTTCAAAAAAGGTTGTCGGCGTAGCTAGTCAACTGCCAACACACATCTTGGAGGGTTTGCTCTGCCATAGAGCTCATGAAGCACGCGCATCTGGGTTATCTATCCTAGTTGCATCGCCAACCACCACGAAGCCGTACGCTTTAGAGACTCTTCGGCTCTTGCAAAAATATCTTCCTTCATTCCATGAAGATGTTGATCCGAGAGTCAGATACGAAGTTTTAGGCCATTCAAGAAACATGATTCGACGCCTCCACAACTCCCTTGATACTTTGCGCAAAGAATCCAGTCGCGCGCCAAAGAAATCGAAAGACAGACAACCAGCTTCCAATGTCCCAACTCCAGTGTTAAAAACTGAACAAGTAAACCATGGTGGCAGCCAAGTGACCAACGAACAAGCTGGGACTACATCCACGGCCGAGATTCTCCGTGGTCATGAAGAATTTATCGAGTGGTATGCGAGGTTCCTCAAGGGGGAGCTAGTCCCTACTGCCCCATATCAGCGCCATATAACATCCCTGAGGGCCATGAATTATTTCCTAAAGTCAAGTCTAGCCCAAAGAGACGAAAACTCTGTCATATGTCGGCCTGCCGGCTTTCTGATTGATAGTACCTGGTTTCGATCTGTCCTTGACCTTATCATGGACCCATACGATGATGTGAGAGAGACTGCCGCATCGCTAATAGTGCATCTTCAGTCTGGAGGATCAATATCTGGACCACCTATGCGTATTAATGGTCTACATGTTACTCCAATTGAAGAACTGCAGACATTTGCTAAGAAGGCAAATGAGCTTGCGCTGAAGACTGCGCGTGCTGACCATTGCGACGGCGCGGCAAGAACTCAAGAGTTGTTGTGTCGCTGGAGTTCTGACTTTGGGGAAGCACTGAAGGTGCTGGAAACTATTTTCTCAAATCTTGAGACAAAGCTTTGTGCAGCAGAAAGCGATCTAGCAGCAGCAGTACTCCAAGCTCCTGTACATGGTGATTTCGCGTCTATTAGGTGAGCCAAGCCGACATCTTCAAACTACGGGCATGATAGTAACTAAAGGCTATAGGTACATCTGGAATTCACTTTCTGGTATTGAGATCGACCTGAACTCTCTCAAAGCCCTCGAAAAACTCCAAGATCAAGTGATTTCTTTCTGCCAACGCATTTGGCAGGCAGTTCAATACATCCTGTGTGATGATTCACCTGAGGGCCACTTACCGGAGGAGTTACAACAAGTAGAGGGATTGGACACGAAGGATCTTTTAAGCTATAGCTTCAGAGCTGTACACGAGTCAAGGTAAGAATTGTGCAAACGGTAAATCTTAACTCTGTTATAGCTGACTTTTTATAGTAATTTGATGCGTACTATAGCACAAAACGCGCGCTATGAGAAGAAGCCCGGCTATCTTGCTCCTTCTCAACGCAATTTCGAAGATATCGGCAACCTAACGTTCGAAGAGTTATCAAATTTACGGCACAGAGGAGCGTTTTCGACTGTTTCTCAAACGTTTACAGCTTGTTGTCAACTAGTTCAGACCATGTCTGACCACCAGAGCATTGGCAGCGATTTGTTAGAAAAGTGGTACGAGGTAAGTTAATTTCATTTTGAAGATAATGCTACGTGGCACTGACATTCACTAGGGGGCACTGAATTGTATATATACTCAAGGCTCAACGACTCGAAGATCGGCAGGTATACCTGCTATCATCGTGGGCATACTAGCGGCGAAGACGGATGGCCCTTCTTTCAGGATTATCATCGAGAAGCTACAGGAAATAGGAAGGCAACCTGCTTTTGTTTCGGAGACAGACGGGTCTAACCTTTCACAAGTACATGCCCTTAATTGTTTGAAAGATATCTTTAAAACATCTTTCTTAAGCCAGCGAGCCGAACCATACTTGACAGATTGCTTGCAGTTAGCCGCGTTGAGTCTCCAATCGGAAGTGTAAGTCATTCGCAATTACTGTTAGAGCGAACAGTGCTAACGAGAATAGATGGGCAATCCGAAACTGCGGTCTTCTGCTTCTACGAAGCTTAATAGACAGCCTCTTCGGTACAAACGAGACCAAGCTAGCGATGGAAGCTGGATGGGATGGTCGAACTGTTAGGATCTCGTACCATAAGTATGAAGCGCTCCCTTCGCTTCTCGTCAACCTTTTGGAGCTAGGAAAGAAGTCAACCGGAGCTACAATCGGAACACAGACAGCTGAAGCGGTATTCCCAGCACTTGATATCATTCGAAGAGCTGGGCCACCGGAAGGATACATTCAAAAGCTCTATGATGTCATCTCTTGGTATCTCGGAAGCCATATATGGCACGTGAGGGAGATCGCCGCGAGGACCATATGCTCTTTACTTCTCACACCTAGTTGGTTGCAATCGGTGGCAGCGTTAATTGATAGTTCCGGCCAAAACTCCAATAAGCTACACGGAGCGCTCTTGACTCTCAGATTTCTTCTCGAACGGCTTGTTCAAGTCATGCCAGACCAACTTTCTGGTAAGTTCTAATGGTGCGCGTATCATTGGTCATGAGTTTCCTACTAATTTCACTAGACCCGAACGTGAACGCCGTCTATGGTATTTTGACCGATTTATCGACTTCAAGCAATTGTCTAGATATATGCACAGAAGCTCAGGCTGTGTACATTGATATTCTAAACTTCATGGCAACTACCGTCAAGAAACAACTCAATAAGCAGCTCGAATCGCCAACAATAGCCAATTCCCAGCAGGGCGCCAGCAACAAACCACTAGCACTGCTAAATATAAGAAGGGGTGAAGCGATTGTACACGGAGTCATCGAAAATTCAAACGAGAAAGCAAGCGATATGCTAGACCAGGAACTGGAGATCGCGCTAGCCACTGACATCAATGTCGCATGTGCAATGCTTGAGGCTATATCACGTAATGACTTAACAGAGACGGAAGCGGCTTATACACGTCTCGTCACTACATATTTCAACGTATGTTTCGCTACGAAAGCACCCGAGCCACGAACAGTAGCATTAGAAGCTCTTTCGACACTCATAGACAGAATTTTGAGCTCGTCTTCGGCTGATAAAATACTGACTATTGTCCCGCCCGAGGAGATAATGCTGGCTCTATGGGCGGATCTTCACCATGACTATATTAACCCAGCCCTTGCAGACGCTATCATACGTATCAGCGGGCCACTCCTCGCTATCTCTCTTATTAGGGCTGATCAACACATTGATGAAAGCTTTGCGCAACGGCTAGCCAGCTGGGCAGCTCTGGTGAGCGACGCTGGGATGGCATACAGAGTGAGTCCAAACAGACATTCTCAAGATACGTAGAAAGGTTGAAATTAACATCGCTATAGACTTTCGATACTCGTATAGCTGCCGTTGCAGCTATCAACTCCTTATCTTATATCGTGAGATTTTCTAAAGAAGACCCTGAGACGAATGTCTCCGGAATGTCTCCTGCTCACTTACCTTGGATTCTGGCACTTTACGACGCGCTCACAGATGATGATGTAGAGGTCCGGGAAGCTGCCGCCGAAGCCGCCAGCCCACTTCTGGGTTCGCCGCTCGTGCCAGCTGAGGCCGGCGCCCGACTCTTGCGCTGGCTTGCCGAGCACTTTGGACATGAGCCTGACTTCTTGATGCACGTCGCAGGGCGTATGGTGGGACATAACTTCGGCTGTACATCTTTCGTCACTCCGCGCGCTCCAACAGGGAGCTCAACTGAGGTTAATGGCGTCAGCTGGGTATCGGCAAAAGAGCAGCTCACAGAGGCGATGCGGTTCGACGACGCGTTGTTTGTCATCGAGGAGCATAACCAATATATCGACGAGGTGCGAGAGGCAACAAGGTGGACTGATGTGTTCTTAACGTCGAGTTCATACGGAGCCAAGGAAGCCTTTAGTGATGCAAGCAAAGCTCTCGGAGAATGGACGCTCGAGAGTCTGCGCACACTGATCGAAATTGCTCAATCTGAATCCGCCGCAGGTGGCGATGGGCCCTTAGGATGGACATCGAAACCCCAGGTGTTTGCGATCTGCGCGCGGATCTTGCTCTGTGCTTCTGCGCTTGCGAAAGTAAAAAACACACAAACTAAAGTCGATGGCCAAGAGCCAAACGAGGGTCAGGGAGATGAAGGGAAGCTATACGAGAATGTAGCAGAAGAACTCGACAGGTTCTGCCAGCTGGGCCGCAGTGATCAGACAAGACTCCATGGGTTACTGTTAAGTATGTGCGAAATAGGAGAATACCGGTAGAATAGAATAAAATTGTCATCTGTTACTGTGAAATTCAACTCTTGTGCTAATCTGTGCCCTCGTGCGCGCCGTGAATTATCAAACTGCAGTTGGTTGGTTCGAACCATTTTCTATATTTAATCATTTGCGGATTTCAAGCAATATGTCTCGTGTTGTATGTAGATTTCAAGGGGGAACATGCTAATTGTTCCATTTTTTATTCTTAAAGAACGCAAGTGATGATATCCGGCGGCTTGAAGTTAAATACGTCCGATGATGCGATGCGGGGCGCGTTCTTTAGCGGCAGCCTCCCCCGGACCGGAATTCGGATCGCTAAGTACGTGTACCTAGCTACCTATGTACTACCTATAGAACCTTAGGTACCTTGGTGCACTATGAAGTACATGTGGTAGGGTGCCAGCGCAGGCGTACATGTATGTACTAAGGATGTAAGGTACACGTGTACCAAGCTACGGGGACCTACAGGGACCTACAAGGGGGTAGGGGTCCCTGAAATTCGTCTGCCACTCCCCCAAGCTACGATAGCTGCGACAAAGCTCGCGCAACCTTGTCGTCTCATCATCCCGGCGTCACTCTTGTAGCAGTCCTCTAGAGATGAGGAACTGTATTCTCAATTTCGACTCGACGGCCACCCATGATAGGATTACCAATACACGAATTGGCCATTGGACATGTACCGCCAACATGTCTTCTCTCTCCCGACGATCCTCCTTGTCGCATCTAACTTACTATTGCCTGTCGCCATCTTGATCTTCGCCACGGGCTTCTTCCCATATAAACCCTTTTTGCCTGGCCTTGCGCAATATGAGCATCTCGAATACGGGTCACCTCCCACTGCGCCGTTCAACAAACTTATATTCATGGTCGTCGATGCGTTGCGCAGGTATATAGCCCACACGCCACCCCTGCGCGCGCGCGTGCGCCAGCATCTTGTGCGTGGCTGCGAATGTGCTGACATGTGATGCTATCCTTAGTGACTTTGTGTATTTGCAAGGCTCTGGCTTCGAATATACCCAGAGGTAAGCCAATTCCCCTCGCACAAGAGCAGTCACCGTCACCGATTTACATGCTGACACTTGTTTAGCTTGATTAACAATGGCGTTGCTATTCCTTTCACTGCTCATGCAACATCCCCCACTATCACCATGCCACGGATCAAGGCCATGACAACGGGCACGACACCCTCGTTCCTTGACGCCATTCTAAGCTTTGACGAGGCCGACACATCTTCAACACTAGCGTCACAGGATACGTGGCTTGCGCAGATGAAAGCAAAGAACACTGGAAAGTTGATCATGTACGGCGATGACACCTGGCTGAAACTCTTCCCATCAACGTTCGACAGAGCGGAGGGAACTACGAGCTTCTTTGTGTCTGATTTTACCGAGGTCGACAACAACGTGACTAGACACATTGACAACGAGATGAGAAATGATGATTGGAATACTATGGTTCTCCATTACCTCGGACTTGACCATATTGGTCACAAGACCGGTCCCCGAGGTCAACACATGATCCCGAAACAGCGCGAGATGGACGCCATAGTTCGGCGGATCTACGAAGCTATGGAATCCCATGAGCATCTACACTCCACCTTGCTTATTTTGTGTGGAGACCACGGTATGAATGATGCTGGCAACCATGGAGCATCTTCGCCTGGAGAGACTTCAGCTGCTTTAGTCTTTGCATCCCCAAAGCTGAAGGCAATCTCTGCGGACGCTAAAGCGCCAGCTGAATTCAACGAAGATTTCCAATACTACCACACTGTCGAGCAATCCGACTTGGCGCCGACACTTGCTGCTCTTCTCGGATTTCCCGTCCCTAAAAATAGCCTGGGGTCTTTTATTGTGGACTTTTTACCCCTCTGGCCAGCATGTAAGTTTGGAGAGAGTTCGTAGGCTATTCCTGGCTAATACGACTTATCAGTTCATGACAGACTACAGATCCTTAAACGTAATGCCAGGCAGATCCTCGCTATCGTCACTGCTACTTTGGGGGGGCCGTCGCTTGAAAGTGTCATGAGCGAACAGGATTGCCTTCATCCGAGTTCCTCTGCCGCTGAACTAGTTTGCGAGTGGCGCAGAATTGGCGAGGTTGCCGAACCGTCCACTGCAGAGGGTACTGAGCAACAACATCGGATTCAGGATTTATCAAGAGTTAGTTCTCTATAAGTCCTTTCGTTAGTTAGATTTTGAAGACCTACTTACACATTTCACAATATAGTGGCTTTCTAATGCACAAAGCTTGATGAGCGGGATGGCAAGCAATTACGATGTGGATAAACTGACCTTAGGCGGGATTATCACAGTGGCTGCTGTATCTGGCGCTACAGTCGCTGCACTTTTTTCGGATAACTCGGCCGTCCGCGATTTCGTTCCCCTGGCTTTAATCACGGTACTTTATGGCGTAATGATGTTTGCCAGCAGCTATGTTGAAGAAGAGCAGCATTTCTGGTATTGGACCACGACTGCATGGCTATTCTATCTCGTTGTCAACAGGTAACGCTCTCCAAATCCATATCCGTATCACGATGATTCCTGACTTCACCACAGAGCATCAAGTTCAGCTCGCAAATTCTTCCTCACGACGTTCCTATGCCTTGGGATGATGAAACTTATGCGTAGCTGGAATCAAACCGGCCAAAAATTTGCTGGCGAGCCTGATATTGTTACTGAATTCCTCTCGCCAAACCCAACTCTCCTTTGGGCTCTGGTGTGGTCGACATACTTGGTAGTTAGCCGACACCTTCTGAATCACATTGATGGTATTCCTACAGTAATTTCAGGCTCGGTCGTGGCTGGAGTAGTAACATCGGCCGTAGCTTTTAAACTCACATTTACGAAGCAGGATTCTCCTGAAATTGTAGTTGGATTCGCAAGGTTTTTTGCTGACCTCTTCGACGAGCCGTCCCTTGTGACGCAAGCTCGCGCCGTGTTCATGGGCATTGGACTGGTTGCTCTCTATCCGCTCTACCTATTGTTCTTCCAACCTAACAAATCAGCCAAAATACAGGGTAAGCACTGATTACAACAATCGAGAACCTCAGGTATACTGACATTGTGATAGCCATGCACGTGCTGCACCATCTATACACGCTTTTCGCGCTGACTCAGTCTCGAGCGACCAACGTCCCGCTATTTCTGCTTTTCTATGGAATATATTTCTTCTTGGACAACCTGAACCTAAACCCCGTCGAAGTGACTACTTCCTCACTACTCCTACAGTTCACCTCCTTCTTCGCCATGGGCGGCTCCAACGCTTTCACCGGCATCGACTTATCCAGCGCATACAACGGCGTCAGCAACTTCAACGTCATCATCGTGGGCGTGCTAACGTTCGTTAGTAACTGGGCCGGTCCGGTGTGGTGGGTATCAGCGTCGAACTTGCTGCTCTCGTCAAGCGAACGGAGAGCTTCTGAAAACGACTCCCGCAAAACGAAGGATGTGAGAAAGAGAAATACATTTACGCTGCACGCGTCTCTCTTGACGCTGTACGCGGCGGCGAGCTTGGCGTCTGTTATGGCGGCTTGCACGGCGCTGAGGACGCATCTGTTCATCTGGACTGTCTTCTCGCCGAAGTATCTGTATAGTATGGCGTGGACTCTGGGACAGCATCTTGGTGTTAATATCGGCATTGGGGGCTTGTTGTATTGGCTGGGACGAACATCGTGATGTTAGCCTTAGTTGCCTTTAGTATTTAGATAAATTCATTAACTCCTGATGCGCGAGCACAGGTTCCCAATCATGCGTTACTATGTCTGTCTGGCTTTTATCACGTATGGTGTTATATGTAGATGTTGTCCACGTGGTCATATTTCCGAAAGGATATGCCAACCATCTACCACCACCATACGATTTGACCAGCTATTAGAGGTGGGTGGAAGGTTGGTGTAGACGTTGCATTTACCAGCGGCCATGAGGCGAAGTATGTATCCCCGAATTCGTCCTGTATACTCCGGTACACAGCATCCGCATCCCTACTCTACAGGCACACATGGTACCCGGGTTTTAAGCGGCTTACTCGTAGATCGGCGCTTTCTCTTACTCTCCCCTCCTCGTTATTTTTTTTTAATCATGTACCAAAGTTTTCGGTCTTTTTAGATTACGTGCTAACCTCGTAAATTCAAGCTGTCGTTGGATATACATGTAATAACAGAAAAATACGTTAGTCTAGCTAAACAGGTACCATCTCTTTGGCCTCACAGAATCCCTCCACCCCGTCCCCCCGGTTTCAGAGGGTTCGTGCCTGGGCTCTCATACCAACAAAACATGTCGGGATGTTCAGTTCCTATGCTGTGATTTCCAGCGACGCTAGTTCCTGCATCCATATCTCCAAGCTAAGTGAACCCTCCCCGTTTTGAAAGATTCTGAAAGCAGTAAGTATGCCCCTGATGATGTCAATCATGACCCAGAGTGTTCCTAAAAGCTTGAACGACTCTCTCTCGGCCGCCCCACACTGCCCTTGATCTTGAAGACAATCACCGAGGGAGATCATGCTTTTCAGGGTACGCTGATATATTTTATCGAGTGCCACTTGTATTTTATCGAATCCCACTTGTATTTTATCGAGTACCACATGCATTTCGTCGAGTACCACTTTTCTTTTGTCGACTACCACTTCCCATTTTTCTAGTACATGTTGGCAAATTCTCCCGGCTTCTTTGTACCTTCCTTGACAATTGAGAACGTACGCAAGCTTCTTCATGCTACTAAGTGTGATGGGGTGTTCTTCGCTTGGTATTCTATTATATCCCTCGAGTGCATGCTGGCACAATATTCCTGCCTCTCGGTGATTCCCTAGTCTCTGAAGAACAAATGAAAGGTGGCTCATAATATTCAGTCTAGTGGGATGGTCATTTCCGAGCATTTTTCCCAGTTCTAATGTCGCCCGAAATGAATATTCAGCATGTCCGTAATCTCCTATAGCCATGTAGCTTTCAGAAATGTTGAAAAAGAGATCAATGAATCCCACACAAACTTCGTTGCCAGCCTTGGGCTTAAAAGACTCTAAGAGCGTTCTTGCGTGCTCGAAGTACGTAGCCCAGGTCTCTATGTTCTCATACACAGGATATGGGTATTCCTCAGTAAGACGCTGGAGAGCTTTAATAGCCCATCTGTCCCACTCTCCTGTTTCTTTCAACCAGTTCTGCATAGCAAGTCGAACAAGCCGATGAATATCGAAGGAATCAGGATTTTCTCGTTCTAGGATGAAGGAATACGCATAAAGTAACCCAACCGCTTCGGCCATATTGATTTTCGATGTGATCGGCAAGAGGGACAGAGGAATATTCTTCTCTGCTAACAAGCATATGAATTTGAGATAGTCTGCTGCTTGTGGGTTGCGTTGTGAGATGTGCTCAAATGAGATCAACCACGTCGTGGCAATAGGATTTAGGGTATGTGCATGACCTTGATACCGGTGGCGATCTTCGAATCGTCTACTAAGCAGGTCGACCATATTGGCATTGCTCGATTCGCAGAATTCCAGATATTGCGAAAGGGTGACATTACTATTTAACGCCATGTATGCCGATGCTTGCTTGATAGCTAGGGGAAGGTTGGCTAAGAAGTGAAGTAGACGTTTTGAACTCTCCGAGTCTCCTATCTGACTCTCTTTGAGACCAGTATGTAGCAGCCTGGTAGCTTCATCGTCGTTCATCTCAGGCACGGAAATCTTGTTTCCTTGCGATACATCAAGTCTGACAGCCAGCCCGTCATCCCGTGTTGTGAAAAGAACTGATCCTTTAGGACTAAAAGGGAGGTAGTTAAACAAGTTCGCCTTAGTGAACAGCATGTCCGTGTCATCAGCATTATCAATGATCAAAAGCCAGCTCCCGGTTCTTGCATCGCTTAAAGCGGATTTAACATGCTGTTTCGCGTCCTTTTTTTCGTTACAAGTACTGGAGAGTTGGTGCATCTTTCCGATCTCGTGGTACGCCATCTCAAAGCTAGTCAAGTCTACGGCCGGCACCCAATACACAGAACAATCTGGGTATCTGTCACGGACCTGGTATGCGACTTCCAGCGCGATCTGGGTCTTTCCGATACCACCGAGGCCTTCAAGAGCAATGCGTTGGCAGTCGTCCTTGTTGGCACTAGGCGGGACTTTCACAAGAAGTTGCTCCAAAATAACGGCGCGTCCAATGAAGTTATCATTACGTCCGAATGGAACCATGAAATGTCGTTCTCGAAGGGCTTCGGATATGTTAGGATAGTCTTTTCAGGATATGTGCTGCTTAATACTGACTGAGTTTCCGTCGCGCCATTATACTCTTCCCGTTGATACACATATTATAAAGCTCATTTGATACTGTCAAGTATGAACGGTCATCTGGTCCTGAGAACTTGTTCAACTTGAAGTGATCCGTATGCAAGTGTCTTCGTTCACAGCCAGCAATATGAGCGGACTCCTCTTCTACGACCTATATCACAATTAGATATTTACCAATTTGTGATTGGCGCCAAAAGATACATACCCTAGCTCGAGTCAACCCAGTAATTCCAATCTTCTTCCCGAAGTCTGAACCGTAGAGTTCGAAACAGCATGTAATGGGTATATCTAGCCTGTTCCGCAGTTGACAGAAAGCATGTACCTCATCTGTTAAGTTCCGGCCGTCTTGCTCTAAGTCGGTGATTATACCGTCATGAGACCCCATAGGGCCCATCAACCAAGCAACCTTTTTAGCAAGACTTTGCATCTTCGTGCCTCTAAAGGGGGTCCCAAGCGGCATGAACCCAATGGTGGATTCTGGAATATATTTGAGGGATTCAGTGCGGTCGGCGTACAGCAAACCCTGTCAGGCGTGTAAGCATCAGTTTGATCTAATTGTGGTAGTTCAAAGATGCTCTTGAGAGTCAACTCACATATAATATGACCAATCCGCCAAGGCTATGTGCGACGAATATCATGGGTCGTTCTGGGACGTCAGTACGGAAATGGTGCAGACTCCTCATCAACTCCTCACCGCAGAGCTTCAAACGGGTCCTGGGAGCATTAAGATGCCATCTCGACTCATAATTATAAGCTATAATCCGCGCATGGGGAATTACACGAGGAAGCATGTCGGCATCTTTGAGCCAGTGGACCAGTGGTCTGGGGCCATTCTTATCCTGCCAGGTCCATGACCAATCCACATTTGACCCGAGGCCATGAATAGCGATAATGCTAAAATGGAAGTCAGAACTACGAAGTTTGGGAGACCTAGGGGAGCTTACTCGACTTCAATCTCACTACCAACGTGCTGATTTGGACTAGGGTATAGGACCTCCAGAGGCGCTCGGTTGGTTGAGCTCTGACTAGGACTCAGAAGAGCACTCTCACAACCATACTACTGGGACTACTGACTTTCATGCTGTCGCGAGCACTTTCAGTACTCGTGTCTTCCTGTCGTGGGCCTTGTGCAGCTCTGGCCAAAAGGCTGCGTACGTGTTGAATTGGGCGAGACATGGCGCTACCTTATGCGGCCGGCAAGGGATTTGAGGAATTACTTCTAGCCGGCGACTGTCGCAACGAGGTAGCTTCTCCTCATTTCGTTGTATGACGACCTAACACGAGTGGCGGGAGAAGATAAATGCTGATGTCGTCGATAACATGCATTTTGGGGGATAGGCTGACAAGGTCGCCTAACAGAGACTCATCACCAATCATCTGCCAGGTCCCTCATTCTATGGCGCAAGCATCGGGATGACTGCTACCTAGGTCTAGGCGTCTTAGAGTGCCGTAACCGCAGAAGCCACGAATGAGACGATACTTTGTACACCGACAACGACCTGCAGTGCAACTCCACTTTGTGTCTTGCTGGCAGGCAGGCTGCGTCAGTAGGAACCATTGCGAAGTCTCCATCTTCGCTCGCGAGATAAAAGCCCACATGTGAAATAGCAAAGGCATAAATGAGGGGCGTTCGTATCTTTACATATACAGCCCATCATTACTTTGCCTTGGAGGTGGGCAAGCGACTTCAAGATCCCGTACAAGGCCGCGTCGTTGGCCCTCTGGCATGGAAAGGAAGGCATGTCGAATAAGACTGATTGTAGGTAGGTACGCAGTGGCAGTACCGTACCTGCCTGGATGCCTTTTGATAGAATGGCGTTGTCGCTGTTGACCTTATCACAAAATATGTACATGGTACTCTGTACACATACCTACCTAGGTACCCAGTAGAATATTCACATTTTAGGTCCCGAGCATTCCACGTCCGAGCCACAGGGAATGCGACAAATCATGAGGTGATTTTGGCCAAAGAGTGACGATGACAAGGGTCGCCGTTATCTCCACACACTTTCTCCCACGTACCAGAACGTACCATCAAGGACGCAAGGACTTATCTACATGTACATGTATAGCACACGGCTCTGGCCGTAGCCTCGTGCACTACCTATACTCGTTATAACCTGCCGTAGTCCCTACAAGAGCTTGTCCAAGAGCTTTAATGACTTGCATGTTGGACTAATCTAGGGTCCTACGGAGTCCCTACTATGTACTACGTAGTTCAAATCAGAGGTGAAATGACTAATCCCTGCGCAGAGAAAGACTTGGTAAATACGCAAGTGATCTTAGCAGGGTCACAGATTGAAGGCACCACCAGACCCTAGCACATGGCCACTTCGCTCTAGCTGATTCGTTGCCCTATAATCACGCCAACAACAGCAGGTAGCGGCAATACCTACCTCGCTATCTGCTCAAGTACAGTACAGTACATGGTAGGGAGTGCACGGAGTATGTACGTAGGTAGAACCTCGAGGTTCGTGTTATCTTGCATGGTGGTTTGTGGTGCGATCGACGTACATTACCGACCATTCTGCGAACATCGAATCACTCGACAACATGCAAGTCTCGACAAGATCCGAGTCTTTGACCTTCATTCTTAATTTCTTACCACTTAGTACTGTATAATACCCAGGTAGGTGGTGTCACCGTGCGGCGCTCACTGACCATCGCTAGTGCATGTCACTAGCTGACCAGTGTAGGTACCTGACTAATACATAGTCTGTACATAGGTAGTGCAGTACCGGTAGGCTGACTTTGACAGGGGTAAGTATACTTACTTACCTCCAATTCCCATCCCACAGCCTTCATTTGATTCATTATTTCCCTCCTTCTCTTTTGCCGCCTTGCCGATTCTTTGCATTGCATAGCATAGCATAGCAGATTTTACTCGCGTACGCATCATGCCAGCCAGTCCCCGAACTTGACGATAGTTCTGCCGATTGCCAAGAGTCCCGCAGCTAGTCCGTCGAGTGTCATCATCGTCATCTCCGATATCCCTGTCGGGGCCGTCCTACTACCGCGCGCGCGACTGCACGCCTACCTCTATGTGTCTCGTTGCGCCCATCGCAAACCACCCGCGCATGTATGGGCATATCTACTATTGAAGAACCATGTGGCGGCGCGCATACTTGCTCCTGATACTGGTGCGGTTATGGTTCGCTTTGTCGTCGAGCTACCTTCACCCCGATGAGAATTTCCAAGGCCCAGAGGTTATCGCTGGTATGTCACCTTCTAAAATCGTGTACTGCGCTGCCTTGGCCTACGTCGCAGTAGTCCTCATAGTATCCACTGCGCGCCTCATGTTATATACCTAATGAGCTCAACTAACACAGCCTTGCGCGCGACTTGCCAGGCCAGATATTCAAGTACCCCGTCCGATTGACCTGGGAATTCACGAGCGATCACCCTATCCGAAGCGTCTTTCCGCTATGGCCCGTCTATGGACTGCCTATGCTCCTTCTGCGATGGCTGTGGATTGGTAACGGCCAAGACGGCGAGATCCCCCCGATCGCTGTCTTCTGGACGCTGCGCGTGTTGATGTTCATCCTCAGCTTCGTGCTAGAAGACTGGGCGATACATGAGCTCGTACCTTCGCGGCGACATCGCCAGGTCGCCGTTTTGCTGGTCGCCTCGTCTTACGTGACTTGGACATTTCAAACACACACCTTCTCCAACTCAGTCGAGACACTTGTGGTTTTATGGAGTTTGGTTTTGATCGAGCGCATCCTGGAAACTGCTGTGAGTCCTCTTTCGACCTAGGTTGTTCTTTGGCTGGCGCTAATTCATGCTTGTAGCAATCATCTTCCCCGTTGGCATCGGCCATTCTTGGCATGGTCGCGGTCTTTGGCGTTTTCAACAGGATCACATTTCCTGCTTTTCTACTAATCCCTGGATTTCGCTTGATACCCCATTTTATTAATAAGTATGCACTCACGAGTCTTAACATAACGTTCGCTGCTAACCATGGCACCGTATTCCAGACCTTTATCACTTGTCATTATGACAACTTCAGCCTTGTTTGCGCTTTTGATAGCCGTCTCACTTGACACGTCGTTTTACACTCCGCACTCTATTTCCTGGTTGGATCTTTATCGGCACCCTGTTATCACGCCGTGGAACAACTTACAATACAATATCTCGCCTTCCAATCTCGCGCAACATGGAGTTCATCCTTGGTATCAGCACTTATTAGTTAATCTACCAATGCTTATTGGGCCAGCTGTAGTACTTTTGACACAACCACATTTGTCTTTACGATTTTATTCGGCGATTTCAGGCGTCCTAGTGTTATCAATATTCCAACACCAAGAGGCCCGGTTTCTACTACCGACCATCCCACTGCTGTTATCATCAATTCGGATGCCGACAAAAAATTCATTACTGAAAGCATGGATAGGCGCGTGGATTGTTTTCAACTTGGCACTAGGCCTGTTGATGGGAGTATATCATCAAGGTGGAATAGTACCTGCCCAAGTCTTCCTGAGTAAGCAGCCAGATGCAACACAAGCTGTCTGGTGGAAGACATATATGCCTCCAATATGGCTGTTAAACGGCAAGAATGAGGTTCTCCATACCGAGGACGTGGCAGGTATGGCAGGCAGCACACTGCTGGAAGAGCTTGAGCGGATAGCGACGTGCGATACGCCGGCTGATCGACGCAACCACGAATATCTCAAAGAGAAAAACGGCACATATTTAATCGCGCCGCTCTCGACAACGTGGCTAGACCCTTACCTAGAGAATAAGGGGCTGGACGGTCTACGGTTTAGGGAGGTTTGGAGGTATAGAAAACACCTCAACCTTGATGACCTGGACTGGGCTGAGGATGGCGTTTGGAATACGCTAAAGAGAGTCATAGGGAGGCGGGGATTAGTGGCTTGGAGAGTAACCAAAAGCTGCGGTCGACCCTGAAAATAATAAATCAAGAGTAATAAAAATTCCAAAATTATCAAACGAGAAATCGTACATGAACCTATTCAAGCATGTGTGATACGCATACTTCTTTCGAAGCCACTTCGTAGAGCCTAGCCCAGGTACAAACCCCACATCTTCTGGGGTGACTTTCCCTATCGATGTCATCCCGAGCAATCTGATTGGATCAGTATCTAGATCAATTCCATCCTTGTCAGAAGGAAAATGGATTGACCGACTGGATTGACATCTTTCGATTGTCGTCTTCTTTTATTGAAACCACCTGAGCGGACGCCGACATCCTTCGTGTCGCTCACATCATACGCTCAGCCTCACATTCGGAATCTACTTCTTTATAACAACCTCTCTATCCCCGCCGACCGAAGAACATCAATCCACAACATTCAAGATGGGCGGGCTGAACCTTGAAGTGTTCAAGGTACGACTCTTTTCCCCCCCCTCCCAATGAACCCGCTCTCTCTGCAACCCCAGTATACCCTTCCGCATTCAACACGGGTAGAAGTAAAAAAAAATAAAAATCACATTTTATAACAACGACAGAATTGACGAGAAATGAGGACAGTTCGGCATGTACGTCATGTTCCCGATCGGCATCATGTTCTACTTCGGGACGAATCTCGACGAGCGCTTCGCCGTGCCCGACTTCTGGCCCAAGCCCGAGCAGGCCAACCGCGTGCCCCTCGAGAAGGACGAGATCCACGCCGAGCTGCAGCGCCTGCGCGCCCGGCGGCTGTACCTGCGGGACCGGAGGCTCGAGACCGAGGCCGCGCAGCGCGCGAGGGACGAGGCGAATAATGGGAATGGGGAGGCGTGAATCGGGCTTTTTAAGATGGGATGGCAGGGAAAGAGAATTGGTGGGGATTTGTGCTGCGTTGGTCGTACTTGAGGGATGAATTTGCGCCTGCGATTTGATTGGCGAGAGGGGATTGGGTTCTTCCCTTTATTCCACGGGATATATGAGATGGAAACAGGACGAGGAAGCAGAAGCGAGCAACACATATCTTCGAAAATACCCTCACTGCATCGACCGCCCATCCATTGTACGACTTATCTGCGAATTGACTACAGGCGTTCAGGATGTGACGGGAAAAAGGTCATCAATGATCCCCTCATGGAAAGGGGAGATCATAGTACATATAGCGCGGGGCCAAAATTGTATATATACAAGAGTTCATATCTCCATTTCGTACCAATCTAATGTACAATACCAAAATAATCACACGCACGCACGCAACGCAACGCAACGCAACTCCATCACGAATCAAGCGCCTCCTCAACAGCGCTCCACACCTCCTCCGAGACATCGCCTCTCTCGGCATTGGTATACACGGCCTGCACGTCGGGGTATTCCCGGATCGCAGCCAGGAGCTTCGCCAGCGTCGTCGCGGCCTCGGGATCGTCGACGCGTGCTTTATCGGAGGCGCACGACCAGATGATGTCCGAGCTCAGGATGCGCAGTCCCGACGTCCTTGCGAAATCCTGCGCGACCTTCTGCGTCATATTCGGCTGCGTCCACAGCACGACATTCCCCTCACCATCAGCCTCGACGTCTTCCGCACCAGCCTCTAATGCCTGCATCATGAGATCGTCGAAATCCGCCTTCTCTCGTTCCATCTTGATAGCAGGATTCGCGCCGTCGGGATCATCATCGCCGCGTCCCAGGACGGCGCGCCCTTGCCTCGTGAACAGGAACGCCGTCGGCGTCACTGTCGCGCCGAGCTTCTTGACCATGGGCCGCAGGTCCTTGAGCGAGCGCTGCTTGTTGTCCGACTCGATGTCGATGACCATGGCCACCGGCGCCATCATGACCTCGAGCGTGGCCGTCTCGAGGCCCGCGCCCGTCTCCGTCTTGCCCTGGCCTCGCGCAATGGCTATGTCGATCCCGGCTTTGGGCATGCCCACTGTTCAAACCCCGTAGTTTAGTTTTTGCCGTCTCTTTAGGGAATTTTTTTTTTTTTTTTTTTTTTTTTTTTTTTTTTTAAATTACATGTCTTTATAGCGATCCATAGTTTCGTCGTACGTCGGCCATATTAAGGGTTTACTGGTATTATGCAAACGGAAAAAAAGTATTTAAATACCTTTCTTAGCTTGTGATATGATCGATGCGAGCTGCGGGTTCATATTCGGGTCCGGACCGTACACTAAGACACGCAGAAGAGACAGCTAGTTAGCCCGGGTATCATTACATCCCAAATGTGAAACCAAAGGTAGTAGAAGGAAGGGGATACCAACTTTTCGAAAGCACGGTCAATTGCTTCGCGAAGCCGCTGCGCTGCGTATTCTTCTTCTGGTCGGCGGCCGCCTTATCATGCTTGATCTTGGACCACTTGCTGTGGCCGCTCGCGAGGATCGCGTTCGCGGCGAAGGAACGTCGGCATTGGGCGCATATTGTCTTGGTAGATCTTATTATTGGGCTCCGTGACGGTAAGGCTATCCGCGACGAGAATGGTGATATAGAGAGGAGAGAAGACATCTTTTCACGGTTCTTATATATGCATTACATAGTATATAGGTAGTTACGGATTTGGGGATTAGATAAACTACTTACATGAAAAATCCACTTAAGTTGCACGTTTGGGCATACTTAGTAACAACGCACATACTGTGTACCTAGTACATGATTGGAAGCTCTGAGGTCATTCTTGGCAGTGACGATCTGAGATCTCCTTATCTAACTAACCCCTGGCACACTATCTAGCGCGTGGTTAGAAACTACCTACATAATGTGTATCCTTCTAGATCTTAGTGGAGATTGGTGTCTTTCGAGTAGATCATTGATTTTACTGACATGGAAAGACTGGACATATAGACAACGGTAATGTGTAGGTCAAGGTGATTTTCACCCATCACCTTGTATTCAGATAGTTTCCCCTTTTAGGGGCCTCCCTTTTGTTAGAAGTACAATATACACAATGCACTGCTGGACTTCTCCACTGCATATACATAGTACAGGCTTGCTCTCGAAGCTTTGTTGCTAAGAGTTTCGAGCTGGCAAGGCTTACTGCATCGTTTTGAGAAACCCGTCGAGGTCAAAACTCTCCTCATACTGACGGTTGTCCCATAATTCCCCTAAGTCATCCGCCCACGCTTTCTTCCCTGGCGCCCGGACGTCTCCCGTCTCAACATCTACCATGTCCTCTTCACGGCCTTCGATGTTATCCTTCGCTTTGTCGGAAATGAGATTAGGCCCAGAGTCGCCACCGAAGTTGAACAGGTCGAGGATTTGATCCGTGTCCATCGTCCCCTAGATCCAACGTTAATATACCTTCCACAGAAATAGTCATGTGACCAAGCGAGAAACCACGAGTACTTACCAAACCGGCGTTTTGCTGATTCACGACCGTAGAGGCGACGTCGATTTTGAAGGCTTGTAAGCTATAATAACATTAGTCACCAGAATTGATGAGAGTCGGAATATGGCTTACCTAAGAATCTTCTCCTCTAATGTACCTCTTGTGATCAAGCGGTACACGTTGACAACTTTCTTCTGCCCTATACGATGAGCCCGGTCCATCGCTTGGAGATCGCGTTGCGGATTCCAGTCATGTTCAACGAAAATAACCGTATCAGCTCCAGTCAGATTGAGACCCAGGCCACCAACACTAGTCGTGAGGAGCAAGCAATCATATGAAGGATCTTTGTTAAAGGTATTGACAATATCTTGTCGCTTGTTAGCTTCAACAGATCCGTCAAGCCGTAGATACGAGACGGAAGGAAGCATGCGCTTCAGAACTGTATTCTGAACCATGTCCAGCATTTCCTTCATCTGACAGAAGATTAAGGCACGATGTGGCTTTATGGGTTGATAGAGAGGATCATTCGAGTCAGCACCTTCAACACCTATACCACAGTCGACCAATAGATCCTTGAGAGCCGTGAGTTTAGGAGCGTGGATAGGATCTTCTATACTGGTGCCAGATTTCTTAAGCAGATTTTGGGTATCTTCGTATAGCTTATTGCTAGGCGTCATAACAAGCGCAGGGGAGTTGCACAACTTCCGCATATATTGTAGAGCTTGGAATATGTGCTGCTTGGCGTCTTTGTCATCGCGGCCAGCTTCCTCGGTCAGCTTCTTGCCTTGTCTTTTCGTGAAGTCTTCAAAAAGCTTTCGTTGAAGGTCGCTAAGATCGCAGTAGTAGTTTTGTAAGATCTTAGGTGGGAGGTCGTCTAATACTTCTTCTTTGAGTCGTCGAAGTAAGAAAGGAAGAACCTGTTTGTGTAAAGCCTCGATGGCCAATGCGCCGGCTTCTTGCTCCTTAGACGAAGCTTTGCTAAAGCGGCTCGCAGCGATGGGCTTTGCAAAGCGGTCCAAAAAGACCTTCTCGGCACCTAAGAACCCTGGCATTAAAAAGTCGAAGAGAGACCATAACTCCAAAACATTATTCTGTATAGGCGTGCCAGTTAGTATAAGTCGATGGTTGCTTGCTAATCTCTTGACCGCAAGACTGATCTTAGCTTTAGGGTTCTTGATTAAATGGCCCTCGTCGAGAACAATGTAGTTCCAGTTTTGTTTCTCTAGGAAGTCTGTGTCATTTCTGCACACTTCATAGGAAGTAACCACAATGTCGGTTGTTGCAAACTGGGAAGCTTTTGCCCGTCGTTCCGCGGGTGGTCCAACAAATGCAGTAACACTGAGGAACGGAGCGAATGTCTTGATCTCCTGCTGCCAATGCCCAGAGAGAGTTGGGGGACAGACAATAAGTGATGGAAGTTTTCGTACTTCTGGTGCGCCCGTTCTCTTGAACTCTTCAGCCCTATTATAATGATCGCTAGCAACTATGCACAATGTCTGGAGTGTTTTGCCTAGACCCATATCGTCGCAGAGAATCCCGTGTAAGTTGTATTTATTCAGGAAATGGAGCCAATTGACTCCGTCTTGTTGGTAAGAACGCAATTCAGCATTAATAGCAACAGGGATTTTGAACGGCTCTACTTTCTTAGGATCGAGAAGCTGCGCGATGAATGTGCGCTCCCTGTCTCGTCCCCTCAGCAGCTCCTCCGACAAGCCCGGAGGATCTGGAATACCGGCTTCCAGCGGTACTAATTTAACAAGCGTGGCGAATGATGTTGTCGCGATCAGCCTGATATCGTTGTCGGAATCACTCATTCGGCCGAGAACGGGGACGATGAGGAAAATCACGTAGGGCAAGATACCATCCCCCATGACAGCTATAAGATGATATATCGCTTCAATCGCACCTTGACGAAAACTTAAATCAAGCGGATTGTTGATAGACGGCAATACTTGCTTGACTAGTGCTGTCATACCCTCAACGGTCATCACACTGCAGATGGTCGCTAGGCATTTAGCAGCCATATACCGGAAAACCGACAACTCGGAATGTAGAGCTTTAATAACAAGAGGAACTTGTTGCATGACGAAAGGATGAAGGGATTCATGTAGAGTGGGAGTCATTGTTCGGATGACCGACATTGCATCAACCACTTCTTGGCCAAACGGATTTTCCACATCCCGCACTTCAGAGGGGAGTTCGGCAGAAAAGGCCTTGGTCAGAGGAGCTTCCATGAATACTTGCAGGCTTGGCACCGTTGCAAACAGCTCAGCGCCGAAAGTTCGTGATAATATCTCGAGAGCCTCCTTGGCTCCGCGGCGAGTAATGCGAGCGCCCTTGGCTTCCCGCGCAAATTTTGCTGCATCAGCGCCATAATCAACTCTATCTTCTTCCTTAAGCATTGACAAAATGACTGTGGTTCTCGCAGCATGAACAGGGAATTCAGGAGTCTCTGCAACTTCAACGCAGGAGAATTTGACCAGATTCGAAACCACTTTGTCAGCTGGACCACGACGACCTTTCTCTGTAAATAGTTGAACCAGTCGCGCTATTGTTTCGGCAGAGCGAGTCTGGAGTTGTTGATTCTCTTCAAGCTTAATGCTATCCATGATGCCCTTAATCAGAGGGCTCGGCTTTTTAGGTAGCATCTTCATAGCTATGAGAGCGCATGCAGCAGCTGCCTTGATACGAGTATCACGTACCTCCTTAGCTGCCTTTGCTTCATCTATAGCTGTCACAGTATCCTGCCTAGCTTCGTTAAGTTGCTGAAGGGCGATCAAGCGTTGAGCGGGTGCCATAGCCTTTTTTAGTCGCTCATAGTCCTCTGTCACACACTTGTCGGCGTGAGCCAGAGAGAAAGCGCCGGGCCCAGCCTCAGCCTCGCCCTGTACCACCACTGCTAGGGCCGGTAACTTCTGCTGGGACACTTTTCCATGATCCCGGAAGATGTTCATTAGCTGTTGACATTGTGACCGAACCCGTTGTACATGGCTGACCAAGTCGCGGTACTGCGATGGGCGATCATTGTCAATGATTTTGAGCAACTCCCTGGCATACCTCGAGCTTTCGGTTTGTAATGAAGTATAGCCCCGTGCGTATTCATCAATGACTACGCATGCATTGAGCTGGGTTGATGCATATGAGGAGCTCAACCCTGGGATGAGGAGAGCATCGTAAGCTTCCAGATACTGTGATGGTACAAGAGACATGATTAGACCCATTGCGCTAGCGGCAGAAACACGGGAACGGATAAGAGTCTCCATGCCAACAAGGTCAACGTCGCCCAACATCATATGGCCGTCAAGATCATGCGAGTGTGTTGCAGGTGGCACATCCTCTAATTTTGCAGACTTCCTGCGTCTCTTCGGCGCCCTTTCACCGGCTTCCGCATCAGAAAGTTTCCGAGTGGCAACAGGGATAACCCCAGCCAGGGTGTAGGTCCCTCCGGACGGTTTCTGGAACAGAGCGCCGTTCATAGGTATAGGCTGACGAGACACGCCAATAGGATGAAGGGTGAGTTGCATGAGGGCATCGATATGGGGGGTGAATTCTGTCGCCAGATGATCAGGGTTTCGTGCCAAGCACTTGACCAAGGCTGCCCACAATTGCATTGACATCTTGAGCGTTTCCGAATCTCGTTCGACCAGAATATTCTGGAAAACTAACCTTAGAATTTTGCCATCAAGCCATCCTTGAGAGTCCTCTCCAAGGTCGACAAATGTCATCAAAGCTTTGAGCACGGCAAGACGAACAGAGGTGATAGTATGTCGGAGAAAAGGGTAAAGGCGAGGAACAAGGAGTGTAAATGAGCTCTCCTCGTCATGCTCAGCTAGGCCTTTCATGGCCTTTAGGACTTCGGGGAATCCACACAGGGTGGCCAGCAGATCCATGATTTTGCCCGTACTGGCACTCAAATCATCACCTAAGCTAGAAAGACTCTCCCAAACGATACTGATAAGCTCATTTAACGCGCCGGGTCGCAACTGAACAAACTCCTGGGCCATAGGAATCAAAGTAGCTGCGCTCACGGAACGAACATCGTCATCATTATCGCCAAGGCCCTTCATGACGGCTTGAACTACACCATCGATCATGTGGCTATGCTGGAGTAGTAGGTCCTTTCTCACGGCTACGACATACCGTAGACCAACCATACCTCCATGACAAACAGCCCAGATAGGCCGTTCAACACCAACATCTCGTTGCATAACCATCCGGAATAAAATTTGGTATATGTTATACACGGATTCTGGCGGGAGGTGTTTCAAAAAGGCGCCTAACGACTGGCCAACTGTTTCTCGAATAGGTGCAACGCTGGTATCAGAGGCATAGTCCGTAAATCGGTCAAGCATTAGTACACAGCATAGCCTACAAGCCATATCATCCAGCCATTTTCGGTTCAGTGCATCGTTTTCTGTCCTGGATTTACCTCTCAAACGTCCGGCGCCGGCACCATGAACTCGGAGAATTTCTCGTAATCCTAGCGCCGCACCATGGCGGATCTCCCATTGGGGATCGAAGATGTCGAGCTTTAGGAACTCGCATAAGCGTTCATATGGCCATTCGGAGCCTTGCAATTCCTCGTCTGCCTCGATTTCAGATTTAATCAGGACAGTGGGCCCCTTGAATTCAGATACAACTTTGGCATCTTCATTTACATCGGCAGGTCGATCAAGACTGAGATAGTCACTCTTGGCACCCTTTTTAGTGTCGCCCTCTACCATTTCGTCGAATCCATCAGAACCACCGGTAAAAGATCGCCGAATCGAAAGATCTCCGAAACCACCTTTCCCCTGAGCTGCTTTCTGTGCTTCCTTCTTCCGCTTCCGCTTAAGTGCATTTTTTTGTCTGGCACTGAGCCCCGACTCTTCAGCCGGCTGGCTAGGGCCAGAACTGGCGAAGCTGTCTTGGCGGGCTACGCCATTGTGAGGAACTGCGTCTAGTGGTGTGGAAGGGCTGGCGGACTTTTCTATAGGGATAGGAACCTCATCATCCTCAAAAGGCCTGCCCAGTAAGCCTAGGCGGCCATTTAGAGTTTTTTTTAAATGCGTCAATCGTGCCTGTGGGTCCAAAGACGCAAGGCTATAGTCAATAGAAGCGCCAGTACGCAATAATTCCCGGCCGTATTTGAGGATCATTGCTACATTGAGCAGTTCGGGCCTGAAGTATTCATCAGCCGACAATGAAGGCTCAACATCCCCTTCCTTCTTGACGAAGTGATCTTCTATCTTTGGTTCTTCTTTTGGCGCCGCTGTACGATCTTCGTCTTCATTTGGATCGTAGAAAGAAGCATTCTCAATAATACTGCCCAGCGCCTTGGCGGCTGTAGAACGAGTGTCCCAATCTTTATGCCGGAGGTACGGTACGACTCGGGAGAGAAGGTTGAAAAGTTCCTCGGGATGTTGCTTCTGCCAGTCTGCAAGCTGATTGACGGCAGTGTTTTTTATTAACTTGGTGCTACCCGTCTCCAAAATGCTTCAGAGAGTTGTTAGTTTCAATAATCTAAGCAGGATTCCCATGATTTGCGAATTTCGGCAAAGCAAGTCTCAGATATTAAGAGGAGCATAGGGGAGGGATAAAGTAATAGGCTCTGTTAGTCAACTGAACAAAGTACATACGTTACGAGACGGTCAAGCCTGAAACAGAAGACATGTTAGCGTATGCGAATTCCTGTTCAGAGCCCGCGGTACCACTCACCTGGATGCCATCTTTGCTAGTCACTCCTGGGCTGGAAGGCCAATATCCGCGGGTAGTTCATTTCATGATACTACTGTATCCAATTGCATTAGCATCTCTCCCAATTTGTAATGCTTTCTCAAAGACACCATTAAATCGAGTCTGGGTGCCTCTGGACAGATGTGGAACGAAATGACCGAGAAAGATTGTCTGATTTCCATGTGAATAATCAGAACTGTCCTACTTGCTCTATCCAGGCCGAGGAACGGAAGGCTTTAAGGTGAAAAATGCTGCACCTTATCCATCCTTGGGAAAACAGCAGTTGCGCCTTAATGAAATAGTAGGGTGTTGTAATATGTCATAGTGGGCATAGAGATACAGGAAGCTTTGAGGCAACCACGGGGTGTGAATGAGCATGTGATAGAAAGCCGCAGAGTCCCAACCTTCCCATCATGCCGAAACTCTGGAAATTGGTGCATCTCAACATATAGCCGTCGTTGTAACATGCAATTTGCTGCGACACATAGAGATAGAGTCCTAGCCCAGAGACGACTGAGCGTTTTTAGGAGGAAAGACGTTGGGGAGGTTGACAGCTGGGTCAAGAGGTGACAAGAAGTTGCATGTAAGTGGTTTTGGCAAGGGGGGGAAGATGGGGCCAGCGAATAACGATGAGAGAGAAAGAGGAAGAGAAAGAGAAAAAAAAAAGGAACAATTGAAGGGAGGAGGGTAAAGAGGGATGGAGATGACACTTACATTCCCAACAATTGCGAATTATTGTGAAGTCAAGCCGAAATCATACAAGGCCAAGGGATGGTATAATTCAATCAACCTCACATGTGCTCAGTTTGTGGTGATGATGGCACTTATTTCGTTAGCGGCGTCTGTTGTTGTGATGGTGATGTAACCCGAAGTGCCCATTGCCTAAAATGGACGGTGCTACTTGGAACAAGGGCCTGGGTATTCAGAACGAGAAGGGACCAAAAGTAGACCAAAGTAGACACGCGTGGCCGGTCCTGGGGTAGATTGGGATGGATTTAGGTATTATTATGACGATTATAGCAATAATAAACCCCTTGCAGCAAGTGGTAACAGTAGTAACAGTAGCAACAGTCGTAGCTGTGTGGTTGTGTCAATAGAGATGAAGCACATATACCACAAATACTACCTACTACTACTGCTGATTATTATTAAGAGAATAATAGTAGCTGGCTGGTGTTGTTCTTTTGGTTGCTGTGCAGGTACTACTTGAAGAGAGTTCAGTAGCAATAGTCATGCCCAGCTAGGCGCACGGTAGGTAATACGTAGTAGGTAGTAATAGGTACGATGGGATGGGTATGGATGGGTTGCGCTACTCGGCCTAAGATCCAAGGTGGTCCAAGGTGGTCCAAGGTGGTCCAAGGTGGTCCAAGGTGGTCCCAAAGGTGGTACGTGCGCACCACGAGCGAGCGAGCAGCGGCAACAGCTGGTCACAGGCGGGAGAAAGAAAAAAAGAGGAGAGGAGAGGCCGGAGGTGTGTGGTGGTTGCTGGCTGGCTGGGTTCGGCAGTGGAAACGAAATGCAGCTCGAGTATGACTTTTTGGAGTCGGCGCGCCAGTCCCTCTTGTATTTGGACTGATACTTTTATAGGTAGCTGCAAGGATGGCTAATGGGGGTCGCCGACAGGGGTGCCTGGTGGGTCCTTGCATTTTCTGCGTGTCTCGCTGGTCCGAGCTCCTGCGCTCTGCCCTGCCTTGCCTGCAGCCATTTATGCCCACCCACCGGTACCTCCCGCTCTATCTGGATATTGTACCTCTACTGTTGCACTTGCATACATTAGGTACCAAGAATTTGCTATACCTAAAGTATCTACGGTAACTAACCATACCTACCTAGGCACACGTACGTGTCTACCTACATGTATCTAACCCGCACCGGCGAGACAAGTCTCTCCTATGTACCTCCCTACACCACGCCCATCTAAATCTAACACTACATCAACTTACTCCAAGTTAAGTTAGTACCCACGCAGGTACTTTATCAGCTACTGTCTCTTCATCTTCTTTTGCCCTCGCTCTGCCTTTCCCCCCAAAACCAAAATCCCCCAAAGACCCTAAAGCCGGATGCCCGAGCACCCTGGCTTGCCGAGAACACCCTCTGTGAGAAGCTGTTTGAGTCAGGGCAGAGCACTATGTACTGGTAAGCCGTCTCCGTTTCAATCGGAAAAAGCAAAATCTTTTTAGAAAACATGTGTTTCGTCAACGCTCATGAGGATTATTATGCCTGTGTTATCGGTGTCCTACTTCTTACCTGAGAGCAAAGGCAGAGAGAGATCTGATACCCATGTAGGTATTGCATGCAGCGTAAAACGTGCCTATATATCCATAATGATGTATACGAATAGCCACCTACATTCATACTTTGTAAATGCCTAGGTAAGCCTGATATGTCGAAGCTTGCTGAGTACGGGATTCGGGATATTGACAGACAAAGTCGCGCAGCATCAATTCAGCCCGACACATTTACTTAGGTATGTACATTATTAGTCCTGCCTTAGCGTAGCCCATTGACTTCTCCGGCAGGATATTGTGGCACGCAGGTATTTTGTTACTTATTGTCTCAGTCTAGGCCACCTGTCGACTTACCTCTTACATACCTATGGAGTACACGAAGTACCTACCTTGATGTCTAACTTTTCTCTCTGTATGTTCATCATTACTTAGATTATCTTTTGCAATGTCATCTACGCCTTTACTTCGGCAGCCTTATGTGGCAGAACTATTGTTCCTCCGTTAATACCTAGACAAGATGTATAGTATATCATGGTAAGGTATCCCGTGAGACGCTTCTTCAGTAATGGTGTTGCGCCAATGGACCCGGTGCTGTAATATACCTAGGTAGGCTCCACTAAGAACTGCACACAACCTAGCAGGCTCTACTGTACTATGTAACCCGGGGGTCAGAATGTGGCTTGGCACCAAGAGCTAGGCATCGCACACAATCCGGAGGCTCTGGAAACATCAGAATCATTCCTCGACATTCGGATGCTCGTGTTTGTCTACTTGTATGAATTACGTGATACATCCCTCCGGTACTACCCGACCTCCAGCTCAGTATATTCGGGACCTAGGAGTAGTAGTAGCAGGATGCTTCAAACATCAAGTAAGCCTTGCAGGCCTACTCCGTCAGCTATCCATTAGCTACATAGATTACCAAGTGCCTACTTATGCTTGGTACAGTAGTCACCTGGGCAGCCGGATGTACGTGCATTAGATGCGGCATGATCGGCGGGGGGGCCAATTTCCAGATCAAGATCAGAAATTAACCACTGCGAGCCCAAACCTCAACCCGCTCCGCCTCAATCACGACGCTACAAGTGTCATGATGCTCATTGAATGGGGGAGAGATACATTCGATTGGCATCTCCGGCATTGGAGACCTCATATTAATTACAGAACATAGTAGCAAAAGATGAGACCATGTCATCCCAGCTACCTAGAAATGCTACCTATGTAGGTATTGTAACAGCAGCAGAGTTAGTCATCATACCTGTCATAGGCCGATCTCAGGCTGCCTATATCTCTAGTGTAGGTGCCTTGGACAAGCCCAGACCTGCATCATCATATCGCGATGCGTTACTATTAATAACCATTACCTACCGACGTGCGAGCCGAGTGTAAGAAGAAGTTTGGGGAGATGAGTATAGACAGGCACTCATTGTAGCCGCACCACATATCAACATGAGAGGATCAACATGTTTCATTCTAATGGATGATATGAGTGTCTGGTAGATACAAGCTGGAGACCAGATTGCCAATGCTATAGTTGATAAGACGGAGATGACTATGAGGTAGATGTTCTATATAGGTGGACTACACGATCATACATGGAACTGTTGAGTTGGCAGCACAGCCACAGGTGAAGAGCAGAAGACAGGGCTGACTACCTCTTACACTAGGTACCCAGGTTCAAAGCCCAGATGTGCTACCTAGTATGGAAACAGTCCACGTCAAGCCACGCTCTGTCATTGCCCGTTCCTGAATCCACTGTCCATGTTTCTTCAGCCAACCATATGCGCGCCATGGCAGCCCCGTATCTGCCCGTACCTGCCCGTACCTTAGGGACTTTCTGCACCTAAGCCGATCCAGGGTAGCTCCGCCCTGGGACGAAGTACCTAAGTGAGTGAATCGCTCCCCCACACTTACCGTCAGCTCTTCGCGCTTTGGAAACGCGTCCGCAAATACTTACGTGACAAGCCATCGCCAGGTCCATTTGTGCCTCAACTGTCGTCGCACATCGCTTCTTACCCAGTATTTGTACTTTCATGCATATCGCGACAATTCTTTGAGTACGAAAAACGCGCTGCCCGTCCGGCAGCACTTGTCGCGACCATGTATATCAAGCAGATCATCATCCAGGGCTTCAAAAGGTGGGTGCGCGGGCAGGCGACCATGATACTCGTCCAAACGACTGAGCAACCCCTTTATCATTGCGCTTTCGGCGCTAACGAAGATGCAGCTACAAGGACCAGACGGTCATGGAGCCCTTCTCACCAAAAACAAATGTCATCGTCGGTCGCAATGGTTCGGGCAAGAGCAATTTCTTTGCCGCAATTCGGTTTGTCCTCAGCGATGCCTACACACAAATGAGTCGCGAGGAGCGTCAGGCCCTACTACACGAAGGCTCCGGCTCTGCAGTCATGTCTGCCTATGTCGAGATCATATTTGACAACAGTGACGATCGATTCCATACCGGCAACAAGGAGGTTATTTTGCGCCGGACAATCGGTCTTAAGAAAGACGAATATTCCTTGGACAAGAAGGTCGTCACCAAAGTTGACGTCACGAATCTGCTAGAGACTGCAGGTTTCTCTAAATCCAACCCATACTATATCGTGCCCCAAGGCCGCGTCACCGCACTGACCAATATGAAAGAGTCCGACCGACTGAATCTACTCAAGGAAGTTGCCGGGACACAAGTCTACGAATCTCGTCGAACCGAGTCTCTCAAAATCATGACAGACACGAATAACAAGAGAGAGAAGATCGACGAGTTATTGGACTACATAAAGGAGCGGCTGAGTGAGCTAGAGGAAGAGAAGGAGGAACTCCGAGGCTATCAAGATAAAGACCGAGAGCGACGCTGCCTCGAATACGCATACCATCGCAAGGATCAAGTTGCAGTCGAAGAGGCGCTCGAGGAGCTCGAAGAATCACGCCAAGGCGGCCTTGAGGATACAGATGAGAACCGTGACGCTTACAACGCGGGCGAGAAAGTCATTGCCTCACTAGATGCTGAGATTCACAAACTTCAAAAGCAGATGGAGCTTCTGCGCATCGACCGCCGACAGCTAGAAGAAGATAGGCGTGAAAATGCAAAGGCGCGGGCGAAAGCTGAGTTAGCCGTCAAGAGCCTATCAGACAGCATGTCGGCTCAGGAACAGGCAAAGGAGGAACACGCGGCGGAATTAAACCGTGTCAAGACAACCATCTCATCCAAAGAAACTGAGCTCAAAAAGTTAATGCCGGAACTGGAAAAAAGGAAGCGGAAGGAGGCGGAGGTAAGACAGGCTCTTGATACAGCAGAAGCTGGAAGACAGCGACTCCTCACGAAGCAGACGAGAGGCACGCAATTTCGTAGCAAATCGGAACGAGATAACTGGCTTCGAAAGGAAATAGACGACCTCAACATGACCTTGGGCACACAGAAGGCAACACGTCTTGATGCTGAGGAGCAAGTTAACAATATCCAAACAACTATCCGGGAATTGGAGGAGGAAATCGAAGCTCTGCGTCAAAAGAATGGGGCCTTCGGTAGCGACCGAGCTGCCCTCGCTGAAGCGTATAACAAAACCAAGGACGTTGTTCATAAACTCCAAGAGGAGATAAAGCAGCTTCGTAAGAAAGATGATACCCTAGACAAAGAATTGCTGGACGCACAGGAGGAAAAGGTTAAGGCTGAAAATGTTCTTCGAAAGAGCATGGACTCCAACACCTGGCTAGGTTTGGAATCGATCCGCCGACTCAAACAGAAGCACGATATCCCTGGGGCTTATGGCACACTAGCAGAGCTTTTGACCGTCGATGAAGCATACCGTCTGCCTGTAGAACAGGTTGCGGGTGCCAGCTTATTTCACTACGTCGTGGATAATGATGAGACTGCCACATTCTTAGTCAAGGCTCTACAGAAGCAAGCTGGAGGTCGAATCACATTTATGCCGCTCTCAAGGTTACAGCCAAAAGCAGCAAAGCTTCCAAACGCGCAAGATGCGATACCTCTTCTCAACAAAATCAAGTACAACCCCGAATACGAACGGGCATTTCGTCAAGTTTTTGGCACTACCATTGTTTGTCGTGACCTCACTATCGGTAGCCAGTATGCGAAAAGTCATGGGGTCAATGTTGTAACTCTGGATGGCGATACGACAAATAAGCGTGGTGCCATGACTGGTGGATACATAGATCCCCGAAGTTCACGACTGGATGCTTTGCAGTCCTTGAAGGAATCGAGAGAGAAATATGATGCGTTAAGAGAAGAGGTATCTGTGCTTCAACGGGAACTAGAAAAGAAAGATCAAGAAGTCAGCCTTGCACAGGGTGAGGAGCGCAAAGCAGAGCAACAGCTTCGACAGATGGACAATAGTCATGGCCCCCTTCGCGCAGAGTTGAACACAAAGAACAGCCAAGCTGCCTTAGCAAGAGATCGGCTTGAAACAGCCATTGGACGGCGTGACCTCGTTGACAAGAATATGAAGGAATTCGGTGATATTCTACATGCTCATGAAGCAGAGCTGGCGTCAGACTTTAAGAAAGCTCTCACAGCTGCAGAGGAGCGGCAATTAGCAGAATTTGGTTCTAGAGCGCAAGAGTTTCAGAAGGAATGGAATGAGGCCACCGCCAATCGGCGAGAGCTCGAGAACCGCAAGAACAAGCTTGAGCTTGATTTACGCACCAACCTTCAACTGAAGCTCGATCAACTCACCAGCCAAGCCATTGAAGGTGCTTCTAGTGGAAGTGATGATTTAAGGGACGCAAAACGGGAGTTGAAGAAGGCGCAGAATGCAACGGCTCTCGTAGAAAGCCAGCTTCAGGAGAATGATAAGCAACTCGACTCTACAGAGTCTAAAGTGACGCATCTAGAAAAACAACGAGGTCAAAAGGAGGAGGAGCTGCAAGAGATTGCAAGGGAGATCGCCAAGCAACAAAAGAGAATTGACCGTAATATCCAGAAGAAGGCATTATTAACGGCACGAGCAGCCGAATGCGCAAAGAACATTCGCGACCTTGGTATCGTGCCTGACGATGCCTTCAAGTACGAACGTTTCGATGCTAAGACGGTAAGCTTCAACCTTCGTTCTCTTCTGACCACAGATGGCATAAAACTAACGGGAAGAACAGATCAGCAATCGTCTCAAAAAGGTGGCCGATGCTCTCAAAAAATACAAACACGTGAACAAGAAGGCTCTAGAGCAATATAATAGTTTCACGGTACAACAGGAGCAACTTATGAAGCGGCGTGAAGAACTTGACCAGTCACAGCAATCTATTGAAGAGCTTGTACAGCATCTAGATCAACGGAAAGACGAAGCGATTGAGCGCACGTTCAAACAAGTCTCGAAAGAGTTTGCCACCATCTTTGAACGGCTTGTGCCAGCTGGCCATGGTCGCCTAGTGATCCAAAGACGGACAGATAGACGTGTGGATCCAGAGGAATCGGAGGATGAGCACCGGAGGAGCGTGGAGAACTACACCGGCGTCGGTATCAGCGTCTCATTCAACTCCAAGGTGGCTGATGAGCAACAGCGTATTCAACAGCTATCTGGTGGTCAAAAAAGTGAGTGGTTTAAGGAGTGATCTGATTTACTTTCATTCGGCAATACTAACCGTTACCAGGTCTTTGTGCCCTTTGCCTGATCTTCGCCCTCCAGCAAACAGAATCCAGCCCTATGGTTATTTTCGATGAAGTCGACGCTAACCTTGATGCCCAATACCGTACTGCAGTTGCTGGACTTCTTCAATCCATCTCAGATACTGCAGGAACACAATTCATCTGCACTACTTTCCGGCCAGAAATTGTTCATGTGGCTGACAAATGCTATGGTGTCTTGTTTAGAAACAAGAACAGTACGATCAACTGCGTCAGCACAGAACAGGCCCTAGACTTTGTTGAGGGCCAAGCACCGAAATAGAAAAGGGATAGCACTTGTGCGTGTAGAACATGTTTCTTTTGGGGCGATGGAGTTGCAATGGTGGTTTGTTACCCTTTGTTGTATTATGCCATAAAGGCTCCTCGCCTAAGTGATGAAGGCAGGCAACCTTGGCTGCTTTACGACTGCATATAGCTTACGTTATTATTGATGTTTATGAGACCGTGTTACAATTGAGTACCTAGTTTTCATTCATTAATAGTATAGGATTCTATTAGAACAAAGTTTTCAAAAAAGACTCATTGTTACTATTGGTTTTGCCTAGAAGGCACGGCCTAGGATGGAAACAATAAAGGCATGAAGTCTATTGTACTAGTAACAATACATTATGCTCGCATAAGTAAGTATATTGGGTTCAGGTTTTTTAGGTTTCCCAAAACCTTGCTTCAGAAGTTACGTTTCTTGATTTCTAGGACACGACGTGTATTAATATTGAACATCACGCCGGCCCAGGACCAGTCCGTCTTCCCATCCACTTCGTTAACCACATACACATTCATCTTCGGCCATTAAACAATTGTGTCACACGTATCACCATGGGGAGGAGAACCAACAACCTATAGTAAGTCCCTCGAGCTCTTTAATATCACCCGCTCGGATTTCTATTCCTCTTCTCCTATGACGCAGTACTTACGAGTATCTAGCTCCGATATTCTGTGGCAACCGTCACCCCCGAGAGTTGATTTCCCACCGATCATCTCGCCGCCCAACGCAGCGGAAATCATCGCCTCGCTACCGCCCATGGACTTCAAGAACCCATCGAGCGCCAACGACGCCGACGCCGACGCGCACAACGCAGCCGTCCTCGCGGTCCGCGGCATCCAGACCACGGCCACGGGCATAGACCTGTACGTCCTCGCGGGCAGGGCGCTCAACAACAGCCCCATCGGCATCACCCCGAAGACGCCCTTCACGCCTTTCTACTTCTTCTTCTACGGCTCGCTGCAGATCCCCGAGGTGATCAACTGCGTCTGCGCGCTCCCGGAGGACTCCCTCGTCCTACGCACCGACGCAAGCCTCAAGGGGTGGAAAGTACGGATGTGGGGCGCCTTCCCGGCCCTCGTGCCCGCGTGCGAAGACGATGACCCTGTGAAGGGCGTGGCGTGGTTGTGCGAACACCCGGAGCAGGTCGCGAGGTTGTGCGAGTACGAGACTGATGCGTATCGCATGGCGTATTGCAGTGTCACGCTCCCGAGAGAAGATGGGGAGGGGGACGAGGTTGTCGAGGATATGCGTACCTTTGTTTCTACGCTTGAGCCGGATCAACTTGCGCCCGGCGAGTTCGATAGGGATGCGTATATGAAGCGTACAGGTTGGGGTCCTTGAGCGGCCTTTCGGGTTTGTTTTTTTTGGTTTTTTTTTCTCTTTGTGTGTTAGTTTGTAGAGGCTGAGTTCATAATGACGGGGGGTATGGGCGCTGCTTTTGACGTTTGAGTCCGGGTTCTATAGAGGGATATAGACATGGATAGCCTATGCCTAAGGTGATGAGAAATGCAGAATTAGACAGTGTGTACTTTCATAATAAGACTTATTTTTTTCTCCCAAAACTACTTCCACTCCTCTAGCGAACTGCTTGTGTTCCTCCAAGGCAAACTATTCGAAACGATAGATGACAATGAATGTGTAGGCATGATGAAATGCAGATCTATAATGTGGTATGCGCCTAGTGTTTAAACACGTAATGCAATATCTCGGTCCAGCCGAGCTATTTCTCTTGTTGATGCCCTTTTATTGTACATGCCTCTTTTTTGCAGAGAGTCTCTAGGGCCGTCCTGTCCTTTTTGTGTCCGTTGTCAAGTTCTAATGCAATGGCCACCCCTCTCATATGCCTAAGCAGTACCTATGTTGGTCGATAGATATTTCCAGCTTCCAGTCGTTGCTGTTCATATATGTTGGGCAAAAGTAAAAGGTCTTGCTAGCGCCTCTATGAGCTACTTGATTCGAGTTGCCCAGCTTTAGCTAATATGTGTCGGTCAATATACTGGGAGACCATGGTGGTTTAAAAGGAGGCAACTTACGATGACGATGTTGTCGGTGGTGCCGGCGATGGCGCGGGAGTTGGTGAAGATTCGGACTTCACGGCTGTTGAAGACCCTGACGCACTGCTTCCTTGACCTTGGGAACTCGTGCCATTGATGGCGACTGATACCGCTGCCAGGACTACAACCATTGTGAAAAAAAAGTAGGTGTTTCTTCTGAGATCGAGAATGTGAAAGAATGCAAGTAAAGCTGAAGGTGATGAGATTGTTGATGAGCTCTCTGATGTAACCTGAAGCTATCTGGGCTCATCCAATACTTTATATACATATCTCTACCTGTCGTTTATTCTGTTTTTGAGCCCATCACTATGTCTCATGATGACATGGCCAGGCTTCGACAGCAAGTCGTACGGTCAGATAAGTGACGCTGAGAGGAAGGCTAGTTCGAGCCGAGCCCTAAGCAATCACTCTTCACGATCCTACTATGTGAAGTATTACCTGAAGCAGCATTACAATGTCTTTCGCGTATAGCAACTAGTATTCTCCACAGACGTCAAATCGAATCCGGAGGGGCTAGGACTCGCTGCTTAATCCATTCTCCATCTACATAGTACTTAGTCACTCGGGTTTCAAGGGCCATAATTTGCCTAAGTGACGTTTGACGCATTGTGGCGGGGGAAATCTACACCGGCGGCACAGGTTCCCTCGCCCTAGCATGCCGACGGCCGAAGGAGATGAGGATGGTGGTGAGCAAGAATCCAATCAGACGTCCTCCCGAGCATGCGGTTGTCCCGCTATCTTTCCATGCAGCCCATGCAGCCCATGTCGATCAGATGTCCATAAGGCTGAGTCCGCGATGGCATCTCCTGAGCAGAGACCTTTTGCCGCCCCGGATTCCGTTGATTCGCTGTGGTGCCGATGGCTGAGCGGCAGTGCTAGGCCGGTTTGGGGTAGTTAGTATCAGGTATCTTGGACGCACCTTACCTAAGTTTCCCTTTTGGGGGCGACTTCCTGTTTGAGTAAATCGAAGTAGACATGTTAGGGCAAGTCACCTTTTTCTCACCACTCCCAGACTAAGAAGCTACCTTCAGCTACCTTCTTCAAAGCTAGTGTTTCAGGGGTTCAGCCCCATTATCTGTCAAACCCACCACGAATATATCGACTTAGGAATGCCTTGGCGCGGGATGGGGGACTCAACTTCCGTTATATATAGCATATACCTGCTGAGCAGGGGCCTTATCGACGTATTAATATAAAAGAGGCTTGCTTCCTTACGAAGTACGGCGTATTCAGGCACCTTAGTCAAAGAGCATAGAACCCGCTATAAAGTGTATCCGCTTATAGGGCTACCGGTAGGTTGCTGTATACTTCCTATAATCCTAGTTGTGATTCATCCGTCATAATTAGTCTCATTAGGCAATCTAGCTAAAATTACAGAGGATCAGAAACCTTATCTCGACTGCCAGAAGAAATGAGAAGAGGCTATGTAGGGCAATAATTAGTATAATTCTTCTCCGGCGCCGTAGCGGTGCAACGTTGCAATCCATTTTACGTCCCTTGCGGGATATTATTACCTATTCTATTATTATTCGAGAATGCAAAGCCTTACCGGGACAATATAGCCATCTGTACATAGCAGACGTTGTTCGCGTAAACCGTTTGGGGCTCCGTGGGTGGTGAGATTCATTCATATAGACATGCCTTGGCGGGTGACCTGATGTGTGTGACCCCACTGTTCAACATTGCTTGATATACCGTATTACCTCAGATTATCCAAACAACGTGCCGTTGAAAAAATCGAGGTAGCGCAAGAAACTATTTTCATTATTCTCAACCTTAGTACCAAATGAAAGACCATTTCCCTAGCAAATTCTGCCTTGTTTGGGGAAAGACTGCGTTACATAATGACGACGCATTGGTTGGATAATCTGAGATAGGTAATATGGTAGACAATCACTATGCATATATCATGATTGAAAGTTTGGGTCACCACAACCTACCAGTAAGAGAAGCCGCGCGTCAGAAGTAAACCTATTTAGCCACCATGCGAATACGTTTTCGTTTCCTTTGCGGCTCTTTTATAAGCTATAATGGTGTCATTTGATGTGGGATATGCCTTCTACACCTGGAGGTCAGAATGTCAGCTGGGTAGAAACGCTTGGCAGAGCTGAAACGGAAACGCTTGGTAGGGCTGAAACATATCATTGCGGCGCATCGTGCAGAGCCCTCTCTTATGAGCTGAGCTTCACAAGTTCATCCCATGTGCTAAAATGTGCCGTAAGCAAAGAGCTTGTGGCTGGAACTTAGTCATCGTTAACATGGCGCATGAGAAACAGGATTCTTGATACCGGTACGTGTGAGACAGCAATGTTTTCCCTGTGACAAACACAACACTACATAGAACTCAAGGATAGGATGATCATATTTTGGTCTGCCATCATTTGTTAACAACACAGCCTGAGAACAATACAAGCCAACAATGCAAGGCCTGAGATTGATATTCCTAGAAAACCATTGTCTTCCATTACCCAAGCATGATTCTTGGCTACCTGAATATTCGCGTATTCCTTCCGTTCTGCATTAGGTAGTATAGGCTGGAACATTTATGTAATGAATCCTCATCCACGTGGCCGCCTATAACCCCACGACATAGATCGATCGCATCTAGCATAGTACGGGCCAGAAATGAACCCCGAATCCCTTCGTCTCACCACTTCTTCCTCCCCACTTCTTCTCACCACTTCTCGTCGTATTTATATATAGCACTAATTAGAGATCACGTACCTAGCTACGTCGCGTTTGCGCAGCAAGAAATTGAGGTAACTGCTGAGCCACTCTAGACTAGGTAGGGTATATTTTTATTCTTTACACGATATCTGCACAATATCGCCTCTTGTGCTTTCTTCACTTACCTACCTACTGTAAGTGGTATACTTAGAGGAATCTCAGGGGTGTTGATCGAGGTATGACATAAGTACACCGCGTAAGTACCATCTGGCATATGTACCTACCTAGTCTGTCGCCTAACTCTACCTAGGTAGGGTCTGGTAGGGGCGGATGGAGGAGGCCACCTACAGGTTCTTATATTCTCCAAGTATCTAACTGCACGTAGTGTACTTACTCTAAGTTAGCAACGTTAATTGTACCCCTTTCCCTCCCAAGTTCACTGCCTACGTAGGTTAAACCTAATGCCTTTATTACTTTCATGCCTTATAATTACCTAAGTTAAAAATTTAACCTATAATGAACCTTCTATGATCTTTAACCTTAAGTAACCTTTACGAAAAGCGAAGATATACACAGAACTTGAAAATCAGAGAGTTTATACCTAGGTAATTTGTTTCTAGTCTCTCCAATTTAGGTAAGGCGGCGGCCAACCTAGGCGGTCTCAGATGGAGGGGTAGCATTGGTTGCATGCCAACACCCCGCTATAAAGGTCTGTTGGTCGGTCGGTCGGTTGGCAGGTACCTAGCCAGGACTAGAATATGCCAGAACAATGCCACGAGACATACATTCAACATCCCAGATTTCCCTACTTACCGGTAGTCTATATTCCCACAGAGAACTTGCTAGTCTATGAAAACTGTTATTACGAACGCTCTATTCCCTCTTATCGGTTTCTTACTAGGTTCGTCTAGCTGAAATCGAAATGCCTGTGGATTATAGCAAGTGGGTAAGTGTCGAGGCGCATCATTCCCCTGCGCTGCATCATTGATATTTCGAAACCCCGAGGCTACAAGCTATGATGCAAGGCTAATCATAATGTGTCTTCTCCTTTCACAGGACAACCTGGAGCTCAGTGATGACTCAGATATTGAGGTTCATCCAAATGTCGACAAGCGCTCCTTCATCCGCGCCAAACAGAACCAGATTCACGCCGAGCGCCAACAACGCCGACATCAGATCGAGACTCTCAAGTACGAACGCATAATCAATGATGGCTTGATAAAGCGCATCTCAGGGCTCCTAGCCGCGCTCAAAGCGAATGCTGTCGAAGCTCAAACTAACGAAGCTGAGGTGGCTTTTCGGGCCGTTATGAGCTCTGCTGGTAATCCCGAAGATGACAAAGTACCTACACCCCCTGAAGGTGTCCACAACAACGCTGGCGAGTCGCCTACGTATACCAAAATGATGGCCGTATTGCTGGACCAGGTAAATACTACGCTCAACGAGAAGAAGCCAGAAAGTCGCTACAATGCCATGGTCGAGGAGATAGAGGGCCATTTGAACAAGGTGCAAGATTTACAAAGACAATTGTTAGAAAAGTTAGCAGAACTAGAGAATGAGGAGAGACGTAAAATCACAAGCGAGAGCATCCACACAGGGTTCGACAGTTCCTACGTCGCAAAGTCTACACCGTCTACATCAGGGGAGAAGAAGGACGACAGCAAAGTTGAGCTCTTGAATCCTAACTTCTCTGCGAGCAAGCCTGGGGAGTCAAAAGGGACATCGGCAGCTGATATTGAAGATGATGACGCCGAAATTGAGGCCTCTCCCGACGCTCGCAAATTCGCGGATATCAAGGCTAGCGAATATCGGGAAAGCCATGCCTTCATCACTGCACACCCCCACATCCTGTCTGAAAAGGAGACCGATGGTATCCTCGTCATGGCTTTTGACGCACAATTGCAGAATAAAGACGATGTTGCACGAAACTACATTCACCAGGCGCTACTACTCCAATACTGCCGCTCTCTCGGCAGGGATGGCGTTTCGCTTTTCTTCAAGCGCATCACGACAAAGGGTCACCAAGCCCAAGATGTATTCTACAAAGATGTACAGGACACATATTTCCGCATCAAGGGCCGGACGTCGGAGATCAACGCACAGCGCGCTGCCGAGGGGGAGTCTGGCGATGTAGAGCAGATCCAGCTGCATGCAGTTGAACCAGGCACGGAAATCAAGATCCGGATCCCCGCCGAGAATAGTGAAGAGGAAGCCGAGAAGCATGGAAGGCAAATCTTCGAGCGCTTTGCGCCGGATATGCGAAAAGCCCTGGAGTCCGGCAGTCTAGATAAAGTAAATGAAGTTCTTGGGAAAATGAAAGTTCCAGAGGCCGAGGATGTTGTTGGTCTTTTGAGCGAGGTAGGTCTTTCCGGTATCGCTTCATCAACTCGCACATTGATTTATTAACTATCGTTGCAGGCTGGCATTCTCAGTTTAGAAGAGCAGATTATAGATGCTACGACTGACGAAGGCAAAAAGAAGGTTAAGGAGATGGAAGAGAGAGCTGCTTTGGAATCGTCGTACGCAGATGACCCCGAGTAACTGTAGCTTTCACAATGATCGATTTGGCCTCCAAGCAGCGCTGGGCGATTCGTTTCGTCCTTGTACCACTGAATGAGTGATTCACCTCTGAATATTAATAGTACATTTGAGACGCTTGGCTTGTTCGCTGTAACACCCAATCAAAACCCTAAATGAAGCATCATTGTCTCTCTCTCTCTAGTTTTGTTTGAGGGGGCTGTGTGTGGCTGTAATGTCAGACTACTGTGTAGGTACTAAGTATGTATGTGTGGCTGTCTTAGTTCTCGTGTTCCGTTCTCAAGCCATCCAACCAGCCATGGTGATTACGAGCTCTTAGCGGGTGGGATGTTGATTCATAGGTACTGTAAGAGAGAGCCTTACTTCTTCTCTAGGTAGGTATTGCAACACAGCTCTCGCTTGTAGCAAAGCACAAAATGCTCATATATGCGGCGGAAGCAGACGCGCGCTAAAGAACTATTTCATACCATCAAAGACCCTAGAAAATAAAATCCCCGAGCTTTTTGAACGCTTCTTCGATCTCATCATTAGTGATTATGATATTGTGGACCCTACCGTAGGCTGTTCAGAATATTCAAGCGCAGCTCAGGCCGTCGTCAGCCTCCTTTGTATACTTTCCTCGCTTTCTGTCCCAACGTCCCCTCAGCCGCGCCTCCAACTCTTCTACCTATGCTGGGCGGCTTGATGAAGACGTGTCGAAGCCAGTGCGCGCTCGCATTTGCTTGACGCCTGGGTGCGCATCGAAGAGCTTCTGCACCAGAGTTCCTTTGCCGACACCTGAAGGACCTGATATTACAATAGGCCGGCGATTATTTGGTGAGCTTTCAGCCGCAGTTCGATTTAGACTTTTGTCTTCAGGAGCCATTACTCAAGGTAGAGTCTACTGAAATGGTTGCTTGTCTGCTTTCTTGCCGATATGCACAGTTGGAGTGTAGTGTCGTGTACCCCTCATAACCCCTCACATTGAAGGTTCGCAAAGTCTCACGATGCATGTTGGTTCAGCTTGTTCGGCTCACAGTACTATGTACAGTGCAATATCACAGTACCTACGATGCCAGCTGCCGCGCCTAGACCCAGCCAAGGTTAGGTCAGCCGGCCAGCGACTGCGCCTCTCCACGTCAGCCTTAGCGTGTGCAGACTCCCGAGTCACTCCCCTCGGACTCCTTACCAGATCCTTACCTAACAGACTTTCAGAAGTGTGTAAACGCGCGTTCCTGTCTGCGCTGATCTGTTTCAAGCAGGCTTAGCGGCCTTTTGTACATGAGGCCCCCTGTAGATCGCCATTCACAGGGACTGGGCAGAGACTGGGACAGGGACAGGCCGTTCGTCCAGAGCCCAGACCTGCCAGACCAACCTCACGCAGCAACACGACAACGGATGTTTTAGGTGTGGAGGGATCAACAATTACGTACCATGAATTCGTACCGCACAGCCCAGATGCAAACCCTTACCTCAGCCCTTCTTTGTAGCCTGTTAAAACGAGTCTGACGCTCGTTGTAAGTTGCGAAGTTGAGTTCATTTCCGCTTTTCTCGTTTGTTCATCTATCCTGTGTACTTATTCCTTTTGTCTCGAGAAATTCTAAAGGAACCTATAAATTGTGCCCACACGTAATTACGATCGATACTCTCGTTTCAACTCCCCTATTTTGATCCCCTTACCTACTCGAGATGATGCCACCGGTTTGCAAATACGTAGTAGCTTTGGCAGCTCTGGCGAGCACTGCCTATTCATCACCACAAGGCAGTAATGTCTTATCCACAGCGACAACGGCAACACCTGTCGCTACAGGACAAGCTGCGTCAGCGTCGACGGTCGCCTGCAACAACTCTCCCGCCCTCTGTAGCCAGTCCTACAGCAACATCACTCATATGGGCGCCCACGACTCTTCTTTCCTCCGAGACGCTAGTACATCGAATTCGATAGCCGGCAACCAATACTTCAACGCAACCGTTGCCCTGGATGCCGGCATACGACTGCTGCAGGTCCAAGTCCATGATCTGGATGGAACTATCGAAATGTGCCACACGACGTGCAGTTTGCTCGACGCCGGCCCTCTACAGGATTGGCTTGGGGATATCAGATTTTGGATGGATAACAACCCGAACGAAGTGGTGACCCTCTTGATCGTGAACTCGGATGGTCACGACGTCGCGGGCTTTGGGTCAGTATTTGAGGCATCGGGCATCTCGAAGTACGGATACACGCCATCAGGCAATGGCTGGCCAACTCTGCAGTCCATGATTAACGCCAATACCCGCCTCGTGACGTTCATCGCTTCCATCACCCCCAGCAGCAGTTACCCATACCTGCTCACCGAGTTTGATCACGTCTTCGAGACATCGTTCGAAGTCACATCTCTCTCGGGCTTCAACTGCACATTAGACCGCCCAGGCACTCAATCCTCAGCGGCCTCGGCCATCTCCGCGGGCCTTCTGCCTCTCATGAACCACTTCGCCTATAGGGATCTGGGCTCTTCCATTATGATCCCGGACGTGGACAATGTCCTAACAACGAATAGCCCGTCTACATCCACGACCGGCGCCCTGGGTCTGCATGCTCAAACATGTAACTCTGAATGGGGCTTTAAGCCGACATTTGTGCTGGTGGATTTCTTCAGTGAGGGACCTTCCATCAAGACTGCAGATATGTTGAACGGCATTACAGATCCTGTGGGACGCAAGAATAGCTCCATGGCTGATGCCGATACGGATTCGCGTACCCCAGCCAGCGAGGCAAAACGCGGGCGTGGCGCCGGCGGTATTACTGGAGCCCTAATAGCATTCATCGTGGCGGGATTAGTGCTGGGCTAGATTAAGAGGCGGTTTATTAACATATATTCGGCGCATAAAATGGTTCTTTTCATTCTTATTTTTCCCGGAAAAGGTCATTTTGGTTGGCATGGTAAAGGTTGCATAGCGCCGGCGTTCGTTTTGGCGGGATTTATACGAGCGAACATAGGCTCGCTACTAGATGGGGAAGTGCAGAAACAATATTTGGTTATAATACATCGAAGTCATAGATATGTATTTCGATATTTGATTAGCGAGCTATCGCCGATAGGAATGAATTGTTGGCGACGCTGTACGCGCTACAGTTATTTAGATAGGAATAATATGACACTATTTTAAGAATATGGTTATCCGATCACTATTGGCGTATGCTCATAGCAAAGCTCATAGATTCGGCACAGAAATCTTAGATTGGCAGACCAAGCCAGATCACTAAGCATAGCGAAATTTGCTAAATATACCGAGCTGAATTGACGTTGTAATTCGCTGACTTTCATGATTACGGGCGGGCACGTGGATCACACCTAGAATTACGATGCTCCGGCCCGGCGACCGGCGGGGTCGTGGATGGAGCTCCGATACTTGAACCTCAAGTCACCTCGTTAGTTACCAAGGGCAAATTGCCATACTACCATTCAATCATCTAGACAAGCCAAAGTACTTGATCTTCACTCAGAATCCACGGAGAGGCCCAAAGAAATTGGCATATAAGTAAAACAACATGGATTACACAAGTATCGCGACACCCGAGCGGTGTTATGCCGACTTCTGCCTCATTCCGGTACGTTTCCGTGCTCGAACTACTACCTATCACCATCGCCACCGTATCCAAGCCTTGCAAGATTCAATCCAATCTCACATATATTCCTCTCCACGCCGTCCAGCCTCACCAATATGACAAGACGTGGAAGGACGCTTCACATCGCTGGCAAATTCCGCACTACAATCCCACAAGATTCGATGGCGAGAGAGATCTGACAAGCCCGCTACCCACAGGTCGGCACCGGCTCGGTCTCCGTCGCGGAGGAAGTAGCCGAGGTCCAGAAGCTGCTGAAGGCGAGCGGGCTCGCGTACACGATGCACTCGGCGGGGACGACTGTCGGTGCGTATCTCATCTCGAACTATTTCTCAGACTATACACATACCAATCCAACTATCTCTATTCTCTATTCTCTATTCTCTATTCTCTATTCTCTATTCTCTATTCTCTATTCTCTATTCTCTATTCTCTATTCTCTATTCTCTATTCTCTCTTTCTTCCGGCTTTATTTACTTCTTGGTCTTTCTGCCCCGCAATGTTTCTCTGTTCCATTTCCTTTTAGTATGCGCTTAATCTGCCTCTATGATATATATATGCGTATGTATATATATACACGTATATTCACGCGTAATGAAGAATGACTCCGTTATTCACCTACCTACCACGTTACATCTTCGAACTATGTATCCCTGACTGCCTGGCCGACCGGGTAACTAATCATATCAACAGAAGGCTCCTGGGACGAGGTGATGAGGGTAATCGGGCAAGCGCACAGCGTAGTCCATGCGCGGGGCGTAGTAAGAGTGCAGAGTTCAATGCGTGTCGGCACGAGGTGAGATTCTTATTTTCTTAGCTGGATCAATATGATTTAGACCTCTATTTCCCTTCTCTCCTCTCCAAGCCGAGGGGTTTTTTTTTTTTTTTTTTTTCCTCTCTCGACTTATTTGGTTCCCAATTTGCCTCATCGTGTCTGTACCTAACTCCAGCTCTCTGGCGATTGAATTACAGGACGGACAAGAAACAGACGGCCCAGGATAAGGTGAAGCGTGTCGAAGAAATTCTATCAAAGCCGACTCCATGAGCGGAAATTTACGTGATTCACATTGCCGGGGCAACTCACATAGCGCGGCGGGAAAAAAGCAGATTCAAGGTTGTTCAGGGGTGAGAAGCAATAAGATTGCGGCGAAGATGCTTAAGCACCATAGGCAAGAGAGCACACCGTGAATAAGTTATTTTCATACATTAACAGATGACCAGAAAACAGTATGCCTGACCGTGTTATATATAGTTACATATATTATGTGCCCCTATGAAACTTTTCGAGCTCCTACCGTGCATGCATTACAAAGAAAGCCTCCCCCTTTAAGTTATCCTCATGATACACCGCCGTGTCGCTGCCCAGAATCCCCTATATAAATTCTAGCTCGAAAGTGGTAAACCATGTTCGACAAGAGTCGTTAGTCAGATCATCCACGTACAGTTTGCTTCTTGGCCGCTTTACGCATCTCCTTCTCCTTCTCTTTCTCGAGATATTTCTTCTGGGCCTTAGCATCAAGAGCATTGAGCTCAGCATCACGCTTAGCCTTCCTGGCCTTGTCACGCTCTAGCGCCCGCTCCTCGGCCTTTTCCTCGTCGGCAAGTTTCTGAATTTGCTTGACGTTCTCTTCACGGACGCTCTTAATTTTGCGTAGAACTTCGTTCCGGAAGTGAGCAACCGACGCTAACTGATCAGGTAGGCGAATGAAGTACGAGAAGAGAGGTAGGAGGTTCTCGTAGTTGTTGGAGGATGGGAGACGGTACCGAAGGAATATGCGCTTGCGTGGAACAGTCTCTTCCAGTCTAACACATAATTAGCAGCCGTGTTGAGAGATAATCCGAAAGGGGTAGGAGTGATAACTTACGTCTTAGGCTTCTCCACGGGCTGGTCAGTGATGATAATGTAGTCGAGAAGATCTCCAGCTTTGTTGACTGCGTCAACCAATTCATCGGTCAGGAGAGCAGAGGTAACTTCGGCGCTCTCGCTCATGACCGTTGCCCAGAGAGGCAACTTGGGGTGATCCTTGGTGAAGGTAATAGAAACATCATAGCGCTCCTCTCGTAGCTCCTTCATCTTGTTTTTGTTGACAACGGCCCAGACGAAACCATCGTAGGAGCTCTTTGAGTCCTTGCTCCGAAGTTCAGTTGTGCCGGGAACTCCAGGGACGATCTGAGCCTCCCTACCGTCAAAGGGGTAGATGGTAGCACCCACGGAATCCTCAGGCGCGGGGTAGCTTTCCCAGAGAAAACCGATAAGGAACTCGGGGAAAAGCACCAGAGGGTTGAAGCGCTTCATCAGCGACAGCTTGACATCCATGAAAGCGACATTCTGTCGACCAGTTGCATACGATGCATATTCGAACAAGCTCTTTTCCTTCAACAACTTATCGGATTCATCTGCTGAGATGGACGATTTGCCGGTACCAACGAGGGCGAACTCGCTAGTTAAAAGGGGAGCATGAGCTTTGGCCCATGCCCTTGACTTGGCCCGGTTAAGTCGCGCGCCGAAGAAGTGTAAAGTACAGATGACGGCAATGATAGAAAGTATGAGACCTTCAGTGCGGAATTCGCTTAAGCTATGGCGCTCGTGTACATTATACCATTTCGTGTAGGGACGCGCGGTAGGGACAGGACCACTGTTGGTGAGGCTGCCGGCGCCAGCCTGGAAAGGTAGAGGAGCGGGTTCAGGCGCTTTCGCGAAGTCGGCGAAATCTACAGTTTTGTCCGTCAGTGATTGTGGCGACTACAAGCCTCAAAGTTCTAGCGTACAGAGCCAATTGATGTATCCGTGGGCGCGGAATGTCGAGTGAATTGAGCGCTCGTGAATCTGAGACATAAGTCGCAAAGGGACACATACCAGAATCAGGCTGGGCAGCCGCAGGCGTTGCTGCGGGCTTACTGCCTCCGAGGATGTTCTTGAGGAAATCAGCCATCTTCACAGACGTGGACGCCTGTGCCAGAAAGCAATTGCTTGCGCAATAAGGGAAGGGAGGGGAAAGGAGAAGCGGAAAGGGTCGTGGATGGATCAAAATCGCCTCCAATAGGAAGAAGCGTAAGGAATCGAGAGCTGATGAATGCTGGACCCGAGAGTTGGGGTCCAGTGGTTGCGACAAGCTCCACAGCGCTGGCAACGGTACCCAGGTACCTATATTATGTACCCTGCTGATGAGGCTGATTTAAAGGGGCACAGTGAACGGCCCGTTTCTGTGGCGCAGGATGTGTGGCGCAGGATGTAGCCAGGAACCTTGTTGCTGGGGCGTCGCTAGGGATATCTTCGAAAGTAAACAAACCTTGGCCATCTACTCTACATCTACACTACATCTAGCAGCCTGTTTGGAAGAGCTATGAGGAAAAGCCCCGCAATCCTCAATAACACACGGAATAATGTCGAAATCAAATGTTCGAGGATATGGAAAGCGGACCAAGAAGCCACAGACTGCTGGCCGCTTGTTTGTTGAGCTACCCCAGACTCCAATACGGACGGTAAAGACGGTGTTGGAAGAAGAGGATGTCTCAGATAACGATAACCTGGTCGCAACCTTGACGCAGGGGATTTCATCAATAAAAATCCAGGATGAATATCAAGAACCAGCAGATTTATTTTCGCCTTATCGGAGGAAAACAAGGCAGTCCGTTTTGTTAGACCCTCTCGAAACTGAAGCCATCAAAACTCATACGCCAATCAAGTCTCAGCTTATACCACCGGAGCCCGACATATCCGAAGAAAGTATCAGCTCAGTATCGTCTTTTTCATATGACTTGAAAGGACTCCAGGTACTCTCCTGGTCTGAAGTCTGCCCCCCGGGGGACAGTATTGTCAAGATCGCAGAGGCATCATACGCTGAGGTGTATCGTGTTACAAACGAACGAGGCACCTCCATCATAAAGGTAATACGAATGAAATCGCCAATAAAAGCGCAGACGAAATCACAGCAAAAATCAGGACTCGTGGACGAAGAGCCCCACGCCGACTCCGACCTGCAAGGCGAGCTGCAAATCTCTGAGTGGGTGGCCGATATTCCTGGATTTGTGGTCTACAAAGAACGATACATAGTTCAGGGCAAGGCGTGTCGAGAGCTGTTAACTACCCATCAGACCTTTCACAAGAAACTTAAGAGGCAAGATCCCGATCGGTTGCAGTTTTACCCGTCGCCCAGCCGATATCTTGACGATACGAGATTTCTAGTCGTCGAGTTGGGAGATGCTGGGGATGCACTCGAAGACTTCGAGCTCACGACGGCGGATCAGCTATGGGATATATTCTTTCATGTTGCCATTGCGCTGGCACGTGCGGAGGCGAGGATATGTTTCGAGGTATGTATAAGCCTAGTATTTAGCCCTGCATAGATTTATATGTGCTGTATGCTAACATTTATAGCACCGAGATCTGCATGAGGGAAACCTTTGTATTCGAAAAGTGAGCGAACCTATCTCGAAAGATGAACGGAATGGAGAGGGTTGTTTTGGATTCTCAGGCCTCGAGGTTACAATTCTGGACTACGGCATCTCGCGAGCTCAATCCGAGTATGACAATGAGCCCGTAGCATATGACTTGGAACGCGACCTGAGCCTCTTCACAAGCGAGCATGCGGCTCAGTGCCGCGTTTACCGACAGATGAGGTCCTTCTTGCTTAGAGGAGACCGCACCTACCTCCCCCCAGAAGATCACAGAGAGCCTTATGCAGTAGGTATTGATGGCCCACTATCATGGGCTATTTACGAGCCATACACAAATGTCCTTTGGCTTGCATATTTATACGAATGGATGACGGGGCATTTCCGCGGCCCTAAGAAGGAAGTCAATTCATTCAGACGAACGACGAAGGAGTTCTGGTCATATCTTGATCCAAAAGCTGACGAGGATATGCCCGGGTTCGAAAGCGCCAGTGATATTTTGCGTTATGCCGTCGAGATAGGTTGGTTAGACGAGAACCAGCTGATAGGGGGCAGGGACGAGGTTGAGAAGTCGATATTATCGATCATCGCCATTGACGATGGGGAAGACGGTGTTGCGGATCGATCACTTCGACGGTCGCCACGCAGACGCCGACCAACGGTCATCTAGTCAGAAGAACATTGTACCATAGTATACTATTTTGTGTGGCCGAGTGCTCTGGGTTCCAGCGAGCGGGTTTGGCTATTGGTCCAGTTACATTCTCGGGGCGCACTTGTACAGGGAGATATCCAGGGTTAGCGGGTTAGAGGCGTTTATTGGTATAGACAATAATGTGTTCTTTGGAGTCTCATGAGCTTTGATCTAATTACTCATATGTCAATTCATCCCAGGCTCTTACCTTTTTCATATCATGATGTAAACAGTAATTCCACCACACACACATTCAGTTATTTCGGCTAGTCGGAATCGTTTTACAGTCTATTGTCACACCAGCGGTGGGCCAAGACTGAATAACTGACTACATATTTCTTGAAGCTCGGTCGCATATAGATGATTAGGATACTAGAGCAGCCTTGGGCGAAAAAGGAATTTTTGATAAAACGATCGTGCATAACGCAATTTCGAAATCAATGACTTTCCACTATAGACCAGCGGCCGCATACCAAACCTATCACGCACAATGCAACCTTGGCTGCAGGTCTGGAAGACGTTGCGCATGGGCAATACAGTAGTGTACCCAGGGCATTGGACAGTCCCAGGATGAAGCCTGGTCAATGGACGGCCCAACGTAGTGGTGGTGTGGCGGCTAAGAAACTCCCGAATGTAGCCTCCTCCCCTGGACCCATCATACTAATAATCAAGATCGCTAGTAACGGCAGTCGAGCGCAAATAAGCATAGCTTCGCTAGGCATTCCCCATGCAAACATCTCAATTACGACGACCTATCAGTAAGTGGATTGTGGATTACATGCGACGCTCGAGCATAGCATACAGACAGGACCTAGGTAGTATTAGTGGTTGACGTTGTATATCGGAACACCGAGACCCTTGGCTTCCGAATGATTACAGCATCATTATTACTACTAAGGGTTTACTACATTTGTCGCTTTCTCACGCAAGATGAGATGATGCCTTAGTAGTACCTCCCTAGTGTACACTAGGTAAGATGGACCGTTATGGATAAAGAAAGCATGGAGACACAAGGGGTCCGGAGCTAACCGTCCCACACACATCACGGGCTCCAACGCTCGTACTTGGTGTAGACGCAGATTGCCGGAGAGAACCATGTGGCTCGCCTCGTCTGTCGGTCTGTTCATCACGACATACCTGCATCTTGATTGGGAGACCAGGGTCTGAGTAATCGAGCTGGCCTCATTGGGGCAAGCAGCCACATACTACTCTGATACTACTATAGTAGTATGCTTGAGGTAGATGGCGAGTGGGCGACATCTCACGGTTCCCACCCATTCCGAGTTCCACCAAGAAGGAATACCTACCTACTGCGTATATCGGCAATACAAAGGACTACACACGTACGCAGTACTTAGATGTCTGATTCCTTTCGGCTAACTACCTGCCCAACCTAGATACTTGCTAGGTAGATAAGGCTAGGTATCTGATTCCTAGAGTAATCTTACGAACCCATGGGCTGTTTGGTCTGTTCGCGTGTGTACTAGGTAGGTAGGTAGGTATGTACTGTTATACGTTGCGCGGCTCTCCTAATTCACGCCTTGTCAGCACGCGCACTCCCGCCAACCCGGTAGGAATCGTGGTCGTATGTTGCATCCGCTGCTCTCTCACTCCGTATCTGATGACGGATTCTTCAAGGCATCTTATTGGGAGGGATGTGATAGCCGTGCAGCAAACACACTGCCAAGAAACGGGCAAGACCTAGTATGAACATCACAGAGCGTAAACTCGAGCTCTCACTCGCTTGCTTCTCGGAGCACCCTGGCGATCGCCCATCACAACACTACCGCTTGGCACTACCGGGGCAAACGGTCTGTTTATACCCAGGCCCGGGATGGCTACGGCAGACCAGGGTGGCCCAGGGGCGCGCAGGGTACAGAAATCGCCCTGTAGGGGTCCGGGAACGACACTTTGCTGTGATATGGTCCGGCGGAGAGATCAGCACCACGAACGGCTTTTCTTCTTTTCGAACCTCCCTCCGCAAACAAGCCTGTGCGTGCGGCCGCACAACACTTCCGATGCTCGACCCATCTCGCCATCTTACTTGATTGAACGAGGTCATACGAGTCCACTCTTGTTGTTGCTACAGGTACCTATCCCCTCTACTGTGTACCTATAACAAAATGTGATACCTCACAGAGACTATATCTGGATCAAAGGCACGTTATGCAGCTGGGACTTGCCCGACACCGCTCAGCCAGCCCCTAGTGCCATGGAAGCGACAGAGAGGCACAGTGAGAACCCGTCGACAGTGCGTGTAGATAGGAAAGCGCGAATAATAGTCACTAGTGCGCGAGGAATGAAAAGCCTCTCCCTGGACTCGAGGCTGACGCCAATCAAATTCACCATTTGAGGAGAGTCATGTCAACCACAGTGCCCACCCCGTAGAACTCTCCGTGTAGGTCAATGTACCTGCTGGCTTCCGATGCCACTCCTAAGCTAATCCTCCCGTCCGCCCAGATATATAAACACAAGAATGTCTCCTTTCACTATTGACTCCTTTTTTGAAACCTGCCGCCTTCACCTGGTCCTTACTCTTGAGGTTGATCAACCCAAGTCTACGCTGTCTGTTTCTAATCGGCAAACTTATTAGGTCTCTACATTCATTATAGGAACTATGGGGCGTGTGGGCATTTCCATCGCCGTTCTGGCATTGCAGACGCTTGTCTCTGCTAGTGGCTGCCCTTTTGCTGATCCTGCTAATCTTCACGCTCGAGCCGCCGGTACACCACAGAACCCTATCGCGGATGCCACGGTCGACGATAGCAACGGCTATCTAACGGACGATGTCGGTGGTCAGATTAGCGACCAAGATAGCCTCAGAGCAGGGGAGAGAGGTCCAACTCTCCTCGAGGATTTCATCTTCAGACAAAAGATGACCCACTTCGACCACGAGAGAGTAAGTCAATCGACACATGATTCCAATATGAAGACGCCGTCTAAGAAAAGAAACACGAACGGGAAACAACATCTATCAGATATCCGTGTAAGCTAACACGGCAAACAGGTCCCGGAACGTGCTGTACATGCGCGAGGCGCTGGTGCTCATGGTACCTTCACCAGTTATGGCGACTGGAGCAACATCACCGCTGCGTCTTTCCTGAACAGTGCTGGGAAAGAGACTCCTGTCTTTGTCAGGTTTTCAACCGTCGCGGGATCTCGTGGCAGTGCTGACACGGCGCGTGATGTTCACGGTTTTGCTACACGTTTGTAAGCTCAGATTAATGGTCTAGATTCTCATGTGTCCGACTAACTTCTAGTTTTAGTTATACTGACGAGGGTAACTTTGGTACGGATATCGATGTTTATTATTCCCAGCGTTGATGCATCTACTAACATTTCCTTTTCAAGATATTGTCGGAAATAATATCCCAGTTGTAAGTCATTTGCCGTCTGACTGCGTCAAATTCGTGCATATACTTCCCGCCCCCAGATTTTCTGTCGTCTATCACGCCTTCTGCCCCTCTTTTTGAATCTCATCTTACCAACAACTTCTAATTCTTGCTACAGTGTGAGTAAATATATCAAAAATCCTTGCGATAGTTCCGGTTTAGGAAAATGAACATCTGCTGGTGTAATAGCAAGCTAGTAGATGAGATAGGCTAACCATGTCAAATCATCTGTAGTTTTCATGTGAGTATTCTTCCTTCCTAATTCATATACTTGGGTAGAATGAGCAATTCAGTCTTGTCACCCAATTGCCCCCAACTTCTGTACCGTGATTGAACAGTTGTCGTTGCTGACATTGCTGACTGGTAAACAAACAGCCAAGACGCCATCCGGTTTCCTGACCTCATCCACGCTGTAAAGCCCGTGAGTAATTTCTAGAGTTATATCCCTGTTCCCAAAGAATTTGGTACAGAGGCTTCTAGCCTGATCACTTGCGTAATTTGCAAGTTTCAACCGCCCTCTATGCCCTTATTTCGAGCTTGGAACGAAGTTAACCCCGAATGGTGTAGAGCCCCGATAGCGAGATTCCACAAGCAGCTACCGCTCATGATTCAGCATGGGACTTCTTCTCTCAGCAGCCAAGTGCCCTTCACACTCTTTTCTGGGCAATGGCTGGGTATGGTATTCCTCGAAGTTACCGTCACATGGTAGGTGGCGCCAAACTAAGCTTTCTCATTGTTGACTATCACTAATTAGTGGCTTAGGATGGCTTTGGCATCCACGCTTATCGTCTGGTTACGGACGAGGGTGAATCCAAACTTGTCAAATGGCATTGGAAGACCAAACAGGGAAGAGCCAGCCTAGTTTGGGAGGAGGCCCAAGCACTCGCCGGCAAAAATGCCGACTCCCATCGTGCCGATTTGTTCGAGGCCATCGCTTCTGGCAACCCCCCTGAATGGGAGCTGGCTATCCAGGTCGTAGATGAGGACAAAGCAACCGCGTTCGGCTTTGATCTGCTAGACCCGACTAAGATCATTCCCGAAGAGCTCGCGCCATTGCAGAAAATTGGCGTAATGAAGCTGAACAGGAACCCAACGAACTACTTCGCCGAGACGGAGCAGGTTATGGTGAGTGGCACGCATTCATTCACTGCTTCGTCCTTATATGGGATCCTTATATGTGGACCCGTAGATATTTCGTCTGCGGATACTCTCTTGATTACGGCCCCTAGCTAACGTGCGCATGCAGTTTCAACCGGGGCACATTGTAAGAGGCATTGACTTTACTGAGGATCCGTTACTGCAAGGACGTATCTTCTCGTACCTGGACACTCAAATCAACCGACACGGAGGCCCCAATTTTGAGCAACTTCCTATCAACCGACCGGTAATTCCTATCCACAACAACAACCGGGACGGAGCTGGTCAGAACCTCATTCACAAGAACACTGCTGCTTGTAAGCTGATCCACATCACTTCTAATATCGAACCACTATACAGACTCATTGGGCTAACGAGAAATTTCAGACTCACCGAATACATTGAACGGTGGCTTCCCTCAGCAAGCCAACCAGACAAGCGGCCGGGGTTTCTTCACGGCGCCTTCTCGCACCGTAAGCGGCAATCTTGTCCGCGGCTTGTCCTCGACCTTCAACGACCATTGGTCTCAACCCCGACTGTTCTACAACTCTCTCGAGCCAATCGAGCAACAGTTCCTGATCAACGCCATCCGCTTCGAGACAAGTAACCTGCAGTCCACCTCCGTCAAGGAGAATGTCCTGCGCCAACTCAACCGAGTCAGCAACGACGTGGCCGTGCGCGTAGCTAGTGCTCTAGGCATGAAGGCTCCCGCACCCGACAGCAAATACTACCACGACAACACCACAGCCGGCCTCTCCATCACCAAGGACAAACTGCCCACTATCGCCACCCTCAAAGTCGGCATCCTTGCCAGCATCGCCAGCAACTCCTCGGCCCTGAACCAGGCGAACCAGCTCAAGCAACGCTTCACGGCAGACGGGTTAACCGCCACTATCGTAGCGGAGCGTCTCACCAGCGGCGTGGACAAGACATATTCCGCAGCAGACGCGACGGATTTCGACGCCCTCGTCGTCGCAGCCGGCGCCGACACCGCCGGCATCTTCGACATCACCTCCAGCTCGCCGTTCTACCCACCTATGCGGCCCCTGCAAATCGCAACCAGCGCCTTCCTCTTCGGCAAGCCTGTTGCCTACTTCGGCGGCTCGTCGCCGAGCCAGATGTTGCGCGCGGGAGGCTTCTCCAGCGACGTGAGCGCCGGCGTCTTCGTCGGCGGGAATTTGGACGAGATGGTCAAGGCTGTCGAGGATGGGCTGAGGACGTTTAAGTTTACGAGTCGTTTCGCGATGGATTCGTAGATATAGAATACATAGAGAAAGGAGAATATTTGGAAGGAACTTTGTTACAGGATGGCCGGTGTTCACGTGTATAGTAGGAGAAGCGATCTCGTGGGGAAGTTTTTCTTCGCTGCATATATAGTTTCCTCTGGTCGCAAGTCTTTAGAGTTAGCTTACTTACATAGACGGCTCTCTCAAATGACATTAGTTTAGCACGACTTCGCTCTTCCACCGGGCATTTCGACTGGTGAATTCTCAATTACTGAATGCGGTCTCGTTATGAAAGTGAAGTCTACTAAATACCATCGCATGACAATATCCTCGGTATCCAAACGTCGAGGGACCTTTCCGAGTAGAGTTATATATTATAACTATAAATTAAATATGTTGTTGATGCTCGTATATCTGCCCTGCATACTGTCTCCGCCTGATACTCTTTTGTTGCACTTTCATTCACACAGGCATATGTACACTCACTTCCCGTGGCGTGGGCTAAAATTGCAGTGTTGTGAGAATCATTGCCCAAGTTCTTAACCAACAACATCTCCACCGGATTTTCTTACTCCTCCCAGCCTGGACTAAAATTGCAGTGCAAAATGCCAAGTGATGAGGCTCTGCTGCGTAGATATGGCTTGTCTGCTGTCAAGGACGTAAATAGCCTATCACACGAACCCCTTCTTTTGCCGTCGTGGGCTAAAATTGCAGTGAAATGCATGGAAGAGCCTCGTCCAATCTATTGAGCACGCATCGCTGCAGGCGTTGTCCTACCATAACCTAAACAGTACCTAGGTATATCCCATATTGCAGAATGAAATCCCGATCGAACGTATTTGCACTAAATACAACTTAATCAGTCTTCCTCAAAAGAAACTATTACAACGAAGAATAAAAGACTCAACGCTGAATGTACACATATACAAGAAGGAGAAGAAGGAGAAGAAAAGCTATGAATCAATCAATGGGGCCGCTTGACAGACCAATTGTCATATAGCCATCTTTCAAGGCACACATAGCTCACGAAAAGTTGTGTTATAGGCAGAACAGGTCAGATACACGTAACTGGTGAATTAATTGTGTCTGGGAGAGCTACATCATATATGAACCTAGCTGACAAGACCTCGCATCTAGATGCTGGGTTCAACGCTGCCAAAGCAGCAAATTCATCTTACATATATGGTACGCCTTTCATATCCATGTTGTATGCTTTTGTAGAAACATTGTCAAATCCCTTTTTGAAGGTGGCTCGAAGAACCACTCAGGGACTAAAGTGTTGGTTGACTGAGCGTGACTGAAAAACGCACATCTCACTCTTCTTCATCCCCCTCGGCATCCTGATCTTCGTCCGAGTTCTGTTGGGCAGCCTCTCCATCGCTGTGGCCATTAGCAGCTTCTTCCTGCTGTTCGGGCTTCTCATCCTCGTCTTCTCCATCAGCCTGTTCGCTCGGGAAAGGGTCTCTGTAAGGGTCTGTCTTCCACTTATCCATGATACTCCGAGTCTTTTCGTCATAATCATTGACAGTGACGGCAAGCCGATCAGGAATCTCTTCAACGTCCTCAGCGAGCCCGGCGTTTCGATAGATGGTCTTGGAGCGCTGTGGCCTCATGACCACACGGTGCATCACGGGCGAATAGTAGGCGGCCTTCTGGTCAAGCATTTCATCGTCATTGAAAGCAACCAGTAATTCTTCGTCATACTTAGTGGCGTTGTCAAGCTCGACTTCATCCTTGGTTTCATACGTTCTGACGAACCGGAATTGGAAGCAGCCGTGTCCATCGCTATTTTTGCTCGTGTACCATTCATCATTGTCGCGCTCTGGGTTTAGTAAATCAAACCGCTCGTTGAACTTCTCTGATGTCTCGAGAGTGTCGCTAAGGAAGTAGTTATAAGTCTGGGGATTGGTGGGCTTTGGATTGTTTTCAGGGTCTCTCTCATGCGCTTGTTTGGCAAGCTTGAATGTTGTTTCCACCTCCTCAGGCAGTGTGCCTGGTTTAATGACAGCATTTAACAAGCGCTTATCATAAACTCCAGAGGCAGGGACCGGATTATTGGTGAACTTGATTGTAAAGTAACCGCCATAATCTGGAAATGCTTCTAGGTCAGGAATCATGGGGTAGCTGTCTACAAGCTTAAGATTGCGTTTTGTAGGGTGCCTGACGCGGCTCTTGTCCTTCAAATTCGTAGCGGCAACAGAGAAGCTCTGGTCAATCTTTCTTTTGACATAAGCTGGGGAATCCTTATCTGGTTCGGGCGATGGTCTCTTAGTTGCTCGCCTCAGGGCTGAAGGATTAAGAGAGCGCAGTGGACCGGCTTCATGCTTGCTCTTAGCTGTGACTGATGAGATGTACTCCGTGCGGCGGAGGAAAGAAACAGCAGCGTCTGCTGCTTTTGGCTTGCCAAGAGTCTGCAACGGCCGTAGCAGCATGCGATCCTGAGGATGAAGGGAGTGGACCGATGGTGTTTTTGAAGATGCTTGTATTGCTAGATACCATGTCATGTCATGTCAGCTCGGCGTCCTTCAATTGCAACTAATCGTAGGTGAGTGATTCCTACAGCTCTCGTCGCCGTCAAAGATGCCGGGCATTCCTATTAAGTCCAATGGCATTGCCAGCTCTGCATCTGCCTCAATATTTAGTGGCTGTTCCCTGGCCAATCTCGATGCAAAACCGGGGGCAGTATATTGGCCGCTAGCAAGACCGGTATTCGGGATATCGAGAAGCTTCGGAGGGTTTGGAGGTGGTGGGAGTGCATTGGAGTAGCGGATGCGGGCGACATAATCCTGATGAACAGGGCGATGCTCGCCTCCGCTACGTGACGATGAAGCCATAGTAGGAAATCGAGCGGTAGGAAGAACGAAGGGCCAAGATGGCGCAAAGATGCGCACAATGCAAAGAACGGAAGAATCGAGATATCAAAAGGTGAGACTGAAGCGCGTTATCTTGAAGTAGACCGCGCTGTGTTGTTGCGCATTGGGCGATGAGTGAGTTGCGATTCGGGGGAAAAGTCCATTGAGAGAGATAGCCTGGTGAGGAACTGAAGCTTCACGCTTCCAATGGCCCGTCACGCGTTGCTAGCACGAACAAGGCTAACTAACCTCAGGTACCTGCCGAGCTGCCTGGGGAGATACCTACATAAGTACCTACAGTACCTAGAGGCTGGGGGCTGCCGCGCCGCGCCAGTACACTGGGTCAGCACCTTGCAGCCTACCTCTGGAGGTACCTACAGTATGGGCAACTACAGGGGCTTACTTACGCTACCTAAGCGTATCTAGGTACCAGGTATTCTCCTAAGTAATAGCGCCCGTTTTGAACTTTGTCGCATTGCTGCTTGTAAAAATACACGTCCGGTAGTGTAGTATCTAAAGCTTCACTGTGCTTCGCACTATTACAAAATCTATAGTCGCCCGATACCTTAGCAAAGAAACATCTCTGCGCCAAAATTTCCGTTGCGCAACCTGGAATCCCATCCTTGAAACCCCCTAGTTTGGTACCATGCGCGTAAGAAAGAATCTGCTTGCAACCACAAACAATTCCCTGCATACACGTACATTATGCATTGATCATAAATTTGTACAATTCGAAGCTCTGCCTATCATCTTGCACTTAGCTCAGGCCTGATCTAAGATAGTGACGGTCTCCTCTCGGTGGCCGTTCAACATTCCCCATTTACACCTGTTGGCATTGGGGATTTCAACGCCACAAGAGCCCTCTCACAGCCAAGTCCCCCCCAGACGTCGTTTATGAGGTACTGCTTTTACCGTATTTCGCCTTGCCAAAAGAGAAGGGGACATATCGGTATTTGATCATGTGCTGGATTTGCTTGCGCACTGTAGTGGAACGTTAGCAAATCTCCATCTAGGTAGTACGAAACGGGGATTGTATCATACTGGTCAGGATGAAAAGGATAAACCAGTACATGACCAGGACGGGCCAAAAGACGGGGATGTCGAAGACGTCGAACCAGCTGCAGACGAATGAAATGACAACGGCGCGAGTTGCCTCGTACCAAAACTTGAACTCGGGCAGGCGACGGATAAATGGCCGGAACTCTTCATCCTGCTTGGTGGGGAGACTACCGGCAGACCCGTCTTCCATTTCATTGTCGAGGATATCGTTTGACGGGTCGAACTTGGGCTGTAGGAATGCGAGGAAAAGGTTGAGCAGGTAGATGCCGAGCGCATAGGCCACTGTGCACCTCTTTGTCAGAACTCTTGAATCATCTGCATACAAGTGGTGCCGCGATTCGTCATACCAATGTACCAGCCTTGCGCGACAAATACTCGAAGGAAGAAGAGCGATAAGCCTACGGCCGTGCCAATCCAGCGATATAGAACATAGGGTGTTGATTTATCGAGGAGAGTTTGGTATTGCTGTGAGAATGTCAGCATCGCGACCATGGCTTCATTGAGATGGCCGTGTTGAGTGAACTGACCCTCTGGATCTTTGAAGTTTGGGCTGTAACGGCCGCAAAAGGCGTCTGGTCGGCCTCAATGCTGTCCATGGTGATCGGGTTCAGAGGCGCGACGCGATAGTAGATAATCTATGAATGTAAGGGGAGGGCTTGTAAAAGTGCGACAGGAACAGACAAGTCGTGCGCAGCGATAAGAGGTGATGAATGAGCGTGGTGGCTAGAAAGTCGTTATGCCGTGGGAGAAGAAATAGCGGTTGGCATAAGAGACTCGAGTTGTCGAAAAGAAGACAGGCCTCGACGGGCAATAGTAACTGAAGGTTGCGATCTAGTGCACTGGCTAGTGTATGTACGTGTAAGCCTGCGCACTCAACTCCTTTTCGCTATGACCTGAATGGATTAATCGATGATCTGGCCAGCAGAAGGGATCAATAACGCCTAGGTGCCTACCTACCTAGGTAGGTACTTGAGGTCCACTTGTTGATTGGGTAGGTAGCGTAAGCCACACTATGACTCTTTTGCGACAGTGCCCAGGTGCCTACGCAATCATCTATGTGTGGCTCATTCGTGGCTCAAAGATACAGCGAGGTACCTAGGTAGGTACGTACCTACATCCGTAAAAGATAAGAGACACTTTTACATTCAATATCTAAATCCGAGCTAACCCAAAAGCAGCTTTCTATCTCTGGCTGAGTGAGCGCCGGGTAATGTTGCGAACCTCGGCCAGCTTCGGCTCCCACCGTTCATCATCGATACATCAGGAGTTTCGGAGCTTCATAAATAATAAATACCTACATACCTCTGTAGTCGGTAAGCGATCGCCGCCTCTCTGAGTGGTTTGACAATTGGTATAAACTGTACGCTGCCGAGTATCCTGAGAACTTAGTTACAATTTTACATTGGAACCTGTTCTTGTAACTCCCAAACTCTTCTAATCTTGTTCCCGCTGTATTTCTTGCTGTCTGCTACCAATTTTCCTGTACACGTCTGCAACCATCAACGTCTCGCTATGAATTCACTCCGAGCCATGAGGCCATTGGCCTCCCGTATCCAACCATCCACGCTTCCAAGAGTGACACGGCCGTTTTCTTCCACCCCAGCTAGATCCTATGAGTATGTCATGACGTCAAAGCCTAAACCTGGTGTTGGCCAAGGTAAGACCACAACCAAGTGACTACTACCGAGCTGAAAGGCCAAGTATCTCCTTATGGAATGGACATGGCTCACACGTAATGGCCAGTCACGCTCAACCGCCCAAAGGCTCTAAATGCTCTATGTACGCCTTTAATTACCGAGTTGAATCAAGCACTCCGCGAGTTCAACTTAGCCGACGATGTGTCGGTCATCATCCTGACGGGCTCCCAGAAGGCTTTTGCTGCTGGTGCTGACATCAAGGAAATGGCGCCTCTCACCTTCTCTGAGGCTTACACGAACAGCTTCATCGAATCCTGGTCAGATCTCACAACGCAGGTTAAAAAGCCTATTCTAGCTGCCGTGTCGGGGCACGCTCTTGGCGGCGGCTGCGAGCTGGCCATGATGTGTGACGTCCTTTATTGTACCGAGTCTGCCAACTTCGGACAGCCCGAGATCAAGCTCGGCACTATACCCGGCGCCGGTGGCAGTCAGCGACTGACGCGAGCTATCGGCAAGTCCAAGGCCATGGAGCTCATTCTCACCGGCAAATCGTTCTCAGGCGTCGATGCTGAGAAATGGGGGCTTGCCGCAAAAGCATTCCCGGACTACGAGGCGCTTATGGAGGGTGTAATGAATACGGCTGAGACCATCGCCGGATACTCCAAGGTCGCCATCATTGGGGCTAAGGAAGTCGTGAACAAGAGCCAGGATCTCGGTCTGCGGGACGGAGTCGAGTACGAGCGGAGAGTGTTCCACAGTATTTTTGGTAGCCAGGACCAGAAAATTGGTATGAAGGCATTTGCCGAGAAGAAGAAAGCTGAATGGACTCACCAGTAACGACAAAGCGCAAGGCATCTGTTTAATAGTTTAGACCAATTATGAGACAAGAATGTTCTCACAGATGAGCAAGCCAAACGAGTATATTGTATGCTTCCTCTTGTCTGTCTGTAAGGGGCCTACGACAAATAGCTGGCTGAGGGAGGGCATTATCCAAGTATGAGTGGGAGGCACATGACACCAATAGCTGTCTCAACCTACCTACTCCAGCCAGCTTTGACACTATTTCTATAATTACACGGCTGTCATAGCCCGGCTCTGTAACAACATGGGTTTCTAAATGTAGAAACTGAGTGAATAAGTCTTAGAGCTATTGTCGTGCCCAGCTCATAAAAGTGAGATCACCTTCGACTTTTCATGATGCTCAAAAAGAAATAAAAGGGGGGCAATTCATTGTTGACCATAAAACGGGTACAACTTGTAGCAACTCCACTACCTCTTGACGTGGCCTTTTTTTTTTTTTTTGTCCTCCCCTCCCTTAAGCATGAATCGAGAACACATTTGAGTAAACATTGTGGATGGATGGAATTTACTTGAAACTGAAGATGCCTTCTAGCAGCATAACAGGGCGGATATCCCGACTTCCTAGGAAGTCGTTCGTGTTAGTTTAGCGCAATATTTAGTAGGCACCTCTAGGTAGCTAAGGGAGAATACTGGCTGCTACCCCACACAAATGTCTGCCCGCTGTCGAGCGGTAAGTTTGTACTGAAAATAGCTACCTAACCCAAGGTTACATCGAGGGATGTCACCTAAGGGGGGCAGGCTTTCTGGGCATGGGGGCCTCGTGCGCGTTTCCATCTGTGAAGTCGCAGAAATTTGAACCATTGCAAGTACGGTAGTACATATATAGTATGTAGGCAGACAGCCTGCCGATACTTGAGGTGCACCTCGTTGTTCGTCAGGGCGAAGCGGGCCAAGGCAACATTTTATCAGGTGCTCGTTACTTAGCGCCGCCGCCACCAAAGCTGACAGCTCACCTGCAGCCAGTCTGTCGTGTCCGGAAAACAATAGGTATTCTTTCCATATCTATATTTATTCATATATATTATATAATTCCCATACAGTCTTTCTATTCCAGCATTCTTCGTTCTGCGGAGCCGCCATGGCTGCCACAAAGTCAGGAGTTGACTTGGAAAAAGAGTTGAATTGCTCGGTAAGTAGCTCATTCTGTCCGATATGCGATATGGTGGGGGTGGACTGGCTCAGGCTAGGAATCCTAGGAATCAGCCCCGGGTAAGGGGCGAGGTTCGGTAGATAAAGTTGAAAGCCGCATCGACTACCTGGACCAACTGAATGCACATGGAACTAACTGCTTCTCCAGATTTGCACCGAGCTTTTGTTCCAACCGTTAACTCTGCTCGACTGTCTGCATACTTTCTGCGGCTCTTGTCTGAAAGACTGGTTCGAGTGGCAGAAGATCTCGGCGGAAACCTCACCGACCCCTCCCGCTTCCGGCGCTATCAAATTCACTTGCCCGTCCTGTCGCGCACATGTCCGGGACACGCGCCGCAACGCTACCGTCACGAGTCTGCTCGACATCTTTCTCGCCTCGAGCCCTGACAAGGCCAGATCGGAAGCAGAACAGGATGAGTTGCGCCGGAAGTATCGCCCGGGGGATAATGTCCTCCCGCAGATTCGCCTACCTGAGCGGTCTGCTGAAGAGCGCCGGGCAGACCAACTGGAACGCCAGATGATAGAGCGGGCGCGTGAGATGAGCTTACGTGATGTTGGCGTTGAATCATCAGCGCGGAGGCGCCGCGATCAAAGTCGATCCGAGGGAGGCAGCAGAAGCAGGCCAGAGAGAGACGGCAGCCAAGACACGCGACACCGATCCCGACGGGAGGATGAGCGCAGGCACCGGGCCGGTTCCGCGGGGATGCTGCGTCCTGAGTCGGGATCTTCTGAGGAGCGACGACGCCGTCGCAGCGAGTCACGCCATCGGTCCGACTTGGCACACTCCACGCGCGATTCCTCATCCACGAGGACACGGCAGGTCGAGCACCAGGCCTCGATAAGGTCGTTGATTAGCTCCTCGAATGTGGATGCGAGAGATTTGGAACGCGAAATCGATGAATTCGCCCGCCAGATACAAGAAGAAGGCTTGCTCGACGGCTTGGATCTTGATAACATCGACTTGAGCCGCAACGATGAATTAAGTCGCAAGATCACCGAGGCGTACCGGAGACGGCAGAGGGAGCGCTCACAGCTGGAATCTACGAGAAGAAGTAATAACTCTACGCCAGCGAGTCGATCACAAACCGTATTGCCGCTACCTAGGCCCCCTGTTGCAGACACTCTACGTCCAGGTAGCAGGCAGAGGTCAAATTCTGCCCACACGAGAGGCTCAAGCATTGGGAGTCAAGCTGATGACCGTAGCCGCCCCCCTATGACATCGGCACGTCTAGATGTTCACAGCGATTCTGAAAGGCGACGACAAAGGAGGATGTCGAGCGGCGCCAGGAGTGCAACCGACCCCGTTCGACCTACTATGGCTGAGGTACCTCCAGCAGCCCGGTCTCAGACGGACTTGACTCTACGCTCCCAAAGTTCTGATCCATCGACCCGTCGGCCTTCTATCGCGGATGGGCGAAGCTCTAGCATGCCTGTAGATAATCCTTCATTGGCTCCAGTGTCAGCTGAACAGCCTAGTAATAGTACGAGAGATTTATCTTTCAGTCAAAGAGCCTCAGCTGCTGCCCAAGCATCTTCAAATCTGGTTCCCTCGCCTCTGTTTTCACCCGTCGATGACTCTGGTGACGAACGTCCAAAGCGACGACGAAGGCGTTCAAGTGCAGTGGCACCCCAGAGCCCACTACCTAGCCTTGGGTTAATATCTTCGCCTACGCATCGACCAAATCACCAGCGGACACGATCGCAATTTTATCAAGAGCCCTCAATTACGTGTTCCCGCTGCCAAACGCCCCATATCGAGTACGACCTGCACTACAACTGTGCACAATGTAGCGGTGGCGGGTGGAATATCTGCTTAAAGTGTTATCGAGAAGGCAAGGGCTGCCGCAACTGGTACGGGTTCGGATATGCCGCCTTGAAGAACTGGGAACGGAAGTCTGCTACTGTCGATCATCCCCTCGAACCACCACATAGGCTAACTGCAAATCGATACCTTCCACCTCACTCCACTCCAGGCGGTGCTGTAGGCCGGAAGACCCTAACGACGGAGGACCCCGCCAACCGCCTCGAAAGCGGTATGTTCTGCGTGCGTTGCAGCGCCTGGGTCAATGAGTGCTATTGGCGATGCGACGTGTGTAATGACGGGGACTGGGGCTTTTGCAACCCCTGTGTCAACCAAGGCTACGCTTGTACACACTCTTTACTGCCTTTGACTTACCTATCACCACCCCCTTCACCTTTGCTTCTTCCTTCTCCGTCTGTGCCTCATCCAGGCTCTACCCCGCCTGGAAGTCCCAGACTTGGACAAGGACACCATCGTCGGCCGCGCTCCGCTACATTATTCACTGGCCCCACAGCTACGAGTATTGGTAATTTCAGACCGTTGACGTTCATGACTACGTGTGATGTCTGCCGACGGTCTATACCGCCCTCTGATCGTCGATACCATTGTAGTGCGTGTACGAGCACTATTGTTCCGGAAACCCAGCCTGGGGACTATGATGTTTGCTTTGAATGCTACGGCGACCTCCTGCGAGATGGCCAGCTTTCTGCTGATAATGGGCCTGCAGGTTGGCGGCGATGTTTGAGCGGTCACCGTATGAGCATAGTCGGCTATGTCGAGGACAAAGGTGGGCTGAGACGTGTGGCGATACGGGATCTCGTTGGTGGGAATGGGCTTTCGATAGAGGCCCATGAGAGCGATCCTGCACTCCAGAAATGGTGTTGGTACATAGAAGGCTCTAAAGCACAGCGTCTTGTGACTGTGGATGTGGCTGCTAGCCCAGTCGACCAGCAGCAAACAGACTTCCCTCCCGACGGGGGAGCAGGCCTCAGAGGAAATGCCGTATGGTCGTGGTACCCGGCCCCCGACGCGGAGGATGAGCTGATGTTTCCCCGTGGCGCCGAAGTTCGTGAAATCGAGGACGTCAACGGGGATTGGTGCTTCGGGTCATATATGGGTGCTAAGGGACTATTCCCTACGCCATACGTGAAGGATATGCTTCCAGACGCATGAGAAAAGGAGGGCGTGTGCCTTTATACTTGGTCTATTCACTTTCGAACCTTTGTTTACAGCGAGGATATGTGGCTTGGTGATTCATTGACAGGCTTTTAGCATTGAACTCAAATTTGACATACTAATATGTGAAGTCAGGTTTACATGAATCATTGGCTTTCCCACTCTCGGTATCCTGGGAGAGTGTACAGTAAAGTCGTGAGGCTGGAGGCAGATCCAATTATCGTTAGTGAACTGTTTACTGTGTCTATAACTCAAACAACGACCGTCGTCCATGTATAGTCGATGAAAAGCAAATAATTGATTCAGCCCAGCTATGAATATATGTGTCATTCTCCTTGTTATCTAGATACTGGTGGCCATCTTATATATGTGAGCAGACATGATCTAAGTAAAAAATTAAAAATTAAAATAAATCGGTCACCTTTTGATTATGAAACAGAGACCATAATTCCCTTAGATAGAATGTCCAAGGATGACCGTTAGCGGCCGGCAATGGCGTGATCTGAAAGCCGGCAAGCGGCTCGGAAGAAGAAGCGGCGGGGTGGACCGCGAGGCAAGAACTGGCCCCGCCAAAATTTCTAAGCACGCAAGTTGCCGCTAGGTAGCTTATACTTACAACCTCTCTTCTAAAGCCTACTTCTCATTAAGCTAATAGGTGATCCGCCGAGGGGTTGAATCTTGTAGCGGTTCCCTTGACTTACTCCATTGTCATTGAATTTTATAGAGATACACATCGGGAAGAGAAGGGAGGAAAGAAGAAAAAGAAGAAGAAGAAAGATGTTCCGCCAAAGTGTCCGGCGTTTCGCGACGAAGAGGGCGCGCAAAGTTGTTGCGCCTGCTCCTGCCCTTCCTGATCCGTTTGCTATCTCCAAAGCGCAAGGTATTGCGAAGGGACTTACCGGAGGTATGTTGGTTCCTACCTCTCAAGACGGACCTTGAAGATTCATGTCGGTTCCTTATGCTCTCATGCTCATATGTTCTGCTCCTCCCCTTCCCTTGATTTACAATCAAACCTCGGCCGAGGATGCAAGATATCTATCTATCACTCATAACAGCCTTTTTGCAAATCATTAACTCTCCAACCCCTCGTTTGTTTTCATATCATGATCCAATAGTATATCGATGATTCTTCTAACTCTCTCAAACCGTCTCGCTAACGCCCATTCCAGCCATCGGCAACACGCCTCTGATTAGACTCGACAAGCTCTCCAAGGAAACAGGATGTCACATCCTCGGCAAGGCAGAGTTCATGAACCCAGGCGGCTCAGTCAAGGACCGCGCAGCACTCTACGTCGTCATGGACGCCGAGGAGCGCGGGCTCCTCAAAGCCGGCGGGACCGTCGTCGAGGGGACAGCAGGCAACACGGGCATCGGTCTCGCGCACGTGTGCCGGTCGCGCGGGTACAAGCTCGTGATCTACATGCCGGACACGCAGTCGCAGGGCAAGGTCGACCTGCTCCGCCTGCTCGGGGCCGAGGTCTACCCGGTGCCGGCCGTGGCCTTCGAGAACCCGGAGAACTACAACCACCAGGCGCGCCGCCACGCCGAGCGGCTGCAGCAGGAGACGGGCAACGCCGTCTGGACGAACCAGTTCGACAACACGGCGAACCGCCGCGCGCACATCGAGACCACGGGGCCGGAGATCTGGGCGCAGACCGAAGGGAAAGTCAACGTCTTCACGTGCGCCACGGGCACCGGCGGCACGCTCGCGGGCATCACGCGGTATCTCAAGGAGATCTCCGACGGCGAAGTCAAGAGCATCCTCGCCGACCCGCCGGGATCGGTGCTGCACTCGTACATCCAGTCCGGCGGCAAGCTGGCGGAGCGCAAGGGCGGGAGCATCACGGAGGGCATCGGCCAGGGGCGCATCACGGACAACCTGGCGCCCGACATGGAGCTTCTCGACGGGAGTCTGCAGGTCTCGGACGAGAAGAGCATCGAGATGGTGTACCGATGTCTGGACGAGGAAGGCGTGTACCTGGGGGCCAGCAGCGCGCTGAACGTGGTCGCGGCCAAGGAGGTCGCGGAGATGATGGGGCCGGGCCACACCGTCGTCACGGTACTCTGCGACGGCGCGTACAGATATGCCGACCGCCTGTTCTCGAGGAAGTGGCTCGAGAGCAAGAACCTGCTTGGGGCTATCCCGAAGCGTCTGGAGAAGTACATCGTCTTGGCGTAAGACACCTGCGAAATTTCGATGGGAGTCAACTGGAAGGGAAAAGAGCATAGCACCGTGATTCTGTTACTGCATTGAGCCAGCTGGTGAAACATCTACCAACGTGAAGTTGAGGTGGGGGCGTGCACGCTCTGAGCGGACTTGATTAGATGCTGCTGCCACCAAAACATTACATAGCTTTAGACACTGATCGGATAGATCCGTTTGTATATATCGAGCTGTTATACATCTTTCTAAGTGTACAACAAATGGGGCTTCAGGCGTTGATGGTATTACAAAAATGAACGTCCGCCCCCTCCATATAGCTACTATCCACCCCTTCCCCTTACGCATCGTAGAACCTCTTGTACACATCCGCATGCCTCGTAGCATATGGGGGCACTCTACCTCGTGCCTCATCGATCTCCGCCCTCAACGTATCACACCGCGCCTGCAGCTGACTGGCAAGCTCAGGCTTAACAACCTTCGCCGCCGTCTCGAGGCCGTGTAATAAAGGGGTGGCAAGGGAGACGAACTTGTCGGCATAGACCAGATAGGCGTACCTTCCTCCGTACTGGTAAAGCTCGGCGGGCTGTAACTCCTTTAATTTCTTGCCCTCAGGCCATAACAATACAATGTCTTGCGCGAGTTTATGAACCTTGTCTAGAATTTCCTCGCCGACCTCGTATCGCGAGGCAAGCACGGCGGCCAGATGTAGCTGCGCCGCTAGGACCATGGGGTCGCGGTTTAGCGGTATCTCCCCAGGTAGGGAAGGTTGGTCTTTGGGATGCTTGGGCTGATGCGCCTCATCGTAGAGCATCTCGACGACCATGTCGGCCCAGCGTAGGGCTTGTCTTGTCTCGGCCTCGTCCCATTCGGCATCGCGAGCTTTCAATTGTACATAGTGTAGAAGCTCGTTGACTTTCTCGCTGCTGTCGATTTTGTATCCCGTTCGACGAACACTGCGAGCGCAGTCAATCATGTCATAGACATGGCCCTTAGCACAGGTCACTCGCAGGATCTTAGCGTAGTTGCCATGTTGGAGCTTGCGGCCGGTGTAGTAAATACCCTCTAGTAAAGGTTTCAGGTTCGCGAAGTCGGCAGCGGTCTTGAACTTCGTGATGGCGGTCATTACGCTCTTTCGCGTGTTGGGTAGGTCGGTTAGTGGGTTTTTGTAGCGGAACTTAATGATCTCGCCGTCGATATCGATGACGATGGGGTCGGCTTTCAGCCTCTTCTGCCATTTTGTTGAGTAGATCTTTTTGCGCTGCTCCTCGGGGAGGTATGAGGGCAGAATGATGTTGGAGCGGATGTCGCTGAGGAGACGGTCAAGTTCCGGCGATGATGCAGGCGTAAAATGTGTGATGCTTGCTACGGAGCGGCTCTCTATCAGCACATACTCGTGATTTATGAAGTTATACACAGAAATTAGAATTATTGAGCCTGGACGTTCGTACCATTTCTTAGGGGTGTAGATGTGAAGCTCCGCTGTTGCTGGCCGGCTACCCTCCGCGCTGCGGCTTGGAATGCCCCATTGCCGGCACAAACGGCGCTCAGCACTGACTTTCCTGACATTATTCACTCGGCAGATGCAACAACTTGGCTTGTATAAGCTCTACCGTGCCGAGCAGAGTTTGCTGTGATCGTAAAAGTGGCGTCTACGATCGGAGTAACATCAATTGTTGTGTATCTCCCCATAAAATTTCCAGGTCGCTGCTTCGACAAGTCAAGGCGCCGAGATTCTACGCCTAACGCAACTGAGTTAGGCCATCCGGTTAGCACTTCCAGCCCCTGTAACTGCTGGCCCTACAGCGTGCGCAACAACATTTCTCCACCCTATCAATTCAAGGCCTGGTCTGCAGCTTCGATAGCAGCGACGACTACTTTTTGAGGACGGCCCGCGTGCAGCGTCGTCAATTGTCCCGTCGACTTCACAACCACCCACACAATGCTCACGCAAACCGCTGCGCGGCGGCCCCTCAGTGCCTGGAAGGCCGCATTGAGGCAGGCTCGCCAGCAACGTCCCATCTCGCTACCATTCTCACGCACACTGGCAACAGAGACGATATCAACTACCTCGTCCGTCGTAGAACCTCCTCCTCCTCCTCCCGCACCCGAAGCAACACCAGCATCACAACCGCTCCCTAAAGCATATCTATGTACGTCACTATTCATATCACCCTCAATCGAAAACATATCTTTCTCGGTCCTCCATCCAAACCGCTAACACCCCCCACCAGACCGTCTCAAAGACAAAAGTCCCACAGCACCAACCCGCTCCGCCTTCGCCATATACCCACGGGTGCCTTCTTCCAGGAAACTCGTACCCGCCCCTCTCGAATCATACCACGCACAGCAGATCCGGCGCTTAGACCCGAAGGGTCTACGCACGCAACTCTTTTCGAAGCACAACCGAGACTCCGTGAAACCAGGCGACGTGCTGCAAGTGACGACCAAGCGCGGCGAGCCGTTCGCAGGCGTATGTCTATCGATCCGGCGCGCGGGCGTCGACACGGCAATTCTACTACGCAACCACCTCACGAAAATCGGCGTCGAGATGTGGTACAAGATCTACAGCCCCAACATCCTGGGCATCGAGATCGTCTGGCGCCGGCCCAAGCGCGCGCGCCGCGCCAGGCTCACGTACATGCGCCAGCCGAAGCACGACATGGGCAACGTCGACAACCTCGTCGCCGAGTGGCGGCGCACGAGGAACGTCTTCAGCTCCAGGGGCAAGGGGAAGCAGGCTTCTGCGGGCGCGAAGGGGAGGAGGTAGATACCATAGGAACTAGGACGGACTGATGACGTGATGAGCTGGCAACTAGAGAATAAATCCAGAGAGAGAGAGAAAAGGTACAAGACACACTATGTGACGCAATTCTCACGGGAAGACTGAGGATATCTTTTTTATCTCAAAGATCTCTGGGAAAGAAATACTAGAGTCGTACAAAAACGACTTGAATGCAGAAACAGGGTAGGTAGGTCTGACGCTATAGGCCTACTGACTTTACAAACACCCTGATTTCAAATCCTGTACACAATCATATGTAGACAATGTACAACTACTACTATAACACTAAACTCGTATTTCCGCTGAAATTGGTACTCGGAGTCATCACTCAATCCACCAGCAAGTAGATGTTGTGTATGTCCAACTTTCAATACGGCTATCACGCTATCGTCTGCGATTACAGGGGGTGTCTTATTCTCTACTACTCGTTCAATATAACTATAGTAATTACACATATAAAGGGGTTGTAGAAGAAGTAAATCATTCTTTTCTCATAATACTATCGATCTAAGTAGCAACAAAATCGTGACGGGATAGCAATCTTGCGGGAGACGAGGTACGCTGATATTCACTCGCTCCCGGCGACACCCCAGGGCCGCGCGGGGCCTCGTAGTTCCGCAGTTTCTCTATCCTTATTCGGTGTGAACCGCCGCCTCTAAATACGTAATTTTAGGGTGTATATATATGGGAAATGGTGCGTATTATATATATATGTGCCCCCTCCCGACGTCCATTAACTGTTGGCACCACCCGCCGTGCTCGTCGTTTGTTTGGTTACCTACCCGGTGCTTCCTAGGTACCACTGTACACGAGTGCTTCGATTACTCCATCTACGATTGCTATCGAAGCCCCATTTAGGGCTTTGGAAGGAAGGGGCAGATCGCGGTCTCGACTGGTGCTCAGGCTCATTGTGATCCACTAGCGTTCTCGTCCTCCACTATGAGGTTGAGACTGGCTGTGTTTCTGCTCTTCGGGCTCTGGAGTCTATAGTTCCCTGATCATGAGAACCACGGGTTTTGGTTGACGTGGCACTAGTATAGCGCTTCAATGTGTCCGGTCTGGTAAGCCCCGAGGCCTGCTCTGACTTGGCTTCAGACTTGGCCATCGAATACGCTGGTCCAATGTGTAGTAATCCGGCAAAAATATTGCCTCGATCGACACTCCGACTACGCTCTCTTCCTCTGCTCATTGAAGCACGGTCCGCCGGATGTGCAGAAATAGCGGATTGGCGCCGCTGAAGTCTCAACTCAGCGTCCTCTACCTCCTTACGGTGGAGATTTTCGCTGGGTAAGAGAACAGCGCGGTCAAGTCCGTAAGGGAGACCACGATGGCGGCCGCGAATCATCATAGCAATGATAACGAGTTTCCCAAGGACGGAGAATTGCCCAACAAGTGATGTGTTGGTCCCCGTATACCCCAAACTTAGCCCGACGGTACCATAGGCACTGACAAGTTCGAAGAGCACGGCAAACATAGAAAAATCTCCGGAGACAAGACGGCCGCCTTCAGTAATGGTGAGGATGAAGAATCCGAGGAAAACGTACCACAAGTCAAAAGACAATTGGCGACGCAAATGGGTGCCTACGTAAGATATGCTGGGCTGGTTATCGTCAAAGTCATCCTTTGACTCGTATACGCCGAGGGATTGTTCCTCGTATACGTTGGTCTTTCGTATTGATATGGCCACAGGAAAGACGGAAATATACATCATGATTAAGTACGAAGTCTGCACTGCGGGGTGAACTTCAGCGAGATTGAGGCACGAAAACCCAGCAGTTCTTGTCGACGCGGCCTGAAACCAGCCGTCCAAAAATCGGACATGCAACGGAAGTTTAGAAATAGGCCCGCTGCCCAGCTATATACAGAGTTAGCACAAACTAAAATCATATGATCAAATAGGATGAGAGAAAGACTTACATCAAGAACGATGAACAAAATTAAATCTATAGTGTTGAGAGCGATAAGAATGAAGAACAGCCACCAGTTCGCATTCGAAGGGAAAAGTAGCGTGAAACATCGCCGAGGATGGTCAAGCAGAAACCGAAGCTCTTCCCAGAGACCCGAGCCACGTGGCGCAAACAATGACCCAAGCCAAATCATGAAACGTAGGGCGACAGGAAATCCAGTGTTGCCCAGAATGATGAGGAATGACATGATGAGTAATGGGAAGATCGCCGTGTTGAAGGAGTTCATGCTGTCGGGAGTTAACGTGAACCCGAGATCCATGAATGCGGAATTGGCTGTCCAGAATCCCCACCATACACGACCAATACCATAACCCTCTAGAACAGAGCCATAGTAGGGATTATTGTGCACGATCCATGGGACCAAAGTGATGATTCCCAGAATACTGTAGCCCCAGAAATATATGGTGAGACATAGTGCAAGCGTCTTCAATGAACGGTATTCAATACCGCCAAGCTCTTCTCTTTGCTCTTCAGTTAGGTCAACGAATTGTGAGTTTCGACCTATTGTCGGCTGCCAACTAAGATATGGCATAGGGTCCTCATCCTTTCCTCGTGTCAAAGCCGTCTTTATGCGACGCAGAGGATTGGCACGAGAGTCTTCAAGCGTATCTTCGGTATCGGTTGGGGGGTAACCTGAACCTGCTGTTCTCGATTTTCGGAACCTGAGAGAAGCCCCAACAACATGCGCAGCTGCCTCTACGTCGTCTTCGATCCTTGTAGGTATGCTAGTATCTTCCTTTCTGGGTTTATCAGGTTCTGCAATAGTAATGGTCTGTTGTCTCTCCCCATATGGTAGTGGTCGATGTATCGCTTGCGGTCGCTCCATGCTTGAATCACGTCGGCTCCGCGGAAATTCCGGCTCGGCCTCAACGTCACCCTCAAACTCCTCAGGCAGGGCTCCCATATCGGCGTCTCGAGGGCCAGGAATCCTCAATACGCTCTTGTCGGCTTTGCGTTGCTTTTCAAGAATGGCAATATGCTCGGCATTTGATCTCCTTTCGGGTAGAAGGATAGGGGGTCCGTCATCATCCTCTACCGTATCACTTCGGCGTACTTCGGTGGCAAATTTAATCTGAGGCTGAGCAGTTCGCTGCTCTTCCTCCGTATTCTTGGACTCTGAACCATCTTCTGATCCAGACGTATTCGTAAGCGCGTCCGCCTTTGTCTGCCCATCTATCGAGTATGCATCCAGCAACATGCCATCGTTTGCCACTCGTGTCACCGTTCCTGGAGTACGTACGACATTGATGCTTCGGCCATTTATACCCTTTTCCAGGGTTGCCGAATCCAGCTTAGACTTGGTGCGTGATTTACTGATAGTAATTCTCCGAGATCGTGCTTCCCGAACGATATGTTGGAACCGCTTCTCGAACCAGTAGAGCCGAAGGAATACTACAGAAGAGTGGATTGTGATTGGATTGGACAGAAGGGCAGAAAAATACATGACAAGTTGTTGAAAGGTGTTTAGGAGGTTTATATCTACGGTGTTCAAGCCCGCCTGGGTATTGGCACCTGCAGCAAAAGCGAGTGCATCGACGTAAGCCAACTGACCATGAGCAGAGGCATACATAAGAACGGAACCTATGATAGTCCACCCAATGATCCAAAAATCTGTGGATAGGTTAGCAAGTATAGAAGTGAGAGATGACCAGGTGAAGAGATGACTTACAGTGGAGTGTGATGAAATTAAAGTGAGGATGTCGTGAGAGGAAGGCCGGGCGAAGAGCCTGAGCCCATTTTACAAGATGTTCACGGGCGTTACCCATGATAGGCAGATATAGGTTGGTTTGTTAATAGAAGCGTATTATGAACAGGGTGGATGAACGTTGAGAGAAGCCAATGTTAGAGGTCTAAGGCGTGATAGACCTGTTGCTTTAGGTCTTCAGTACTAGCAGAGCAAACCCAGAGCATCGTGTATTATTAGAAGCTAATTGAGTCGAGTTAGCGTGAGTATATATTTATGAATCCAAGCGGCTAGAAAAGCGCATGAGACAGGCGTTCGAATAGCTGGTGTCTATGTTTGTTGTTTGCACAGATAAAGCGAATGTGGGCAAGGGTTCAAAGCACATGAAAAGGTCGAATGAAAGAATCCGACAGGGCCCGGCATGAATAGAGTACAAAGGGGAGGGAAACAATTAATTAGTCTTGTCTAATTGTTGTGACAGACAAGTCCGCAAGATTCCTGGAAAGACGTCGGAAAGAAAAGAAAGGAAAAGAAAAAAAAGGTGTTGAGTGACGCAGTTGGGAGATGGAGTTCAATGTCCCAGAGTATACCACTTATCACGAAAACATGAGAATAGGGAGTCCATATGGGTGAACTTACTATCAAGCAGTAAAAGGGATGAGTGGCATTGGTGGCTGACTGGATTCAAAACCACGACAGCAAAACTACAAGTGAGACAAGTCGCTGAGTGAAGAGATTACGGATGGGTGGAAGGGGAGGGAAATAGTGAAGGCGTAGATGGGCGTAGATGGCTGAATTGGTTTGGTCTGTTTGGTCTGTTGGCCGGTATTTTGGAGTTGACCGAAGGCTGCGAGCGGGTCTATAACAGGAGAGTAGTGTAGGTTCGATTTGGAGCAATACAATTGGAAATATCGGAATGGAGGTGGAATTGCATGTGGAAAGAGACGGGATGCTTGGCAGCTTGGTCCCACTTTGCCTGCACAGCCAGCACGAGGAGCCATGGGCTCTAGCGTATGTGTAATATACTACCTACATATGTACATAATACTTACTTCCAGCGAGTTACAGTACCTACAGTAGTTCTATAGTACTACCTATTATGCTGCTTACTTACTTAACTGGTTAGATACTAGGTACCTAGTAGGTCAGACAAGGTACAGGGCACTTCTCTGTTGGGGCTATCATAGGTAATATGTAGTCGAGGTAATAGGTTCATAGGTATTGAGATAGGATCACAGTATTTTTCTTTAGCTGAGGCTGAGGCCTGTACCTAGGTACTTACCTGGATTCACTGCAGTGTACTTGCCTGAGATGGAGGTCGTCTCTATCTACCCGTACCTGGGTACTCGCACTATAAATGTATTTATTGTATATGTACATAGTACACCCACTTACATGGGTGGCCCTGACTGCAAGAGTCGCGCACAGCGGCCCGGGTGGGTGATGTGGCGCGTTCTGGGTCTCTCTGGGTCTCGAACCAAACAAGATCTCTTTTTTAGTATGCCCACTGCATGAAACTTCGGCCAAGAGAAAGCTGCGAGTGCATACTTTATATGCAGGTGCATAGTAGGTAGCGAGGGTAGGTATGGTACGGTAGTATCGATGATGTTGTTGATTGTGGTCGTGAAAATCTCCAACGATGATACCACGTTATCACCCACATATGTAAATCATCGAGGATAGCCCCCAATGTCTCAGTTGGTTGGAACAAGCACTAACAATAGATAGGTAATGTTACCTAAACCAGTAACACAATCTCGACCAGCCTACCATGGTACACTACCTATAACTGCGAGATGGCGGGCATCCCGCTCAGGCAGGGCGCTTACTGGGAATGCTGTAAAGTTGTTAGCGTTTAGTTAACTATTGGTGCTGATTTGTAGATAAATATACTCAATTGGGAAATGAGAGGTACAAAGTATACCTACCTCTCACTCGCAGGTAGGTAGGACTACAAGCATCCTGACCAGTAGCCCTGACCAAGGGCGCAGTGATGGTGTTTGTGAAATTTTCCATTCAATTGGTGGCTGGGGAAGTGAAACTAACTACTTAGCTATTTCATCGTTGACTCAGATAGGTGCTGAGACCACTATACGAGTTATAGATACCGAAGGCCCGGTATACTTAAGTATGTATGTGTGGGCGCGCGTCAAGAACGGGAAGCAATCACGAGACCTCACAAACCTCTGCCGAGCATGTTACCTGGCATGGCGAAGTAGGTAGGTACGCCTTTGGTAGCGTAGGAGTGTAAGCACCAATTGCTTTTTCTTACTTACTTACCGACAGACTACCGACATGACAATGCCTTTCTTCCACCATCAATAGCCGAGCTGATAAGCCACGTAACGGTACTGGCGAGACTGGTAAGGTGGATTGTGAGTTGTGTAATCATCGGACGATCGATCCTTCGACCAATGTTGCAACAGCATACCGGTACTGTATGCGCGCAATGATTGGCAATTGACCCGACTGAAGTGATAACATCCCGGAAGCTCTTGTTTTTCTCACATTCTCCAACGCGGTCGGTCCTGGTTGCCCCTTCATTGGGTGCCGTTACGCAGGAAAGCTTGGTCACCTGTCTACCCGATGATGTGCTGCTTCCCTCTCCCTCTCCTCCATCTCGCCGTCCAATATAGGAATCCCTTCCCGTGCGCCGGAGCCTTCTGGCCTATCAGAGAGTCTCGAAAAGGGAGGAAGAAGCAATGGCCACAAACGTCACTGATTGGAGCCGGGCAATGGGGTAAGCATACACTTGTAGCCGGAGGCTTCGGAGCTCCAAATGTCTCTCTTTTCTTATCTTCAGGCGGACGGGAGAGGAAAAAGGTTATACAGGGACGAGGCACCCATTTGTTTCATCGCCTAAAGGGGCAATTGTAATAATGAACAGTGTGTGCATGTGTCTATTTACTGTACTACATATGTACACGTACTCTCGTAACGCTTCCATATTACCGGTAGTATGGTCTGGTAGGGCATAGACAACTGCCAGGCTCGCCAGGCTCAAACTCCACAGGTAAATCTTTCCTTTGACCAATTCTACATGCATATAGTTTTACGGCGTATGTTAACTATTTTCGAAAGGTGCATTTACACTAACGTAGAAACCACTGTACCTAGACCAGAATTGCCTAGGTAGGTTACAGCGACGCGCACCTAGGTAATTGATCAGGGCCCTAGCAAGGGACTGAAGCGCAGCGCCCCAATCCAATGATGTCATCATAAACCTTGACTATAATCTTTCGCATCTTAACTTCAGCCAAAGCCAACATGTGAAAACTGCTGTATGATTGAAGCTATACTCAGAAAACCCGCATTACGCGCTACTCCATTGCGACTCTTCATGCGTCGCAATCCTGCGCAGCATATAGTAAGTTTACTTCTTCTCTTTGACGGGATCCCTTGGAGCAAGCCGATCTCGGCGCTACTCCCATGTGTTGCTGTTAAAGCTCCTGATAGGCCGACGCATGTAATTTACATCAGAAAATTGCACACCGCCAATAACTGACCATGATACCAACTTTACCTGCAGAGGCTCTGTAGTCTTTATCAAGAAACCATGCATCAGGTACACAATATCAGCGGTGAAATATTTGTTTACACAAGGCTTTACACCGACTACCTATCAATTGGTTGCGTTTTGCGGAACGCCTCAGCATAGATAAGACATACTATGTATATCCAGTGTCTTGAGCACGACGTAATCAAGATTAATTATTGGGCGGCTGTCTTAATGACCCTCTTTCGCAGGCCGTTTACATGAAACATCTAGGTATTTCCATTATCGCTGATCCTTCAGCCTCTGTTTCTCTCTCTGGATCTTCTTGAAGAATGCATTCTGCTGTGGCTTCTTCTTGAGCGTCTTATTCATGCTCTTCTTTTGCTCGACATACGCCATGTCCTGCCCTCCACTAAGCTCGCCTAACGTGCCAGCTGTACGCCTGACGCGCCTCTTTTTCGATGTTGTGTAGAAGAGATCGTCGGTATCTTCGGCAAGTTCGCTTTGCTTCTTTTCCGCGTCAACGAGCAGTTTCTGAAGCAGCTCACGTCGCTCCCGCGGTGTATTATACGCCAACCCTTCCATTTTTTCCATTCCCGCTAATTGTGTGATCACCTTAAATGAATAGCCCTGGTCTACCAAAAACGCCTGTCTCTTTGTAGAATAATACATTTCAGCCGTGTCTTTAGACACAAGTGAGTAAAAAAATGCGTTGAAGCCTTCGTCTGATCTTCGCTTCGCTCGAAGAATTCGGCCTAGCCGTTGTGCTTCTTGTCGTCGTGATCCATAATGAGACGAAATCTGTATTAAGCATGTAGCTTCAGGTAAGTCTAAAGACGTATCGCCAATCTTCGAGAGAAATACAGTTCTAATAGCCGGGTTATGCATGAAATTGTCCAGAATTTGCATACGCTCGGTATTGCCTGTTGCACCACAAATATAGGATTTGTTAAGAGCTAAAGCTACAGCCTGTAAAGCGTAGACATTGTCCGAGAACACGATGATCTTGTCTCCACGTCGTTCATGATAATCTATGAGGAACTGGCAAGCTTGAATTTTGCGTGGATTCATCACGTAGAGGTTGGCTTTGAGACTGCGGTCTGTTGTCCTCAGATACTCGTCATAGAACTCGGTCGTCATGGGGCACCACACCTCGGCACATTGCACTTTTGCAATATGGCCTTGTTCTGAAAGTTCCATCCAGTTCGCCTCAAACAACTTGGGTCCAATCAAAAAGTTTAGATCTTGAATCTTGTCGTCTTCTCTTAGTAGTGTTGCAGTCAACCCTAGCTTTGCGTGACTCTTGATGGAATGGGACACTTTTCGGAAGATTTGCGCCGGGACGACGTGAACCTCGTCGAGTAGCATCAGACCCCATTCTCGTCCTGTCAAGAAGTCCATCATCTTTTGAGAGTCGTAGGCTCGTTTGCCGGATTGGGTGACCATTGGATACGTCGTCACAATGATACCAGTGTTGCCGGGAAACTTTGACTTGCTATCAGCGGTGAAGACTGCGATGTCTTCAGGCCGAATGTTCGACCATTTCAAGAACTCTTGACGCCACTGATGCGCTGACATCGTACTTGTGCAAAGCACAATGCATCCTTTTTTAATAGTGCATGCAGCAGTGATACCAACAAGGGTTTTGCCAGCACCACACGGTAAAACGATGATGCCGCTCTTCGCTCGTCCGTTACCAAACATCTTGCTGAGGCTCTTCTCTTGGTAACTTCTAATCTGCGTCGCCGGTCGAAGATCAATCTCCAAATTAGCGTTTCGGTCATCGTTCCGAAAGTCGTACTCTTCAAGCATAGGAAACTGAATCTCAAGGCAACGCTTCTGGACCGTCTCCACGCTTGTGTCGGGAATCTCAAAAGCATGTACAGCTTCCTGGTTATCATCATCGTCATCCTCCCGTAAAGCGTCGAATGGATTTTCTACTTGTGGCTTTTCGGCATTTTCTGGCGGTTCACCTTGTTGCAGTTGGGCTTGTTTGACACCAGCCGCGTTGGAAGTACCGGGGATAACGAGGCCACCCATGGATGGGGCATTAGTGACTGTATCTGTCCCTTGAACTCGGCACGGGCCAATTATAGGATCTTTGAGAAGCTTTTGCAGTACTTCCGGATCATTGCTTTCCACAAAGTATTTGGTGTCCTTGATGACCAATTTTACCTTCCCATAGCTAGAGGCGCAGCTTCGGATAAAGCCTATAATCGATGAAGGTAGTGGGGTTTTGGAGAAACGGTCGAGGGTGTTAACAATGTCTTGAGGTAGCAGCCCAACAGAGACCGCGGCGTAAAGACTATGTGGTGTCAAGGAATATTCGTGTAAAAAGGTCGGGCGTGATATCGGCTCGGCGATGGTGATAAGGAAATCCTTAGCTTGCTCCGCGATTGGGTTGAAATTCTCGAGGATAATTCGACCACGTAGCGGATCGATCCATATCGGGCGACTCTTGTAATCAGGTTTGAGAGGCAGGTAAGAGAAGTCACGTTTGCCGTTATCGCCGAAGTATCGTGAGGCACTATCAATAGGGCCGCGCCTGGTTTTGTCCTGGTATGCGGCTAGTGTAAAACGATCAACTGCCTTCTGTATATTCTCCTCGTCTTCGGCGGGCTCTATGGGAGAATCGGGTTCATCTTCACTATCGATATCCCGAGGCGTAGAGGGGCCTGGTGTTGAGGAGGCAGACGCCCTCCCGGACTTGGCAGCACCGGTGACGTCTTAAGGCAATGTTAGTACCGCCAACACACTCTGGGATACAAGAGCCAGCTTACTCGCAGGAGCTTTTCTCTTGGGCGCCATAGCTTCCAACGGGCACGCAACCAAATTTTTGTGCTCTGGAAGCGAGGAGTCGATAGAGGAGACAAGGTATAAAAGTTGACGAGAGGAGAATAAAGAGTTCAGACAGCAGGGTCTGGGACGGAATCTGTACTGTGCCAGATAGGTACCTGCCTACCCAACTGTAGAACTGGAGGCTGCAGCCTAAAGCCAGCCCCGGAGTGTTCTGGCCAAGGTTAGCAGACAAGCTGTAACTGCACCAGTAAATGATAAGTGGCGAATCATGCTCGATTCTTTGCAGTAGGTATTATGTACTTCAATCCTGCATGCAAATGCCCCAATTCGAGATTACCTAATCTCAGCACATCTTCGTACCGCCTTCCTAAATAGTGCCCTTATACACTCACCGCTTTTGCATGCCACTTCTCTGCCGGCAAAATCCTGTAATTTTCCCAGAATCGCAAACCGTCACCCCACTAAGAGAGTGTAACTCGCAGCTGCCCGTTAGTTTAGTTGAGCAACATCCAGGTTCCTGCAGCCAATACGTCTCTAGACTGTACATGTCCCTCGTTACTGCCTTTTCAATGACTAGGTGACTCAGCCAGCTAAGGTCACAGTTCCATTCCCCGTCAATCATTCTCAACTTGCTTGATGTGACATTTGTCATATGCAACCGCAACAGCCTGCTCGCCGCTCATCAATATTCGGCTCTAATTGTTGTTGACGAGAGAGAATTCTCAGTTGAACTCACATTCTGGGTCGAAGATGGCAACGCACACAGCTATGGCGCAAGGCAGTGATGCCGTGATGAGAAACTCCCTCGAGCAGCGCCTTGGAATCATTCACTTTGTTTCTACTAAGGAACACGGCTGGTCCGGCCACCTTCGTACCAGGTAGGTACCAGCCCTAGCTTAGCAATCCAAGAGCCTGTATGGCCTCCGGCACATCAGTCCGCGAACTCTCTTCTCTCGTTTAGGACGGTCAAGACAGGTTCTTTTTGGCAGTAAAGGCTGAGATACTAATCACAACCAGATATACCGACTTCCAAGTCAACGAGATCACCAAAGGTGGCGAGGTTGTTCACTTAAGTGATTTTCATAGCAATTCTCGAGAGCTAGCGCGAGCTGCAAGTCAAAATGCTGCTACGCCAACTAGCACCCAACAATCTCAACAGCCCGATGCGCCAAAAAGGGCACAAAAGGGAAACGGTACCGTCAAGGGTGAGCAGCGTATCGCTGAAGAGAAAACAGGTACTCCGACCGACGAGATCCCTAAAGATGGCATTCCTGAGTCAGATAAAGCTACCTTGGTAGACCTCATCGGCCAGGCTACTGCAGATGAGCTGATTGGATTTTATGAAAAGATCTTGCAAAGTTCAAAGACAACTTCCAAGGGCCCTGGGGACGTCAATATTCCTTCCATTAGAGATAAATCTCAACGATCTCGTGTTCATGGAGTAAGTCAGCTTAATCAATTTACATGACATATAATTAATATTCCAAAAGGAAATTCGCCGCATATTTGGTGGTAAAATCGAAACTACCACTGGCCCTGATGACTCTATCAAAGCCACGGCCGTCCGTGGAGGCAATAGGCAACGAGGAAATCGATCAGCAAACAATACTAGGAACGGCCGCCAGAACCTTACTCAGGAGAACGCTGGTCCCTATCTCCATTTCTCCCTTTACAAGGAGAATAAAGATACCATGGATGCACTGAACCACATGGCCAAGACCCTCAGACTTCATCCAAAGGCGTTTGGAGCTGCGGGGACTAAGGATCGCCGAGCTGTTACCGTCCAGCGTGTGAGCATCAAAAACCGTAGTCCTAACTCGCTTATTGCCGTCAATGAGCGAATCAACAATGTCAAGATAGGCGACTTCAAGTACGAGCAAGATCCTATCCGACTCAATGATCATGATGGAAATGAGTTCGTTATTGTCCTGAAGAACTGCGTATTCAGCGGTACTGAGGCCCTCAGCTTCGAACAAAAGCTTAAGGTGGCAAATTCGACTATTGACTCAGCTCTAACACAACTTATCCAGCGTGGGTTCATCAACTACTATGGAACTCAAAGGTTCGGTACACATCAAATTGGCACTCAGGAAGTCGGCATGAAAATCCTGAAGGGGGATTTTTCTGGTGCGGTCCAAGCTCTTCTATCGTACGATCCGCTCTTACTTGGTAGCCCCCAAGACCAAGAAAGCGGCAAAGGTGGCTATCACAAGGAGGATATCAGTCGTGCTCGAGCTTGCTCGGCCTTTTTAGAAACAAAAGATGCCGGAGCCGCGCTCGATCACCTCCCACCGCGATGTCACGTCGAGAAGACTATAATTCAACATCTCGGCAAAAGTCCAACCGACTACGTTAGCGCACTAATGTCAATCAATCGCTCTATGCGTACTATGTACGGCCACGCATATCAGTCTCTTGTTTGGAATTTTGTTGCTAGCAAACGATGGGAACGATACGGGTCCGAAGTGATCAATGGCGACCTTGTCCTGGTCAAATCCAAGTCGGCTACTATACGTACAGATGACGAAGATAGAGATAGAGAAGACTCGGTAGTATGGGGAGATGACATCACTACAAGCCGAAATTCCGGTCTGGTACCTCATGCCATCACCGAGGATGATCTTCAAGACAGGAAATACTCGATATACGACGTTGTCTTACCTTCTCCAGGCTGGGATGTCACTTATCCACCCAATGAAATTGGAGACTACTATTTTGAATTCATGGGCAAGCCTGAGAATGGCGGCTTAGATCCTTATGACATGCGTCGACCGCAGCGAGACTTCAGTCTTCCGGGCTCCTATCGAAAGTTAATGGGCAAACTGAAGAGAGTCCCCACAGCATCGGTACAGGCATACTCCAATGATCTAGAACAGCTTGTGCCAACGGATCTAGATATAATTTTATCCCGTAAAGCGGATGAAGCGAAAGAACGCGAATCCCGTCAACAAGGCGCTGCCACGGAATGGCATGCATTCACACAGAATGTTCATCAAAACGAGCTAGAGGAGTCTAAAGCGAGAGTCACCCACCGCCAAACTGAGGATCCTATGCCATCTGCGCGAATTAATGATACTTGGGTTCAAACATCAGTAGATGGTAGCAACAAGCGCATTAAGATTGCGAGACACGCCGATATTTGTAATGACGATGATCCGATGCAAGTTGATGATGATACAGCAGGTGATAACCCGGCGAAGTTCGAAGCGAATACAACTGTGGTTGATCGTCAAGATGCAGTGGATGGAGGAGTACAAGACCAGCAACCGGCCTCCAAAGGTCTTGCTTCCTCAATCATTGCAGCAGTAACAGCACAGGTGCGAGCCATCAAAACCAGTTTCCTCAAAGCAATCCATCAAGTGATGGCTTTTTTCAGAGCAGCTACTGACAGAAATTCTACAAAGCCTACCACCGATGGAGGCCAGCCACAGCCAGCTGAAATACCGCCAGAACCACGCTCAACTGATGGCGCGGTCACAGCCTCAGGACCAATTGTACAAACAATTCCCACGCCCAGCTCCTCCGGCCCCGAAATCGACACTGGTTCAAGTCAAGCTATTGCGGCACCCCTGCCGTCAAGTACCATTGAAGACTTGCAACCAGAACTTATTTCAGAAGATTCTACTTCAACTGCAGCAGTAGAGAAGGTTGAAGCCACAAATACCGGCACAGTTGTTCCTGCTGACCCTATCAACCCCAACAAGATTGCAGTCATCTTGCGCTTTGCTCTCGACACGAGTCAATATGCGACAATTGTAATACGAGAATTGCAAGGAGCAGTCGTGACTAGCAAGGGCTTTGCCCAAAAGTTGTGAATTGGCCTGACTCAATAGTACAAACCTTGCCAGTTTTATTTAAGTGAAATATACAGCTTGCTGATAGCCGATCGCTTGCTTGTATAGCCAGACTATTTCCAAATTGTCTCGCTTCCTCAAAGCTTTCTTTACGCAAGCAGTACAGAACGGACAGATAACGATCTCAGGGCGAGAATATCCCGTCAAAATAACGATGATGCGCAATCGAGGCATTGAGAGATTAGCTCGACCCTTGAGAAACAGCCTTTTTCCGGCCATAAAAATGGGGTTACATAAAGTTGTTCCAATACCAACCAGCCGTTCTTGTCGTCTTTTATTACCCCATAATTTCCCGTCTGCTAGGAGAAGAAGCTAAAACGGACCCGATGTACAAGCCGCTGGGATTGATCAAATTTGCAACAAGCGTAAGTATAAGTAAAAAAACCAGGTAGATAGATGAGATACCCAATTGCTACAACAAGAGCTTGAGGCACAACTAACCTCACATGTCTGACATCAGGCATTAATGCACGAATGGACATCGAAATCAGCAAGGTGAGCCGTTTCAGAGCAGCTCATGGCTTGACTAGTGTTCTCCCAAAAATTGAAGGCTACCGTCCGTTGCATGAGCATAGCCAAATACTTGTAGAATTAACGTATGATACGCAAGACTTCTACATATGCAAACTCAATCTCCCGAGGCTCCTGCCGTTGTAGGCAATCCTTTGTGATCATGCTATTGTCAGTCACACATCGAGACTCGCGATTGCCTTTGTATACGGCATCAAGAGAGTAGACCGGTCTAGCCGCATCTCCTTTGTTTACAAATGCTAACTAGGTATCCCTTTTTCTTTACCACTCATTGGAGAGTGTGAATTTGTAAGTATGAAACCCATCCTAACTAGCTTCGCTAGAGTTGCGATACAACAACTCTCCCTTTTGACGTGGACACCTCAAGATATTGCCAGTCGCTATATCTTCATCAAGACGAGGACATATTAATCGAATTGTAAATATCGGACTTCATTTTATCATTTGGCGGAAAGACAGAAAGGCATTGGTTGTGCAAAACTGAACAACAATGAGCGTGCTGGAAAGATTTGCAAGGCAAAATCATAGCCTTCGAGCTCGTCGTGATTTTAAGCCAAGACCGGTGCATATCAGCGATGATGGTCGTGTTACCTCCCTATTGAGTCGTCAACGAGACATCATGAATCAGGTAAGCTTATATCAGATTATATCATCAACCTCCCTCACCGCTCTAATCACTGAAAATTTTCTTGCTTCAGATATTGAGCCCAACGATAAAACATTTCAGTCTCGATGGAAGTAGTGGCTTGTCGTTTAGTCGACAGTCTCCATTACCCAGAGGTGTGTAAATCCCTTGTCGAGCACACGCAGATGTCGGTGTTGTATACTCAGTACATAATGGCAGGTCAATCGCCTGAAGCATTAACCTCTGATGAGTCGGTTGGGCCCATTTGGAACCGAAAAAAACTACTAGATCTATCAGATTCGGTACGGGCCGATCTGCGGGATGGCAATGTATTTGGACCAAATGCTGAAAAGCTCAGCTGCTTCCTTGAGGTCGCATTGAAAGACGAGGAGCGAAAATACCCCTCTCTAGACTTTGAGACGATTGAATATGCGCGGCTCGACAAGCTGCTGGCCGAGCTCCTCCAGTTCGCAGAGAATATGAAAACATCAGGCTTGACGCCGGAGCTCCTCCTACGCTTCCGTGTCGATGTCTCCGAGGCCAAGACTCTGTCGCGGTTCTGGCGCCGTCGCTTTCGCGAGCAATTCTTCATGATTAATCAGCATCGATGCGCAATTCTCGTGGAAGGCGGACGGCTGAAGGACGTTGCTTTCAACAGCTCACTTGACTACGACCTGGGCAAGTGGCAGACGATGAAAGTGACGGGCCCAGTGTCTGAAAGTGAGGCTAATCTGGAGTTCGAGCCCGGCCAGTAAGTGCATCCCTAACCCCATTCAGTAGCCAATAATAACATATCGGACACTAATATGAAGTAATAGCTGGTGGCTGAACATCACCTGCGCTGAGCGAGACGGCATAGTCAACAGTTCACTAGAGACGCCCACCAAGGGCTGCTATGGCTTCACATCATTGCCACTGCTAACTGGCACGGAAGAGTTAATCGGTCGCAACACGGTCAAATATGTGCGCGAAGGACGTTCGGCAGACATGCACATCCAGTTGATTTCCCAAGTCGGACGAAAAATTCGGATAATCCGAGGATATAAATTAAAGAGTATATTCGCACCAGTAGCTGGCTTGAGATACGACGGGCTGTAAGTCAAATCCCCTAAAATGAAAATTTTTAAATTTTTAAATCACTAATGTATCGGGGTCCCGCAGATACACCATCCGACAATACGGCTGCAAGCTCGACAACAGCGTCAACAAGTATCGCCTAGAGCTAACTCTTGAGCGCGCATCGGACCAGAGACCATTTGAGAGTATCAGCAAGGTGCCCAAACCTTCCCAGCTCGACGACTGGGCGCTATACGAGAAACTAGAGGGCGACAAGGTCAAATTAGTCGAGGGCGAGTCAAGTTATTTGCAGTGGAAGTTGAAGCGGCAAGAAGAAAAAGCAGACCTCGAAGAATGGCAACGGTCGAGATTGTTCAGAGCTTCGTTCTCGGTGCCGAGAGGCATAGGTCTAGGCCAGCAACGCCTAGATAGACGTGTCACTCAATTCCTATAATCACATATCCTCTAAACTTTCCTGAACAACGTTCTGAACACGATAACCTAAGCACGGCGATTTCTGTACCACTATCACACTACTGCACATCATAGTCGGAGTTCATGCGGGGCGTGAAAAGATAGAGATATGGTGTATTTTACATATTCGCATTAATGGTATCATTAAACTTCATGGGCTACTCATTAGGTATACAATATCATATTTTCATGTGCCCGCCTGACCGTGTCCTCTCATTATCATACCGACTTTCCTGGACAAGTATGATCAGTTACATTAAATTTTTTTTGTTATTCTTGTTGCAGCAACGCCTGAAGTATAGCGTTGACGAAGTCGGAGAGAGTAGCAACAATCTGTGAGTGCGTGTTATATTAGCAGGAATTCTCACTTTAAGTGAAACAAGCGGGACAAGGGTGGATAAAGTGAACTTACCGGTGTAGCATCGCCGATCAATTCTGTTGTCTGGTCGACGAAGGTAGCGGATAACAAGGCCATGGCGTTGTCTACGAGGGTTACGATGCCCTTGACAGAGTCTGGGGTAATCAGGGGCTTGAGTTGGTTAACGATGCCCTCAATGTCGATATCATTGAGAGCACCCAGGAGAGGCTTGATGCTTGAAATGAGACCAGATAGGTCGACTTCGCTGAGGGTGTTCAGCAGAGGCTTGACTTGAGCCAATAAACCCTTCAGGTCGATTTCGCTGAGCTCGTTGAGCAGCGGTGTAACCTTGGCCAATAGACCCTTGAGGTCGATATCAGATAGTTCATTGAACAAAGGTGCAACCTGAGCTAGCAATCCCTTGAGATCAATCTCGCCTAGCGCGTCAACAAGCGGCACGGCGTCACCAATCAGAGTCTGCGTTTGGTTGACGAATCTCTTCGTCAATAACGATTCAGCGTTGCCGACAAGGCCAACAAGACCTGTTACGGAATCAGGAGTCAGCAGAGGCGATACTGCCTCGAATGTGCCCTCAAGATCGATCTTGCCGAGGTCGTTTAGGATTGGTGTGACCTGCTCGATCAATGACGCAAAGTCGATCTTGCCCACGGCGTTCAAGATGGGCGAAATCTGCTTGATCAAGCTGTCGATATCGATAGAGCCGAGCTCGTTGAGCAGAGGTTCAACCATGGCGACCAGCTTACCAAGGTCTATCTTAGCGAGCTCATCGAGTAACGGTGAGATCTTGTTAATGAGCTCAGGTAGATTAAGCTTGCCAAGTGATGAGATCAGAGGAACGGCGCCACCGATGAGTGTCTTGGTCTCATCGACAAAATTCTTAGTTAACAGTGACTCGGCATTTCCGAGGAGACCGACAAGACCCTTAATCGAATCCTCAGTCAACAAAGGCTGGAGAGCCTGGAGCAGGCCAGCTAAATCAAGCTTTCCAACTTCATTCAGAATTGGCTCAACTTGATCGATTAATTTTTCGAGGTTGAGGTCACCGAGACTCTTTAGCAGAGGTGAAGCTCCAGAAATCAATTCCTTGGTTTGTTGGACGAACTGAGCAGTGAGTAGGTTCTCGGCATTACCAAGCAACGCTACAAGACCTTTGATTGAGTCTTCAGTTAACAAGGGTTGGAGAGCCTTGAGAAGGCCGTCCAAGTCAAGCTTTCCAACTTCATTCAGAATTGGCTCAACCTGATCGATCAACTTTTCAAGGTTTAGATCGCCGATACTCTTTAAAAGGGGTGCAGCTCCCGCGATTAATTGCTTCGTCTGCTGGACGAACTGGGCAGTGAGCAAGTTCTCCGCGTTACCAAGCAAGCCTAATAGACCCTTAATGGAATCTTCGGTCAATAGAGGTTGCAAGGCATTGAAGAGACCTGCTAGATCAAGCTTCCCAACTTCGTTCAAAATTGGTGTGACCTGTTTAATCAAGCCATCAAGGTCAAGTTTTCCAACCTCTTCCAATAATGGTCCGGCGCCGGCTATGAGACCCTTAGTCTCCTTAACGAAGTCAGCAGTAAGGAGGGTTTCAGCATTACGCAGAAGCCCTAATAGTCCCTTGATTGAATCTTCTGTCAATAATGGCTGCAAGGCGTTAAAGAGGCCTGTAAGGTCAAGCTTTCCGACCTCGTTCAGAATTGGTGTGACCTGTTTGATCAAACCATCAAGGTCAAGCTTGCCGAGCTCTTCTAATAATGGTGCTGCCCCGGAGATGAGGCCCTTGGTCTCCTTTACGAAATCAGGGGTTAAGAGGTTTTCGGCGTTGCCCAATAATCCGATCAGGCCCTTAATAGAATCTTCTGTTAATAGCGGCTTAAGTGCATTGAATAGACCTTCAAGATCGAGCTTTCCAACTTGATCCAGGATAGGCTTGATTTGTTCAACCAAGGCGCCCAGATCAATGTCACCCAAGTTTGCAAGGAGTGGGGCGGCGCCAGCAATGAGATTCTTGGTTTGCTTAACGAAGTCTGCTGTCAAAAGGTTCTCAGCGTTGCCCAGTAATCCGACCAGGCCCTTGATAGAGTCTTCCGTCAATAGCGGCTTCAGCGCGTTAAAGAGACCCTCTAAGTCTAACTTGCCAACTTGGTCAAGAATAGGCTTAATTTGCTCCACTAGAGCACCCAGGTCTATGTCACCGAGGTTTCCGAGCAGCGGTCCGGCGCCCGCGATGAGATCCTTAGTTTGCTTAACGAAGTCCGCTGTCAAAAGGCTCTCAGCATTGCCAAGCAGTCCTACTAAGCCCTTGACAGAGTCTTCCGTCAACAGAGGTTTAAGTGAGTTGAAGAGACCCTCTAAGTCTAACTTGCCAACTTCGTTGAGGATAGGCTTGACTTGGTCTATTAAAGAGGCCAGATCGAGATCTCCCAGACCGGCAATCAGACCCTTGGTACCTGTGACAAAATCCGGTGTTAGAAGGTCCGCGGCGTTGGCGATTAGCTTAATGATGATATTGACAATATCAGGACTGAGGAAGGGTTCGACGGCTTTGAGTAAGCCTTCAAGATCGATCCTTCCAAGAGTATCTATCAGGGGCTCGGAGGCCGTCAACAGTGACTTGAGTGCGTTCACGGTATTGTTGTTTAGGAGCTCTTCCGCATTTCCAAGTAGAGTAACAAGACCATTGATCGACTGGGGTTGAAGGAGCGGGTTTAATGCATCGAGAAGTCCCTTGATGTCGATGTCTTCTAAGCCATCGAGGAGTGGCTTCGCGGTGGTAAGTAGTGACTTCAAATCATCAACAGTTTCCTTAGTCAACAGGCTTCCAGCGTTGTTGAGCAAGGTGACGAGACTCTTGATCGTATCGGGCGTTAGTAGTGGCTTCAATGCCTGGACTATTCCCTTGATATCGATATCCTTAATGTCACCAACAAGGTCTTCTAGCGGTAACTCGCCGAGTAAGTCGACTAGGGGACCAGCCTTCATTACGAGATTCCTGGTGAGCATGGGCATAGGTGGTCGGAGGGTGTCAGCGAGGAATGTGAGCGAGTCGTGTACAGCCTCCAGGAATTCAGGCGTCAATAATTGTGAAAGAGCCTTGACAAGGTCTCCAAGGTCACCTAAGCTCGTTGTGATGTCCTTCAAACCACCGAGAAGATCACCCAGGTCACCAAGACCTGGAAGGAGGTCCCCTAAATCTTGTGTATTAACAGTTCCGCCGGACCCTGATCTTGACCCTGAGCCAGAGTCGGAACTCGAATCTGTCTCATTCTGATTGCCCTGTGCCCGTGGATACAACGGAGTTCTCAGTTGCTGTGCCTGGCTCTTCCTGAGAAGGCTGGTTAATTCCGTCAAGGCATCCGTGAGCTCTGATCGGGGGACTATTGCGAGATTGTGTTTTGCCAGCAAAGCGTCTAGAGCCGCGGGGTCTAAACCGAGCTCTGCTGTTGAGGCTGTCTTGGCGGCTTTTTCGGCGAGCAGGCCGGCGGGAGCCAAGGCAGCTACCAATAGCTTAGAGAAACGCATGATAACAATTGGCTGGAGAGAGCCACTCGTGAAGAGTTGTTGTTGATCAGACCACGCCGAGACGCCTGGTGAGCTTCAAGGCAAGAAGCAAGAAGCGCGTCCAGCTCCAAAGAGGCAGTGGTCAGTGGGAGCGTAACGAGCGAAGAGTGAGAGTTATGGACATGGACATTTGACGACAGACAGTAAGAGGTAACATGTAGTAGTACCTACTATAGTCTATAGCATCGTGTATGCGCGCTCGACGGCCCGCATAATAACACAACGATGCAACGGCGGTACCTTTCACATGGAAAAGGCGAGCAAGGTCGCGTATTACCGACTATAGCAGCCTAGTCCTAGTCCGTGTTGAAGCTGTGCGCTGCGTCGTTGCATTGCAGAGGGCGTCCTTTACCGTGTTGGGACATATCTCCATATTGGGCAATCAGCTCCCTTGATGAGATCGGATGCCATCTCTTCTGCGCAGTGCGTTCTCGTGTTCTCACCGCCCAAAAAAAAACCTGACTCTTGCTTCCAGACTGCTCCCAGCTCGGGCCCGTTTCCCCAGGTCTGCCCTGGTTCGCCCTGGTCTGTCATTGCTGGTCCCCAGCTTTCCATGGATCTGCACGGAGAGACATCTGTTTACGGTCGTAGCGCAGGCCATCGTTGCAGCCCTTGTGCAGCGATGTGTGTCTGATGTGTGTAAGCTTATGGAACCTTGTTGCGGCGGCGTTGTGGCTAGTCGGACCCCTGTTCTGCCCTGTTTCTGCCCTCGCGAAGCTCGCAAGCTAAACTAAACAGGCAATCTCTGTTTGGGTCATGGCAGAGTCATGGGTGCCATGAGGAGACGATGGGCAGAGATGGGGATGGTGAGGAGGAGTGAGGAGAAGGCAAAGTGAAGGGATCTCTGCATTCCTAGACGAGGCTAATTTCTCGAATTTCTCGCTACCCACTGCCCACTATCTACACTACTTGGTGTACAATAGCGTGGCCAGCGCCATTTGTTACTACCTAGCCGAGCTAGCCCGCCTAGCTCGCCCTTGTATTTGCTGTTAGTGCCGGTGCTACAGCTGCACCCCGCCCTCCTTCCCGTCTTGGAAGGGCGAAGGAAGACGCCGTCTCGGCCGCCTCTCACAATCCCACATACTCCATCAGATCTCCATTCATCTCAATAATACATGTAGTAACAGTAACAGCAATTCGACGGGTCCAGGGAAAGTGGTGATGAGGAGTGACACCTAACTACCCCTCTGTCTGCCTGTCTGTCTGCTGGCGTGACCACTTACTCTGATCGGTTTGCGTAGGCCAAGCCAAATCAAGCCTCGCTATTCGATGATCAACAGGTAACAGACATGTGTGTACACCTAGAACTCAGGTTCAGCTTGTAGTACATGCAGAATCCCCAAATCTCCAACTCATCTACATACGAAGTACTACAGTAGTAGCAAACCCAACTTTCACAAGCCACTGTAAGGTTGTGCGATGCTACCGAGGCATATTGGACCGATGGGGCTGATCACGATGCACTCATAACCCATCACTGACATGCGTACTAAAGTCTTTTTCGAACTAGTATCCGAAGCTCAAGAATCCTCTGCTGTTGTCTAGAACTCCACGAACAAAGTGGCTTACCTAGGTATACACTGTAGCTGGCATTGTTGAGTTTTGCTTTTGCCAAACGGTGGTACATGTATACCACTTCCACAGCAACTGACATGAACTCACGACTGTCTTGCCTTGGTACGCTAGTTTAGGGCTATACGCCTCTATGACTTGCATCAAGACCCTACCGAACCTCTCAGCGCCCCAGAATACCGGTACGCCAACGGCCGAGGTTGATACGAGATGTTAACACGACAGATAGGTGAGACTTACTAATAGCATGGTCCTACAATAACAGAGGAAGATCAGGGCTGATCACGATGGTCAGAATAAACTATTGTGGATGTTCCTGACTCGTCCGAAAAATGACGTCGCTCTCGTGAGAATTCTCATAACGGAGAAAGTGTTTCGATTTGGAATGGTATGGTAGACTCACCGAACTAGACTTTGCCTTGTGGTTACCTACTTCGTAAGGCCAGATTCTGGCCGGACAGTTTGTCAATAGTGCGCGGGGGGATCGACATTGGCTCCCGCGCAACCTGGAGTCTGCCGGGGGATCTGTGGAGGACCGAGGAGGGCCGACTCTTCTGCTGAAGCTATTTAATGAAAGAGGATCTGTGCGAAAAGGAGTGACTACACTGCGCTAGACTCAGACTAAGCCAACACAGTCTCAAGCCCCGCTGCGTACGTGACTAACAGAGAGCCAGTTAGGCTTCAGAATTTGGAAAGAAAATATTACATTCTGACCAGGGTCCCTGCAAGATATCGGTGGCCTTGCATGTCAACAACCAAGGCTAGGAATAATGCCGCGTCCAAATTACTTGCTAGGTGGAGATATTAATCTATTTACTCAATGAGGTAGTATGCACTAGGCTAGCCAGTGTGGGACTATGAGGAGAAGCGTCGCAATGTAACATCAACAAGCAAGGGTCGACAAGTCGATGGCCCGGCTGGGGTGCTACAGATGACGATTTAGTGTTGGGCAATGGCACAAAGGACTTTACCTGCGACGGCTGAAGGTGTCTTGTGCGTCTCCTCGTGGCTATGATACCCGTCGTCGCTGCTCGCCTGGTGTCCCATCCGTCTATCTCTCTGTGTCCGTCCGTCCCTTTCAAGGCTGTCGGTGCCTAGTAACAGCACGACATGGCATCAAAGTTCCAGGAGACGTCTCATTTCGAGCGAGACAGCCCGCCAGGCTCGATCCATGGTGCTGGGGGTGATGCGCCGGCTAGAAATAGCGATGATGGATCATCAGTCGACCATGTTCAGGAGAAGCCGGCAGCGGCAGTGCCTCTGACGAAAAGGCAAAAAGTCAAGCGGCACTGTGGCCGATTCAAGTGGTGGTATCTGGGTGTTGGCCTCATCATCCTCATCATCTTACTACCACTCATGTAAGTACATCTCAAGACATAGTAAGGGCTCCGAACTTAACTTAGATTCAGATTCACAAAAATCATACCAGCAATCACGCAAGATATTGTGAATAGTCAGAAGCTCCCTATCAAAACTGGTGTGTTACAAGTTGTGTCGCCAACGCAGCTCTATGTGACATTAGAAACGGAGCTCGATACACCACTGGCAGCAACCCTTGATCCTGCAACTCTGTTCGTCTACAATAAGGATACGGCTGATTACTCGCCATTCATCAACATTACTTTGCCTAAAATTCATGCAAATCACAAAACCCCAGTCACAGTCACAAATCAGACAGTCTCGGTGACCAATCACACTGAACTTGTGAAGTGGTTTGACCGAATATTTGATCAGCCCGAAACAGACCTGACTGTGAAAGGCAAGGCAACGGTTCGCCTAGGAGCGCTACACATGCAATCGAACATTGACAAGACAATCAAAATATCGTCTCTCAACGGCTTAGATGGATTTAGTATCGCCAGCTTGCGGCTCATATACCCAGCTATGGAGGATGGTACAAACATCAAGGGAACTCTGAACTTGCCTAATGCGGGTATAATCACGCTCGGACTGGGGAATCTCACGTTTGATCTATTCTCAGGCGACATTAAACTTGGTTATATTGACATCTACGATGTCACATTACCCCATGGAAACAACACACGAGCCTTCACCGGCCAGCTCTATCTCAACGAGCTGGTACCCAACCTGGGCGCAATCCTGGACAGCCAGTCAAAAGCACTCGCTGATGGTAACATTCAGCTAAGGACTACTGGTAATGCAACCAGGGTCAATGGGGTACGCATTCCCTACATAGAAGAAGTGCTCAACAACAAAAATTTGATAGCAACTGTGCCAGTTATCAAACTGGTAAGTGATGTCATCAGTAGCTTCTCTGGCAACAACGTTTCTCTTTCCGAACTGCTGGGCGATACAGTCGGCAACTCGACATTCATTGAAGGTCTTCTAGGCCACTGGAACTCAACTTCAACAAACACAAATGGCACTGCATTGCCAATGAAACTTGGCCGCTCAACGCCACATGGATCACGCACGATTAAAGCGCCAGCAACGAAGAGCTTACTAAAGATGGGCTTGAAGTTGGCGCTGGCAAAGCTCTAGGGAAATAGGGCATACGGAACTACTATTTATGAAACAGCTACTAGGTGGACAGGGTTGACGATAATGGCAATTTTGTGCTAATTATACGACGAATGGTTTAGCGTCGCTGTGCTAATAGCATACACATAGCACGATTAGTACATGATTTAATGATTAATGTAAATGCAATGCAATACCCAATATGAATACGAATGGATTCAGAGAATGTGGTCGTTGTCCCTTAGAGACACCTCTTGCGTGTGACCTAATATCCGTACCCTCGTAGCCGGCGAACCCCGTATTACCCTTTCCCTGAACTGGCACCAGAAGATATTATGTTTTGGGTTGTCACTAGTTCTTCCTGTTGAACCGACCCTTTCTCTACTGCAGCGGCGTAGCTCTCCACCCCAACACAGACATACGTCTTGAATTTTCGGGCTGGCACTTTGTTTTCGAACATCTCGTGTATCTCTTCTAGCGTCCGGTCTCGAGTCTCGGGAAGAAAGAGATACGCGAAGACAGCAACGGCTACATTTGATGCAAACCAGATATATCCATATCTCGGGCCCCAGTTGAGACTAGCTGGATTTATGAAGTAGGGCGCTGTCAATGTGCCTAGGAAGTTTCCGAGAAAGTTCAATGCGGTTGCAAAGCCGAAACAATAACCACGGAGTGCGCTATTAGGATACTCGCCCCCAAGAAGCCAGGCGAACGGAGCTAAAGAACATCAGCATGGCTTGCGTAGGGTTACAGATGCGACGGAGTAAGGGTTCATATCGAAGTAAACTTGAAACTCACAATAAGCTACGTAAATAAACACGAATACCCCGTTAAACACAATTACAACTGTGGCGGTTGCCGCTGACCCTGGACTTACAGTCCAAGCTATGGCTTGTGCAAGCTGCGCGAGCCCACATACGGAAGCGCCAATGACCATAACCGCGCGACGGTCGATAAACCGAATAAATAGCGAACTGAGAATAGCGGCAATGAGCCCAATGCCGGTTATTAGGATTGAGAAAGCAAACGGGTTAGAAACGCCTGCTATCTGCAAATAGTAGGTTGTATATATATTGACCCAGGATGAGCCTGTATAATATCGTCAGTTCTCATCTCACCATGCTGACCCCTAACTATGGTAGGCGATGCTCACCGTTAGCAGAATGAAAACAAACCACAGCGATGGATAAAAGTGTGCGACGCAGATTTGTGCCTCGCCACATTTCCAAGAACAGGGCCTTCTTATTCCCCTCAACTTGCTCACGGGTCGATTGTTTGATCTCGTTGAGTTCTGCGCGTAGCTCTATCTCATTGATATTCGAGTTACGCAGTTGGCGCAACGCGGTCTCTGCCTCGGCTTCCCTGCCCTGAACTGCAAGCCACCGAGGCGAGTCGGGGAAGAAGAACAATGCAATCGCTTGAAACGTAGGTGCGACGAAGAAGATGGCCAGTGGGATTTGATAAGCTTGCCGATTATTGATATCATGTGTCCCATAGTCAACTGTGGCGCCGACGATAGAACCGATCGCTCTATTTAGACGTAAGGTTAATAGGAACTGACACCCTCCCGTAGCTGCTAAGGCAATAATAATTGGCTTAGCTCATTGTGTACTCACAATTGGGTTGCATACACGGCAAACGTGACTCCTCTAAGGTGTGCCGGAGCCACCTCGTGTACGTAGAGCTGCGAGAAGGTAAGAAACCAGCCCACAGAGACGCCTATTCCTGTATCAGTGATGAAATACAGTAGAAGGTATGAGAAGAAATACCCAGCAATAGACGAGCAAAATAGAGAGAACCGAGGTTTGTTGTCCCTATCATGATGGCAGTTGCAACGAAATTGAGGACCGATGCAGACCATAATCCGGCTTTTCTACCAAACTTGCTACTGAACGGGCCGACGAGAAGTGAGCCGATGAATGTTCCAATTGTCATGAGGCTTGATATAAGCTGCTGTACTACCGGCTATGGAACAAGTTAGCGGATGTCTTGGTAGAAATGGACCATCTCGTACATGAATGTTCCAAGACTCGAGCTCGGTGTCATAGTACCCATACACTTCCAAGAACCCCGGCATCCTATTCACCACGTCAGTACTTGGTTATATCGCGTGGAACTTAGCTACGGTTTATGAACATACGAAAGAAAGCCACCGACGAGCGCGTAGTCAAGGCCTATAGGTATTAGCTAGCCTGAGTAATAGGAGCGTGTGGCCAGGCGTTGCTTACCATACTGGAACGTCGAGATCGTCACAACGAAACAGATCAAGATACACTTAGTATGGCTTCTAACATCCAGCTTCAGCGGATTCGCAGAAATCGTGGCACCAAACATATTTTCACAATATCATACGTCTTTCAACTTGTAGGTTCAGTATCCAAAGGGGTGAGAGTGGAGAAATTACCCTACGAGCGAGTATCTATATAGCAAGATTATATTAGCCTACTCTACCTTGTCCACCTATCCTCTCTTCGGGTAATATTCAAAGAGATCGCAACGCATTGCATATAAGCTTGTCGTATTATAGAAGTCATATTACATGCACTGCAACCAAGATAGGCTTCATATGGATATCATGGGGGGTAATGGCGGAGCTGCAACCGACGTGGATGGACCCCGCGAGGGCCAGTCTCTGCGGGATGCGGAGAGGTTGTGAGCTAACTTGGGGTATGCCAGTCAAAAGAAACTCGTGATATATGGAGAGTGCGGAGATAACAATGGTATCCAGCTCAGAGAATCGGCAATTATAATTTTCCAATGTCCTCAATGCCGCTTGATAATCAAGTGTCCAATACGACCATAATTCTTACATTGTCTCTCAGTGTAAGGTGGAGGTTTCATACACCGAAGTAGTGTACACCAGCTCTCATCGTTGATACCATAGCAAGATCTGGAAGAACCTCCTCCAGTCATGGCGACAACGCAGAACGAAACCCAAGAAAATGGGATGAATGGAAATCCACTGCCGGCATCTAAGCTGCAACAAGAACCTTTGAAGAACTCTGGATCGATCGACCATCTTAAATATGTTGATGTGACACCAATTATCGGGCGCGAGTATCCAACGGCTAAGATCAAGGATATCCTCGCTGCTCCTAACTCCGATCAGCAGCTACGAGACCTCGCCATCACGATTTGTGAGCGAGGAGTTGGTAAGAATGTCTTGTATTTGAAACCTCCTATTTCCCGCTGATGTAAAGAGCAAACCTCCTATTTGCGAACTACTGACTCAAGATATCGCAGTGTTCTTCAGAGCACCACAGGATGACCTCACCGTCGAAGAACAGAAACATGTCACGTATATGCTGGGCAAGCTGACAGGGCGCCCGGAAGGCCACGGTCTACATGTGCACCCATTAGATAACGATCCAAATAACTTGGCAATGGCGGATGGGACGAGAGACCCGAATATGTACGTGTTGCAAATAATGTCCATTCTGAAATCATACCTCGACCCTAGCATCACCCTCGAAACATACCAGCTAATATTGTGTAGATACGTGATAAACTCAGAAGCAATGAAGAAGTTATACAAGACAGCGAAACGTCCCCCATTGGACCAACCTCGAGATCTTTCGCGCGAATGGCACAGCGATAGTAAGTCACAGCCCTTCCTAGAAACTCTGGAATAGAGAATTCTCAATCTATCAGGTTGTTACGAGAATTGCCCATCGGACTTCTCTTTCCTGCGCATGCAGGACACACCGCCATCAGGAGGCGATACTCTCTGGTGCTCAGGCTATGAGCTGTAAGTTGATTTCTCGTTGTAGAAGCCACCGCACCTCAAGCCAGCACCTATATATCACGCAAAAGCTGCAGGGCATTTATATACCATTCCACATGCTGACGACTCTGGCTCAAGCTATGATCGAATGTCACCCTCCTTTCGGGGTTACCTCGAGACATTAACGGCAACATGTTCACAGTACGAATTGTACAAATCGGCCTGCGAGGTAGGCGGGTACGAAGTGATTTCGCCGCGCGGCTCGCCGCTTAACAAGGACTTCGAGTTCTCGCCCTCGCACCCCGTCGTGCGCACGCACCCGGTCACGGGATGGAAGAGCGTCTTTGCTGGAGCTGGCCTGCACGTCACACGCATCAACGGCGGTATGTTATCCCAGGACTCAATATTGGTCTCTTTCAACCCTAGTGGTGACGGAGTTCTCTTAAAAACGTAGACGAACATTATGCTGGGCTCGTTGAATCCACCCTTACCTCACACGAATGGGAAACCTACTAACGACACGAGCTATAGTCACTTCGTATGAAGACACGATGATCCGCGACTATGTCATGCGCCTGATCACGCGCAACCACGACGGCGTGGCGCGGATGCACTGGACGAGGCAGTCATGTGCTATCTGGCACAACGCATGTACGTTGCATGCTGCGACGGTAAGTCGAGAAACGTCCTTGATGTGGGCTATATATAAGGATGCCGACAGATGGAAAATGACTGACGCATTTCTTGTTTTCCATGTTAGCCTGATACGCATCTCGTCGATGATGGGTTACGCGTCGGTGTGAGAGCCACGGGGATCGGCGAGGTGCCATATCTCGATCCTGCGTCGAAAGGACGTCGTGAGGCCCTTGGACTACCTTTGTACTAGGAGGAGAGCTGGCAGCGTTTTGGTGAGGTATGCATTGGTTTATGTGAGTACGTGGGCTGTAGTTGGGATATGGACTTCTTATGTTCGCTTATCAATGGGGTGTGATTCAATTATTTGACAAGGGAAGCTGTCCGAGGAAGAGTATGCTATATGTAAAGATGACTGGCGCGGAGAGAATGGCTTTAAGAGAACTTTTCGAATACAAGGCGTATGTATATGCGACCATTTGCTTGAGTTATGTGCCGGTGTTCATTCTCATCGGAATGCTGTACCTCCCATCGTGAAGGTCCAATCTTGATGTCTGCCTACCTTGATGCAGGTACCGTACCTACTACAGTAGGAGTAATATATTTGCGGATTGGTAAATACATATCTGATTGGATGTTAATATGCGTTGACCGTGCATATACTGAACTTCGGCCCCCCCTCCACACGCACGGCGTGTACCTATAGTGGGGTAGGTGAATACTTCATCTCAATCAACACCACTTACCTAAGTACACTTAACATATACCATTCTACACCAAGAACTACGATGGCGGGAAAGAAGAACAGCAATAGCAAGTCAAAGGGAGACAACAAGTCCAGCGCTGATGGCGACAAGGGTGGCTCCAAGTTGAAGGGCGGTCAGAAAATCGATGTCCGGCATATCCTCGTAAGTCCCAGTCGCTTTCAGTAATAATAACATGACAGCAGAAGTAACGTCAAGTATGGCTCAGTGCGCGAAACACTCCAGGAAAGAAGAGGCTCTTGCCGAGATCCAGCGTCTTACAAGGGGTGAACCAAAAGAAGGTGCTCCAGCCAATGCGTCAGAGCCAGTAGGAAAGATGGACCCAAAGACGAAGACTAAAGCGCCGACACAAGCCATATTTATCCACGTCGCTAAACAATTTTCAGAGGATAAGGCTGCCCAGGGTACGATCTCCCTTTACCCTTTTTACTTGATATTTAACACTACCTGGGGCTGGGGAGCTTACGAATCTACCAGGAGGCGCACTTGGCGTGAAAACGAAAGGCTCTTTGCACCCGGAATTTGAGAGGGTAGCTTATAGTCTACAGCCTACAGAGAATGGGATTGTCCACATTGGTGAAGCCAAGACGGATTTTGGATACCATCTTATTGTGGTAGACAAGCGGTTATAAAGGTGTGAAGTATGATGCTTGATGCTTATCATCATGTTTACGGTTCCCGGGGACAATGGCAGTGGACTCAAACATCTGGTTTGTTGTAACGGGATTTTTTTTATTTGATTCCGATGTGTGTGGGGTTTCCTATCTCCAGCATCTATATCGGCTGAGAGAACCAGAATACACCCAGAGTATTTACTCAAGATGGAAAGGATCTCGGTTCACAGTAGTCTATACCCCCATCACAACGCCGGCCAACCCTTTACTGCTCAGTCTGGAAGTAGTTGAGGAGGACGGATCGCTCAGTAGACTCCTCACCCCAGTCCTTAACAACGACGCAGGAGCAGTTGACGACCTTGCGAGCATTACCCTCTCGGTCCAAAACACCTGGGAAGGTGGTCAGTACTAATTCATGAAGCGTCACATGAATAGAAGAAATCTGGTAACTTACAGAGACCAGCCCACTCGCCGAGCTGCTTTCCATCGGGAACCTTGATCAGAGGGATCTTGTGCTCCTGGCACAGGGCGATGACGAGCTTCTTGTAGGCCTCCTCCTCGCAGGTCTCGTTGAGGACGCACATGTGAGCCTGGCGTCTGTCAAGAGCCTTGGAAGCTTCACGGAGACCACGGGCAAGACCATCGTGCATGAGGGCGAGCTTCAGCACACCCTTGAGGGCATCCAGAACGGACATCTGGCCCTTGGAGGCCTCGGCGGAAACTTCAACCTCCTCGGGGGCATCGGGGGCGTTGTTCTCTTCTACGTCCGACTGCAAGTAGTATAAATGTCAGCGGCCGTTCAGAAACCTCTTGCAACTTCTGCAACCTCAAAAAATCTAGGCAACCTTCGAGAAGACAAATCCGAATTCGAGGCGGGGCAAATCTAAATGATGCGCGGCTCCGAATTGTTGGAACAAGGACGAGTAAAGTCGTAACATACCATCTTGACTTTTTTGATACCGGTGCGATCCTCGAAGAGTTGGTGTTGGTGTATGTAGAGTTGTGAAGGTGAGAAGGTGACGTGCTGGGGGAAAGGCGTGCAAGAAAATGTACAAAATGTATCGCTATCGAGATGTCAATTGAGCCGGGGTCTAACATTGGTAACTTTTGGTGGGGTCTGCGTGCCTGGCTGTGTATCAGTGTGTCTATCAGTGCATCGCTTAGGGTTCGATCTCCCAGAGTTTGTCCCATTGGCTGGAGACGAAGTGCCCCGGTCCTCGCCAGACCGTCCGCAGCTGCCGATGAGTACAAGGTAGGTACTTCTGTGCGGGTCACTTTGCCCACTACCGCCCACCGCCCGGCAAATTGATAGCTTGGTGAGGAAATTGAGCGCGGGTCACCAGCTGGCCCGTTGCTCGCAAGCTTTTCTCGTATCCACCTCAGCTCGAGTCCCATCTTCCTCACCACTTCACCTTCGACGTATCGACATCCTCATCTCAAGTCCGCCCTTGCGAACCGACCATCAATCCGACCATCACTGTTGTCGCTACCGATAAACTCGAAGTATGTGAGACTTCTCCGAGGCCATGGGGTTGAACGACCCCCGGCATCCCACTCCCTTCTCGATATCCCTTTCTGAGGCCAGGGGAGAGCAATCAGTGTCTGGCTAGCTCTGATACGCATCTCCTCTCCGGCAATGAGCGGGTAGAACCTCTTCAACCGTCCGGAATGAAGAAGGCACTCTCCATGCTCCAGGCTTCTGAAGGCTAAACTGTCGCGTGACTGTAGACACCACCAAAATGTCCCTCCCTCAGGCGCTCAACGCGATCAACAATGCCGAGAAGACCGGAAAGCGCCAGGTGCTTATCCGCCCTTCGTCAAAGGTTATTGTTAAGGTGAGTTTTGTTCTCGTTGATTGCTCCTGTGCTATGCGCAATTCCTGGTGTGCACAAATGCTGATAAAAGTTTATTTCTAGTTCCTTACCGTCATGCAAAAAAAGGTACAAGCCGCTGCCGTGATATCAAAAGCCCCTTCATTGGATTATAACCCACACTTCGGCATGATAACTGGACGACGGTCTCAACTTCTCCTACGATCAAAGTCTTTTAAGTTGCCGATAGATTAATGTTAATCCAAGCGAAGGAATCTTACACGTTTTTCCGATTCACCACATGAAGTCTTACGTTTAGTCATTCGCTACATATGCTAACTTATTATATAGGGATAGTACGTTTACGGAATTCACGCATTGATCGCTCTGGTAGCTAACCCATAGCAGCATCGGCGAGTTTGAGCAGGTAGACGATCATCGCTCTGGCAAGGTGATTGTTCAACTTAATGGACGTATCAACAAAGCTGGCGTCATCTCTCCCCGATACAATGTACACCTATCCCAGCTTGAAAAATGGGTTGTGAAGTTGCTTCCTGCTCGTCAATTCGGGGTAAGTTCTTAGCCGCCAAGCATCAAAAGAGGAGCACTCTTGCTGACCATTATAGTACATCATCCTCACCACTTCTGCCGGAATCATGGACCACGAAGAAGCCCGTAGACGCCACGTATCTGGCAAAATAATTGGGTTCTTCTATTAGCTATGGTCATCTTAGAAGATGAATGGTGCAAAAACCTTGGACGAGTTTGGCATTTACTGGCGTTTCGGGATGAATAATGGCTGTTTCTTCACATGAGATCAGATCTCTAAAATGATACCATAGAATGAAAAGTAGTGAAATTGAATCTTAATCAGCGAGGATGCCGACTAAATGCAACATACCGTAGGTTGGAACAAGTGCTTACCTATTTCTTGTCCGAATGCGTTCAATAGTATACATTACGTTAAGCCAGACTGCCAATTATATTGGCTCGTGCTAGTGAACATGCGGCTCGGCGAAGGATTCTGTCTTATTCTTTCATCTTACTCTCAAGCGAGCGCCGCTGTTGTGTCACCCAGGGGCACGTATAAGAAACATAATCAAGAATGTATGAATCAGCCGTCCCTGAATCCAAAGGGAGACAATTTGCCATACAGAATCAACTGGGATTGACTGAACATACCTACTTAGAGTACTGTTACGTTGAGGATTTGACGGGAGGCTTGTCCCTTGCGTAATGACCAGGGGGGTTTGATGGGGGTCTAGACCGACCAGGCCAATAGCAAACACGGCACACGCTATCCGGCGCCCAGACTGGCGCCCAAGCACAGCACTCCTGAATCCGCGCTACATCATGATTTCGTTATCGAGTTTCTCGAGTCCAGCGATTGCTTTTCTTCTCCTTCCAAGTAGTAGTCGATTTTCCCTATTGCCTCACTTCATCGCCGAAGCCCAGTTGCGCTGGGCTATAACATATCGTTTTTCTTTATTTCGACGTGGCCAAATGTGCCTGCCAGTACTTTTCCCACCGGGTGCAGATGCAAATCCGCGAACACCGCGATTAACGACGTGAGAACAAGCCAGCTTCTGATACCGAACACGCATTAACTCCCTTGTGCGCGAAATGCGGCGGCGCCAACTGCTGTTGACTGGCGTCGTCGCCTTCATACTCATCTGCCTCGCGAGTATCTTCCGCCTTGGTTCTGGATCAAGCCTCTCAGATGGAATTCTCGACCATCCTCAAGGTCATGCGCCGGATACCGGGCTTGGCGGGCAACCACCGCGCCCTGCCCCTGCTTCCGACAAGGGCAGCAATCAGGACGGTACTCGCAAATCCGAGGATAACTCCCAGTCTTCGAGCGCATCGTCGTCCTTCGCTGGGTCAAGTCCCGATCTCAAGTATAAGCCCGCGCCGCGAGACGTCCATCCCATTCATTTTCTCGTAACGCAAGCGGAGAAAGAACTCCAAGCCACAAGAGCCAAACAATCCAAGACATTGGGACAGGCCATTGCAGAATATCGTCGTCGTTATGGCATTCCTCCTCCGCCGAATTTCAACAAGTGGTTCGAGTTTGCGCAAGCCAAGGGTGTTCAGCTGATCGACGAATTTGACATGGTCCACGAGTCTATAACTCCGTTCTGGGGACTAAAACCCGCCACAATACGAGAGAGAGCTACTGAGGCGCTCGGATTTGACAATGCGCTGCTTGGTATCCAGATTCGCAATGGGAAGATCACACACATGGAGGGTGGAGCAGACTGGCAGCGGGAGGCGACTGCTGGTATGATGGGCAAGTTTCTTAAATGGTTACCTGATATGGACCTATGTTTTAACTTGCATGACGAATCGAGGGTCGTGGTGCCATACGACGACATGGCTAGGCTAGTCCGAAAGGCCAAGGAAGTCAATATGCCTGCTGCCAACATACCTAACCCAAAGAACGCCTTTACGGAGAAACCTAAGGGTCTCAATGATGGGACAAGGTTTGAGGAGACAAAGCTAACGCGCTTTAATGTTTTCGCACACCAACCTACATGGACACATTCCCGGCTATCTTGTCCACCTAACAGCCCTGCAAGAGGACTCGAAGAAGACGAGAGAAATGATGACGTGTCGAGATATGGGATGAGTGATTTGGGTTTCGTCTACAACGTGTCAGCCATGTCTGACATATGCTACTCTCCAACCTTGAGCTCCACATTTGGATTTTTTGATCGTCCGAATGCATACAACATAGTTCACGATCTTTTCCCCATCTTTTCCCAGTCCAAGATTTCCTCGTATGCGGACATACTCTACCCCTCGCCATGGTATTGGTACGAAAAGGTTCATTACGATGAATCACAAGACATGCCATGGGAAGAGAAGGTGAACAAATTCTACTGGCGCGGTTCGACTACAGGAGGATTCAGCAGGAACGGAGGTTGGCGGCGCCAGCATCGCCAGCGGTTCGTCCAGAAAATCAATGCCGCCGACAACGCCAAAATCCTGTCGAATGCCGGAGGCACCAGAAAGGAGAAGTGGGAAACAGTAGCTGTCCCCCGAGGAGATTATAGACATTTAATGGACGTATATTTCTCTGGTGTTGGCCAGTGCGACCCAGGAGATTGCGTGGCACAGAAAGAGTTTTTCAACATTCAAGGTCACGCCGAGCAGCACGATGCCTGGGGCTACAAGTACCTTTTAGACATAGACGGCAATGCATTCAGTGGCCGGTTTTACGCCTTTTTGAGGAGCAAGAGCCTGACTTACAAGTGGGCTATCTTTAGGGAATGGCACCTCGAATGGCTCAAACCTTGGGCTCATTATATTCCACTAAGTCTGCAGGGCGATGACTGGGTGGAAGCCGTAAGGTATTTTGCGGATAGAGAAGAGGGGAGAGCGGAGGCAGAGCGCCTCGCGAACCAGCAGAGGGATTGGGCCGAGAAAGTGCTCAGACATGAGGACATGGAAGTTTGGTTCTTTAGGCTGCTTTTAGAGTATGTATACCCTTATATACTCGCCCGACTATGTGTTGTATTTGCTAACCTGGGAACTACTAGATACGGTCGAGTGATAGACGATCAGAGAGCCACCATTGGTTATACCTCCGGCGCATCGGAATCCAAGGCCCGCGCCGGCGAGGAAAAGGAAGAAGATGAAGTCACTTTCATGGATGGTTAATAGCAGTACTAAGTGCACCTACCCTTACTTAGGGCGTAGGCACAGCATACAATGGCGTATCTGTAACAATATATCTGCATGGGCGGATGTCGCGATGACGCTTTTCAATACTGTATACGTATGTTTTGAGAAGGATCATCTTGTATGGACGGTATCTGAGCATAAAAACGCGGGCATTGAGGAATGCGTTGGATCATATGCTAGGTTAGGCACTTTAGGTATACAAACTTAGTCGTGCGGATGTGGCAGCATTGTATATAGTCATCACCAGGTCTGCCGGGTATAATGAGTCTGATAATAATCAAGTTAAAAGATATCCTAGAGTCTCTAGCTATGTATGCTGAAGACTTCAAGACCATACATACCTACCGATGCATCGTGATATATCGTGATATACATGTTTGGAGAGGTTGATTACCCCACAGTCATACAGGACCTACCCAACCTTGGAAGCTGCAGGTGATCCAATGGCCCACAATTAGCCGTTGGAGTCCCATCAGCGGGCGATTGGCCTATCGCCAAAACAATTCAAGACTCAGTACCTAGCAATTTGCCATACCCAAATGTAACAATACGCCAATTGGTACCTTCAGTCTTTCGATTAATCGGTCAGGCTTTCTCGTCATATACAACAATCTGTCATATCGTCGCGATTGCAACGAGCCATTTACAAGGAAGCGCGCTCCCTTCGCCAATGGCTTCGACACCCATGGACCTCGACCATGCCGATGGTGCTTCGCCAGCGAATGGAACGCCTAGCGCTTCCCTACACATCACACGAACTCTGGCGAGCAATCTCCCAAGTACCTCTGCTGTACCCGACGTGATCGCGAACTTCAGGCCTACAAAGGTACCGCCTCTGCCTACCTATTCTCGGGTGTCGCGACAGGGCCGCATACAGTTGCTGACCTTTCGTAGTTATTCAAGCGCGACGAAGCAAAAGACGGCCGCCCACACCCCTACGTTCTCAGCCTCGACTACGATGACCCGGGCGAGCTCCTAATGACATCCGAAAGTGATGAGGCCATCCAGATTTACAAGGTTCGAGAAGGACGGCACGATAAACAACTTCTCAGCAAAAAGTATGGTGTAAAGCTGGCCAAGTTTACCCGGAACAGCTCAAGCATCATCTACGCAAGCACTAAGCAAAATGGTAATTTCTCAGGGCTTAAATACAGTGACGCTACCATGGGAGAATGACTCTAACTTGTGGCCCTCCATACAGATGCGATCCGATACCTAACAACACACGATAATGCCTTCATACGGTATTTCGAAGGCCACGAAGGCGCCGTCACAAACCTAGCGATGCACCCCGGGAGCGATGATTTCATCTCATGTAGTAAGGATAACACTGTGCGGTTATGGAACACGAGCACAAGGAATGCAACGGGCATACTGCATTTGAATTCGCCTTACCTATCTGCCTTTGATCCAAGCGGTCAAGTCTTCGCCATAGGATCATCGCAAACCGGACAAGTCCTAATATACGATCATCGAAATTTCGACAAGCTCCCGGTCAGCACGTTTGATATTGTCGAGGCCTGTAAATCGGTCAACTTTGATCAGCTAATGTCGGGTTGGACAAAGCTAGAGTTCTCCAACGATGGGCGAAGTATCCTGTTAGGCACCAAGGGTAGCGGACACTTTCTTCTGGATTCTTTTGGAGGACACTTAAAGGCCTATCTGAGAAAACCAGAAGGTCGCACTAGTCGGCTGGCACCCGGCGAGGATGCTACCATGAACGGCGGGTGGACCAGCACCAACGTTGAAAGCAGCGGGGATTGTTGTTTCACGCCGGATGGCAGGTTTGTTATCGGTGGCACAAAACAGGGCGTTGTCGTGTGGGATACACTCGCACAGCCGGACGAGAACAAGGTGTTGTCGCCTGCTCACACGATAGAAGACCAGAGGCAGGCCGCCGTGGTAGCGTTCAATCCGCGCTTTAATTTCTTTTCAACAGCAGATCAGGAAGTGCTGTTCTGGTTGCCCGATCCACATGCCTAGGAGACATAGGAGGAGGATACCTGGCTGAAATATTGAAGTTTTGATAAGTATACATGCCTATTTTATTGTGTTAGTAAGATTGTACGATGACGAGAACGAGCATCTGCTCGAGTTGTACTTTGATAGAAACAAAAGCTAAGAAAGATAGATACCCTTGGTGCTGTGTGCGAAGTCAGAAGAGGAGTACAACGACGCGAGAATTACATTGCAATTGTGAGAAAATCGAAAGGCTTGGAAGATACCTGTTAAATAATTTACCTGACCCAATGATTTCTTGATTATGAATACCGGATAATTAGTATGACTGTACGTAGATTTGTAGGTAAGAAATGTTGAGCATCACGTACTCCGTTCGTATGGAGATGTTTGCCCCGCGATTTGAGCTCTGAGCTGACAGACCTGGCCCCACCTGTATCACCGCTGCGGCAATCGAACGGTGCCAAAATTGGATTCACTTTAATTCTATCAATTCGGCAACAGCAAGCTTTCCGCCCAGCATCCAATTGACAACGACCACGCTCACGCTCACATCACTACTTGTTTCTTGTCGCATCTTGATACTCAGTGCATATTAAGGCGGTGAGAGTGTATACTCTCGATTAAGATCATCGTGAGCGTTCTTCTCTCTTGCATCACGAAGCGACGAGGCGAGACCTACATTTCGTTAGCACCTCTTCAAGGTACAACAACACTCTCCTCCAAAAAAAAAAAAAATATACCGACCATACACCGGAAACATTACGCCACGCATTTGTCTTGCGCCAGACCCGGATAAGAGAGACGACACTAGAGAAGACTAGACGGGAACCAGGGATATCACCAGACGAATACAGATCGCAAAGCAAACCCCCCAAAACGAACAAACCATGCCCTACTACGAGTCGAGCCAGGAATGGCTCCGGCAATCCGCACTCCTGATAGAAGCGCGGCCGAGCACCGTAAGCACCATCTTCTCTCCTATCCGTTCATACGTTATGTTATGCGAAAGCCAGTAACCCAACTAACCGCTCCAAATCCCAGACACGCATAACAACAAACTACCACCTAACAGACAAGACCGGCTCGTCCAAAAAGCGCCAAAAGAGACGCCAACAAGCCCTCGAAGAAGCAAAACAACAACAACAACAACAACAATCCTCCACTACTACTACTACCACGACGACGACACCAGCACAGCCCCGCGCATCTCTAACCATCAAGACCTACGACCCGTGCTCAGGCGCCTGCCTGAAGTACCGCACGACGAAGGCGGCCGAGGTATCCCGTCTGATCCTGTCCATCGGCCAACTAGGCCGGAAGATGGCCGCGCTGCCCGCCGACACAACGACAGACGTCGCTATGGCCGATGCTGTCGAGGAGGTTGTCGGGACGCCTGGCGTGGAGAAGGTCGAGTCTACGGCAGGTGCTGCTCCAGTTGCAGGTGGTAGTGCTAAGACCCAGGCGCCGGCCCAAGGACAAGGACAGACGGGCGGTGGTGGTGGAAAGGGGAAGAAGAAGCGCGGCAAGAAATAGAATAGAGCATTGCGGATGATAGTTAGGATAGATCATGAAACGTAAATATACGAGCATAGCCCAAACCTGCCTGACAAGTCCACAGAGGCGCCTATTAACTACATCGATTTCACGTTCGTGGGTACCACAAGCTCAAGAGGAAAAGAATATTCTTAACTTCATCTGCTGCATTAAAAGCGCTTTCCGCGCCCGTGTTCCAGGACTACCTAGTCTAGCTAGAGTTACACTTCCTTCTTTTGAACAGCTATTTTTTGCTTCATATCGAAACTTCATAAAAACATTCGCGTTCGCATTCAAGAGCCCCCAAGCTGCTTTACACAGCACTTGCCACCCACCCAACCAAGATTCCCAGTGTCCATTAAAGCACCGTGAGAACGCCGGGATCCCAATACTCCGTAAAACGCCACGTCTGGGTTTTTGACCGTACCCAATGCCAACCGATCATAAGCAGAAAGATAGGAGATTATTGCTGTAGGAGACAGCTTAGCCAATTGCTCGCCATGCCTCTTGGTCTATCGTATAATACCATGCAGAATAGAGGGGGGAAACTTCGTCGTTGCGCGAAGTCTGATATACACGGCAGGGCAGGTATGATATATGTGAGAAAAGAAAAGGGTATCATAAAGAGAAGATGGTGCACTTCTTATCGAAGTAGATAGTAGGCATAGTCGCCTAGAAGTCATCATCGAAAGTGAAGTCACCGCCATTCTCTCCCTTGCTCTCAGTTGACTGCGAGACATCATCATTCGAGACGTTCTTCTTGGTGCTGGCCATGACACCAGCTTTTTGGTAGTCGCCGACGCGCTTCTCGAAGAAGTTGGTCTTGCCGCCGAGGGAGATGTTCTCCATGAAGTCAAAGGGGTTGGTTGAGCGGTAGACCTTGTCATTGCCAAGTGCTACAAGTAGACGGTCGGCCACAAACTCAATGTACTGCTTCATGAGGTTGGCGTTCATGCCAAGTAGACCACAAGGTAGGGCCTCGGTCAAGAATTCTTGCTCAATCTTCACGGCATCGACAATGACTGCTTCTACAACTTCCTTGCTAGGCCGGTTCTTCAAGTGAGAGAAGAGCAGGCAGGCGAAATCGGTATGGAGACCCTCATCACGCGAGATGAGCTCGTTAGAAAAGGTCAGACCGGGCATCAAACCACGCTTCTTGAGCCAGAAGATGGAGGCAAAAGCACCACTGAAGAAGATACCTTCGACAGCAGCAAAGGCGATCAGACGTTGGGCGAAAGTGGAGTTGCGATCAGCAATCCACTTCAGAGCCCAGTCAGCCTTCTTGCGAATGGCAGGAACTAAGAATAATTGTTAGTCTCAGTCGTCTTGAAACATGGGGATGGAGATGGAAGTCGTACTAGTATCAATGGCATTGAAAAGATGGTTGCGCTGGGCGGGCTCCTTGATGTAGGTGTCAATGAGCAGAGAGTATGTTTCGGAGTGGATGTTCTCCATCATGATCTGGAAACCGTAGAAGCATCGAGCTTCAGGAATCTGCACCTCGCCACTGAAGCGCTCGACAAGGTTTTCGTTTACGATACCATCGGAGGCAGCGAAGAAGGCCAAGATGTGGGAGATGAAGTATTTCTCGTCTTCATTGATTCTGTTGTTCCAGTCGTGCAGATCCTTGGACAGATCAATCTCCTCAGCAGTCCAGAAAGAAGCCTCGGCTTTCTTGTACATTTGCCAGATCTATTAGGTAGAGCAGGTGGTTAGCCTCCTATCGCGTCTGAAAACCACTTAACGCGTAATGACGCGTCACTTACCTCATGGTACTTGATGGGGAACAGCACGAAGCGCTGAGGGTTCTCTTGAAGGAGGGGCTCATCGGCCTCCTCAGCCTTGATGCCAGCGGCTACAGCAGGCTTGGGCTCCTCTTTGGGTGTCTCCGTTGTGGTTGTGGGCTTGTAGGAGTCGATCTGGTTGGAGAGAGTGTGGAGGTCGGAGTCGGCAGGAGCATTCTCCTTGCCCGCAGCGGAAAAGTCTAGCTTCTTAACCGGAGATTCCATCGTAAAGGACTCAATGGCCGATGCAGCCTGCAGAAAACACACGTTAGACAGGAAAACAATGCGCCGAGTTGGTTGCCACAGAGCAATCACGTCAGTCATGCATACCTTCTTGGAGGGGGTGATCTCAGTTGCCATTGTGGGGGATGAAGATGATATTAAAGAGAATTGGATATATAGAAAACCAAGTTACAATTGCAGACTGAGCTTGTGATGTGATGGAGTGTTGGTGCACGCGTAAAGTGGTTTGGAGGCAGTGGTTTGATCGAGAAGATGCAGATGCAGAATTGAAGCGTGTTGGGACGCCCACCTTTTAAAGTGTAGTTCGCGCCAAATCACGTGTAGTAAATCAGCTACTTTACAATTGCAGAACACGCTAAAGAGCCCATTGAGCCCATTAAGAGCGCGTTTGACTGCCCCGCCATTCGATTTTCACGCGTTGACCGGGGTGCGACTCCAGCCTCGCACAGGGGGAAGCAATACTTGACATACGAAGTACTTAGTAGAGCAATGCTTGAGACGCCATCCTACCATCCCTTGCCCATATCTGGTACGCCTAACCCATTCTGCACGTTAAATGGCTTCGGTCTTTCGGCCCAAACACTGCCTGCCAAGACCGTACACATACAGTAGGGACTCCATGTCGGAATTACTGTATAGTAGGGATAGGAATTAGAGGGATTATCAGATCAGATAACCACCCGAGATTAGTCCGTCTTAGTGGTCGGCGCTGTCTCAGCTGTCTCAGCCAGTCATCGCGTCATGGTCCAACAAACTATCATGACGCGCAACTACACTAAAGTTAGGGCTAAACACTTACTCATAATACCCTCCCTATAATTATACTTCTCTCAATGGGCTTATTGTTACGTACCATTATCCATTACCAGCCTCTTGATCTACAAACAGCCTTTTAAATGCGGTAGGTATGTGTCTGTTGGTACCAATATAGAACAGAAGAATGGAACATTAGGCGATTCGATTGCTTAAATTGCTAATTGGATACCTGTCAATCGGGTCCGAAAATCATGTCTCATCTCTCATATAGTCTCAAACCTGCTCCCTTAGAACAGCATTACACCGAGTCTTTTGTCAATGAAAATAGGCATATTAGAGCCCCTGTAAGACCACCCAATCATCGGCTGATACGGCTCCAACCGTAACATATTATTAGTTGGTGTACACAGCTAGGACCCTCTCTTTAATATACGTCACGCTGTTGCCATGCCATTGCTTTGTCAAGATTACCTCGTGACGCAATTCTCAAAAGCATGATCATTAATCCCACTAGGGTCTTCAGCTCTAGTTGGCGGGGGGATTCCCGGCCTCGACATCGGTGGGTCGAGACCTTTTGCTACCAAACCCGAAGAAACTTCTGCTAGATCTGCCCCGCCGGTCGTCTTGGACTCTTCCCGGATTCGGTCGCGATGGAGGCGGCTGTGTAGTAGCAACGCCACTTGTCTGAGGAGCATGTTGACCCGATGACTTGGTGGGATTTTTTCTTGCATGAGAAGTACGCGATGTGCCCGGAGACTCGGTATGGAGACGATCGAATTCGACAGGATCGCTCGGATCGGTCGCAGGAATCTGCTGGCCGCTAGCACGGAGATTTTTCTTGCCCTTTTCTCGAAGATGAGCCTCCAAGGCGGCTGCGTTCCGTGTATTGGCAAGAACTAGCGCGTCGGCAATATCACCGACGAAAGGGACCAGCCCAATGATCAAATCGAATAACAGCCAGATGTACATGCGGAGTCGCAGCCCAAAGGGCAAGCCGCCCTCGATCTGTTTCGCCGTGCGAATGACCAGTAATCCCAGGAAGGCGTCCGTAAGGTCCCCGAATCTAATATAATGGGGAAAGAGTGGTTAGCCGACAAGAAATGACGTCGTTTGACACAACGACTACTTACATTGGAAATAAGCCGATGAAGCTACCCCATCCAAACTTGATGCCAAGAAAGCTACCAAAAGCCATGTCGAGCCGGTACGCTCTTCTCTTCACCTTGGTGAGCACCTCTGCATCGTGCGCCGAAATACCAGGCGGTGCAGCCTTGCGAACTTTCTTAAATTTACCAGTTGGAGTGCCGTTCAGTCTCGTAGCTGGGACCTGTTCGAAGTATGGGTCCTAGACGGTATGTTAGGAATTTACGGATAGACATTCGTTGAAGGTGCAACAACACGCCCAACGGATGTATAATTGAGATTGATTAGCACTTACATCAACACCAAACTTATTCTCAAGCCTCTCCTTAAGAATCTTGTCTTGAATAAGCTTCCCCCCAACCCATTTTGCGATATAGCTTGTCATGATGGATGTATCCGATGTGCGCTCAGAGGTGCCCCGAAAAAAGTATGAGGAAATGGAGTGGGAGTTTGGGGGCCAATCTAATAAAGGTTGGGCGCACAATTGAATTCCAGAGCGCGATAGCGACCCGTCCACTGGTTGCCAAGCAGTTTCAGGTCAAAACAACCAGAGTTGTAGATTCAGTCCTGCCTAGGGATGTAGAAAAGGAAAGATCCCACCTCGCCACTCTTATAATTTTATCATTTATCTCAGGAAGGTTGAATGCATACCCCTGGCTCCTGAACACGTTAACTATCGGGTATGGATGAATGATGGGCTCGAAAGCTTGGAAGCTCGGAAGCGGCCTATGACGTCAATTCTTCGTTCACAAGCTCCCTCCTGCGCGTTATCGCCAATCAACAGGGGCCTCTTGACAGCTTCGAGATTGTGGCTATGCACGCCCAGACGCGTCTACGAAGTATGCGCCACATAAGAAGGGACGAGAGCGGTAGATTTCGGAATCGCATTCGTTTAATCGCGAACGTACCATATCGACGTATTGAGGCCACCAGTCGTGACATCCAAGACTCATAATTAGTTGAGGTTATTGGTAAAATTCCGAGCTCACCCACATTAACTGCGGACATATCTACTACAGAGTTATAGTATGCAGTATACGCTTCCGGCCACAGGGTATGTATCTCTGAACAGACTGGATTCAGCTGTTGCATTGAGCTCTATGCCTAAGAGTTTATCCATTCTCTCTATTGCCCAAGTATTAGAATATCTTTTCATCTCACTACGTTGTTAAACCACTGGGATGCAGAGCTATCAAATATAATTTGCATATATAGGTCTCCCTAGTATTCAAGTTCGCCACGCAGCGATATTACCTGAGTCGTATGGTCTAATGGTTATGATTTCTCGTTCACATGGTTGAGCATTGTCCCGAGAAGGTTCCGTGTTCGATCCACGGTACGACTATAATATTTTGATTTTGTACTTTTGGGCCCCATTCAGTTGCATTAGTTATATTTTTTACCAGTTCGTATCCATTGATTTATAAGCGAAGTGTCTTCAGTGGCATGTCAATTAAGAGCACTGTGGCAGTTAGATTTCACTCAGTAGTGACAATGACACATCTAGGGATCATTGAAGTGCTATCAACCGTATGTTACAAGGATGACTGAATACTTACTGTACCCTTCACATTTCCTTCCAGCGGAATACATCTACTAGGACAGCTAGAGTGCAATACTAAAATATCAGTATAACTCTGTTACACTGCGAGTTGGTGGCTTAGACAAAGCATAAATCTACAGATTGCAACACTGAAGTCCCTAGAGGAGGTGTAGAACCTATGGCCACGGGTGGTCACACCAATTCCTAGCGAAGCCGATCCCCGCACGCATATGTACGTATGCTTTCAGCATGAAGCCGAAGCTAGAGCGAGGGCAGCATTTCATGTGACCCGCGTCAGGAGAATGGTTGAGATGCGGCGTCTGGTTTTATGTGCCAAATGCCGCGGAGATTCAAAGCAAATCGCAGTCCCCCTATCATGCTTACCAATACCAGCTCTCTCCTGCAGTGATACAAGCACCACCGGCATGGAGGTATGAATATTTGGATGGAAACAGTCAATAGACAAGAGTGAGAGAGAGTATTAAAGGCAGAGAAAGGAATGCGATATCTTGCATCGTCGTTTTCATTCGAATCCATAAGTCACTCGCCGAGCACATTCTTCTTTCTCACCAGCAAACAATTATGTCTTCACGCACTACACCAGTTGCTTCAGCAACCGATATTGCAAAGCATGGATGGACTGCTGTACCAGTTGATGCGAACGCAATTTTCAGCAAGAATCCTGTTGTCAAACCTTCAGCCTTGAAAGTTGACAATGTGCCATTTCCCGACGACGATCCAATAGTCGTCGAAATTCAACGCTACGCGAAGGAGCATCTCACAGAGCAGACGTACAATCACTCAATGCGCGTCTACCACTGGGGTATTTAATTCCCAAGCGTGAATTTGCGCGAGCATGCTGTATTATATATAGTAGTCACTAAAACTCGCACAGGTTACGTTATCATCAAAGACCAGTTCCCGGAGCACGCTCGCACGCTCTCCATGTCAACATGGGCATTGACCTGCCTGCTGCACGATATCGGGACAACGCACGATAACCTGCGTGCTACACTTCTATCCTTCGAATTTTACGGCGGCATCCTCGCGCTAAATTTGACTAAAGAATATGGAGCCTCAGCAGCACAGGCTGAGGCCGTCGCAGAGGCCATCATTCGACATCAAGACCTAGGCACAGTTGGGACAATAACCTTCCTCGGGCAGGTGATTCAGCTCGCGACGGTATACGATAATATTGGAGCCAATCCAAGTCTGATTGATGAAGTCACTCGGCTGGATGTTAACAAGGCATTTCCGCGCAAAGGCTGGAGCGGATGCTTTGCCGGAACAATCAGGGAGGAGCTTGACCTAAAACCATGGGCACATTCTACGCATCTGGGAAGTGAAGATTTTCCGGAAGGCGTCGAGAACAATAAACTTATGGCAGATGTCGATGACTGGGGTTTATGAGGCACAAGATCTACTCATAGAATTCCGTAGTGATTCTCTCCAGCTTGGTAGGCGCCTGGTTGATATATAGGTTCAATATACACACGCTAAGTACCGCTTCATTCAGAATTAGTTACAATGCGAATTCAATATAATGAAGCGTTTCTCTTTTTTTCCTCCTTACCGTGCGGTACCTATTATCTAATGTGATGCAGTATGCGAGAAGCATGGCGAACTATCACGTCTCTCGTATGATCCAGATTCCTCAACTTGTAAGCCCATCAAGTATAAAGAGGTATCTCCGTGGAAACGTGCTGTTCCGCAGTGGCGTGATTTTAAGGATTCGCCTCCATATTTCGGCTTGAAGCCGCAATGACACCCATGATCATGCCTATCAATAATCAGGGAGCCATTGTAATGGATGGCCACTTTCTACACGGAAATAAACCATCAAGATGAGTTGATTCTGGTCCTAGCTAATGGCACTTGTAGGTGATTGGTTGATTCAGTTCGAATTGGCAGCTCGATACCCCTACTGCATCGACTGGTGCGGGCTCGACGGCCGCACGTACATCAAATTGACTAGCTACTAAGTATGTATGCCTGTTGAGGCATTGACTCTGAGACTGCCTGATATATAATTAGTAATACATGAAGCTTGCACAGATCTTTACTCCAGGAACGGGTCGCGTGTCTTTCTGGCGTTTGCTTTCGCCACGTTCGCAGTTGTGCGGACAGACCCGCGCTGTCACGCACGTATAAGTATTACATAATAAGTATTCCATTACAACCATGATGGGAGGTAGGTAGTCAGTTCAGCACCCCGTCTCGCCCATCTACTTTAGGTACTGTGTACAGTATTGTACTAAACTCGGGCGAATAGATCCGAGATCCTCAAGTTACTACTTAATCAGCAGTCACCATCCACTTCATTGCTCTTCAGCAATCATGCACTATCAATTAACAACCGAATGAGCGGCGTTCGGAGCGGTCCAAGAAGCACAAACGTGGTGAAGCTTTGATTCAAAAGGCAACATGCTGATTGGTGGGAGCTCTACCAGCATCTACAGGAGGCATTTCCTCTTTGGGCCACGACTATATCTTAGACGGACCTGGACGGACCTGAAGCTCCCCAATTGCATCAATACTCTGTCATAGACATCGACGAAATGTAAAGCCATCAGATTTAACTCAACCTTTCATGTCCAGCACATGGAGTTTTCCAAGCGACGCGTGCGGGCACACCGTATTTCCACTAAAATGCTCTTCGTTGATTATGGGTAACCCCCTAGAGTGCGGGCAAACCTCGCCATAGAGAATGACGTCAATACTGCGAAGGCGTTACGAAGTAAAAACAGCTTGCGGTCGATATATCTACGCAACCTGTGCCACAGCCCGCTCCTGTCTGTTTCTGAGAAGGTGCCTTAGGCTACGTAAAGAGTGTCGAGAAACACTCCAATTTCACTATTTTACATTGAAGTCTGTCAATCGACCGGTGTCTCCAAGCGCTAGGACACCACATACATATCCAACCTGTTCATGTCGGCCGTAGACAAGATCAAGAACATGGTTTCCGGCGAGAAAGGGGCAAAAGTTGCCCAGCTGGACGCGGTTAGCCAGACCGTCTCCAAAAACGACCGCCTGACCACCGACTTTGGTGTAAAGGAGCCGACTGCCGATGAGTGGCTTCGAGTGACTAGCGAGGATAAGACTGGTCCCATGCTACTTGAAGATAACTACGCACGAGAAAGGGTACGTGTTCTGGCTCTCGAATTCAACCATGTTCAGATCTAACCAATTTCATCAGATTCATAGATTCGACCACGAGAGAATCCCTGAACGTGTTGTTCACGCCCGTGGCGCTGGCGCCTTCGGTAACTTTAGATTGTTCGAGAGCGCGGAGGATGTCACATTCGCTCCAGTTTTGACAGACACCTCAAGAGAGACACCTGTTTTTGTTCGATTTTCCACAGTTCAGGGTTCGAGGGGCAGTGCCGACACTGTTCGAGATGTAAGAGGATTTGCAGTCAAATTTTACGTGAGTTGTGGAACACAGAATTGTGTTGCGGTGACAAAAATCACTAACCCGAGCACCGGCAGACCCAAGAGGGAAACTGGGATATTGTTGGAAACAACATTCCCGTCTTCTGTAAGTTTCAACCACGATTTTCGTAAGAAGGCTTTCCTAACAAAGAAATAGTTATCCAGGATGCCATCAAATTCCCTGATGTTGTCCATGCTGTTAAACCGTGAGTACCCCTGAACAGTCTTTTTAGTTTAGGCAGCTCCGAGACATAGATATCTTATCATGTGGTTCACATGTCATATTCATTCCAGAGTTACTATGCCCTCGCAAGGTTAATGGTTACTAATCAAGCTATCGTAGCGAGCCTCACAACGAAGTTCCTCAGGCCCAATCGGCGCACAACAACTTCTGGGATTTCGTGTATTTACACGAAGAAGCTACCCACATGTACATGTGGACAATGTCAGACAGAGCAATTCCTCGATCATACCGAATGATGCAGGGCTTCGGAGTCAACACTTTCACACTCATCAACAAGAACGGCGAACGTCATTTCGTCAAGTTTCACTTTACTCCTGAACTTGGTGTCCATTCATTTGTTTGGGACGAAGCACTGAAGCTAGCAGGTCAAGACCCTGATTTCCACAGGAAGGATTTGTGGGAAGCCATCGAGAACGGCGCCTACCCCAAATGGAAATTCGGCATTCAGACTATCCCAGAATCTAAGGAACACGAGTTTGATTTCGACATCTTGGATGCAACCAAGTTGTGGCCGGAGGAGCTGGTCCCAATTCGATACATTGGTGAATTGGAGCTCAACCGCAACGTAGATGAATATTTCACACAGACCGAACAAGTTGCGTTCTGTACTGCTCACATGGTTCCCGGTATTGGCCAGTCGGATGATCCCCTACTACAGGGCCGCAGCTTCAGCTATTTCGATACCCAATTATCACGTCTGGGCATCAACTGGCAGGAACTGCCGATCAACAAGCCCGTATGCCCAGTCATGAACTTCAACCGTGATGGCCAAGGCCGTCACACAATCACCAAAGGAACAGTTAACTACTGGCCCAATCGCTTCGAGGCACGTCCTCCGGCCACCCAGCAAGAAGGAGCATACCGGGATCCTCCCTTCTCTGTACAAGGTATCAAGGCTCGGACGAAGAGCGCCAAATTCAGAGAGCATTACAATCAAGCACAATTGTTCTACAACAGCTTGACGCCTCCAGAGAAGAGCCATGTTGCAGCAGCTTTCGCTTTCGAGTTGGATCACTGTGACGACCCCGTCGTCTACGAGCGCATGTCTCAGCGATTGGCAGACATCGACCTTGAGCTTGCACAAACTGTTGCTGAAATGGTTGGCGGCACCAAGCCAACGAAAGCCTCAAGGGCTAACCACGGAAAGACTGCAAAGAACCTAAGCCAGACTGCGATCCAGCCGGAGAAGCCTACCATTGCCAGTCGCCGGATCGCTATTATCATCGCCGATGGTTTCGATAAGGTCACTTACGACGCCATCACAACGACCCTGAAGGCTTCAAGTGCGCTACCATTCACCATCGCTCCGCGACGGTCCGAGATATACCCGGCAGGTGCGGACAAGACACCAGGTAACGGCGTGCAGCCTGACCACCACCTCGAGGGCATGCGGTCTACCATGTTCGATGCGGTTTTCGTGCCCGGCGGTGCGCAAGCCGTTCAGACACTCATGAAGAGCGGTCGGGCGATCCACTGGATCCGCGAAGCCTTCGGTCATCTGAAGGCTATCGGCGCCTCTGGGGAAGCTGTCCAATTGCTCAAGCACGCAATTGCCCTGCCAGAAATCCAGCTGTCCAGCGACGATAAGGCAATTGAATCTTATGGTGTTGTTACCATTGGCAAGATCTCGCCTGACAGCTTGAAGGGTGCCGTGACCATTGCTAAGGAAGGCACTGGATTCGTGCAGAAGTTTTGGTACCAGATCGCACAGCACAAGAACTTCGACAGAGAATTGGAGGGCTTGAATTCACAGGTTGCGTACTAGTGGACGTAGGAAGTATATGTTTCTTCTCGCACTTAGATAGTGATAAATATAATGCCAACATACTATATCTGCGTCGTACGGCATAATTCTTTTATGTTTAGGCAATGTGAATGGTATCCGTAACTTATTGCAATTCAATTACCAATATGGCATAGTTTGTATGTATGTGCTTTTCAACTCGGCATCTCAGACTCCTCTCTCTTGCATCCTTCCCCTCAGTTAATGAGCCATTATTACAAATCCTGGACACGAAACGTACAGCCTGATGCCGATAGTATGTCAGTGGCATTTTCATTGCTGCAAGTCGATTGGCTGATCGACGGCGCTCTGAGGCACAAAGCTCCATGCATCATGTGTTCACTTGTGTAACAGCCCCTCTTTCTGATTTTGAGGCTTTGTAGAGTATATTGACGCTCCGTTCCCTTCGCTCCTTTTTTCTTCCTCTATAGTTTACCCTAATTTACTTGTATTGTAGGTCAACTGCGCCGACAAGATGAAAGCCGGACAGTGGGACGCCGTAAGTTGCTTGAATTCTCTTATTTAGCTAATTGACTGGACACACATCACAAGGGCGACAAACAAGAAAATAAAGCAAAAGACTGATCATTCTATCGTCTCCTAAAAGCAAAACAAAAAGGTTGTCATCAACGACATACCGATCCCAGAGCTAGGAAAGGACCAACTCCTAGTAAAGATCAAGTCAGCGTCGCTATGCCACAGTGACCTGATGAGTCTGGCGCGCGGCCACGGGGATACCGTAACAATGGGCCACGAAGGTGCCGGCGTCATAGAGAAGATTCATTCCTCGGCCGAGGGCAAAGGGTTCAAAGTCGGCGACGCTATTGGATTCAACTACTTCATTAACGTCTGCTACGAGTGTGACGGCTGCCAGATTCACAACTCGCGCTGCGAGAACACGAACTTGCCCATGTGCCAGGGCTTCCATACCAATGGCTTCTTCCAGGAATACGTCCTTGTTGATTATCACACAGCTGTTGTCTTGCCGCCTGAGATCGATGTTCGACGCGCGTCGCCGCTATTTTGCGCGGGAATCACAGGTGAGTTTGTGCGCATGTATTGATGATTCTCGACAGCCGGAAATCGGGCGTACCTGGCCTAAATTAAGACTGGCCACTCCTTGTTTGTGATTGTGACATCCATTTAGGCTACCAAAAACTACTGGTTATACCACAGACTGACTTCATCATAGCCTTTAACGCCATCGATAGTTGCGAGCTTCATCCTGGTCAATGGATAGCCATCGTAGGTTGTGGTGGACTAGGCCAATACGCAGTGCAATACGCCAAGGCGATGCAGTACAATGTCATCGGCGTAGATATCAGCGACGACTCTCTAGACTCCGCCAAAGAATACGGCGCAGATGCCGTCTTCAACTCGAAGACGCAAGCCGACACGTACGTTGACGAGATACGGAAGCTGAGCGGGAAGGGCGTACATGCAGCCGCCGTGTTTTCGGGCGCCAACGCAGCGTTCGACGGTGCCATACCCCTTTTGCGGACTAACGGTCTGCTTATGGTTGTTGGTATCGCACTGGAGCCTTTGCAGATCAACACGCTAGATCTGATCACGGGGCGCTATCGCATCAAGGCTGATAGTACGGGCGTCCCTCGGCGGATGTCGAAGGCTGTTGCATTTACGGCGAAGAATAACATTCAGCTTAATGTTGACTTTAGGAAAATTGAAGACTTGCCTGCTATGGTGGATGATATGAAGAACGGCAAGGCGAGGCAACGGCAAGTTGTTACATTTGATTAAGGGGATTGTTACTAAGTCTTTAGCATTATAAAGTCTTTATCATTATAAGAGACTGAGAACTATGGCTTAGTTAAACAGTATGAATTGCTATTGTGTTTTCAAAACAACGATGTGCTATAAACAAGTACGTACTAAGAAATCTTCTTGTAGGAAATAACTTATTCCATGTATATGAAGGCACCCAGAATACTTCAAATAAACCTCACCTGCTCGGTAGTTAGTCCGTAATATCCCCAAGCCGCAACTATCCATGAGCCGAATAACCGGAACATTGCATCTCCAGCGTTTTCCTCCATCAATAAGATGTTGCTGTCTATTAAACCACAATAGGCACCAGTGAATGTCAATATGGTGTCAACGACTGCAAGCTGGTGGCTTAAGTAGAAGTAGAACAATAAGAGGCCAATGACCGTCGTGCGCGCGCAGCTGATTCGGAATACGGACGCTGCGCTGTGGCTACTCGCGATATGATGAGGCAAACCGAAGTTACGCATGGTCCGATTTGCATCAAGCAAGCCATTGATTCCGCCGAATGTCATCATGAAGGCAACGACGAGCGCGGGAATGTGCATGATATCGAAGGGAGGTATCGCCGGTATAGAGATTCGGCCATAAAGCCATGAGTCGGGTTCTACGATTAAGTGGTAGTAATAGTTCCAGTGCATGTTGGGCTTCGGATCAACCTGTTCTAGGGAGAGTTACCTGACCAAGTGATCGAAATTACTTCAGATGACTATGCGGATGCGAGCGCGACTATATACTCTGATGACGAGTGAACTGGCAAACAAAGGAATTCTATGTTCATATTGTCAACTACAATCCTATTATTGTTCGTAGCGGATACAAAGCCGAAGTCTTGTATCACTCGCTTTACTTGCTTTGCCACAATGCCCATCTATTAGATTCTCTTTAACCTTTTGATGCATTATTTGGTGGTCGTAGGTACTGTATATCTCGACAGTGTGAGTAGAGGCGTGTTGTACTGAGTATCGGTCATCAGTGACATCCATAGCTGTATCGTCCAGATGCCAGATACTCCTACCCAGTCAATTCGGTATTTTATGTGAGGACTCAGCCCGAATGGTTACCATCGTATCCCATGGGCATGATCATTCTACATCCATTCTTCATCACCAGCCATAACGCCATCACAAGCAGCCATCACTACGGTGGATGATGGCATGACTTAAGAAAAAAAAAAGAACTACCTCGAAATTCGCCAAGCAAATTGAATACTCTCAAACCCCCAATCCTTTTCTCGGCTTGTACTCTCTCTTGCATAACGAGGAGTACTTTTCTGAGCCCTTCGTCTTTAAACCCGAGCGCTGGCTTCTTCAATCCGGAAACAAAAACAGAGATAGAGATTCGGAGGAGCAGAAGCGACAGGCCGCGCGCCACGCGTTTCAACCTTTCGCCTTGGGTGATCGAGGGTGCGCGGGGAAGGCTATGGCGTACCTAGAGTACCTGGAGCTTAGTCTTGTGCTGGCGAGGACGATGTGGTGTTTCGATTTCGAGAGAGCCTCCGGCGAAGCCGGGAAGGTGGGTGAAGGACAGCCCGGGAGGAAAGATGGGCGAGGTAGACGTGAAGAGTACCAGCTGTACGATGGTGTGATCGTCAGCCACGACGGTCCTAACTTGGTTTTCTGCTCGCGCGATGATCTTTGGAGATTGATATGATGGAGTGAACTTGACATCTAGTTGAAGTGCTGAGAACAAGCGATATTCAGCCGAATTCGATGTTGCAATATGCCGATCACTTCATTCCTATCCTGGAGCACCGGCGGCCTGGGGTTTGACCCCGCCGATATCCCGTACCGTCTGTGAAGTTGCGCCCACCATTCAGCTCAATTTATTATCCTTGTCGTTTGTTATGTTGCAGCAGTCTTCGCTTATTTGGCTGCCTTCTCTCCGTCTCGATCATCTGCACAGTCCTTAGCTGTACCCCAAGCTCTACTACACTCAAAGCGTCGGCAACAGTATCGAGAAGACCCTGACATGCGACGTATGTATTAGCAAACAATAGAAACTACGAAGGATATTGTACATACCGAAAGCAAGGATTGCAGAAGGCATCTGAGGGGGTTGTAGGAAGGCGATGGCTTCTTATTGGTCTTTCAACGACATGAAGCTGAGCTGAATCCCACTGCTACAGAGAATTTCCCCACACTCAACAGAATACCGACCAGCAACATTCTGAACGATGACAGGAGATGAAGGTATGATACATCAAACGATGAACTCCGCTGGAGTCATCAGAGCCGATGGCCACGCGAAGGTCCATATTGGGAACAGCTATTCCACCACCCACAACTACCCAGATTCCAGCCGCCACCTCGCCGATTCCTACCACACCGAAACGGGTCGAGAGAAAGTGCGCGTCGAATTCCTCCTCCGACTGTATAGCTCACCGTACGAAGACCGCAAGAACAGAAACCCCAGGCGAGCAGATGGCACTTGCGAATGGTTTACTAGTCACCCTCTCTTCCAAAACTGGCAGAACGAGACATCAGCACTGCTCTGGGTTTCTGCAGACCCTGGTTGTGGCAAATCTGTGCTATCGAAATACCTGGTAGATGCGGTTCTACCTTCAAACGCTACTAGGACGACGTTATATTTCTTCTTCAAGGATGACTTTGAAGACCAAAGAACTTCAAAAGACGCTCTTCGTTGCGTTCTCCATCAGCTCTTTAAGCAGAAACCAGCCTTACTCTTGGATGAGATCCTCAAAGACTTCGCAGAAGAGGGAGATCAGCTTGTCGCATCTTTCCCTCGGCTCTGGGACATATTTACCAAGGCAACCAGCGATCCAAGTCATGGCGAAATGGTCTGCATCTTAGATGCCCTCGATGAATGTGTGGACCAAAAACAGCTTATCAATGCTTTGGCGCAGCATTATAGCATATCCAGGGGAACATCTGCACTCAAATTCCTTGTGACCAGCCGCCCATATTCGCAGATTAGACGAGGCCTCCAGAACCTTGAAGACTCTCACCCTACTATCCACCTTAGTGGTGAGAGTCAAGAAGAGGTGGACAAGATTGCACAGGAAATTACTATCGTTATCCAACAACGCATAGCGGACCTTAGCAGGAAGCTCAAACTTGATTTAGAAACGAAGGAACTATTGGGCAACGAACTTGCTAATGTTGGCCACCGAACATATCTATGGGTCCACCTGATCTTTGCCGTCATTGAAGAAGCTGTTTTTTTGACTAAGAGCGATTTGCTTGATAAGATTCGTAGCCTACCTCAGACAGTGGAAGAGGCATACGAAAGCATTCTTCGCAAAAGTCAGAATCCCGATAAGGCCAAAAAGATCTTACAAATCGTCATTGCAGCATATAGGCCGCTGCGTCTCGAAGAGTTGGCTGAAGCATTGGCATTTCGAGGAGAGAGTCACCGATGCCACGATGAGCTCGCACGAGACCTATTGCCAATTAGACATTTAAATTCTGCGGTCCGGGAGACTTGTGGATTGTTCATAGTTGTCCAGGATTCGCAAGTCTTTCTACTACATCAGACCGCCAGAGAATTTTTAATTCGTTTGCCAGCTCAGCCATTCGACACTCGATCTCACTCCTTAAAATGGCAGCACTCTCTTGACTTAGAAGAGTCACACGGTCTGCTTTCAGATATATGTGTTAGGTATCTACTTCTCACCGATTTTCAAAAGCCCGTCAACTCTGAGAATGGTTTCGGCTTTCTAGACTACGCTGCAAGCAACTGGGCGGACCATTATCGTCAGACAGGCAACAGACTTGGCACAGACTTGGAATGTCTGGCCTTGCGGCTTTGCGACACACAATCCTGGGCATGCACACTATGGCTAAAAGTGTGTGCGAAAACGCGACATGACAGCCGGTTAATAGAAGATCTCCCTACATCCCTTCTAGTCGTATCCTATTTTGGTTTAAGCAACTTAGTGGAAATTATCCTGTCCAAGAAGGAAACAGATCTATGGAGAACAGGTCGGTCTTTTCGAACCGCTCTGTCATGGGCGAGTGAGAAAGGATATGACTCAATAGTACAATCGCTCCTAGATCGAGTGCCAAGGTACCGGGTAGTGCTCAGAGACAAGCTAAGATTAATATCATCTTTTACCATCATAAATCAGAAGGATGAGGGTGGCCAATCGCCACTGTTCTATGCTGCAGAAAAAGGGCACTTGGATATTGTCCGCCAGCTACTTCGAAGAGGCGCAAGGGTTGACGCTAGAGATCATTCTGGCTTAACACCTCTGATACGGGCGATTTTTGCTGGCCACAGTGATGTGGTTGCGCTACTCTTTAGCACAAGTGCTCAATCGAACCCTAACTGTCTAGAGAGAAATAAGTATGATCACGGCCGGACTCCTCTGATAAGAGCCGTGATTGATAATGCTGGAGCTGCTGCTAAGCTACTCCTTGACCTCGGTGCGCAGGTCAACGCCATAGACGAGTACAAAATGACGGCTCTGATGTATGCTTCGAGTGCTGGCTGGAACTCTTTAGTTACACTACTCCTTGAACATGGTGCGCAAATTCACGCCACAAATAAGAACAGAGAGACCACCTTGATGTACGCTTCAAGGTCTAAATGCGACTCTATAGTTACACTACTCCTTGAACATGGTGCGCATATTCACGCTACAAACAAGGACGGGGAAACCGCCCTGATGTACGCCTCGACGGCTGGACGCGACTCTATAATCACGCTACTCTTTAAACGTGGCGCACATATCAATACTACAAACATTAATGGAAAAACAGCTCTGATGATGGCTTCAGATTCTTATAAGCCTAACACTGGAGTCATACTACTCCTACTCAGCTACGGTGCACAGATTGATCTTGCAGATAGATGGTGGGGGAGCACGGCTCTAATGATCGCTTCAAACAATGGCTATAACGATATAGTCAAAACGCTTCTTAACCACGGCGCACAGAGCAATATGATAGATAAAACAGGAAGAACAGCTCTAATGCTCGCTTCAAAAAACGGCCATCTCACTACAGTAAGGGAACTCCTCCACCACGGTACACGGAGTGATATCGATATCGCAGATAAAAAGGGAAGGACAGCTCTAATACTCGCTTCGAAATACCGTCATCACGCTACAGTACAAGAACTTCTTGACCACGGCGCACAGAGTGACATTGCAGATAAAAAAGGGAGCACAGCTCTAATGCTTGCTTCACAATATGGCTGTTACGCTATAGTGAAAGAACTTCTTAACCACGGCACACAGAGCGATATTGCAGATAAAAAAGGAAGGACAGCTCTCATACTCGCTTCGAAATACAGTCATCACAGCATAGTTGAACTACTTCAAAATGGTGACGATGGGTATCTGGAGCACCGTGATAAACCCGCGGGTTGTTCACGGGCCCGCCAAGAGCCTGCTAGGTAGGTATGTAGGTACCTTTGAAATATAGTGGGGCAATCCCCCGATCCAGGGGCAGAGCAGCGGCCAGAGCACTAATGGTTGCTACCGCAACGTGGGCGGAGGCCAAGAAAACAATACAACCCTGCGCTAACCTTGGTCGACTCAACCCCAGACACTCTCTGTCTACACCTATAACTGCACCTGTAACTGCACCACCCTGCCCTTATAAACTCAGCGACTTGTATGATATCGAGCTTGAACCTAGTCTCTTGTAGTTTGGCACCGGATACCTCATATACATCTATCAGCGCCGACTGAGCGGACAGCAGCGACAATGGCAGCTCGCACTCTTGAATCCCGCTTCGAGCGGATGACGGTGAACGATGACGGCGAGCACCTGAAGACGAAGGTAGGTTGAGGAATCATGACACCTGCCTACTCTAACTACCCGTCATGGGCCATGCTGACTGTCCAACTGTAGGTCACTGCTACTACAACACAGGTGTCGCACAGTTCCAGTCGGCCAAATCTCTACAAGGTCGCTCTCCAGACGCAGACTGCAAACGCTGCCCTCACTCTCCCCTCGCAAGCTGGCCAAAGGAAAGCCGGACAGCCTTCATCACCCACTAGAAAACCCCTCCCAACAGCAGCATCGCGGGCCTCGTCAGAAGAGGTCTCACAATTAGAACGTAAAGCCGCAACATTGATAGAACAGCCAACTATCAAGAACTTCCACCTGGGCATGTTCGAAATTGGCCGGCCGCTGGGCAAGGGCAAGTTCGGACGGGTGTACCTCGCACGTGAGCGCACAAGTGGCTTCATCTGCGCGCTGAAGGTGCTCCACAAGAGCGAGCTATCTCAGGGGCGGGTTGAGAAGCAGGTGCGTCGGGAGATCGAGATCCAGAGCAACCTGCGGCACCCCAACATCCTGCAGTTGTTTGGGCACTTCCACGACAGCAAGCGGGTGTTCCTGATCCTCGAGTTCGCTGCCCAGGGCGAGCTGTACAAGCACCTGCGGCGCGAGAACCGCTTCCCCGAGTGGAAGGCCTCGCAGTACATTGCGCAGATGGCTAGTGCCCTGCGCTACCTGCACCGCAAGCACGTCATCCACCGTGACATCAAGCCCGAGAACATCCTCGTCGGCATCCACGGCGAGATCAAGATCTCCGACTTTGGCTGGAGCGTGCACGCGCCCAACAGCCGTCGCGAGACCATGTGCGGCACCCTCGACTACCTTCCCCCGGAGATGATCAAGCCCGGAAGCTCCGACAACTCGTACAACGAGAAGGTCGACCTGTGGAGCCTGGGCGTCCTGACCTACGAATTCCTCGTTGGCGAGGCTCCCTTCGAAGACACGCCGGTCATGACGCACAGGAGGATAGCGAGGGCTGATATGACGATCCCGTCATTCGTGAGTCCCGAAGCGCGGGATCTCATCAAAAGGGTATGCTCATTCTCATTATATCTTACCAGACTTACTCTCTGGAGAGCATCCTATGCTAACTCTTACATAGCTCCTTGTTCTGGACCCTGAGAAGAGGATACCACTAGAGCAGGTGCAGACGCACCCCTGGATTCTCAAGCACTGCGCGAAGAATTCCGCGCATACTAAAGCGCACTGATCGAATTTTTTATACATTGATGCAAGGAAAACAGGGTTTATATCATCGATGGCGCAGGCGTTTTCAACATGGGCATAGCGGATATGGGCGGTTCTGGTAATAAGGAGTAACTTGGTGTTTCGTAACGGCCGTGTCGTTTTTCAATCATCGTATGCAATTGAACATTTACATATATATCAAATCATCTATAAGCAAAAGCGCCTGCTCTTGATCCTTCCTTATAATTTTCATGCAGAGACGAGATGTTAGCCTCGAGTGCGTGGTCATTGTTGGTACAAGCTACGTCCCAGTTCCGCTGGGCGTAGCACTTTATACATTGTATTTTATTTTCTGGTGTTTACCTGTAGACCTCATCAAAAGGCCGGGTGTCTGAGAAGCATGAATCCCACACTTGGTTGACTACCTTGACGGCTTGGACGTCGTCCTTGCAGCGCGGCCGTGCTAGTAATGACTCTACAGCCCGCTTGCGCACGCAGTCCTGGAATTGCTGTGTCAAGGTCCAATTCCCTCTTGTCAGTGCCTCTTTCGTCCATCTACACTCTCCGCTCAGCATCGACGCTCTAATCTACATCGAAAGATATATTAGTCTTAGAAGTCACGCATTGAATAGACGAAGCAGACATGAGACTCAGTGGCAAAGACAAACACTCACCTCAGTACAAGCGGCTTGTTTCAAATCCTTATCCCCAGCCCAATCCATCTTCCACCGGAGATGGTCCCACGCATGCACCATCTCGTGCGCCAGTGTGTCCTCCAGATGCGACCGACTCCGGATCTCGTTGGCGCAAATCAGGATGCCCGAATGTGGGCTGAAGCCGCCGCTCTGGCGATGCACCTGGCCGTCCTCGGTCAGTCGTGCAGGACACCGCGCGCACACGACGTTGCTGGCGTCAAGCTGGCCATTGAGCGCCGCAATCTTCTGCCGCAGGAACACCACCGTCGGCGAGTGCTGTAGTGCGAAGTCCCGCCACTTCTCGCAGCTCTTGCAGTCGCGCTCCTCGTTCGCTATGTACCGTGATTCGCGGTAGTGGAAGGCGCCCTCGGGCGTTATCGACCCCGTCAGGATCTTGAAGTAGTTCATCCACCACGCCGTCTGCGGGTCGAACCCCGTGCGCTTCGGATCGTTCTTTACGATCCGCGGTAAGTCGGGCGTTGAGGTGGATGGCTGTGTTTGGGCGGAGGTGGAGGCGGTCGATGGGTCGGCGGAGCCCGGTATTGACGGCTGTGGTAATGACATGGTCGATGGCTATCTATTTTCGTCTCTGTGAGTTACGGGTACGGGTATCGTTGCGACTGCTACCTTCAACCTTCGATACGCATTCGAGTGGTAACCTGGCGATGCTGCAGAGAAAGGTATTGAAAGTGGATGAAAACGGCAGGCGGTAAGACAAAAGTACATTAGGTTTGTATCTACCATGCACTGTTTCGGGCGATTTTCTGCAGGTCCGATTCAAGCTCCGACTACGGCTACGGCTCAGACGCCAATTGGAAATTCTGCCGGCTCGCTGCAGTCATATCAGCATCCCGCCAGGTCCACATCAACATGTTTCGGACTCGACTGGCGAACCAGCTGATTGAGTAACTAAAACAAGATGCTTTGAGCCCTTGCAATGACAGGCCAAGGGACCTCCACGCCCTGTATGTTATATTCTAATAAATACCTTGCTTTTATTTGATGCTAGTTTATGTGCTATCCTTTGGAATTGGTGGTGAAGTGCTTTGAGTCCTCGCTCGTCTGTATCGAATTGAATTTGCTAATGCTCACTTTTGTCTACTCTCAGATATGAAGGGCACGAAGCCTCTCACTGTGGTCATAAAGCTTGGTACGTCATAGCATTATACGCACGTCCATTGCTGTCTAGACTAACATGGCCCAGGGACCAGTTCCATCGTAGATGAGAAGACCCACGAGCCTATACTCTCAATCTTGAGTCTTATAGTCGAGACTGCTGTGAGGTTACGCAAAGATGGCCATAAAGTTGTCATTGTGTCATCTGGCGCCATCGGCGTCGGGTTGAGGCGGATGGATGTTGACAAGCGGCCTAAACATCTGTCCAAACTCCAAGCCCTGGCAGCTATTGGACAATGCCGTCTCCTCAGTCTTTGGGATAGTTTATTTGCCCATCTGCAGCAGCCTATCGCTCAGATCCTCCTTACCCGGAATGATATAGCAGATGTAAGATCAAGTTACTCTACTATCTTCCCTGTGCTCGATCACCCAGACAGTCTAACACGCATCAAATAGCGTTCAAGGTACCTCAATGCTCAGAACTGTATGGCCGAGCTTATGGACATGGGCGTCATTCCCATCGTCAATGAAAATGATACACTAGCTGTGGCCGAGATCAAGTTTGGTGACAACGATACTTTGTCGGCCATCACAGCCGTCATGGTGCACGCCGATTTCCTATTCCTAATGACGGACGTGGATTGCCTATATGACAAGAACCCACGGACGCACCCAGATGCACAACCTATCGAAGAAGTCGAAGATATAGGAGCTATACAAGCTGATGGTACGTGAAAAAGCTCTCCTGTATTTCGGCTCATTTTTCTCATCGGGATCATACAGTTTCATCAGCGGGCTCTTCATTAGGCACTGGAGGTATGGGCACCAAGATCGTTGCAGCGCGACTCGCGACATCAGCCGGAGTAACAACAGTTATTACACGCTCTTCTGCTCCAGGTAACATGGTCAAGATTGTGCGCTATCTACAAGCCAAAAAGAACCTTACAAAAAGTGCATCACAAGTATCATTGTCACAGGGGACCCATAGCGCCGAAGAAAGCCCAGCAGCAACCGAAATTCTATCTCATTCAACGGTATCTCTAGCTCCTGATGCGCTAGAGAAACCACCATTACACACACGTTTTCTTCCACTATCAACACCAATCCGTGATCGCTACTTCTGGCTCCTACACGGTCTCGCACCCCACGGGACGATATACATCGATGCGGGCGCGCACGCCGCGCTCTCCGACAAGGCGGGCTTACTACCCGTCGGCATCTTGGATGTAGAAGGGAACTTCGCACAACAAGAAGCAGTGCGCCTCGTCGTCGTAGACCGTCGAGCAGCGCCCGATACACACCACACTTCCACCACATCTATCCCCGGATCCACGACGCCTATTCCCGTATCAGCAAAATGGGAAGCTTGCAACCCCGTCGAGGTCGGCCGCGCTCTCGTCAACTACGCGGCTTCTGAGATCGCTCGTATCAAGGGCCACCGTAGTAGCAAGATTGGCGAACTTCTAGGCTACGCCGATAGCGAGTACGTGGCGTATAGAGAGAACATCAGCTTGTTCAGGAGGGAGAGTCGGCCTGTCTCACCTGTGCTAGATCTTTCTGCTAGTATCAGCAGCGGTGTGGCGGGGTACGAGGTAGGAGAGGCCATATAGACTATCGAGCGAATGGCAGCTATAAAATAACATGACGATCTTGATGATGGATTCGAATTCATCACTTGTACACATTTCCCTTAGTAAGAGCGGCTATGGTAATAACAATAAAACGAACGGGTAGACAAAACATCAAAACCAATATCCAAGTAGGGCTATGAAATCGAGAATCACGAATCAAAGGCAAAATCTTGTAGAGATTAAATAGATGGTAATCGAATTTGGTATCCTCAAAAACGCCTTCTATGCTGTTTTTTATTTCCCAGTAAAATTAAACAGAACCCCTAAACTCCAACTAAAGCATCTTACGGACCAATATTCGACTACCTAGCTTGCAAATAGGGTGTCTTCGTCACGTAGGTACTCTCCGCAATCAGCCTGTCTGAAAACAACAGTTCCCGTCGGGTCTAGCCTGCGTGCTCTATCGTAGTAAAGGTTAGCGGATTTCTTTGAAAATTGTTTTCGCCCAAGACTGAATGAGGTATAGGCTGTTATGGAAACCTACTCTGAAGTACTTCGTGCAGATACACCAACTGGTATTATATCAGTATTGCTCTACAAAGCATCGCCACGAGGTTAAGAAGCTGGGGAACTCACAACCTATCGGGTTATCCGCCATATCATAAACCTGAGCAACCCGGTTAGTTAAGAGCTTTCAACCAGCCGTTGTCTCAAGCAACTCACTATCACTCCAACGTTGGCAGGACAGTCCTCGGTCCATCGACCGACGTGAGCCTTGGAAACATGGCTACCGTATAAGAAGGGCATGACACCATTGGCTGCGGTACAGACTCAGCGATTGACTCTCAGGAGCGGTCCATTCTTGGTCGAAACCTACGTTTAACCCAGATCTTATATCTTGCGTGGCTAGATAGGCGCGTAAGTCAAAACCCCCGGCCTGAGTGTGAAAATGTACCTACGAGGCCAAAATGGGCAAAGCCGTGATATGTAACCTGAACTTCAGTGTCTGCGACGAGCCGTTAGCTCACGTCTGGGCTTGCATAATACCCATGCTATTCGTTCAAAGCCCATTGTGATTCGCACCTTCGTGAATTTTCCTATTAAGAGAAAACCAAGATTCGTCAGTCCGTCTGGTTACCGAGCCTAGGTACAGGAGGAATGCCTTACCCAGGCAGATGCCGACTGAAGCCAAACTGTCCCGAGCTACCGAGGTAGCAACTATACGTTTATGCGTAAGCCATATGGTATATAGGTAAACGGACTGGTGTGTGCTGGGAAGTGATTTGGGGGTAGCCATACGGTTCGCTATCGAGAGAAGAACATAATACACCTAGCATGCTTCTGGTCAGCTAAAGTTGCGGCCTGGATTTCAGGAGGATGCCGTACACGATCTTTAATCAATCGGAATACATAACGGTCGGCATCCGGGGAATTGCTAAGAGGCGCGATTAACGGTTTTAAATCGGTCGTGTAGTTGGCGAGCTTTTCAAAGAGGATTTTCTGAGAGCGTAGACAAAGTTAGCCATGACTATTGGGTAAAAGGTGAAATAGGATGCGCTATCGCGGGCAACATACTGTTTCTTGCTCCGTTAACGGCCTCATTTTGTCTTGGAATTCGCAATGCGATGAGCTGAGCTATGATGCCGGAGGTGTAGTTATAAAGGAATGGATGAATTGTAGCTGAGAGCTATCGTCGCAGCATCAATTGATGGTGGGGGCTGTTCAGAGATGCTTCTTTCTGCTCAGCAACTTTCCTCTGGAAATTTTGGCTCCAGATCCAAAGGAATCAACCCGATTGGTTGCCTCTAGCTTATCGGGCTGTTATCGCTCCGTAGTGGGGCTTATCGTTCAGGGTCCTTAACTGTTATTGGGAAAAGTTCTACAGAGCTACCTTTCATACTCGAGCTTACGTAGAAACAGGTCGTGACTACACATATCTTTCTCACTTTATGTGATTGGAAAATGGCTTCAAGGCCAAGTAAAAAGAGGAAATTGACACCTCCGCCGTCAGAGGATGACGGCGACTCACGGTCAAACGCCAAGATCCAGAGGTCCTTTTTCCAGAATGCTGCAAAATGGGACCTTCTCGAAGATCAATACAGTGCGCGAAAGGGCAAGAAGAAAGAGAAAGAGAGCACCAGATTACCGGTGAAACGGGATGGGCGCATCCAAGCCGTATCCACGCCACTGGAGGACCTCAAGGAAAGCGATGACGACTGGCTGGAAGACGAAGGAGACAGGTCTGAAGGAGACGAGGAGGAAGATGAAGAACAGGAGCCGCAAAAGGAGCCTGAGATTCCTGTGAAGCAGCAGATTCGAAATGCTAAAGAGGATCTGGCGAAGTTGGCTACGGCACTGAACGAGGAACCATATGAAAATGCAGGAGCGTTTAAGGCCTTGACCAAAATCGGCCAGTCCAAGATTCCTGCAATTGTAACGCTCTCGCTAGTTACGAGGATGGCCGTATTTAAGGATCTTATACCGGGATATCGGATTCGACCTCTGTCAGAAGACGGCCCAGGAGGCGAAAAGGTCAGCAAGGAGGTCAGAACAATACGCGCATTCGAGCAGTCGTTAGTGTCTAGCTACCAAGCCTACGTCAAAGAGCTCACGCGGTATGCGAAAGCAAAGAAGAGCCAGCCTGGCGGAGCCGAACATGCGACTGTGGCGATAACGTGTGCATCGTCACTTTTGATAGCTCATCCTCACTTCAATTTCCGCTCTGATCTCATAAACATTCTAGTCTGGAAGCTGAGCTCGCGTCGTCCGGACAAGGATTTCGAAAAGGCTCTGTCAGCTATCATCAAACTTTTCACCGAGGATGAGGAGGGCCGTCCCTCTTTTGAAGCCGTCTCAACTCTCTGCAGGATGATGAAGTCCAAGGACTACCTCGTTCATGAGAATGTTTTAAATTTATTCCTGCATCTTCGACTTCTCTCGGAATTCTCCGGCAAGGCATCGCAAGACGCCGTCGATCTACCGATGGAAAGTCGCAAAAAACAGAAGAAAGTATTTCGAACGAAACGGGAACGGAAACAGTAAGCGCCCTTTTTTTTTTTTTTTTTAAATTTATCTCTCCGTCTTCGATGTATAAGACAATTATGAATTACAATGACTAACTCAACATCAGACTCAAGGAAGAGAGAGCTCTGCAAAAGGATATGGACCAGGCAGATGCGAATGTGCTTCATGAAGAGCGAGATAGGATGCAGTCCGAGTGTCTGAAGGCGGTCTTTGCAACATACTTCAGGATCCTGAAGCTTAGGACACCACATCTTATGGGCGCCGTGCTTGAGGTAAGAAAATCGATTTCGCCCAGGGACAGTAGACATACTAATGAAAATAGGGTCTCGCCAAATTCAGTCATCTCATCAACCAACAATTCTTCGGCGATCTCCTCGAGGCCTTAAAAGACCTCATCCGCCACAGCGACTCGGATGAAAACGCCAGCGAGGACCCCGAAGCCGCAGCAGAAGCAGATGAAGACGAGGACGGCGATACAACCCGCAACCCAACCCGGGAAGCCCTGCTCTGCACCGCCACTGCATTCGCCCTGCTCGCCGGCCAAGACGCGCACAATGCCAAAGCAGACCTACATCTGGACCTCTCCTTCTTCACAACCCATCTCTGGCAAACTCTCCTCCCCATCTCCCAAAACGCCGACATCGAGCTCGGCGCGCGATCCCTCCATCTACCCGACCCCGACGCGCCAGGATCAGCAGCAAGCCGGCTCCGCACCGACACGCGCGAGAACAAGGTGAACCTGCAAACGACGACAGTCCTCTTAATCCGGTGTCTCACAGCCGCGCTGCTCCCGCCGTGGAACATCCGCTCGACGCCTCCGCTCAGACTAGCCGCCTTCTCAAAGCAGCTGATGACAACATCTCTGCACGTCCCGGAAAAGAGCGCGCAGGCGCTCCTCGCTCTGCTGGCCGACGTGGGCAACACCCACGGACGCAAGATCGCCGCACTCTGGAACACGGAGGAGCGCAAGGGCGACGGCGTCTTCAACGCGCTATCCCAGACCGAGGAGGGGAGCAATCCCTTCGCGACTACGGTTTGGGAGGGAGAGCTACTCAGACGGCATTACTGTCCTAAGGTTCGGGACGCCGTGAAGATAATGGAAAAGAATATCATGAGTGAGAGATGATATGGGTAGGTGAAGATAGCAGTAAGGGAAGTGGAGCGAAAACGAGGAGGCCATCGAAGATAATATAAACATGGTCAGCCTATTTAAGTTGAAGGCCTGATGATTAGCGTTGCAATTCGCAAAGTTGGCGTATCTTAGATATTCATCTTACCACATGTTCATAATGGGGGCTGGCTATCTAAGTAGACACGTACTCATTATAACCGAAGCACAGCCAAGTAGCAGTTGACTGGAACATGACTGCCCTAGTGGCATCCTCTTTCTTTTTTCACATGATACCATAACACACACCGAGTAATCAGTCCGTTGCCGGCTTCTCTATGCCATACACAACCAGATTCGTTTTCAGCACTTGCTCGATCAATTGCCCATCGTTAACCGAGGTTGACTATCGACTGTTGCACGAAAGTCTCCATGACCGTCCTTTGTCCATTCTAGCCTACTATTCTCCTCATATAGCAGGTTTCCGACACTTTCCTCCAATATTTTACCCCAATCACTGATATACATCTAAAGACCCCAAAATCCTGTGATTAGATTAGTATTCTCTCGTGGCAACAATCTGAGATGACGTCCTACTGAACCCACCACTATCTATCTCGTAGTTTTCTTCTACCTCGGGCGGGATGGCTGAGAGGTTAAAGGGAAGCGACAAGAAGGTGATTCATTGGCGCCCAATGCTAACACAGAAAGATTCCAAACGATGGGTAGCCGAGCATATTCTAGATCGGGAAAGACTGGCATAGGCAACCAAAGAACCTATAAAACAGTCTTTCGAAAGACTTTATGGTAAGTCATAACATGATGCTGGGTAACGCCGGGCTATGCAGTTTAAACCCCATCAGACCATCGGGAGGCTTGGAGACCGGGCCCCTTTGTAAGACCACTAAAAACTATTGGAGCTTCTCCCGTAGTACTCCGTGGGGGTTGTAAGGACTGTGTGCCAATGTAGTTAGTGTTTTGATTGCCGCTAATCGGAATGGATTTGTATGTGGTAGTTTACCTGGCTACTGCTAACCGAGTCGGCCCTCACTTTGCGGTTTGCGGGATTCCATATAGATTCAGCAAGTCCTTTCTTTACTGTGCTTGTGACCATGGAATTGAATGTTGCCGTTGACGCATAGTCAGAATTGTCCAAATCCATAATATCATTCTCTTTTGCTTTCTCTGTATAACAAAATGTATTTTGGTGTACGGGAGGCAGAAATGTCGATTGTGTTGTCTTGGGAAACACATGGGAAGAGGTTTCATTGGGTATCTGGTGCATCCCCAATGCAACCTCGACTGAGGCATGATGATAGGATGCCTTATCCAGGCTTGAGGGAGCAAGCATTGGATTCTGAACAGTCTGGATGGCAGGAGTTATACTTCTAGCGCAAATACTTGTTGTCGTTGTCGGAGGGGAGATCTGCCCGGAGCGTTGAAAAAACATATCTGCATCTTTGGTATGTGAGCCCACCTCAACATTACCTAATGGGTTTCAATGATATTTAGATTTGGGTTAAGTTTTGGTTACGTTGGGTGTATCTCACTGCTGATTATTAGCAAAAAGTACGCGAGACGCTTGTTAATATGTCCACATACCCTGGTGAATCATTCGTCACAAGTTCTCCCTTCCATGCTAGGCGGGGAGGCCGGACAACAGAAGAATGCAATTGAGGCTGGTTTCTGTTGCGCTTATGATGCTTGCGCATGTCTTGCTGATGATAGGTATTCATTGGCGGATTGCTGCGATTCCTGCGTCGACGCTTTCTTTCTGGTGCTTTTTGCCGCTCGAACTCCGCCTGGAGCTCCCTCGCCATGTTGATGTCTCCTTGGGTATCCATCTTGTCTGTTCGTGTCAGTGTAATTGTGTTTGCAGGTTGTGGCATGGACATGTCTAACCATTCAAAGACTGTAGCCGGGTACCAATACCGCGCGGTATCGAAGGCGTAATACCAGCTACAGACAGATGTAGATGTGATACTGCAACAAGAGGGGAATTCACTCAGCGTGTTGACTGCAAGCCGATGTAGTAAGGATTAAGGAAATATGGGAGAGCTCCCTGGAGTACATGCAAGAGTGTTTGACTTGACTGAACGCTGGGGTAGAATCACGGTAGTAGTTCACACAACAGTGAAGTTCAGTAAGCCGTGGTTGAAGTGAAAGGGTGCTGGTGTGTCAAGAAAGAGGAAAGATGGTTGGGTGAAAGAGAGGCAGTAGAAAGGGAAGAAGGTTGCCTAGAAGACCTGAGAAACTGTAGCATGCACTTGACTGTTTCGCTCCTCCCACCTGCACCGTCCATTTATTGTTGTTGCCGGGAAGGAAGGTGCGAGGAAGGCATCCCCGCAGCTTCCTAGGTGAAAGGGGCCGTGACTGCATTCAAGCAGAGTTACTACCAGATCACCAATTATGTCACTGGTTGTTGAGTGAAGGGTTAGAAAGCAACTGTTTTCTCTTGAGATATGACTTGAGGTTGATCAGGAATTAATGTCCAGGCATCAAGCCGTGGTGAGGTAACTGGGATAACTAGATGTAGCATTCGAAATGTGTATTGACCTGAATTCTTACTTTCTCATTACATTGTTTGTTGTACAAGAGGAGTTGGTTGACAATTGCCAGTCAGGTAGCATGGTTAAAGCTGGAAAGGTTGTATTGTTTCCAACTTAATCTACATTTGCAACAAGTAGCTCCTACAACAGGAACGATATGAACGCTATGAAATACTTGGGACGAATTCAGAGTTGCAGTACCCGAAGAAACAAAAAGCCGGGGGATTGCTTCATTGAGTGCTCTTTCTCGATTTCTTGCTGACACCTATGACAGTCTCAATGGAATTTATCTTCGTAGCTCGATATTTACCCTCGCGAGCCTCTTCAAACCACGGTGCCTTGATGATCGCAACATGCTCCTGGGTGAAATCAAGCAAGGCATTAGAGTTTGGGGCCCCGACACAAATACCTACGCAGGAAACGCGAGGGATACCTAGTGACTCACACAGTCGGCCCTCGCAACCCCTGGGAAGCTCAACTAATCGAATGGCCGGTTGTGATGGATAGGACCTAGAAGCCATTGTCACCATCTGGGGAAGATGGCTGCTTAGCGCATTTGGTTGGCCAGATCTCGCAACAAAAATGGCTGAGTAAAAACGACTTGGAGATGTCTGCTCTGGTTTTCGATCATCTCGCGAAACGGTAGTTTCTAAGGCATCTGACGCGGTCCTCTGAAGATAGCGTGAGACGCATGGCAAGCCGATGTCAACGTAAGAGTGAAGCTCAGGGACTGGGGGAACCGGTGGCGCTGTCTCCTGGCTAGACTGCTCCTTTCGTTTCCTCTTCTTGGCACGATTGCCCTTCGACGCATGAATGTGCTGTGATCGATAGTGACCAAGAGGCGAAAGCAGACTAGAATAGACGCATCAGCTTAAAGGCGGGCATGGAAACCAGGGGAACGCCTTGTTCGCAGCGAGTCTCTTGACTACCGGGCTGTGTAAGGTCTTAAGAACTTACGCGCAAAGCAGTTCCAAGATGGTATCTTGGTCGTCTGGCGTTATATGAGGCCTAAAGTATGTACGTGTGAGCAAGCTCTCCGTTCGTGGTGCCAGTAGTGGCGAGTCGTTGCTTACCATGATGCATTCGAAAATGGAGTGTCTAGCTGAAACACTGTCTTCCTCTTCAGCCCTTTATCCATGGCGAGGCGCTGAACTCTCCGCCTACAACTCAAAATGAACTCTTGTCAGCCTAAGAAAGGAAGACAATCGAAGAGAGTACCGATCTTCTAATCCCGATGTACTGTAAATAAATAAAACCCTGCTGATAGCGACACGACGGGTAGGTAACCTGTCACCAGAATGAGAAAAGTTAGCGCAACGCTAAGGGCGTGTACAGACCAATATCACAAGTGGTGAAACGGGTTGAGATTAATGGACTAACAAATCTTCCACAACCTACATATGTCGGTATTATTGTATAACAGTCTTGCAGATTAGCATAACAGTACTTTTGTTCTGCCAGGAAGACGCAGCTGGCCTGTTTCTGTACATCAACCTTCCAAGTTACACATTACCAGTCAGTGGATTTATTTTGCCCAATCGGAACTGTAGGTATAGATAATATGTGGGGCTTACCACTAAGGATGTACATAAGTGTACTGGAGCGCCTCAATTGTGGTGATGTTCTGACACCGAATGTTATACAACTACACCTAACCTGTTGTCTTCTTGCTATCTATCCTATGTAGTGGCCTTATGTGACCATGGCGGAAGTTTGCAAGAAATAAGCATAATTTCTGCACAACGTGTTACATTTTTCATTCCATTCAGGCTTGTGTTTCCTATACACCGTCATCTTGGTCCAACATTTTTGACCTTGCCCGGTATCTAGGAGGGTATTTACGAGTTTCACTCAACGAGTTACATAGCCACACATTCATAACCAACGTATGCCATATTTAACTACGTCCCACGTAAGATAGGTGGGTATATACCTACGTTTGGTATATCTGTTCCGAGTGATGTATGTACCAGAACCTTGGGAGTTAGGTAATCATATATGAAATAAATTACCTTCCAAGGTTTTGATACATAGGTATATCTATTATAGGGCAGTGTTTTGTAAAATAGCGGAATCAGTTGGGTAGATACATATGTACCTACCTACCTTACCTGAGTTCGAGTAAGTAGTACTGAATGTACGCCATGCATGAATATTAGGTGCCTACGAAGTATGTAGACAGGACTTGGGATGGAAACAACCTTGCGATTAGTAGACAGTTCCTGTGTTTCCCATCTCATCCAAGCCTCCAATAACAATGTACTAGATAGAACTTATGGCACAGGTGCATGGCACGTTTCTCCATCCTGAACACCATTGTATACCTAATAGAGTACATATGGGGCACTGTACATCAAGAAGGTGTTAGGATGCAAGGTACACCCCTCCACGGTCCCCTCCAGCTTAGCTTGCTTACGTAGTAGGTAGGCGAGGGTTAGGTGCGGTTTCCGGCAGACCTGGACATTTCCTGAATTGGGGGGTTGCGGCGGCCCCCTTCTGCCCCTCCCCCACTACTAGCTCGTCTCAATCATCAACCCATCCTTAAAAAAAACAGTACTAGTAACCTGCCATGATCTGCGCCGAACACCAGACCAGAACCAGACATTTGCATCACATTCCCACTTACTATGTAGATACTATTTCCAAGCTCCTCTAGCAGCTCCCCCAGCTACCGCATCGGGCCTCTGCCGCCAAGTCGCCTTCCGCGCGCCAGCTATTCACATAGTACATAGTACATCCAGGTATATTTTATTTTGGTTCCATACCTACCTGCCAGATACACCTACATGTACCTACCGAGCCTACCTAGCCTACATATATATGTCCCTACTTAAATACCTACATATGTAGGTAGAGGTACCACGTCATTTGGTTCTCCCATTCTGTCCCGTCGTCATCATCATCATCATCATCATCGCAGGTCGATACGCGTCTAGCTACCTCGATAGGTACCGGGGAGTGCAGGGCTAGGTCCCTTTAGGTACCTGCCTGTAGCACCGCCTGGGAGTAGACGGCATTTGTAACGTGCACTACGCCTACTATCTGCCTACTTAAGTAATCACGAGCTATCCGAGTCTTCACTTAGGTAGACCAAGCAAAGGTACGCACGCACGCTCAAATGTCTTCGGCTATGGCCCCCCTTGTGTGCCCCCTTGTGTGCCTCTACCTTCAAGGTTGATTAAGAGGTACCCTGGCTGTTTGTTGGAGCTTCTCCAATCTGTCTGTCGTCACACATTTTCCACCACACCCAGAGCTCCCCCAGCTTCCCAAGACTCTCCTTCCCGCGCGCCTCGTCTAAGTAGCAGGCAGCACAGCCTAGTCCTGACAATCCAGTATCTCGCTTTTCCTTTTCCCATGGATTGATCCCTTTCACATCTTCCTTTGACTATTCCTGCTCTTCCCATCTTCCAGGCACCCGGCATTTTACCCCGCACATTTCCACCCACATGCTAACCCTGCCTTCTTCCAGCCGCCGGGCCTCGTCGAGACGGCGCTGCTGCATGCTTTGTTGTCTAGAGCTCCACGACTCTCCTCCCAACATCCGTTTGCACCAGCCAGATGGACCAGGACTCCAGGACCGACGAGTCGCGAGAACGTGCCCTCTCCTCTGAGCCTAGCTCTACTCGCCCTAATCCCTTTGACGACGATAGCAGTGCCTCGGCCCGCAAACGACGTCGGACCTCTCGCTCCGGTTCTCACTCCGGCTCTCGTAGTACCTCTGTCGAGACCGCCCTCTCCCACGACGTCGCCATAGCTGTCTCGGGTGCCCACGACATGAAGGTCGACACCCCACAGCCCACTCTTCCAAGCACACCAGACCGCCCTCAGCATCTTGCCGAGCCCGTCTCTAGTAGAGTGACTATCAATCTGCGTAACGCCGACAGTTTAGAAGCCACACCCACATCTCCCGCATCACCCACACCATCGCGCCTAGGAGCGAGCCGTGTTCGGGCTAGTGTAGAAGCACCCGACGTTGACATGGCTCCGCCTCATTCCGTGGATGACACCTCGTCCTCGTCTTCTACGCTCGATAGCCCTGGAATAGCCGGCATCACCGTCGAGGAACTGGAATATGATGTTCAGTCCTCTCCGATTGAGCGGCAACCCGCCTTTGGAATAACAGCTGACCTGAGTTCTATTATGTTTGAGTTTCCATATCGTTGTGAGGGCGAAGCACCCCACGACACGGTCAATCGCTTGTGCAATTATTTCAGGCAACGTGAGTTACGCAAATTGAAGTCGTCTCAGAACTTGGCATCTGATCCCTCTCTTCTAGAACATGGCAACGTGGATGAAGGCTTGCTGTCTATTCTCACTTGGTTGAATCAATGTTTGTTATGCGCCCGTCTGGAGAATCGGGCTACAATTATCGAGATATATCGGGGGAATCGGGCATTCTGGGCTACTCTCCCTGACTTGTTTTACCAATTTGGCCAAAGGTAAGCTAATCAATAACCTATGTTCGTGCATCTTTGTTTCGGCTCACGATATATCTAGACCAAATCATACGAGAACCAAGGAGACACGAGATCTCATCACCCAGCTATTCGCCCAATTCGCGAAACTGACCGCCTTCCTCCTGACTATAGATATCCGTAATCTATCCCAAAGAACCGTTACCGAGGAGAACTTCACGGGGTTGATGAGCCCGCCGTATCTTCGGATGCTGTCTAGTTTGCCGATTGCGGAAGAACAGCATCATATTAACGGCGCAGAACGCAATCCGAACCCGTTAGACCCTTTTGAGGTGTTCCAGTCTAGCTATGGTGTTTCACTGGCTACGATCGTCTCTTTCGTCGAACTGCACACCCGTGCTTTAGCCCAGTTCCCCCGAATAATCATGGACAACCTGACCGCCATCTGCTTCATTACCCATGCTATTACCAGGGAAAGTTTCCAGAGGCAAATATCGCCAATAGGTATTCCTCAAAGTATATTAGAGCGCTCACGGACTAGTTTGGCGCTTGGTTACAAGTGTTTCACCTTGTTATCGACCGCCCTCGAAGAAGTAATGGAGAAGTCCATTAATAGTTTGTCACAAGAAATTCCTGGAAATTTTAATTTTTTTTCGTCGGAGATCCTAAGGCACGGTTTGCACAGCAGCCATGCCGAAGCCTTGCAGCGTATCCAGCAGTATCGCGAAGGACATCCCCATATACCGCCGCAATACATAAATGATGCAATAGCGACGGAATGGCGCCTCAATGTGTACTGCAAACTGATAAGGTCGCGTCAAATGCAGCTCAGGGTCGCCGCGGCAGGAGCAATGTGTGATGATCTAGTCGGACATTGGAAGAGGTACCAAGATCGCCAACAAGATTCCCTTGAGGATACCCAACCATTTCTTGACTATCTACGCTACTTATCAGATTACATCACGCGCACGGGAATAGTAGATTACATACTAGGCCCAACCTGTCATCCCGAGATTACGACTACCAGTGGCAATATCGTTGGGTTTCTTGGTGTTACCAGGACGTACAGCACTGCGCAGACAAATCTCATGTGGCAGACTTTGACGTCAACTCAAGATCCTCGCATTGCAGAGGCTTTAGTCAAGATGATGGTTAAAGTTACGCTATTATTGCAGACAGCGGACTTGATCTTCTTCCTAGAAAAATTCAAGGACGTCCCAATAGATGCATTTTCGCCCATTATGCGAGACTTTTTTGATAACATTACGGACCATTTAGCTAAGCATCTAGCGAATCAACCAGCTCCTGCTGCATTTCACGAGGTCTGCGTCCGGTTGCTCCGCGAGTCGTCTGTTTTTACTGCTCAGGATTCCATAGCCTATCCCGACATCTACCAGTTTGCACAGTCAAAGTTAAGGAAACTCATGCAGGTGTGGCACAGTGACGAAGCGCACCGTGATATTGCACTGAGCTGCTTGAAGGATGTGGCCTCCAAATCCGACACATCTTCTGGTAGCCTACAGGTGCTGACTATGGTAACCGGAAGTCCTGCCTGTGTTCAGGGGTTGATTGAGGAGCAAAACTTTATCAAGCTCCTCGTGGACGATCTTGAGGCTGCAGTCCGCTTCGCGAAGTCAGTGGGTGTTTCCAGGGTCTACGCCAATCCCATTTGTCAGGCGCGCCGGAGATTCATCTCGATGATTATAATGCAGTTTGGGTCGGCCATTGACGCGTCCCTAGGCCAACGACTTTGGGACTACCTTGTTGGAGATAAAGCCGCCAGTCAAGATGACCGCAAGTGTGCCTGGGAGGATTTGCACGCAGCACTCAAGCGTAGGCGCCCCGACAACAATGCGTTTCACAATAATCAATTCCTTGTTGATTGTGTACGACTTTTTTTGCCAAATCTTCCTCCCTCGTGCTACTGCTATGGGTCCCTCGCATTTGTCAGGGACGTGGTTGTTCCTGCTGCTAACGAGAGCAATGCCATTAATACCATCAGTCTTGATGACGAAGAGAGCCTACATTCGTCTGGTCTTGAGTTGCTCTGGCAGATAATTCTGACGGCGCCCAAGCAAACAATTGCCGATGGCGCGATTTCAGTTCTTGTCAATGAGATTTATGTTGATAGTTCAGCCATCTTGTCGTATTCCCTCCAGCGCGCTAGGAGGGTTCATTTTTCACTCGTCAATCGATGCTTAGCACAGCTGAAGGCTGCAGCTCAGAAACTGATGGCTTCCAACAATGGGACCACAAGTAACGGCGATGAACCAATGGTTATTATAGCCACCAATGATCAGCACCCCGAACACGAACTTCAGTTCGCTCGAACCCTCAAAGTTCTCACTACCTTGTCTAACACACTGCGAACAAAGTCTAATTTTGCCGCCCCTGACCTACGCTCTCTCATGCTGTCATCCCCAAATGCAGTTAATGGAGAGTCTGCGGGCTTAAAGTATCAGTCATTTGATGGAGATGAGCAAACTGAAGTCAACCCACTGAATATCGGCCTCAAGAACAGCGTTGCATCATTATTAGCTAGTATACGCGAAGCTACCGGATTCGAGAATTACCGATTGTATTATCGGGGAACTGCATTTGCCCCCTCTGATTCTGATATCTGCAAATCATTGGAAGAGCTTAATATCAAGAATGGATTGATACTCGTTAAACGAGAACCTGAATTGGTTTCTTCTCCTGTACGCATCAAACCTGGCGCATCACATTTGGAAATTGAGATACTTCGTCACTTTGACGACCTATGGGAGTATCTGAGTATGGAGGAGAACCTAGCTCGAGAGGTAAGAAGCGCCAATTCACTGATAAGATATGGTGCTTGTAAACTGACTAATTCAAGATATTCAAATTTCTCACGTCCTTACCAGCAGAAGGCTCGGTTTTGGCAGCTATTGAGAACTCTAATGCTTCACCCCGAGATGTTTTCCCTCTTGGACAGCCTTTCAAATCTCTCTATGCAATACATGCTCTTCGCGAACATCTGCACACTCGCAGGCTAAAGAATACCTTAATGCGTGCCTCTTCTAATGGGACGACAACGCAACAGCAATTTACGAACGACCAGCAAGACGCTATAACCAAAGCTATATCCTTGATTGTTGCCGCTATATGTGATCCTCTAATTATTGATCAGTGCGCGAATGAGAACTTGAGGTTACAACTTAGTCTTGAGTTGGTAGATACTTTTGTCCAACTATTAAAGGGTTCGTTTCTTGATTTTTGGTATTTGTTAGCTTTGTCGTGTCCCAATGCTAACTAGGTCGCAGAGACCGTGGAACCTCACTTTCTTAGCCAATTTCTCACTCTAGGGCTCTATGAACGGCTGACGACAATCATGAGAAGTGCTTTGAAATGTGAGAATAGCGCCATCAGCGTTGACCTTGTGCATCGAAGCTTCGAGGCGTTGCTCGAATGCTGCGCAAAAAGCGACGCTTTCTGGAAGACTTTTTGCTGTCAAGCAACAACGAGGGAAATGGTCCAGATTTTTTTACTTGCTGATGAGCGCCCTTTTGTTAGAAAGAGTGTTGCGAAACTTATTAGTACAAAAAGTCTATATGACAGTGGCCGATCGAGCGTGCTTGCAATCGAGTTTGCAGAGCTTTTCTGGCCTATCATCCTAGAACTCTTCCCACAAGCTGTATCGAAGCCTCAGAACTGCGAAGAGCTTTTCAGTCTGGCATCGCATCTCGCGAAGAAACTCATTGAGAATGCATCACAAGCTCTCGACCTCCCAGCTTGCGTCAAGATATGTGGCGATCTGTTACTATCACATACGAGTACGGAAGAGATCTCTCAGCCGGATATGATTGATAAAGTAGCCTTTGGGCTCATATCTATTCTGCGGCAGAGTATTGGACAAATGTCTCCTTCCATGAAGAACAGCGAATTACCTGCTACCTTACCGAAGAGGTTGTTCTTTAAGCACCTGTTTCCTCTCGAAAACAGGGAGGGACCAGTAGTGCCACATGCTATCCTTCACCCATCATCACGCCATATGCTTTACGATATAGTTTATATGCTAGCCAGTGATAACCAATCACAGATGATCACGCTCCTGCAAAACTTGAATCGTCTGATGGCGCACCAAGAAGACGATGGCGGCATGGATTGCTATAAGTACGAACTCCCCCAAGCCTTCGAACGAATGAGCGCGGCCCGATCAAGTTGTGGTTATCCAGGCTTGAGGAATTTGTCTAACACCTGTTATTTGAACTCGCTCTTCACGCAGCTCTTCATGAACATTGGGTTTCGTCAATTCATACTCAATGCCAGAACCGATGACTCTCAGTCTCAGGCTCAGGCTCAGGCTCAGCAACTTCTTAACGAAACGCAAATTTTGTTTGCAAATCTTCAAGATAGCAGACGGAAATTCATCGACCCTCAGGCTTGCGTAGAGCAAATCACCACATATGAGGACCTTCCCATCGACATAAACAATCAGATGGACGTTGACGAGTTTTTCAACCTCCTCTTTGACCGGTGGGAAGCACAATTTACACTCAACGCAGACAAAAAGGCTCTCAGATCCGTCTACGGCGGCCAACTTGTTCAGCAGGTGAAATCTAAAGAATGTGAGCACATTTCGGAGCGCATCGAACCATTTTCCGCGATACAGTGCGATATTAAGGGCAAATCAAGTCTTCAAGACAGTCTGCAAGCATATGTAGATGGAGAGATCATGGAAGGAGACAACAAGTACAAATGCTCGACCTGTGATCGACACGTTGATGCAGTCAAGAGAGCATGCCTGAAAGATCTCCCCAATAACCTGATATTTCACCTCAAACGATTTGATTTCAACCTGCGTTTGATGCAGCGCAGCAAAATCAATGACTACTTCCCTTTCCCGGAAAAGATTGATATGCAGCCGTACACCGTCGAACACCTGAGCGACCCTTCTCGGAATGTGAAACCAGATGTATTTGAACTAGTTGGTGTACTGGTGCATTCTGGAACAGCAGAGACTGGTCATTATTATTCATTCATTCGCGAGCGGCCGACTAGTGGCAGTGCTCCAACTTGGATCGAGTTCAATGATGACAATGTCACATCTTGGGACCCGTCCCAAATGGAGGCTGCGTGTTTTGGCGGGCTAGAACATCGTCCATATGATACTGCAAACATGTATGACAAGGTGTACAGTGCGTATATGCTTTTCTACCAGCGATCATCCTCTCTACGTCGAGAACAAGAAATGTTGAAAGCGAGCGGGAGTCCAAGGCAACTTCGAGTCGATGTCCCGCCTGAACTAGAACTTCAGGTCAAGCTAGATAATTGGTCGCTCATCCAGCGCCACAATCTCTACGACCCATATCATATCCCGTTCGTCCTCAAGGTTCTTGACTTTTTCTGGGGCGGTAAATGTTCTAGAGAACACAAAAGAGAAAATCTAGCGATGCATGTGGCGTTAGGGCATCTAGACCAAGTTGCATCGCGAGCCAAGGACCTCCCCGAGTTCGACGCTCTTAGCAACACAATCATTGCAGCATGCCAACGATGTTATATGTGCTGTTTCGCCTTCTTTCAGTACTTTCAACATTACAAGGAAGCTTTCAGGATGTTGCTGTTCAGGAACGCTGACCCATCAGTTCGTCATGACTTTGGCCAAACTTTGTTATTCGTATTGAAGAAGATTAAACACCACCATCCGACTGAGTATGGCTACATAGATGATGAGAGCGATGAGACCTCAAAATCCAGCAGTTCAAGACCCACATGCATGGAGGCAACTGCTGACCTTTTTTCCTATATTTGGGATTCGTTCCACACTCGTCCCATAGCCTGGCCTGAGTATTTCGGTACTATAGTGGACTTTGCCAAGCTTGGTAGGCTCGAGTCCGCTGTGCTACTTGATCGCGATTTCTTAACTCGAGTCCTAATGACTATTGCAGCAGATCAAGTATTCGATCTGCCCCCTCAGTTTGCTCGGCTCATACAAATTGTGGCGCGAAGAGTGGCCGCAACGAAACACCCAAACTATGAGAGTATCATCGCATTAATTGATGTTCTCATGGATTGTATAGACACAGAAATGGATAACTATGTGGAAGATCCCCATAAGCGCTTTATTGTGGCACAGCAGGAGGATCTGATTCCATTTACTGCAAATGAAGTCAATATCCTCCATAAGGTATGGGGGAGAGCTGAGACAGGTCTGTTCACGGATAAGTTAATCCAAATCAACCAGAATCCAGTAGCAACCGACAGCATAATTGGGAGGCTAGTGGCATTCAGCGCGTCGTTGGAGGCAACAGTCCTCAAGTCTCTACTATGTGGCATCACGGGCCAGATTGTATCTCAGCCCGTTACTCCATATTTGCGTGCAAGTTTGGTTTACTGCGTGTCCACGCCCAACAAAGACAATTTGAGCCGACTTCTCCGACAGATCAATGAGCAGTGTAAGGCGGTGCCCATTGCCGAAGCCCGGTCGTTCTTTGAGTTTCAGAGAGATGTGTTCGACCGGGAGCGCAACACTGGTGAACGCAAGGAGGAAATCCAGCTTGATAGTTTAAGAAACCTGCCTATTTGGGTACCTGGACTATTGGGGTATCTCGATGGTACTGTCAGTAGTGCAGTTGAAGCGCTTGTTCACGAAAAGCTCTTCAAATATGGTACAGCCCCTGTTTTCGAGGATGGAACTAGTGGGCTCAACAGAGCGCAAACAATGGTGACTGTGGCTAGAGAGCTTGCTGTCAATCTCCTGCATTATTTGCAGGATACGTACGTAGTACGCGGCGCTCAGGTCTCGAAGGATACAATACAGCCCTTCCACCGGGTCATCGACCAATGCATCCCCTATTTTCAAGATCATGAGGATCCAGAGGACGAGCTGAGCCGAAGGTTTTACGAGCTGTGGCCTTGTACGTGATCCCCTTTTCTCAATCTACCTGAAATATGAGCAGGTTCTTCTTTTTTTTTTTTTTTCTTTTTTTTCTAACCTGAGACACAGCCGTTCCAGAAGCTATGCAAGCCTTGACTGTCGATGAGATCGAAGACGATGCTTCTGGTATGTGGACTGACTCTTCTAGCAGCGGCTCCGAATGTGACTGACGAATCCAAGACTGGGAGCAGTCCATTGGGTCCTCCGACAGTCTTGCAGACCTGAGTAATATGCAGGTTGACCAAGAGCTCCTAGACAGCAGCGTGTAGGAATTTACTGATCAGCCCGAAGAAATAAAAGAGGAATTAGGTTGGGCACGCCTCGACGAAATGGACCAGTATTCGGTTTCCGAAATTACATATGCAAAAGGACGATTAGGCGTATCAGGTTTAAGCAGAATCAACATGGCAGCACTGGCGCCTGGAGTTACCCGTACATATTCTCCATTGCTTTGCGCTTAGATGGACAACAAACAAATATTTGCTCATGATTTTGATGTAAGAAATAGTTTGTTTTTCACGCACCGAGGTAGCGCCCGGGTTGAGCAGATAGTGAACGAATCCACGATCGGTTTACGAACATGTGCGAGGCCGGCGACGGGATCTCGTTCGTTGGCCGGGGGAGTTGAGGCACTATGATAGTCGTAACTCAGGAATAGGACCACGACAAGCACATGGTTACACGGTCTTGAGCACTGCATGAATTTCTCAAGGGTCCTGATAGCATTTTACGAGCTGAAAGACATAGTTGTGACAAGCTCATGTTTTAGAATTATAGTGCATACCTACTTGTAGATATATGTATGTACCAGAGTGCATGTTCAATTCCGTCTCAAAGGCACCCTTGACAGGCAGGCAAATATTGATACTTGGAAATTCATTTGCATTATTAATCTATAATCATTAAGACTTAGAAAGCGTGATAAACATGTAGTCAATAGAATGAGATAAGAAGAGAGCTTAGGCTACAGGATACTGGAACAAATATCTGAGTTTTAAGGTTTTGGTCTAGAAGTGATTACTTTGACTACCTACTACAAGAGCGTCGAGAAGGATATGGGTATTGGGTATCTGAGGTTACTACGTGACAGAGATCATAGAGATGTGCTTTATCTGGTCGACTGGCTAGACTAGTGATCAGAAGACGTGTAGTTCAGGAACGGTTGAGGAAGATAATAAAATATGTGGAAATATTATGCTTAGATTCAAGAGAGGTGATGTGATGATTTATCGGAGTCTGCGATTGGGTGGAATGGAATGGGGGCAGGTGATTATCGTTGTATATACATATGATTTTACTGACTCTATGTATAACCTTGTTGCGCACATGTGCACTCAGTATGTGTGGGATTTGGAGACATGTGATTAGATTTCCATGGCGGTTGGTGTGTAGATCATTACGTGATACGAAGTATGCAGTTCGGAAATGCCCTGTGTATTCGTGAGTCTGGTGATATACGCGTGCGCATGGGAAGAGAGAGAAAAAGTCTCGATATGTTGTTTCATCTGTATGGAGAGAGACTCTTGGACTGCTACTTGTTGACCGACTTTTTCTCGATCCTTTGTTGGTCGTGTTGTTTCCTGCCCTGTAGGCCTCTACATAGTTTGAAGTTATGATAGGTAGACCTACCTAGGTTAGGGACTTAATATTTACCTTTGCCTACTGTAGCCCACCTGAGGCAGAGGATCTATTTTTATCACAACCATTCGCCTCACCTGTTACAACGACCTCAATACGTGTCGATCCAATTGAGAAATACTATATACAGAGATAAGTAGTGAAGGTGAATTGCAGTATTGCGAAATTAATATACAGAGGCTTCTGAGAAAGTCGATCAGATCAGATAACGTCCCCTCCAATTCCCGATCTGAAGAAGTATACATAGTAGTGCAGTAGAGTAGGTAGCATTAGCTTGGCCTTTGTGATGCTATTTTTGGGTGTTTAGCGGGCGGGCATCTTCTCCGCCGCTAGCGCCGCGTTGGCAGCGTTGGTAGCGTAGCGTAGCATGCAGATGATTAGCCGCCGAGCGATGCGATGCGGGGGATGGTACGCTTTACTCTGGTTGGTTAGAATTGTGATGCCCTGCCCTGTCTTGTATTCTGCAGATTGGATCTGGCATCTAGCGTCAACTAGCCCATCTCTCGTCAATCGAATTACGAAGTGGTAATATGGTCATTGTATATTACGTTCTTTTTCTTAATGTCGTCTGCCATGATTCTCTCTCTAATGTGTTCCTGGCCGTTGTCCAGGGTGCGATGCGGAGTTGAGGAGGGGTAACGAAACATGATATCTTACAATGCCTTCATTTATCTAGGATATTGTACCTAAGCTACATAACTCGAGTAGCAACGTACTGCTTATCACTCATCGCTGTTAGGCAAGTATGAAACTACAGCAGGTATCTATATAGCGTCTACCGAACTTAAGTATGATCGAACCTCGTCACAGGGCTGGGCTGACAATCGTGATCTTACTAGGGTCTAACCAAAAACTGTGGGTTCCGGGGTCCGGCGGCTATTTAAGCTCGGACCCTTCCCCATTGGCGGTGAGTTTAGACCTACATGAGATTGACGAAATACCTATACATGTTACAATGGCTGACTAGCATCTCCCTACCTATTTCTTATATTAGGTAGTCCGTTGGGGTGGTCCCGTCTGTGTTTAGGTTGACAAAGAAACTCAAAATCTATGTCGACTTTGCATACATGACGCGTTTGTTGATCGTCGTAGAGATGGTGACCTGTTCGAGTGTGCAAGGGCACCCATGTTGTCAAATATGCATGCGGCAATGCAAAGCACATCACACAGTCCGTTCACGAACCCGGTAACCACTCCGGCGTCTCCCTCGCCACCAACTACCTACTACCGTACCTGCTACTACCTACCTCCTTCCCCTACTGACGAGTTCACCGGGCAACATTCATTCAGGGGAGTATACTACCTAGGTAGGTAGTGTAGTGCAGTAGATCGAGAACGAGTGAAGAGGTAAATGGCTACAATAAAGTATCTCAGTACACCGTTATCTGCCCAAGCATTGACGGGTATCGAGACCCGAGTTTCAACCCTCGCCGAATATAGAAACAACAGAAGCCCTCATACTAACAGCAACAGAAGAAACAGCTTCATAACCGTAATCAGTCTTAAGAGAAGCAGTAATGTACAATACTAGGCGATTACTAACCAGCATAAATGCCTGAATAGGTTGAAACCAAGAAGCTTAGTACAGAGCTTAGTAGGAGATATATAGGTAGTAGTATAGCGCGGTATAAAATTACTAGTACAAAATGGTTGCATAACCGTCAATAGCTAAAAACAACTTCCTTGCATCACATCAATCACATCACACCCACCCGCCTGTCTACGACATTGCTACATGACCCCGGTTCATTCAGCCTTGGCTTACTTCCTCCCACCATCCCCCGTCCGGCTGGGCCTCCTCCACCATCATCAGCTGCCGGACCTGGGTTCGTTCGTCCATCCATTCAGAGCCACCTACCTACTACTGCATCTCACATCACATACACACACAACAACAAAAAACAACCTATAGCATCATCACTTATTCCGACCCTCCCTACACGTCATTCGCTCCTTTCCTCCTTTGCGTCGTTTCATGTTTCCATGTTTCATGTTTCGATATGTAAGCTCGCCATGTGGTTTTCTAGCGTCATCTACTTTTGCTACGCACGCATATTGGGGCCCCGGCCAATGTATTCATTCCCCTTCCACTATCATGGACGTTTTAGCCGCCCTTACTATATTTGTCTTCGCCCGATCTGATCTGTACCTATGCAGGCCCAGAGGAAACACTCTATAGTATCTATACTGCGGTACTTGACATCTCTCTCAGGGGTCGGTTGTTCATGTTTACACTCCCTTTCTGGGAAGGATCTCTGTTTCAAGATTTCATCTCGAAGATCCCCGAGTTTAATTACTGCCAACAGTACCTAGCAACCTCTCTAATAAGATCCCATGTGGCCGTACATATGTAGATAGATATTTCTACCTACCTACCTACCTACCTACCTAAGCTTCCTTTTTCTCATATTCTACACGTTCGCGCGTTCTTACGATTAATCGATGCTGCACTGCAGCACATCAAATTAGCGAAGGAGGCTTGACTCTGCATACACTGCCTCTTCCCCATCGTTCGCTACCTGTTCTGCCCCAAACCCCCAAACCATTTCGTCCGAAGTTGTTCGTCTGTTGGTGGGACCCGTCCGTCATGTCGCTCTCGAAACAACGCATATCGTCGCCCCTCGAGGCAGGCAGGTCGATCATGGATGCACACAATCTGCCCCCAGAGCTGACGAGTACAATGGAGTATGCGTCCAAGAGGCTCGCACGCAAGAATCTACACATCACTCTGATTGTAGTGAAGAACGAATATCAATTACCGACCCTACGGCCATGCGCGACCCCGACTTCGCCCCCGCAGACACCCGAGTACTCGGCGTTGGGCCTCGCCTCACCATCACGTTTCACATCCCCGGTCGTGGGATTACGACAGTTGGTGCGGCGGGGAACCGGCAGCTCCATCGCTTCATCTAGCTCAGGCTCCTCCACGTCATCCTCATCCTCAAGTTCAGAAACGGCGTCTAGCGTGTTGATGTCTCCTACTTTTTCGCCGTTATCAGCGGAGCCAATCGCCAGCCCCCGGCGATGGATCCTTCCTCTAACGCCAGGAAGCCCGCTCCCTTCCACACCGCTGACGCCCCACACACCATCAAGCATTGCCACGATAACAAGCGCTGCGTCTTCATGTGCCACTTCACATCCGTTTCAGAACCCAGAATCCTTTGGGGTTCGACTAATCTATACCTCACCTATCTCGCCAAGGGACGAGAAGATGATACGTGCCACAATTACCAGAGCAGAGCGTAAATTCCACATAGGGGTAGGCAGAATACCACCAGTCATGTCCGCCTCGGCATGTGGGCTGAGCGCGGACCTCATAAGGCAGAGCATCCAACAAAATGAGGTGCTTTTCTCGTCTGAGGGATTGACACTGCTGGGATTGGACAGATTATATAGCTTCAAGGCAGCGCTTGCTGCATATGCGAAGTCGATCATCACACCCAGCTCGCGAATGCAGTCACCGCTTAGCTCACCCGGACTATCAAATCACCCCATAATGCCGCCTCCAACGTCCACACACACGACAGCAGACAGTTCACGTCTGGAAGACGCAGTGGACTGTTTGCGTCGCCTAGTACTGGCAAACGGCAGCCGGCCAGTACCGAAGGCGGATATATACCGCAGCTTCGATTGGATGGGTGTAAACGCAACAGCGTTAGCAGATGTCGAAAGTATGTACAGACGTGCGTATGGTGGTCCCGAACGACGAGGCCCATTTGAGCTGCCTCTCATACCCAAGGGTCAGGAGCCCACCCCAGAGAAAGATGACGACGCAAAACGTATGGGTTTCATAAAAATCGGCACGCCGCCGCCGCCAAAGGCCCAGACAACGCCCGTGTTGAAATTAAATACCAACATCACGACAACACCACGTCTCATTAAGCCAAAACCAAAAGCAGTGCCTCAAGCCTCGGGTTCCACCGAGTCAAATCGAGCACAACAGGCTAGTAGTAGCGCCAAGGGTGGGAGTGGGAATAACGCCGAGACGCTAGAGATCAGATTCGACTATTCGGAGATCGCGACAGAGAAGCGCGACGACTGCGCCGACGAAGACGGAGACAAGACACCGCACCCCCTACGCGACGGGCCCGTGCGGCCGTCCATGTTCTGGCCGAACGGCAACGCCCTAGGCCAATCAATCGACGAGATGCTATCGCCTTGCGACTACAGACAGTCACAGCGACTCGGGCCCTTGACGCCGAACGGGTACGATGATATTTCGCCGATCACAAGAGGTGAATGGGGGTTTTTGTTCAAAGGCGACACGTGGACGCCGGGGCGTACAGCGGTGGTAGAGACGTGTTGAGCGATCATTAAAATTGCATCAGGACATAGATATCCCATATAAGAGGGCGGCCTGGACCAACTGTAGCATTAGTAGACTACCTGCGCAATGAACATTATGATATCCATCCAACGAATACCCGTCTCGTCGCCCCGTGAGAGTTCGCGACCCCGCAACGTAACGTATTTCCATGAACGCCTATAGAGCTAACTCTATGCTGATATGATAGATAGTGTTTTATGATGTATGTATTGGAAGTGGACGTGGTGAGACTTTTCACAAAATCAGCGCCATCCATAACGCGACCCGGCCTCGCTCTGCTTCGCCTTGTTCTTGGCGAAGTTCTCCTCGAGCGCGTCGCGCTGGCTCTGCACCTGGTTGACGAGCTGGCGCAGGTTGTGCTTGCCCGGGGCGATCGCGCGCACGGGGTTGTGCGTCTGCTGCTCGCCGCTCGCTCGCAGGACCTCGTTGTGCGCGTACTCCCTCTCCGTGTCGAAGTTGATCACCTTGGTCGCGGCCGATGCGGCGCTCGGAGCCCCTCGCCGCCCGAATAGCTCGCGCCGCGCCGCTGCCGAGAGGTTCATGTCGTTTACTATGTTGTCTAGCGAGTGCGATGCGTCGCCGGATGTGCTGGATACCGTGGTCGCTTGTGATGGTGCGGCGTAGGAACTATATTGGGCGTCGTATTCTGCGAACGCGCTTGCTGTGGATGGCTCGAGTGCCGCGTCGGTATCGATCAAGGGCTCGTACTCGCTGTTGCTTTTGCCTGCCGGTTTAGGTTCTTCCGTTGGTTCATCGGATATGGAGAAGAGCGATATTTTCTTCTTTGGAGGCGGTTCAACATTTGCGGTTTCGATCGGGGTTGTGGATTTCATGGATACGGGTGCAGAAGCGGTGGCAGCGGCGCTTGTTGAGGTAGTGGTGGCGGTAGTTGTAGATTTCGTAGTGGGTTTTTTGGTTGGCTTCTTCCTCGCCACGGACAGAGGTCTGAACATGAGAGGTTTGCCCACGAGCTCAACCTCATCTGCTGACTTCTGCCCAGCCGGTATCGTAGGTTGCTGCGACTTAGGGGCGGGCAAACTCATGCCACCATCGCCGCCAGGGGCCGATTGTTCGTATGCATTAGTACCATCGCCAAACTCTTCATCCGAATTCCTACTGAAAGCAGGCGCGGCTCCTGTTTTCAGATGGACGCCTGGTCGCGGCGCATTCGTTCCCTTAACGCCACTGCTGCCGCTACCACTGGCCGTCGAAGCTGCTGGCTTTTTCCCGACATTCTTTGGTGGCGGGAGAAATGAATTAAAACCACTAAATGCTCCACCCTTCGATGTCCGCGCTCGTTTCGCAGGAGGCTCGTCTCCGTTCGTTGTGGTGTTGCTACTATCCTGTCCTGATGAGCTCCCTGGTAGGTTGACTAGGATCTTGCCTGGCTTTGAGCGATCGACGACTTTCTGGAATGCTGGTTTCTTGCTTCCGCTTGCTATGGATGACTGCGTAGATGGCTCGGGTATCGTCGCGGCTTCTCCGTCGGAGTCCGAATCTGAATAGTCAACGAGCCCCATGATAACTGGTTGAAAAGATAGAGATTAAAACGTGAATGTTCCTTAGGCTGAGATTTGGAGCTTTGTTCCGATAACGAATGATGCAACAAATGTGGCTGGGAGCTGGTGAAGGTGTGGCAGTACTTCTTTTCTGTGGCTTGATCGCAACAAAATCAACTACACCTGCAGTGCCTCTCCTTCAACAGGTACTTGAAATATGGATGTATTGTGTTGGGTATGTTTTGATAAATTCTTGTTCGCATGTAAGTGTGCAGGCAGCCTACAAGCTTAGGCTCATTTACATATAATAGTATATACCCTAGCTTCTGTAATGCATATTCTTTCACTCAAGGTAGGACATTTCACGACTCGGTTCCCTATGCTGAGGTGAGGCTTCATTTCTGATGCCTCAGCAAATTCCATTACACATTCCATCAAGGGAGCAGAAATAGCTAGAAGAACATATGCAAAGGATCTGCCTTCTCCAATGCTTAATTTCCCTTATAGACAGATCAACAAGAGCCACGCTAGGTAGATGCGCACTTTGGAGATGTACCTCAGCTTTTGGCATCTAACTTTGTCGCCTAGATACATTATCAGAAGAGACAATAGACACATAGGTCAGCATGAACTTTATGCGTGGCAAAAACATCATTCAGGTTGGGGAAGCCTGATACCCAGAAGGCACTTCACTGCCACCTATTCATTACAGAATATAAGGCATTCGGATTGCCACTATTACGCTCACATGAGAAATGCCTGTTTACTATGTATGTACATGTAGGAGGCAAGAACCCGAAAGTTGGATCTTATATCAAGCCAAGATGAACGAGATGGACCGGACACCAGCCGCCAAGGGCCTAAATCCCGATCATCGATCCTCTTGACAGACTCTTGGCATGTTTCCATATAGAAGCTCATTACTATTCAGCTAAGACGTGAAAATCAATCAGGTTTTGCTCTTCGTTTACTATGTATTCAATGTTCTCGTGGAAGTTGACAAAATGCATGACTCTAGTCGCAGCTAGATTGTCTTTTCGACCAAAGCGTCCTCGTATGATGAGGTGATTATAAGTACCCTGGTTTCTTTGCCTAACGGCCACCAACCCCATGGCAAATGCTGGGAACGCGGATCGTAACATAGTCGACTATAAAATATTCGTTATCAGCACTTTAAGTAGATTCCTTCACGGCGAAACCGAATAACTGACTACCACGTGCTAAATCGAACACCAAGAGTTCCAAGCCAACCGGCTGTCTTGGCCTTCCATCACAACATATGTTGCCAAGCTGACCAAGAGGCTATATTGTGCCGCATAACCGTTCGTGGCATACGGTTTTCTCGACGACCCGGTTTGCCCCAGGAAACAGTCGCTCTCCTTCCAATGACCAACCCTAAGAGATTTCGTAGATAACATGGATTGAATCCCTTCTCCTTGGCAAACTGACGGCTTGGATAACGCCATCCTGATTTGATAGCTCACCACTCATGGGGAAAGAACATATCCTTTCCTATTGCGTTCGTTGCGTGAAAGATGGGGATCGTTGGGCACTATAATGGGATTGTTCCCCCGACTAAGAAGGAATTTCTTGGTTGTAACCTTGACCTCGCATATTCTGTTTGTTTCGGTTCTGAATCTTGTCATCCGCTCATAGCCGTCGTCGTGCATGACAACTCGACACGATGGTGGGATTTCTCCAGAAAATCGGGCGGTGGTTAGCTCCACCCCCAGCCAAGTCAGCAGATGGACGCGACCAGTGGCCGTCTCGAGCGGCTTTCCTACTCGCCGCTATGGGAGGATGCGCCGGTCAAGGGAATCTAATCCGATATCCATCAGTGGTCTATAACAATTATGGGCTACAGTGGTTCATCCCATACTTGGCGGCTGTCTTTTTCGTGGCCATCCCGGCTCTCGTTTTAGAGATTGCCATTGGGCAGGCGTATCGTGGTGGTACAGTCATTGCCTTTAACAACATTAACCGGCGGTTGAAGGGTGTGGGACTCAGCTCGGTGTTGGTGAGCTTCGTTGTCTGCGGATACTTCGTTACGAATCTCTCATGGATTATGCATTATTTCCGCAGTTCCTGTAAGTGATTTGCATCCATACTTTATGTGGCGACTAGGCTGGAGGGTTTTATGAACATTTGGGAAATGTTTCGTGGCCGGGCACCCAGGAAGAGATATAGCCGACACAGCTACTTACTGACGCTTTTTTAGTTCAGAGCCCTTTACCATGGGAAGGCAGAATCAACGAATTCTACAACGATGATGTTATAGCTAATCCCGACCCTATCATGGGTAGTCTCACAGAGGGGAACGCTGCGGTAGCTTCCTATACGTCATATCCCAGTATTGGCCTTGTAGGTGAGAGGTACGTATTAAAATATGCCGTGCCAATTCAGAGACCAGGACTTGGTAGAAAGATATATTGTCATTCAGAGCTAACTGTTGCCATAGTATGTGAACCTTTAATCCAGAAAGATGACCACCATGATCTGTGTACTTCTAGAAAGTATGCAATAAGGAACTGGACTAACATATTTTGATATGGCCAGCCGTGGGGTGGAGTGCATTTATATGGTTTCTGATATGGTTTTCGATATTCCGTGGTGTTGGGATGACTGGACGCGTCGTTTATTTCACTATGGGAGTACCTATTATCACTACACTCATCATCGTCGGCCGAGCCACATCCCTTGAAAATGCCGGCGCAGGAATAAGGCTTGTCTGGGCCACTTGGAGAGGTGACCAGTTGAAATCGGGCACAGTCTGGCAAACAGCAGTCGGTCAGGTTAGTTCCGTGGAGTCATTTATTCCCCCCTTAGGCAAGCTTCGGGCCTCATTTCTCCTGTATACTCCCGAGACATGTCCTGAGCCCCCTCATTATCTGGCAATTACTGATTCTAACGTGTATAATAGGTTTTTTTCTCGACGGGCATCGGCTTCGGGTACTTCACATCCTACGCCTCTTACAACGCAAAACACTCCAACGCCGTTATGGACGCGATCCTCATTTGCTTTAGCAACGTCGTATTCGAGAATGTCGCTGCTTTTGCCGTCTTTGGCATTGTTGGCTTTCTTCGACTATGGCCTCAGGATGGTGTTAGGCTGGGTGCTTTCGTAGTCGGCTTTTTGACTCTTCCTGAGGCTGTGCTCCATCTTCCCGGCGCCAATTTTTGGGCAGTGTTGCTTTTTCTGACTCTCATCGTCCTTGGTTTCAGCTCGGCTTTCGTGTGAGTAATTTTCGAAGTTCTATCCCTCCAAATTTGCCTGTATAGAGAGTAGAATATACAAGATTTGTTATGAGGCCGGATTCATACATCCAAAGCTTCCAATCTTTCGATAACTATCCTAGATGAAGTTTGAATTCACAATGACTAATTTTGCACAGTCTAATTGACGCCGCAGCAACGTTAATCATGGACTCAGGTCTGAAGATCTCACGGGCCGTCGTTGTCACCGGATTGACTCTATTATCATTCCTTCTGTGCTTACCCTATTGCACCCAGTTTGGTTATTACCTCTTAGACGGCGTGGATAGATGGGTCAACAATATCCTATTGATCTTCGTCGTCTGGGCCGAGGTTGTCAGTGCAACATCTGTCTATCGATGGTCAGACGTCGTGAGTCAGACTGGGGTCCCGGCTTTCGCCACTTACAACGTTGGTTACTTGGGAGCTCAGATTATAGGCGTTTCAGTTGCTCATGGCCTTGGAAACCCGGGGGCCGGCGCTGGCGCCGGATTTGGTTTCTACATTGTCATCTCGCTTGTTGCTATTTTCCTATCGAACGCGCCGGACGTAAATGCGCCTTCATTCTGGAATTCCAATAGCTACCTTGCTCGGTTCTGGTACTTGGCATTCTACTCAGTAAGTCAAAGCTAGGTTTTAACTGGACATTTGATTTATGACAACAGCCGCTGATGCATGGTATCTTGATAGGGCAACCAACTGAGGCGAGATCTGAATGTCGTGGTGGGCGTTGGCAAGAATTGGACTATTCCCAGCTTTCTGCCCGTACTGCTCCGCTACGTCAGTGGACCTACATTGGCTATCATCCTTAGCTTTGCGTACCCTGAGTTTTACAAGCTCCGCTACGATCCCTTGATGATCACAGGTTTTACCCTGACGCACATTCTACTTGCCGCGACGCTGCTCGGCTTCATCATACCGAGGTACTACGACATCTTCATCCCTCCGAGTAGACTAGGCGAAGGGACGGAAGTGACAGTGGTGGGCCAGTCGAAGCTTGATGTGCCCGAGATTGAGGCAGGCCACGAAGACAGTATCGGGGATGCTGGGTCAGTCCCTAGCGAGGAAAAGACGGGACGAACTTGGACAAAGTTGTGGCGAACCAAGTCCTAACCTTGACATTTACAGTATAGAAGAAGCATTGTAAATTATAGAATCATTATGAAGATAATTTTCATCTCTCTGTATCAAATTTCTATAAGTTAGTTTCTGCGAACCCCCCTTTTTGCTTTCTTTTTCTCTTCGAGTTTGTATTCGCACCATGACTCGTGTATATATATACCTAGATAATCCATGTATTTATATCGACTACTCGGTCAATATCTGCCAGCATTGTAATTCTGAAAGAGAACGGAACTGCGGTGTCTATCGTAAGTTCTAACACATTTACTAGGTGCTGCCTAGTCTAGGTACCTAATCTACCCAACAGGTACTCCCAGCGCATCAATGAAGGCATTGTGACCTGATGTTACACCTGCATACCTCCCCCGCACATTAGACCTAGGTACCTAGCCTTCCCCACCCTCTCTAACTAATACCCACCTGCGCCGGCGTAAAACTAGGTGCCTATGTTCTGCCTGGGTGCCCTGAAACAGCATACCCCATGTAGTACCCGCGATACCTAGTTAGCACTCCATCCTTGAGATCCCTTTCCGAGGTCGCTACCTCTATTACAATGAACCGAACCTTCAACTACCTAAGAACATCCAGCACACAGACAACCCTGGCTCGCCTGGCATATTTCGGCCTTACCGTAGTACAGATCTCACTGGCGGCAGAAACTAGTCGCTGCGTACCATGGCTTAGTCAAAAACACTAGCTGATGCCCAAGTCTTCCCGGCGATACTCGGCCTGCATTCTGCGACAACCATGTCCTTGATTCAGGTGGAAGAGTATGTCTCCCGCAGGTGTAATGGCATCGCTTGACCCGCGCATCGCTTGAATCCCTCTATCGTGGGTATCATGCTAACATCAATCTTGCCATAGCTTGGTCTCGTACCAACTGCGAACTAGCTACCTCACCGAGATCGCTGACGGCGTTGGCGAGCGACTCATAACTATCAACGATAATTTCCTCAATACTGCTCCGTTCAAAGCTGCGGGTTGGCGCTTTAACCCTGCTCACGTGAAACGAACCCATTCCCCGCCTATACCTACGGCGATCGCATCCGAATACTTCCAAGCCGCACCTCGACTAACAGGCTTAACACTCGAAGATGAAGCCGAAGAAGGGGGCATGTTGACCGGTGGTGGCGGCGATACGCTGGGACCTGGCAGTGCCATAAAGCGGCGCCGAGAGCGACGCCGAGAACAGATGGAGGAAGACGATAGCAGTGACCTCAGTGATGAGAGCGATGATGAGTCCGACCAACGAGCTGCCCAGCAGATAAGATTCGCTAAGATGCCCGTCCGTAGTCGCGCCGGCTCCTCTCCCATTCAGTCTTCAAATTTACGTCAGGTGACAAGCATGTCCTCGCCACGTCAGGCTCCTGGGGCAAGACGCGGCTCACAATCCGCTTTAGAAATTGTCAAAGAACGTGCGCGCCGAGATACTGTCACTAGCAGTGAGTTTTCGTCCGAGAACGAGTTTGATGCATCTGGTTACCATAGACGGAAAGAAGCGGCGTTGAAGTCTGCAACACGAACGACAAGATCGCAATCCAAGTCTAGTGACGAGCCAGCCCAGGGCATCATGCGTAAGGAAAGCGAACTTCTGGCAGACGAAGACTCCGATATATCGGATACATCTTCGGCCTTCGTTGGAAGCGCTGATTCAACGTCCATCCTTGATACCGTCGAAGCGCCAGTTGTTGGTGCTTCTCCGGGCCAGCAAGTTGTTGGTACTGTACCGAAGCAATTGCTTAGACAGTCGACCGTGAGAAAAGTTCCAGCCCCGCCCCAGCCGCAATTGCTACATGCCTTGCCTCCACCTCGGCCGATGAGTACCATTAGGCCCCTGAGCGTAGTCCACCCCCGTAGTTTGCTTTCAGATTCGTTAAAAGCAAAGAAGACCAAGCCTGTTGGGCAGTTTGATCAATTCGCTTCCCTATCGGGCCAGGGTGACCCTGATCCTGTGCGGTTGCGCATCTACGCACCATTTTCTGCTGACCCAGAAACGCCGTTTGAGGTGTTAATCAGGCGAAATCTTCAGGAAGCAGACGGTTCATTCCGACCGATAACAGTAGCCGAGTTAATTGGATTAAGCCTATGGAGATACCATGCCGAAAAGCGAGATCCTCCCATTCCGGCAAATAAGCTAAACGTGAATTGGTGGACACTGAGGATGGTCGAAGAAGGGGGAGAAGTAGACGATGATTTTGAGCCGCTAGATCGGAAGAAACCACTTAACTCATTCACAACTGCGAATAACCGAGCAGCTAGATCACGATCAGCGTCAAAAACTTATGATGATTTCGCGCTGGTACAAGCCTCCGAGGCCGGGTTTGCTGACAATCGGCTCCAGACACCACAATTCGAACAAGAAACAGCTGCCGAGGAGCCTGAAGATGATATTACACCTAAAAATACGCCGCAACCATCAAACTTTCTACCCGAGCTGGCACGTCCTCGAGCAAATCCAATTACCACCACTACCTACCGAATGGACACTATTTTCGCCGATAAGCCAGCAGCGCCGACGAGTACTCCAGCTGCCACTAGAGGACAGAAGAAGCTTCTGAGAATCCACATTCTTTCTTCCGACGTCCCCCCCGGGCAAATGGTCACGGTAGACGTGACAACGGACATGTACTTTGCTGAGGTTCTTGACTTGGTCTGCCGTAAAAGGCAATTAGACAAGAATGTTCATGTCCTAAAACTCCCCGGGTCCGGCGCAGTGGCTTACGTGGACCGAGCCGTATCTACCATAGGCAATGTCATGGACCTTGAGTTGCACCGCCGTCGATTTGCAACGGATGGTCCACTTACCATCACTGGCTCTCCTGGAAGCTCCTCTCCCAAAGCACATGTATGGGATTCATCCGTACCTCAGAAAGGGAAGAAGAAGGTCATGACGACACATCCTCTTGCTCAACAGGCTACTATGGCGGATGAGGCCGGCAGTGGCACCAAGACGACTTACCAAAAATATATCGTTTGGCGAAAACAACCCATGCGATTTGTTGGGCTGAACGAAAGGATAATAGCGATTGACGGCGAGTATGTTTACATTATGCCCTCTTCTGGGGGTAAAGTGACTCGTGAAGGTGGGAAAACCACGACCGTTCACTTCAGCAATGTTATCGGGTGCAATATGTCACGTCGGCATCCGAGCCACTTCAAGGTATGACAGTCTTGTAGATGTGCACGTTTAAACGACTCGTTTACTAACTCGATTTCTAGCTACTCGTGTTTCGGGATTCAGAAACCAAACGATATGACTTTGAGGCCAAGAATACCCAAGAGGCAGCAGAAATTGTCCGAGAAATGAAAAAGGGCATTGCTCCATACAATAAGGATGTTTGAAAACACGATAATAATCTTCCATCCAATCTAATCAACAACAGAGCCATGAGTAACTAAGGATGCTGCCACCGCCTTGCTGACGCTCTCTGTGCGCCACAGAGTCTAGCAATCAAAACCATAGTGTAGAGTCTCTTCACGTAAGACCTACACGTGGCATAACTTCCAGTTAGGCAGATGTTATTATCCAAACCCGAAAGCATGCAGCTGGTCGATTTCGTTCAAAACGTTAGCTTCACCCTCAGGCACGCTGCCCAGTGTCTAGGCCAGCTACATAGAGGCAATGCGGACCTAACTCGAAGCTTGGTAGATAGAATATTGTTCAAATTAGTAGCGTAGCACCGGTAGCCTCGTAAAGCTGAAGTAGATCGGCATATTGGGATGTGTTTCAGAAATCAAGATCGGGGATGAAGCCTTGATATGGTTGATTTGTTGGTGCCGTAGTCTACCGGTCACGCATGCAAATAACAAATAAGCGTTGCCAATACGTGTTCAGTGCATACTATATCGTTGATCGCACGAAAGCACAGGATTCGCGAATCAAACTAGCCCCTATGTTTACATTGGCTTGCTCTAACCTTTGGAACAGCTAACGTCCGCACAGCGTCGGCCTAATCATTGCCTTGCTGTTGCTGACTGCGGGTTCATCTGCGTTTAAGATTGGATTCGACCAATTCGGCTTCGGCAAGATTTGTGGTTATGCCTGTAATTCTGTGATTAATGTGCTTATTATTCCACATGAAATTTGAATATGAAGGTGCGATGCGGGTAGGCCCAACATTGGGCCTCTGTACCGGAGCCTTGTGTTCGTAACATCGTGTTCGCTGTTCATGTAATCTCCCGTTGCCGTCTCCGGTAACGTGGGCCGTTCTTTCCCCGGAGGAGCTGTGTGATGCAACGCGTTCGGAGTGAGTAAGTATATACCTACTGATTGTTATTATATATCCCAGTGAAGTAGAATATCTGGACTGGTCGAGCAACATCATCCCAGCGAGGAATATATCAGCATCGAGCTAATAACTTAAGACGATTATGATACTGGACAGTTAGGTACTATTGAATGACACCAATGACACTATCTTTGAGAACTGGCTCGGTTGAAATAACGAACGACGCACCGCCGACAGTAGAACCCGAGACAATATTGATTACGTACCAGGTGCCTTAGGCGTCAAACGGCTGTTGCAGACGTAAGGCAATGATGAAACGGTCCTATAGGACCATCGGACAGATTGTGGTCAGTACCACCATGTCACGATGTCATGTCGATAGGTACCTATGATGAAAATATCGACTAGGTACGTATGTAGATACATAGCAAACAACTGTATTAGGCCGTGAGTCAGTTCGTGTTTTCACAAACGGGTGGTCGCAGTACGAGGAATAGTACAGAGTACGGGAAAATCCTTGATAGCCACATTACACGCATGAATCCTAGGGCCGTCGTGGTGAGCCTCTGGTGCCACACATGCTTATTTACAATCGATATCAGGCGTGTGTGTATCCGTGGAGGAACATATCTTCTATGTAGGTCTTCTGCGTAGGCATGCCACCAGTAGGATGTTAAGTGAACATATTCAAACATGATGAGGTACTTGTTTGAAGAATTCAATTCAATGAGAGAGGTGCCTACTCGGCAGTAGTCCTTCACACAATACTAGTCGCCCGACTACCTGGCGGATACTTCCTATACTTGTACCTCTCGAGTCCCTAGGAGATATTGGAGACATTGGGTACGTGTAGCCCTCTCATGATAGGACGTTGCCACAGAGGTGATAATCTATCTCTGTGGCAGATGTATCTCAAGTATCTGCAGCACAATCCGCGTTGACCAGCAACCAAATTCACCTTGCCCGTTGACAAACACACTCCCTCATCCTCCTCTTCTTCCCTTTCCTCCTTCCTGCTTCTTTCAACATCCACACTCTACTATCCATATCCATCTTCCACACTTACGCTCTGCCAAACAACATCTTTCACCATAGTCAAGCTCTTCTGGATCTCAATATCTTCACATACCAACCATCTTGTATCCTTCTTGTCTTACAAGGCCGTCTTCATCCTTTTACCCAACACCAATCCGACTTTGTGCGATCAAATACCGTCGAGATGCAGTTTCTGGAAACAGTTGTCGTTTTTCTCTTCACCACTCTTGCCATGGTAGGTCTGCTAACTAACCACCGCCCTACTCCCATCCCATTCCATTCATTTCATTGCCCACCCGATCACACTTCCGCCCACGAACTTCTGTCTCGCCCTCATGTTCTACCACCTCTTCGAACCCCCAGCCTCTCCGGGAAGACTAACTCCGCTATCATATAGGCTTCTGGGGTCGAGGTGGGCAAGAAGCGTGAGGACGACTGCAGCTGCAGCTCTACCGCAACCATCACCGTGACTACTTCTGAGACTATGGAGATGCCCACTCCTTATAGCACAATCACCGTCACCGTCACCATGAGCACTACTCCTGTTAGCGAAGCTGGCGAGACTCCCACTGGCTACGGTGGCGGCGGAGGTGAATCTTCTACCTCTGTTGTTGTTGTGCCTTCCGAGTCCGAGTCTTTCACTGGCACTCTCCTCACCGAGACTTCGGCTACCCCTACTCCTCCAGTTGGTACCGAGACTCCCACTACTCCCGGAGGCGGCAGCGAGACCGCTACTCCTGTCTCTTACGGCGGCTCTGAGTCCTCTACCAGTACCCCTGCCAGTAGTGGCACTACTCACACTGGATCTGGGTCAGTCACCGTCACAGCTTCCACTCACACTCATACTGGTACTGCAACGACTTCAGTCCCTGAGCCATCTAGCACCACTCAGTCTAACAATGCCGCTGCGGCCACCGGTATAGTGGGCATGGGAGCTTTACTTGGCGGCGCTGCTGTCATAGCTATGGTTCAGCACGTCTAGGTTTTCGATCGTCTGAGAGGGAGGGTTACATCAGGAGCTTTCGTGTCACACAAGCTGTGACTTTGTGGACATTAAATCGGGAACAAGATCAACAGACAATTACTTAACTCTTCACAAAATGCGGCAGGGAAGCGGCACCTTTGAAGCTCAGTGACGGAACAGAGAAGATTTGGCCACAAGGGAAATCATGGCATTATCTCGCCGGTACCTTCCTCGTTACCAGGGCGATAACCGTCGACAGACTTTTCCACGGTCTCACCGAATTGTTCCAGCGCATCCCACTGTCATTGTCGCTCAGTAATTGGTTCTTACCCGAAAGTCTACGGCTCATTCGTGTGTCTCCGGCCCTTCTTGTCACCTCCATCTCCCGACACGAATACCCACGACAATAAAATGACTTATTCCTACTCGTCTGGTTAAAAAGTGTCCTTGGCACATGGATTCACGATGGATAGAGGAAAATGGATCGAGCAGGAGTTTAATAACATGGTTTGCTTTTCCTTTGGTTTTTTTCGTTCGGACTGATTGATTCACCACCGCTACCACCCATTAATTTGACCGGAAACCGGGACCGACTTGGTTGCGTTTCCATGGTATAGGTCTGCGTTCTGTTGTGGTCTTCGTGTACCTACTACCAGTCCTGCTACTGGTCTACTTCTTATCACAGCCACGGTAGTAAAATTGAATCCTCCCTTGCATAACCGCACTGAAAATTGATGCTACCACCTACCGTGGACATAATCTTGTATGCCGAATAAGTTGCTCGGGTACTAGAATGAAGTCATCTGCCCTTAAATTATCAAGTGCCGCTAAGGCGCTTGTTAGATACTTATTTCTTACTATGCATTGTCTGCGTAGATAGGTGCACTGCAATATGTTCATACGTCGGCCATTGATCACCATGCCGCGGTTCAGAGCATACGTGAAATAACGAAACGCTACACATGTTCGACAACATCATACCAAATCGGTCACTTCCTTCTAAGCTTAGATAGATGCCCATGTATCGCATAATCAAATATACCACCGCACCGAGCTTCATGGAGAGTTCCGCGAAGAATGAATAGATGTACGACGGCTTTGTCTCCTTCTGGACATCGCCCTTGAGTCCTCTACATTTAATCCTAGAAATCACTCGGTATCCCTTCTGGTATCGAAGATAGGAGCGTGACGAAAAGGGACTCCTTGAGTACAATTGTATACGTGATTATGATTAAGAGTATATATGCATGTGCAATGAGGCGCCATCTGTCCTGGGCCGCATTCTATCTATGTACCTATGTAATCATGGTGGTATCATAACCGTATCCGTCCATCACCTCCAAACCATCTCCGTATATCCGAGTCTCCAGCAGCGCCGCTTCCGCTGCCGGAACGGCTACCACTCCCGCTCGCCTCATCGTCGCCGCCCATCCATTTGGGTTTCTTGATGCCATCGCCTATATCTTGAATCCACTTGGGCGTGTCTATCGTATCTATCGTGTTCTTGAATCGATGGCTTAGGCTGGAAAAGAAGTTGTCTTCTTCAGGCTCTGATGGTGTGGTCACCGTTGATCGCCCTCGGGTTGTTGTGTTTCGGGCGGGAAGAGTGTGCTGAGAGGGTGAAGTGGCAAATGGTGTCCTGACACCTTCTGCTCTAGCCGATGGCACTGTTAAAATGGGTTGCGCTCGACCCGAAGTAGTGCGTGATGCGGCCTCTTCTAGTCGCCGAGATATCGATGTCCCGTTAAGTTCGCGCTCAATGAGCACCCGGCCTTCTCGCCAGGAGCCGGTGCCATACCCTCCTGAATTCTCGTCCTCCTCATCGTCGACAATGTCCACACCAAATCCAAAGAAGCGCTTCACTTTACCGTACAGTCCAAAGAGCGTCGCCAGAACAGGTAATAAAACGAATATGGGGAACAAATTGTCAAACCAATCTCCAAGTGGGGTAAGGTCAATGTATCTGCCAAGCAGGCCGTAGAAGACGGTTTTCGTGTATATCTTGGGTGACATCAAGGTGATGAAGTTATAAGAAAGTGGTACGCTGAGCCTCGCGACTTGGCCAGCATACCAAAACGCAGACTCGTGTGCTGTATTGCGTTTGACCAAGGCGCGGCCTCGCCAGACCTTCACATCTGTGACCGTGTGCAGCGCTGCTGTACACATGTATAATATCCACAGTGCAGCAATCAGCTGCCCAGCAAATCCAACTCGACCGCTATCTCCTGTCCAATGATGCACGACGGTGAATCGAATCACGGATAAGGACGGAAATACTCCCTTCACCAGCTCGGACCAAGTAATACATATCGAGGCTAAGCTTAGGAAACCTCCCAAAAAAAGGCGAAGATAAGGAAGGATCTGACGGTGCAACAGGTATCGGGTGTACGGGGTAAGAATCGTGAGTCTCTCTAGAGTTGATGAGGCTGGAGAGGCTCCACCAAAGTCGAGTTTCTTCGATGCAGATGAGTCTAGGATTGCCTGGGTCCGAGAGGCATCATGAAGTAGACGGTCCCACTCGTCGATGTATCGAGACTTGGCGTGTTTTGCGCGAACAAGTTGTCGGGTTAAATCAGCCAAGAATTTCTCTGTGATAACTGTGGGAACAGTACGGCCATCGCTTTCGCGGGGAATAGCACTCCGTGGCCGTGTCTCAGGAATATTGCACATATCGGACAGCTCTTCGATCCAGTCCTGGAAATCCCTAGCACTGCCTGTCTTCCGCTTACAGAGTTCCGACACCTGGAACTCAATGTCTTCTAGGTTTAGGATGGCGTCTTCCATATTTTCGTACAGTTTGGGGGCTCTGGATTGCAGGCGCCTAAGTCGGCCGCTTGCGCTCACATTCCTTATCAAGTTTCGTGGAATAGCAACCAGGCCGTGACCCATTAGATAAATAGCCAGGATCAAACCCCAACAGTACGCAAGCGCCATGACAAGACCCTTTAGCGATGCAAAATGAAAGCCGTAGGAGATTATAAAGTATACGAGTCCAAGGATTCCCGACCCGAGGATGATGGCGTAGTACTGGGCATTTTGGTGCAGAGAATAAATCAGTCGATCCTTAGGCTCTCGGTACCCAGCGTCGGAGTATTCGGCGAAAATGGGGAAGATGAACCTTGGGGGAAGAGAGTCAGCACGTACGCACTTTGAAGGGAAGAGAGAAAATGCGACGCACCATGTGAGGACGAATGTGAGCCAGTACGATATCCTCCACGCAACCAACAAGGCCCGGTGCGGGAGCCAAATACCCCTGATGGTCTCGTCGTCGGGGCTTGCATTAGAGGCGAGGTCTATCGGGACGAGCAGAACAATACTGGCAGGAAGCCAGAGCCCGAAGAAGACAGGGACGAGTAAGTAAGCGGGAGTTGTTCGCAGCGGTAGATAGCGTCTGAGGATGAGGAGAACTATGATGGATAGGATAGCGAGGGCGATGCATGCGAATATGATGGAGCCAACCGGCGACTGACTGCTCGCTATATGCAGCATCTTCACTGGGGAGTCACTACTTCATGCTCAGATGAAGTTGATAGTTGATAGAAGAGTAAAAGAGCAATAATAAAAGAGGCGGTAGACCCTAACTTTGCTGTAATCTCTTGGGATGGGATGGGATGGGATGGGATGCGACACGATGCGATGCACTCCAAATTGAAGGTTGCCTGTATGAAAGGGATCTTGGCTTCGCGGCTCGGCAAGGGCTGACGTAGTGATTCCCTGAATTAGGGGTAGCCGGGACTCAATACCGAACAGCTAGGGGTTACAAGTAGGTACTTGTAATTTAATTAGCCCTCCACCAAGCCACGATGAGAATACCTACATCTAGGTACCTGCTATGTACAGATACACTTACATAGGTAGCAATGTGGCGTCTATCTGTATTGTGGCTTACGCACTGCTAATCGTGATAGGTACTGGACTGGAACCTTGCTAGACCACGCTAGACAGGGGTAGCTTGCCTCAGCGGTGCAATGTCATTGGCTTGCAGACCCCCGGATTTTAGACTTCTAGCGGTTCTAGCCTGTCGGAGCAAGGCGACACAGGAAAGGCCAGCTATCATCGTGTGCCATATCATCCTATCCGTCATCAGTCATCGTGGCCTGGAATTGTGAGCTTCTTCACTGGACTGGCCCAACGGGCTCTTAATTCTACTTCCGACTTCATCTTCCGACCTGGCGCCTCTTCTAAGCTGATCGCTCTCTTATCTATTTCATTTTTTTCATCTCTCAATTCACTCTTGAATATCTTCGTTTGCCTCCCTCTATTTCCGTTTCTCCCATTGCCTCTCTATTTGTACTGGACCACCGAGGACAAAAATGCGCTTCGCAGCCTTGTCAGCGCTATGGCTGGCAGCGACAGCCTGGGCTGCTGTCGAGCGCAATGATGATGGCAACGTTCGCAGTATTCAGGTTCGTTCGCCATGCGCTTGCATCCTTGATCTTCTACATTCTTTCTAATCATTGTGCGATCTGACAGCTCCGCACCCATTCCTTAAAACAACCCTATCTCGACTCTGATATGGCAAGTCGCTGGTACGATTTTGGCGGAGACACCATTATTCGAACTGATTCGTACGTCATCATTTTTGCATCGTTCGCGATCTCGCGATGAGGTTTATCGTGGGGCAAACTCAAATATTAACAGTCGGCGGCCAGATACATTCGTCTATCCTCTGAGCGCCCCTCACAGAACGGATGGCTATTCTCGCGAGTACCTTTGACTGCAACAAATTGGCAAATCGAGGTTGAATTCAAGGTTTCAGGGAAAAACACCCTGTTTGGTGATGGTTTTGCCATGTGGCTGACCAAGGACCGCGGCGAGGCTGGGCCCGTCTTTGGACACAAAAACTATTTCGAAGGCCTTGGTATTTTTATCGATACCTACAAAAATAACCGCCCGGGCACTGTTTTCCCATACGTGATGGCCATGGTTGGTGACGGCAAGACGGCTTACAATAAGGACAACGACGGGAAAGATCAGGAACTTGCTGGCTGTTCGGCCCGGGGTCTTCGCAACTCCAAGACCCCAACGAAGTTGCGCCTTACATACTTCCAGGATAAATCACTGAAGCTAGAGCTCATGTACAAGACGGAAGATGAATGGCAGCTGTGCTTCGAGACTAACGAACCACCTACGATCCCTTCGGTCACGTATCTCGGGTTTAGCGCTGAGACGGGCGAGCTAAGTGATAACCACGATATCATTTCTATCGACGCAAAGAATCTTTACACCACAGGTGGCTCTTCCAGCAAGCCTAGCACACCTGGCCGTGGCAACAGCTTCAAGCCGACCTCAGGGCAGAGCGGAGGTAGCTGGACTTGGTTCTTCTTCAAGATAATTCTCTTCTTCGCAGTGATTGGTGGCGGATATGTCGGGTACACTGCGTACAGGGCAAACAAGAAGAGAACCCACCGATTCTAAACGTGGCACATTAGTGATGGAACTCGAAAATAGCAAGACATGTTATGAATGTGTATCGAGCAGAAGACGATGAAAACCTACGTATATATCAACAACACAAACAGAAGAAATCGGATCCACGGACCATCGCGATATCTCAAGATTAACTATGGGGCTATGGGGTAAAGGGACCGGTGGCGTCTACCGGTTATGTAAAACAAAACTCAATATACTAAGTTATGAATGACGAGGAAAACTGTTCAAGTCCGGATGTCTCTCTCCGTCAATGCCAACCCCATTTTGGATGCAATTTGAATTCAACGAATTACGGGGGGACACCAATTTAATCATTTGATACGATACGTCCACATATCTCATAGGAGCTTAGGGATAACCGCTTTACACGGTGGATAGTTTACCACCTGAAAGATGCTTCCTGCGGCGATCTGCATGCACATTTCGCAGCACTCAACACAGTGTTGTGGCTACTCTGGTGTATGGCCAATGAGCGCATCCTTGTCTACAAAACCATCGATACTACTACCCCATATTGACATGACTCTGATTCGACCACCAGTTTAGATGGATGATACCCTACCTTACCCAACCTATCTGCATCTTATGCCGGATAGGTATGTTTGTATTGGTCCAGAGCAATATCTGGGGCTGATATAGCAAGGTCAAGAAGCATTGGTCTAGGACCAGGTAAATCTCTCAATTGTTTGTGAGAGCCATGATTCATTCACGGGGCTTAATTGATATATACTTCTCGGATGACATCGCTCTGCGAAGCGAAGATCGAGCGGTTGACAGACGAGCAGATACCGTGGGGAGGCTAGCTACCTGTCTTGCCTGTGCCATACCCCATTTATAGCCAAGCTATGCATTAGTGGTGAAAGACCCAGGCAGGAGACAGATAGACCATCCTCGTCAAAGATGGCAGATAAGAAGTTGATGCTGAGACTTATGAGCTAACGTTACAATGAAACCGTAATTGGCTCGACCGTGGAAAGCCGAATAGTACCTATACCATGAAGATAAATCACACCTTCGACATTGAATATCTTCATCTCTTTATAGAACATGACTAGGTAGGTGAAACAGCCAACATCTGAAATGAATGAGGTCGGGTTTGGAAGAACGATCGGACTACCCTATTAAGGTATTTACCCTAGGATCTATTCTGCCAGGGCTCCGCATGTTTACTACAGTAGCATCAATTTCTGCAGAACAATTCTATTTTTGTACAGCTTACAGCACATGTAAATGACCTTTCCAAGTTCACCATCTACAACCATTATAAATCCCGATATTACCTACCTACATTATGTATGTAGGTACCTAGGTACTGTGTAAGATGCCCAGCTTCCATACCCACTCCTTACCTACCCATAACAGTAGGTATTCATAGCGTGCTTAAGGTGGCATTAGCGTGCTGGGTTAGTACACCTGCAGTGAGGGAGATAGGTACACGACTTAGCCGTACCGCACATATTGCAGGTCTTTCCAACAAAGGCTATTATCTGGTTCCCCCCGCCCTTTCTTCAGTACCTTAGGTACCTACCTAGGCAGCCCGTTCCGCTCGCTGCCAGCGGGCACTACCTGCCTAGGTACCTATGTATGTGCTAACACCCACCGCAAGACGGCGCCAGCAGGTACTTCTGTGCTAAGTAGCGCGGCGCCCACTAGGTACCTACCTAACCTACTTGTCGCCGTTTCTCTGTCGTCATTCTCCTCATCACGATTCATTCCTCGACGAGCCCCTCTCGAGCCCTCTCACCTATCCTACCCATAGCTGATCAGCCAAGGACACACATGGGCTGGGCTAGCCGGGCTGTTTGCTTCCTATTACCACCTCCCAGACTCCTCCCAGACGCTTTCCTACTCGCCCAAGCATACTTGACCTGGGTTACTTCCCCTCTGCTGCGCCGCAAGTCTATTTCCCGCCTACCAGGTCTTCAACCCTGCCACTACCCGCTCCTTGTTGTCTCGAACTCGAATTGCGAACTCTGTCTGCCATCTAAACATATCTTCTCTGCATCCAATCCTCGCCCCTACTTACGCTTGCGCCCTGCTTCAAGTCGCCTTCTGCACGGAAACACCAGTTAAGAAGAACCCCACCAACCACGCCCCATCCTAAGGTCAATTGGGCGTGCGAACCCTGTGTACAACCAGGTTCTTTGTACAGAAGACTTCTTGTGAAGCGCCTGAAAGCGCATAGCTTTGGGCTTCGCTTTCAACGCACCTGGCCTTAACCCTGTTCGATAGAGGCAGCTGTTAGTTACGAATTGGCTACCACCAATAGCAACTCCCAAGTGCGCCCAAGGCCTCTGTCATCTCGATTGCCGTGTGCAATTACGGTTCTCCTTTCCATTGAGTATTGCGCTTGTCCTGTCTGGATGAATTGACCCCTATGACGACCTTCCTGTTTTAGCTCTCAACCTCTCCGTTAGTTCTTGCTCTATGCGACAGGGGCTTCTCGGCTGCTTCCAACTCTTATTGACATTGGATTCCTTTGCGTACACGCCAGGTTTTCTTTGTATCGACATATCGTAGGATATCTAGCTTAGCAACTCCAAGAAGTCTCGGATCCAGCGACCTGCTCCAAGGTCCGGACCCTCCTAGCCCCTAAATTATAACATATGCCGAGTTTAGGGTTTCTGAAGAAGAAACGGACGAGGGAGGATAAAACCGACCCGTCCTCTAGTCAGCCCACAAGCCCAGTTACGCCAGTAACCCCCACGAGACCTTTCGAGAGCTTCAACACCATCCCTGCTAAGTCGACGTCCAATACCAGCGCCTTGACGCAGCCTCCATCAACCAGTCAAAGCAACGAGACACTGGTGCCAGCTGGTGGAGGGCCCCAAATGAATCCACCGGCTGCCCATCAAGCTACCCATCAAGCTGTTCCGTATGGGATCCAGCAATCACCAAGTCCGGGTCACATGGTAACTCCACACAACTTACCAAGTATCAATAACCTCATCAATTTACCTCAAACAGACGGTATAGTCTCCTCCTCGATCTGTTCGGTAAGGCCCCTGGCTAATTGTGGTAGGCCATCATGGCACACCGCCACCGCAGCCACAAGCACAGGTCCAGGTGCCGCAACAAGTTCCAGCATACGCGTCAGAAGTACGAGTAACAAAAGGCAAATACTCGCTCACTGACTTTGATTTGTTACGGACATTGGGAACAGGGAGCTTTGGCCGAGTTCACTTAGTGCAATCAAAGCACAACCAACGGTTTTATGCTGTCAAGGTCTTGAAGAAGGCCCAGGTTGTCAAGATGAAGCAGGTCGAGCACACGAATGACGAGAGGCGAATGCTAGGAGAAGTGAAACACCCCTTTCTCATCACGCTGTGGGGTACCTTTCAGGATGCCAGGAACCTTTACATGGTCATGGACTTTGTCGAAGGTGGCGAGTTATTCTCTCTCCTGAGAAAGTCGGGGGTGAGTCATGAGCAAGCTCACTTGGCCTATTTCACAGTTTTCTAACTACCGTCAGCGGTTCCCTAACCCCGTGGCCAAGTTTTATGCTGCAGAAGTGACGCTTGCGCTTGAATATCTCCACTCGAGAAACATTATCTATCGAGATCTAAAGCCCGAGAACTTACTCCTGGATCGCCATGGACACCTCAAAATAACAGATTTTGGCTTCGCGAAGCGAGTCCCAGACAAGACGTGGACATTATGTGGCACCCCAGATTATTTGGCCCCGGAAGTGGTTTCTAATAAAGGCTATAACAAATCAGTCGATTGGTGAGTAGCCATGGTTGAAGGCTTTAAGACAGAAGAACAGCTCTAGCTTACACAGCAGCCAGGTGGTCTCTTGGTATCTTAATCTACGAAATGCTCTGTGGCTATACCCCGTTTTGGGATAGCGGCTCTCCAATGAAGATATATGAAAACATTCTCCGAGGCAAGGTGAAGTACCCGGCATATGTACATCCAGATGCCCAAGACCTTCTAGAACGGCTCATCACGCCTGATCTGACTAAAAGGCTGGGTAACTTGTATGGCGGTCCCCAGGATGTGAAGGATCACCCGTGGTTTTCGGAAGTTACTTGGGATAGGTTATCCAGGAAAGACATTGATGCGCCTTATACGCCTCCCGTCAAAGCTGGATCTGGTGACGCGAGTCAATTTGATCGGTACCCAGAAGAAACAGAGAAGTATGGCCAGGGAGGGCACGATGAGTGAGTCGAGATAATCCATGGTTTGCTGAGCAAAGACGTAGCTAACGGGCGTAGGTATGGTAACTTGTTCACGGAATTCTGATTGCTCCCAGTTGGTTGGGGCAAGAGTACACAAATATTTTATACACGTATCCCTTAGTTTATTCACTTATTGCGCCGCGGCAGCCTCACTCTAGCCCGCTCCCATTGTCAGCAGTCACGGACGCCAGACAGCCGCATTACCGAAAGCTACGACTAAGCCGTTTTACGCGGGCTTGAGCTATGTATTAACTCCTGGGGTAACAAACTGCTCGGAATGGCGTTAGATGAACAGGGCTAAAATGGGGCTGCTACGCCCGTCGCGGGTGTATGCATTATACGCTGAGAGGTCGAAGAAAAGGGGGCCACGTCCCTACAAGTTCAGTATCAGATAACCCACCTACTTACTTAGTAGTGTCTACAACCAGGTATTACGCATACAGAACAATAGAACAGAGTTCAAGCTGTTCTTTGAATTACTAGGGGTCCAGATGCACTAACAGCCCGAATACACCTACATACCTGCCTGCATAGTGGTGAAACTCGACGGCACGCCTACCTACATATTTATAGGTAGTAGAATCGCTTATTCCGTTTAGGCACCAACTATTATGGCAGTACAGTATTAGGTAAGCACATAAAATGTCCGTCCGTGCGTACATATACCCGTGTCCACGTCGGTATCCGAATAGGGGTAGGACTTTCATGTCGTTGCCGATAGTACTGATCGCCTGTACGGCCCCATAAAGACAGCAAAAAGGAGCTCCCTCTCCCAGAGCTCTCCGCATCGGATAGACATGCTCACAACCGATCCTAATACTAACTGATTCTTATGAACTCGATATTTTCCTCAAGGATTATTTTGCTAGGGCGTCAGCAGCCGAAGAGCAAATCCTTGCTGACAAGGATAAGGTAACTTTGGCAGAGAGTGCAGCCAACGACAGCTTTAGTGTAGATACACAGATCCCCGCCCTATGCGGCTTATGGGATGTGGGTCCAGTCCAGCATTTCCCAGGCCGCCTAGCCTATCTCGTAGGTAGCGTTCCGGGCTGCTGTCCACTAAGCTACCTACCTAACCTGGATTGCTCAAAGCTTCGGTCTGGACAGGCCCCTTCTTCTCAACCCGCCTCTTGTATTTCCTCGCCAATCAGTATATTTCCAAAGAAGAAAAAAAGAGTAGCTGTCGTGATTCCCCCATTCTCTATTCTTCATTTTCTTGGTTCCCTTTCGCTGCGCTTGGCTTTGGTTGGTGGGCATATCACTAGAAGCTCACCTTGCCTTGAGCCAACTCAGTAGTCGACGCCACTGAATGGACATCAGCTGCACTGCAGAACATCAATACTCGCATGCCACGCTTCTCGGCCCATCACCTGCTTTCTACACGTCGAATCATTTAGACCGATGTCTCTGATTTGATCCGTACGAGCCTAGTATACTTAGCATTCTGAGTTGTCATTCTCTAAGCAGGTTTGGCCTCTAGAAAACGTCGTGGAATATAACCAACCCCCTTCTGGCGGCGTCTCTTCGTGTTGAGATATACCTACCTAATAATTATGGACGACTATCTATTCGAGACCAATGTCAATGCCTGTAGAGTGGTTTCGGAGAAGACTCACTACTTGGAAATCTTCAATTACTCGGTATGTGCAGCGCCACTTTCAATATACTTCTCATGTGACGCCGAGCCGCGGAAAAATTCCTTCGCCGTTGTATTCTCCATGATTATTCTTCGAACCCGCTTCCCTGAATTCTAATCCGGCGATAGGATGGAACATCTACTTGCGAAGACCACCCCCTGACTCCTGATGAATTTGAAAACTTTCTGGATCGTCGAGTAAGTCTGTTTCTCCCGTTTCTTCCACTTATGAATTGAGTGAGATGTCTTGGCTCTGGGGTTGGCAGGCGTGGGGTAGGTTGTGAGGTCTTGCGATGCTACCCTTGTCGTGGTCTACACTCTTGGAAGCAACCTTGGCAAATACACTAATATAATCTTACTTGACTTTGATATAAACGATGGAGACACCGTTACGCAGACTGACATGCTGTTGATCTAGGGTGCCTTTGAGCCACCGAAGCTGGGTGATGGCGTCCAATTGCGAGAAGGGATTCGATTAGTGTAAGGGAGGCCTCCGCTTCGTCGCAACAAGCTTCGCTAGCTAACAACGTAACAGAGTCCAGAGAGACGCAGACCACAATGATACCTTTTCGCCAAACTTTATCTCGCTATCGCAAGAGCATTACCGATCCATGGTAAGAAAAATGCGATTGCCCTTCAGAGCAATCGAAGGTGGCAGCATCGTAGGCCCGGCCTTTTGGTGCGAGTACGATCATGACGAAGATGATCGTCATTTACGTATGATCTCTCTCCGCAGCTGTCGCTTCTGGATCCTCTAATAATTTCATAGAGATCATATTTCGAAAATCCGACGTGCGGAAGAAGGGTAAAACTCGCGGCTGGGAGATCATGTTGTCTTATTCTTTCAAAACAGCAATTACAACTGGTTTTGTAAAAGGCACAGAATCATCTGACATAAACGAAGCGATCAGGCATCTGGTATCATGCCGTAGCGAGATCGGGCACCCGATACTCCTGCCAATCATTATTCTCTCTCATGATCTGTCAGCGAAGCTCGATATACGGCAACGAGAGGCGCGGGCCTGGTTGAGACGTCTCGAAAATGCTATCACCATGCGTGACGAGATTGACGAGAAAGAGGGGTACACGGAGTTTGATGTCGATGGGTTCAATCGAGATCTCGTCGAATGCCACTCCCGAGTGCTGTGGAAGCGCCCGCAAGCCTACCAAGAGATCATCAAAGATATGAAGGCCGCCATGGAGAAATTCATGGCCTACGTGGAGCCGGAAAGGAACGATAAGAAAATGAAAGCGTTGCATGGCAGCATGATTTCTCGCTTAGAGTTCTATCGCGTGAAGCTGAACGGTCAAGAACACTATATCTATACCACTCTGGAAAGACTTAACGTTCAACGTCAAGCTGTACGTCATCTGCCTTCTCTGTTTGCGTAAGTCAGCTGATCAACTAATGTTAATCGTTTTTAGCTATACAACATCATCAGCCAGAAGGAATCGAAGCTCAATCTTGAAATGGCTGCCCATCAACGAAGACTAGCTCATGCAAACAAGCGCGACACTACAGCTATGAAAACAATATCCCTTCTTGGTGCGATTTTCCTCCCAGGAACCCTCTTGTCCTCGATATTTAGCATGACTTTCTTTAGTTTCGACGTTCGTAAGTTTCAAGACAACCAGTCTGCTCTTATTTCTTTTCCATATCAATTAAAAACACTTAGTTCAGGAATTCACCATTAACTCTATTTCCAGCGGAGAACACGGAGGTTTCCCAAGAGCTTTGGATCTACTTCGCTGTGACGATACCTCTTACCCTGGCGATTGTGGGTATGTGGTGGTTCCTAGATCGACGGCGCGAGGCAACCTATGCCCGCGAGGACGCGGATATCGAGAAAGGTATCCAGGACATGGAGACAGATATCCTGGCCATCATGCGCAAGAAGACCATGAGCAAAGCGGCTACTTGGGGCTCTGGTAATAAGAGCCCTACGCTTACGAAACCCCACCATAATCCTTTTCACTCTTTAGAGAAACAAAGTTAGGGCATGGCCTACTTCGACAGTCCGCCCTTAAAACTCGAAATTGGCAAAGTTGACATTGAAATGGAGGAGGATGACCTCATCACGTACTTATGACTGCATTATTATCATTTTCGCATATAAAACTTGTGCGTTTCTGGATATTTGGCCGAGACACATTTTAGTTGGATGTTTTCACGAAGCAGCTCACGAACATGACGACTCTCACGATTACTATGAAACGACTGGTATATAGACCAAAAAGTCAATAAAATGGGCATAGCTAAGTATATAATCGGCGAGGATGAAAACGATAATAAGGATGACGTTTGACTAATATATAAAAATAAAATAAAATATTACTGGATCACTACGCCTGCTCGCTCATTTTGTGTTTGTGCGCTAATTCAACAAGGTACCGAATATCCAACCCTAAAGCTTGCTGCCGTTTTGCGGTGGCAACAACTGCATTTTCTGATAGGGAGCCCCTAAAAACTCGTACACAAAGTTCCATACATCGCTGCCCCAGAAGGGTTCACTGAGGCCCTGGTGGTTCGTGACCCAGAGCCAAGGGGCTCCAAATGCGCCGCGCGCCAGGGCCTCGTCGACCCTTCCCTTCACCTCGGTCTTCACTGCTTCCGTGCCGATGCCGTGCATGATCTGGTCGACTTGTTCAGGAGTGAAGAGTTTCTCGGGGGAGGAATAGGAACTAGATACGGGTGAGTGAGACGGTGAGGAAGGGGAGTTGAAGCAGTCGAGGTGGAAGCGCAGGGGCACCTCGGATAAGACCTCCTTCAACACCGGGGGAGTGATTGGGATTTTTTCAAGGGTCCAGAAAGCGTGGAAGAAATAGGCGAATGTGGTCTTGAAGACTTCTGGTGCGAATGTGGACTTTATATATGTTAGGGCGCGTATTGGCTGCTTGTTGTTAGTGCTCTGACACGACGAATAGATCCCTGGCTTGGGTGGTGATGAGTACGCACTACTACCGTCTTGCCTTTCTCCATCAGTCCCTCTGGGACCGTCAAGTTCTTCAGCCCTACATTAGCAGCGGCCCGCCGCGTGGTGTGGTTTCCATATTCCGCTTTTGCTGGGACCGTCCATGGCGGACGATTGCCTAGGTGGAGAGCAGAACGTATTAGTGTCATTGGGCTGGTATTCCGTCTGTTGAAACTCACCGGATCCAACGTTGATGGCACCGAGCATGTAAGGGTGGATTCTGTGACAAGTAAGCGATCGATCGCGATGGGCTTTTGTCGCTAGTGTGGCACACGAGAAGCTCACACTCACATTATTTCGATTTCGTTCTGTTTCAATAGCTCCTTGTTCTGCTGCAGCTGGATGAATAAGATATAGCAGTAGTACGACGCTGCATCATCATCATCATCCTCATCCGCGTCAGTCGCGCTACGCTGGTAGGTGCACAAATGATGGATGCACACATGCGGGTAATCCCTGGCACAGGCATGTGGTAAGAATGAATGGATGCATACGTACCGATGTCGAGATAACATTCTACTTTGCCTCCCATGATGACAGCTCTCGTAGTCGGCTGCGAGCTATGTATGGCATGTACAACAGCAACAACGACAAGGTTCCTATTGCGTGACTGATCCGAAGGGGAATATTATGAGAAAATACATCTCGCTGCAAAACAGAACTCACATCAAGAAGCTTACTAGGTATGATTACTCAACAAGGTCGCTGAGGATGTAGAAGTGCCGGTGATATCACCTCCAGCCGTGTTTCGGGGCTCAATAGCGCTGTACGCGCACCTGGACCTCGGCTTAGGACCAGACCCACATACTACGTACGAAGTTATGTGGTACCTTGCGATGTTACACTCCTCATCTCACTCAACCTGCCACCAGCCGGCACTTGAAGATTATCAGCATCAAATCATTAGACGCAGGCTACGCGATGTCATTCAGTATCTGGCTTGGCATCTTATACAAATTCTAGATTACCTCATCTCAACCTATCGTCCCATCCGTACCAGGCTTGGGAGCACCCGTTGACAGCTTGCCCATGAAACCACCACTGACCAGATCCATGGCCTTCGAGAATGGGTCGCCGCCCGACTTGTCTGCCTTCAGTAAACCAGCCGCAGCAAATGCCTGCTCGAAATCACGTTTGATATCCGCGAAGTCTTCAATGCCGAGACTGACGCGGAGCAAATCGGCTGTGACGTGAATGAGCCACTGTCAGCATGTGTCCTTGACCAGTGACCAGAGTGGACGCGTGAAAATGCAGAGAAATGGAGACACTTACGAGTAACACCGCCTTTTATCTTCTCTTCGTCGGGCATCTGCTGGTGTGTCGTAACCCAAGGGTGAATGATGAGAGTCTTGCAATCGCCCACATTGGCCAAGTGACTGGTCATCTTCAGATTGTCTACTACCGCGCGCACTTGCTCGACTTTTCCAGCCTATAGGAAATCAACATCAGTCAAGGTGAAAAGAAGGAAGAACATGGTCAGTTAGAGCAAGGCGTTTTCTTACCACACCGAAAGTCAGGACGCCTCCTCCACCCCTTGGTAGAATCTTCTTCGCCAGTTCGTAGTCGGGATGCGAGTTCAGACCCGGGTATAGGACCCAGTTAATACATGGATGCGCTTCCAACCACTCGCCCAACTTCTGGGTGTTCTCGACGGTCCTGGCGCCCCTGAGCGATAACGTCTCGAGGCCCTGCAGGAATAACCATGCGTTGAACGGGCTCATGCAGGGACCGAGATCGCGCATAGCGTCCATCCTCAGCTTCGCAGCCAGCGCCTTCTTGCCGTATGTTTCCCAGAACCGCATGCCGTGGTAGCCCTCGGCAGGCTCTGTGAAACCTGGAAATTTTCCCGATGCGCTCCAGTCAAAGTGCCCGCCGTCGATGACGATGCCGCCCATGCTTGTTCCATGGCCCCCAATCCACTTGGTGGCCGAATGTGTGACAATATCGGCTGCATGCATGTCAGTCGTGCATCATCAAAGGAGAAAAAAAATAAAATGATTCCATATTTAGACGTACCCCCGAGCTTGATAGGCTGGCATAAGTATCCGCCCATACCAAACGTATTGTCGACAATTAAGGGGATGCCGTGCTTGTGGGCGACGGCAGCGATCGCAGGGATGTCTGGTACGCTGTGCTTTGGGTTGCTGATCGTTTCAATATAGATCGCACGCGTGTTCTCGTCGACTGCCTCGTCAAATTTGGCTGGATCGTTGCCCACCACCCACTTGACTTCAATCTTGAATTTTCTCATATAAACGCGAAATTGGTTGAAGCTACCACCGTACACTATCGGAAAATTTGCGTTGGCCCCGCCCTCATACGTCTGATGCCAGGGATATACTTACACCAACTCGTACTCACGAAATTATGGCCTGGCTCACAACATTGGGTCAAAGCCATGAACTGAGAGGGCGTCAGTTGAAGGGTTACGTCACATTTCCCTGAAATTCGAAGACCTACCTGTGCTGCATGGCCCGACGCTGTTGCTACTGCGCCTACGCCCCCTTCTAGCATAGCCATCCGTGTCTCGAAGACGGTATTCGTGGGGTTGCCCATCCGCGTGTATACATATCCGTCCTTTGACCAGGCGAATTTCCCGGCTCCGTCTGCGGCGTCATTGAAGTTATAAGCTGAGGTTTGAAAAAGGGGCACGGCTCGTGAGCCGTTGATGGGGTCCGGCTCCTGCCCGCCGTGAATGGCGATCGTGTCAAACCCAGGCTCCCTAAGCAGGTCAGTTTCGATCTGGTAAGAATTTCTTTTGTAGATTGCTTTTTCCTACCAGTCTAAGTTGCTGATTGATCCGGAAGGCGGCATCCTTGCGTACACTTGATTTATCTTCTTTTCAAGTTTCCCTAAAATATCTGGAATGCCAGGATGCCCTGGTATGCGCTTCACGTCTTAGGAGTATGATATAGAGAGAGAGTCTTGATTCCAACAGAAGAGAGTAGCCAGGTCAGCTTTATAAACAACTCCTTGAAAAGACCAATATGTTGACACCAACATCACAACAACAGGCCTTATCTACCCGCAAATCATTGTGATTCGAGGACGGGGAAATCTTGCTGCAAGCGGGTTTAATTGTTGGCGATGTGACGCCGAATCGTCTGGGGTACTTTCGGTCTTACCTGCGTCGACCCCGTTCTACTGCAATGCAACGACGCCCACCAGCAAATCCCGAAAGAGGGCTCGGCATTGCCATCATACCATTTCCGGGGGTCCACCCGAAGCTATGGCCGTGTAAGATCCTCTCCACTTGGCAAAGATCGCTCCCATCTCCTTCTTACCACAATTGTTGCTGGACTGGGTAAACGGGGCATGGCGATGGCCGCACGCCAATAGGTTTGACCTGTACCGCTTTGGCGGAGGCGGGGGGGCGTGTTACATTGCGTGGATGTTCGTGAGAGTCTGGCGGTACTAGTCGGCATCTTTACATGATAGGTCATCCCATATCGCTCAGCTTCGGCGTGTTTCACAGCCTCCGTGGAATTGCATCTCTCAGGGAACCGATTGGGAAGCATTGATGGTGTCATTGCTCATCTATTGGCTTGGCTATGATCGCAGAGCAAGACGTCTGCTAGCCAGTTCTATCGTCGTGCGAGCATGGCTTTAGCTGGCATACAATTCGACATACATCATCTGACATCAAAAACTTCTCTCAAGATCCCAGCTTTGCCACGTTTTTGTCCCCATCATCAATAACACTAAAAGCTGACCGCCCTAATCCCTCTTTTACTCTACGAAGTTTACGCTCGTACCGGGCTTTGTATTCACGGTCAATGTGCTACGGTTTCAGTCTTGTGAGCATTTATTTGGTCGTCCATACACTGACAAATCGCTGGATAGGGTCTAACTTACAAGATGTCAGGTCTGCTATAGCTTCCCACTGGGTCAAAATCGAGCTGTTTGTGTTTAACAATGCGAATTAGCTGGCTTTGTACTCCTTAGGTATTACCTAGTACAGAGATTCTAAGATTATCACAACTCACCCTTGATTCGGTAACGGCCGACATCGGCAATTCAGCGTACACGATGCTTTCTTTGTCCCACACGGGCTCCGTTAACCGCCCACCCAACGGCCCGGCGACGAAGGAGCCGCCGTGATTCACAATGTCGTCGGCCTCCCATTGTTCGCCATCGGGTCTGCGATCAGGGTGTTCAGGGGTGAAAGGAGGGTAGTCTGCTGGAAAATCTGAGACCTTGGTCATGGCATTGACCGTAACCACATAACAGCGACCTTCCTTCGCGATATGTTGCATTGATGCCGTCCATGTTGGTAGGTCATCGGCCGTTGGTGCTAAGTATATCCTATTATGTGATCAGCTCTCGCATCTTGTGTTCCCAGAATGAATTATGAGGAAGTAGTACTTACTCTACGCCTTGTTGATAGAGCGCCATGCGCGCGGCAGGCATATAATTTTCCCAGCTATTTCATGTCAATAAGAAACGGCCACTAGCATGAAATATCGTACGTTTCATGGGCCTATTTGAAAATGTGTTACACTCACCAGATCAGAGTCCCGATCTTGCCGATATCCGTCTGCACAACCCCGAGACCGTCTCCCGCTCCCCGTCCCCAGACTAGGCGCTCGGCCGCTGTTGGGATCAACTTCGGGCCAAATTTTAGCTGTCCGTTAATCATATATACTTGGAACCAAGCGAAGTATTTGAGTATGGGTTTAGCCTACCTTCCTGTGCTTCAACAAAATGGAGCCATCTCTGCCAAAAAGCAAGGCCGTGCAGTACAGCGTGCCGCCTTCTTTCTCTATGATACCAACTGCAAGGTACACGTTATGGAGCCGCGCCGTTTCAGCGACCGTTTCGACCTCGGGCGACGGGATGGCCACGGCTGAGTCGTAGTACTTGCGGTACCATTCTCGACCTGGTCACTCGTCCGAGCACTCATTGTTAGCTAGTAGTCCGGTCATCTTCATGCACCATCGTTGGCTAGGCGCCTAGCTTATGGGAACCACTGGTAGAATGAAAAGGACACACCACGGGCCTCTCTCGCGCCTATTGTAGCGTCGAAGGCGTAGCGCCAGGGGTAAGCCGAAAGGAATGCTTCACTGATGGGTTCCCAGAAAGAGTTAGTCCAATTTGAAGAAGTATGCGTTGCACTTTTTTCTTTTATCATATAAACATGATCGTATGATTCAGTTTGGTGAGCGGTGAGTGAGATGAGGGAGTGAGTTTAGTGGGCAGGTCAAAGGGGTATGAGACCGATGAATTGAGATGCACTGTGTATTCAACTCACGGGAAAACGATCAAGTCAGCGCCGCTTTTCGCCGCCTCGGCCGCCAACTTGGTGAGTTTCTCAAGACTCTTCTGAAGGTCGAATGAGACCGGGGCGGCTTGCACCGCCGCGACTTTGACGACCTTGCCCGAGGACATTGCGATGCTCTAGTGTAGAGGGATGAATAAGATTGTCTCTGTGAGAGGAACACGCTCGAAATTTCATAAAACGCCAGGGTTCATCGTATATACTCGGGAGTTATCTGCATTGTTTTAAATCTACAACTACTGCATTTGTATTACATAACCTAGCATATCCAAATCTTCCTGGAGTTACATGCACGTATGTATCTACCCACCACCCTACCTAGTTCACTGCGCATCGAAGAAAGATTGTATCTCCGATATGTCAGATATCAAACGCAGCGAAGCGCTTGTGGCAATTCGAAGCAAGCAGGCGAGTGGAGCTTGTTCTGCGCTGTACATACATACCTACCTACATATGCATCCAAAACGAAGCTCAGACACCCCGTCGATGACAAACACAGCCCGAGGACGTATACATCCAACACATCCGCGAGAAGATTGATTCCATTTCGTAAGGGAAAAGACAGTAATATGCTGCAGGTTGTCGTTCACGTCGTTGGTATTCATCTCCTTGGCATTTCGCTGTTGGCCCCTCCCCGCATTTCCTTCAACGAGTACGGTACTGACTGGGCCCAGTACGACGCAGACCCCGAGAGCCAAGGACACAAGGGGGAGGCACAGAATGGCAGCAAATCCCGGGAAACCCCACGAGGGGGGAATCCCAGATAAGGCAAACCTGAGGGGAATTGCGCGCCTAGCATACCTAGGTAGGTAGGTAGGTAGGTAGGTATGTTAGTAGTAGCTCTACATTACAACCTTAGCTTGCTTAGCTTAGACACTGCGTACGCAAATCAGACTGCGGCGTTGGTGCTCATGGGAGCACGGCAAGGAATGATAGATGGATAGATAGGCTAATAGCTGAATGGATGGGATTGAGAAACCGTTGGACTGCATAGCCTATCTAAATTATCTATCCGTCTATCTATCTATCTATCTTACCTCAGATGTCTACCTATCGGCAACTCCCGTTTGCGCTCTTTGATTCGTTTGGTTTTGTTTCGCTCATCGCACATGTGATATATTGCAGTGTAGTACCTTTTCTGCACCCCAGGCTTGAGAGCCAACAACCGTCTGCAGTGGTAATGCGTCGCGCATGAGGACGTGATCATGGGATACGCGCATAGAAGAGGAAGAAAGAGAGGTAGATGGACAGGCAAGCAGGCGGATAACCGTAGCATACAGTACACCAGAAGCTCCATTTGCTCTCGGTATCGTTTGCAATCACCGCGGTGAACTCTGGATTACATATCCACCCGATGCAGGTACCTGGGAATCGAACCACCGAGGCGGATTCCAAAAATTGATACCAAGGAACAAAACCAATCAAGGCGAATGGCAAAATAGTTAGTTTTTTCTTTTCTTTAAAAAAAAAATACATTGTGCCGCTTGTGAGAGTCGTCGGTGTTTGGCTGATGCGTCTCGACATCCAATCTCATACGATATGGTTCACCGTTGCGGTCATCACGTGTGAACAAGACCGGTGTTTGTTATTTTTTTTTTACGCCGTGCGCCCTTGCGTGACTTGCGAGGCACACAAGAGGAACAACACGCCACTGACTTTGGTTAGGTAAGCAATCATCAAATGCTGAGCAGACAAGCGTCTGTTTCCGCTGTCTCGGCAGTGAAGCAAGGTTATATTGCGACAACCTAGAAAATTTTGATGTGTGCATGTTTGAATATGCAGGGGATGAGGTGAGCGAATGAAGTCAACATCGCAGCAGTTCTTCTTCTGTCTTGGCGTCTGGCGCAGTACGATTACAGCGCATGTCATAGTAGCGACTAACAGCGCTCACCGAGGATGAAGTCAACTGATATTCAAACATATGGAGCGAGTGGAAATCAACTAGCAGTTAGCTGGTCCGCATCTGGTTCCCGCGTGAGCCTCAGCTTTAGTGACATTAGCTAGACGGTCTATGGTGACGAGGGAGATTTCATATGGAAATCACAAGATTATTAGATAACCTGCTGTGACACAGTTGCTAAAGTCTGCCTTTGGACCAGTAGTATCTGGAGCAATGCCGTGATGAGTGAAATGATCGATGCACTGTGACTCTGATGGGAGTACAAGTGGCTCGCACGCATGTGGTTCATCCCAGGTAAATTAATCCCGAAGATGAAGTTGAGCGACACGACATGTATAATGGTGTCATCGTAGAGGCTATACTGCCTGCGTGCCACTTCATCGTCGCTCAAGATCAGTGAATGAGGGAAACACGCCGAGCAGATTATTTAGTCAATGGGAATAGCCGGACTCCGACGATGTGATTTCGTATTCGCCCGCCACAGCAATGGGTCGATTTTCGGCTGTATTCGTAATTGCAAACACCGCTGTGGACATTGTGAGACCACGCGGTGAAGACCTGAAGTACGTAGAATTCTGATACATTAGGTATTTGAATGTTTTTTGACCGTGGAGCTGACTGTTATAATGATTTATGATATGTAATGGTGCCCGCAAAGCTGGCGAAAACCCTCCAGGATACCGACCTCCAATCGGATTGCCAGACACCAGCGGGATCTGGTTGCATGCGAGTGGGCCTTGGTCCGCGACCTCGTGCATCGTATCCTCCAAGGTAGGCATTCTTAGGTTCGCCGTGAGCTGGCAGACGGCGGCGTCTGTTGTTCGGATTTGCCCCAACTCCATAGTGTGTTTCTGTGTGCGTGGCTCCAGACCCGGTACACAAGCCGAATCTATATAGCGTCTCAGTGCATGACCTCCTGCCAACGGCTCTCCCCTAAATGTTGGGGTCAACTTCTTACTGTGAGGGGTCGCTGCGCCGTGGTATAACATGTAACAGGAGTGGATTCCCCTATATGTATATACCATTTGGATCCTTCGTAGTTTGACATGCTTGTTTTGGACTACATTCGTTATCCATTCTTACTCATCACCACTATTCTAAAACAATGGTTGCCAGTACGAGTACGATCAAGCCTTGGCTCGTCCAGAAGTATGGGGGTACCAGTTTAGGAAAGCTGATGGACACGATATGTGGCAGCATCATTCCAGACCATGCTGAAGAACACCAGCTTGTTGTTGTTTGTTCCGCCTTATCAGGTACACTGAAAGCAAAGGGAACAACAAGTCTATTGCTGGAATGCATTACACTAGCCGAACGCGGAGCCGAAGCCCAGCAGCAGTTGATAGAATTGGTTGATGTCATCAGAAACAACCACTTGGCCGTGCTGGACTCGATTTTCGAGACACAAAAAGGCTCCGTGTTTGAAGCCTACGATATCCCAAAAACCAATATCGTTAAAGAATGTGAAGACTTGAAGAAATTCCTGTTGGCCACTCAGGTAAGCCAATGGTGAAACGACCGTAAGCAAGCAATTCACTAAGTTGTGCTGCAGATAGTGGGGGAACTATCCCCGCGTTCCAGAGATCGCGTGATTTCCTTGGGCGAGAAATTAGCATGTGTGACTATCGCGGCATGTTTGGCAAGCAAGGTGAGTTCTCGGCGGATCATGTGTGACGTTTGGTGATTATCTGTGTTAAACTAGGATTCAGGATATTCCCGCAAAAGCAGTCATATTAGACGATGTGGTGTGCGCAGCTTTTGGCGCGTCACCCGATGACCAGGCCGCTGCGTTAGACAGATTAGGGTCTAAGTTCTATCATGTCATTGCCGAAGAAATAGCCGTTCGAATCAGAGATTGTGAACCGGCAATCCCTATCGTTACAGGCAAGCTCACCCATTATGTGATCCAACACAGCAATTGCCTAACAAGGGGTAGGGTTCTTTGGTATAATGCCAAACTCACTCATTCAAACTGTTGGTCGTGGATATTCAGACTTGTGTGCGGCCATGTGCGCTGTGGCAGTAGGGGCAAAGGAGCTGCAAATTTGGAAAGAGGTTGACGGTATCTTCACCGCTGATCCCCGAAAGATCCCTTCGGCTCAACTTCTTCCATCGGTCACAGCCGATGAGGCAACGGAACTGACATATTACGGAAGTGAGGTGCGTTAAAGCCATTGCGGAACATAGTTGGCGGCGGACAACTTGTTGACGAGATTGCAGGTCATACACCCGTTAACGATGGATCAAATCCGCGAAGCGAATGTTTCACTACGCCTGAAGAACGTTTTCAAGCCGCATGCCGAAGGGACCGTAATTGATCCCAAATCGACCTCGTCTACATTTGAGCTCGGTCAGGTCACGAAGGTGGTTTCGCCGCCGGGCGTCCTTCTGAAGAACGATTTCTCGGTCGGCCGATTTGATCGCAGACGGCCAACTGCCGTGACAGTAAAGGACGATGTACTCCTAGTCCATGTGATCTGCAACAGGAACACGAAGTCAGGAGGACTCCTGATTCAAGTCTTCGACCGGCTTGAGAGGAACAACATCCCGGTCGACCTTATAGCGACAAGTGAGAGAAATGTCAGTCTTGCCGTGCATTCGCCGGGCAATTCAAGCGCCGTATTACGACTCAAAGAGGAGCTCGAGCGCTTTGGTCAAGTCGCCATCGTGAAGAACATGTCGATTGTCACAATAGTCGGTCATAAGATGAGAAGCCAGATAGGCGTGGCCAGTACGGGTTCGTCAGCAACCACTATCGTGACATATCCCACTAACGCCAGTGTAGACGAAACGCTTGCGGCATTAGCAGCCGCCAACGTCAACATCCATCTCATAAGCCAGGGAGCAAGTGAGATCAGCATATCGTGAGTGCCTCGAGGTCGTCTGGAAGAAGGGGAATCAACACCCTTGTCAACATTTACTGATGACTCGTTGCAGGCTTGTCGTCAACGCACACGATGCTACTACAGCGCTCTGCGCGATCCATCGAGACGTTCTAAAGATACCAACCATAGAAGAAAGTCAATTTCGTCGAAGTAAGCCGCAATTCATTCCTTTGCCGCGTTGGGCATCACGGTTAACAATAAATCTGTAGGAGCTTGGCTTTATTAGGGGTTGAGAAGATAGACATGCATGTAAAAACATGGACATTGGGCCTTTCTTTTTTTGCTTATCTCTTGTATATACATTGATGATTGCATATGCATATAAATGGGTGTTCGTACTGGTAAAATGAATAAATATGGGTCTCAGGGTGCCTCGGCTCATCTGGATGTCAGACAGGCCAATCAATACAACGACTTCGGCTGCTAATTGTGGAGATATGTCGACCAGGGGAGGAAGCTCGTGATTACTGATCTGCACAATAACCCTTGACAAGAGTCTGCCTTCGCCGATTTAAATCCAGCCTTGAGCAATGAAGTAGCTTAGGAACGTTCATGTGCCTGTTAATGCCTTGAGATGTGATTTTCATAAGACATCCCTCAAGGCAGCCAGTCCCCACTTGCCACCATGTCTACGAAGAGAGTCGCATTGGTCATCGGAGCATCTAGGGGTATTGGCAGACAAGTCGCTATTGATCTAGCATTGGCTGAAGATGGCTACCGCGGTAGAAAGACCCCGTCATCGTCTCATTCTAGGAGCGTTAGCTGACAAAGATGTAGTTGTTGTCGCAGCTAAGTCCACCAGCGACGCCAAGAGCGCCTCGCCTTTCCCTCCAGATCCCAACTCTCCACAGTCGACGATTAGTACCGTTGAGCGAGAGATCCGGGAGGCAGGTGGTAATGCAACTGCTATAGCTGTTGATGTCCGGAACTTCGAGAGCGTGAAGAGATGTGTGGACAAAACTGTTGAGGTAAATACCTTGAATGTCCTTTCATTTAGACAATGTATTTACAAACTAATTTAAATTCCGGGCGAGTAGATGTATGGACGGCTTGATGTGTTGGTCTATAACTCAGGGGCAATATGGTGGGCGTCTGTTGAGGACACGCCCATGAAACGCTTCCAATTGATGCAGAGAGTTAACCCCGAGGGACTTTACGGGGCAGTGCAGGCAGCCCTTCCGTACTTGAAGAAAAATGGGAATGGTCGAATCATAGTAGTCAGCCCTCCGATATACAGTCGTTTCTTCAGGGGAAAGACTGCTTACGCCATGGGCAAAGTCGGTATGAGTGTTTTGACAAAAGGCCTTGCAATGGATTTCCAAAGACAAACCCTCGACATGGCAATCACGAGTATCTGGCCGGCGGCTGTGAGTCCTAAGAATCGGTTATGACCCATTATTAGCGAGAAAACTGACAATTCGTAGGCGATTGAGTCTGCAGCAACGCGCAAGGCGACAGAGAAGGATCCCAGAGAAGTAGAAGATTTGCGTAGGCCAACAATCTTTTCGGACGCAATTCTCGCGATGCTACGAGCACCAGCTTCTAGCGTGAACGGACGGCTTGAACTTGATGAGGATTATCTTCGCAGTGACGCTGGTGTCACTGACTTTTCAAAGTACTCTGTTGTGCCGGGGGCCTCACCTCGGAGAATCATGCCAGCTCAGTTTCCCGACCTCACTGTAAAGGAGCAAGATGATGAAGGTAAAAGGATGAATAGTGCTGAGGGTAGAGCAAAGCTATAGGTTTTGCTAGATAGGAATTAGTATATCGCCGACGACAACTAAGATATATGATAGTTCTTGATATCCTTCTCATCGAGGAATATCAATTTGTTAGCTAATTACATTGAGCCGTCGCTGTCGCCACCCGGTCCTTTGATGTCCCAGAATCCAGGGAAATAATTAAAGGGGAAAATATGCGCATACGACAGGCTGGATCGTTTAGTATAGTTACTTGACGTCTACCGAATAATGCGGGATTCCCGATGTTTAACGATCCTCGCCGTAATATGACCGTCCTAGGCATGTAGAGACACAGAAAACAGTTTTGCTTAGCCGACGGGATAAATTGGTCGATTATTTTGTGATATGGCTGTTGTTGTGTATATAAGTTTCAGGTAAAGTAGCTGATTGATGCGTCTTTCATGTTTCAGATCATATCCTCTTTTACAAAGTCTCGGTGCTGCATATTTGAACTCTTTCTCTTAATCAACTAGACGATATTAGCTTTCTCGCCTATAATAACTACTAAGCTAAGGTAGTTTGGGGGATATCTTTTCGGGATAGACAGATGGACAGCGCCCAGCTACCTGGTTATCTCTGTTCATATGCATTACGGAGTTAATTCTTTTCTCGAAGCAGTGTAAATTTCCGGAAGAGACCAGGTCACTGTAGGCTTTAATCGAGAATCCAGCAAAGCCAGATGCAGATCAAATAAGTGAACTACATGACTGTGATCTGGCATTCTATCAGGATTCCCAGTACACGGTATGAAGTAAGACTTCTTCTATTACTGCACAAAGTCTAAGAGGCTCAGGCGTGAAAATATTCAGACTCCTTCTAGCTTGAGTAATGTGACAAGCTCGTCACTGTTTAACACACGCAGCCCCCACGATCATTTAAACTATTCTCCTCATCTAACCCACAATCATAAAGCGAGTGGAATATACTGGATAACTATACTATTGTTACACGTGCAATCTCTGTGCCGGCTGAATATGCAGTTCGCCTTGCACTTCGGCCGTACGAAAGGCCATTGCAGACTGTTCATGATATTACAAAGACATGCAGGCAATAATGGGTAATATTGGAAAGTGAGGTTATACAGACTTCGCTTTTTGAAATAGACCCCAGAGACTTAGGCAGTTTGGGCTGGTAGACCAGTTGTATACAGAGTCGAGTTAAGCTACCAACAGCTAAGAAGGAGTTGGTTGGTTAAGGACTCATGCAGCCCTAGTTGCTCATTATAATCAGAATTCTAAGTTCTAAGCCCAGTATCTACTGCCCTTGTTATAACTATTTCAATTTTATAACGTTTCTCAGCCTTACATTTCTTTTCCTCACGCTAATACCCATTTAGATCCCTTAGAAAATTTCAAGTAGAACAAAAACTTAACAGGCCAGATTATTAAGTAGTCTCTAATTTGCAAGACACAAATAAAGAAGTGAATTGTCCTATACATTCATAAGCGCCTTGCAACCCACTAATTTTACACACGGTTGCAAGGCTAAGTTCCAAGGAACTGGGTTTTGAGCAAGGTACTATTACCAATATTCAAGATAATTCAAGTATGCCTATTAATTGATTTTGGCATTAATGATTACAACTAAGTAATACACGGAGATATATAATCCCTAAGTCCTCTCTTCATTTTTCTTTTTTCTTTTCTGCGCTCTCTCCCAGACACATATGACGGCTCTATTCCTAAGATAGCTCGGCCTTCAGCGGCAGGTTTCGGCTGCTTGGGCCGACATAGACTGTCTTGGGGTGTTCAGATATGACCCAATTCTGAGAAACGGTGTCCCAGTTGCTCACATCGCGGCGCGTAAGCGGGGCGCGGAAGGTCACCGTCTGACCGGGATCAATGCGGATTCGGTCGAAGCCACGGAGAACGACTGGCGGGTCATCAGGTCCGCCTAGAGAAACATAGAGCTGTGGGATTTCGTCACCAGCAATGTCACCAGTATTGGTGATTGTGGCTGTGACGATGTATAACTCATCCCACAGTAGCCGGTTTCCTCCAGGAACATCGGCAAGGGCGGGTGCGGCAGGCTGAAGATCTTGAGCTTCAGCGTCAAGTGCTCCAGGAGGCAAAAAGTCCTCGGCAGCTTGCCCGTATAATGGATCCGCAGAAGCGTCCTTGAGAGATGATGTCGTATTCAAGAATGGGTAAATGAATTCCCTGATATATCGAATGGAGCTGGGGAAGGCATAATCTTCAATATCTGTAGAGAAGTTGCCAAATGTCGGTGCCTCTGCAGTCTTGCCCGTTGTGGGTTTGTATTCGCCAGCGTTGGTCTTTTCCACCTTGATATCAGCATATTTGAAGCTGGTGTACGATAGACCAAAACCAAACTCGAAGATTGGCTTGATACCGGCCTTGTCTAGGGCACGGTAGTCGATGAAGCTACCTTCCGTATAGTCTTGCTGTGGTGGGCCATTGCCGTTATTTGGCTCGTATAGTACCTCTGCACCGTAATCTTCGCGGTTGGCAGCCCAGGTGAAAGGTGTACGGGCAGCAGGATTTACTTTTCCGTATAGAACGTCAACTATGCCGCGGCCACTTTCTTGGCCGGGCAAACCAGCCCATAAGATGGCAGTGACATTAGGAGAGTCATACCAGTCAGTAACGAGAGTAGGGCCAACAGAATGAATAATAACGATTGTGTTGTTGCACACGGACGACACATTCTTGATCAGCTCATCGCCACTGCCCCACAGGGTTAGATTCTTTCGGTCTCCCTCATTGCCGTCAACCTCGATGAACCCTTCGCCTGAGTCGGCATTGACAAAAACCAAGGCTGTTACGCCATCTTGCTTGACGAGGGACTCGATGGTGTCAGCGGCATAGTTATCCAACACTGCCTCGAGGCGAGTATGATCATCAATTGCCTTTTGATTGAGTGCATCTAGAGGAGTGTTCAAGTAGGGGAAGTTTGCTGTGCCAGAGCCCCATCCCATAGCAAGAGTGCCCTTGTTACAGCCCCGGTCAGCGCAGCCGTTGGGCCCCAGAGGGTTCGGGCCAGCATCTTCACCAATTACGGCAAGAAATTTTGGTTTCTTGAGGGGTAAAGCACCTTCGTTCTTCAACAAAACAGTTGACTTGCCCGCAATCTCTCTGATGAGGTTCCCGTGATCAGCTCGCACGTCAACATGCCAATTGACCTGCTGAAAGCCATCTTGGACGCCTGCGTGGAGGTAGCCGTATGTATCCAATGTCCAAGAATCCATATTAACGGGCTCTAGTCCTTCAACAGTTTGCCCGACTTTGAAGAAGGCTGCCATAATTCTCATAGCCATGTCGTCAATACGATACGCAGGAACAGTCCCATTTAGAACAGCGACAGCTATACAAAAGATCATACATTAGTATTCAAAAACAGAGGTGGAATGTCATCGGGAGCATATCCATATCACTAAACGTGAATATGGGGAAATGGGGAAACACGTACTGAGATTAGCTCCCCAGAAGGACAGTCCAGTTTGAAATTCCGTATCGCCTGGCATACTCATGTCCATGCCAGCCACAGCGGCAGATACACCTGCGTGATGAGCTTGCCAGTCGCTCATGACAAAACCTTGAAACCCCAACTCGCCCTTGAGAAGACCGTTCAGTGTTTTCGAGTTCTGGCAACCATAGCTGTTGTTGATTTGTTGATACGAGCACATAACCGATCCGACACCTGCCCTCACCGCATCCACAAACGGCCAGAGGTACGTCTCGTGCATGGTCTTATCGTCAATATTGGAAGAGAGGGTCTCTGAGATGTTGTAACCTCTACCGACAGATTCTCCAACCTGGCGGAAGTGTTCTTTTACTCATATCAGCTTTTTAGTTCATACAGCGTATACTGGTATCATACCTTGTTCGTTTAAGATGAAGTGCTTTGCGCAGGCGACAACGCCAGCATCTTGGATACCCTTCACGCTCTCGGCCATGGCAACACCGGTGAGATACGGATCAGGTGAAAAGCCCTCCCAATTTCGCCCGCCCTCCGGCGCGCGGCCGAGTGGCCCGGCGACAGGGCCTAGCACAACGTTGACACCTTTTCCCCTGTGCTCTTCACCTATCGCTTTACCTCGAAGATACATCAGACTTCTGTCGAAGGTAGCGGCGACAGTTTGACCGGAGCTAAAAGCAGACGCAAAATCGGCAAATCGAATGCCGAGCGGAGAGTCTTGCATGCAGAGTTGGCGGAGGCCAAGTCGCGGAATGCCACCAACCTCGCCGACACATTGCCCGCTTTCCCATCTACGCAAGAGGTAAAGTCAGCGACAAATTGAGCTTCTGGAATTCGCTGCTTACCCAATGCCTGTCGTCAGGTTGACTTTCTCGGCAAGTGTCAATTGTGATACGAAATCCCGGGCCTTCGCGTGGGCCTCCTCCCAGCCCACCGCCTTTGGATTCATCCATGGCGATGGATAATGCGGCTCGGAGTAAGCAAGCTCATTACTAGGATAGTCTTGCTGTTGCGCGTGAGATTAGCTGCTATACTTTCAAAATTTGATCTAGATGACTGCTGGAGTATTAAGAGGAAAGGACAACGGGGTCAATTGAGTGCCAATTTCTCATTCATTTGATTTGAGAGCTGACTTCGTTCTTGATACCCGCACTTGGAGCGTTCTGAAGATAACAGCTAATTGGGTAAAGTGTGACACAAGCGACGCGTCGCAGGTAGACTTGCGCTTTGTCATGGGTAATTGTTTGAGGAATAGTTTAATGCTCAAAAGGAAAAGTTCGGGCTTCAAGAGTACACTGAAATTCGAAGGGGGCGGACGTACCGAGGCAGCAGCAGCGCTGCACGCAGCGGCCAGCAAGGCGCCGAATGTAGAAGTTCGCATCGCGTCACCTCAATGTGATCGGCCTTGTCGTCGTGGTGTAACTCAAAGCCTGGCTAGACGATTATGTGTAGCCAGTGCTCTACCTAAGGACGGTGAGACAGACGTTGAGACAAGGTAGAGAGGTAAACGCGTCGAAGGGAATGTGGGCTACCGAGCAGTTCTTATATGCAGCGTACCAAGGCTGCCATTACGTAGCTACCAGAGCCGCCAAAGTAGCGCGGGTGTGTGCGCGTTGATTATCGCTGGGACGATTTCCATGTAAATTCCGCATCTCTTGCAGCTTCGTCCAGGGTCTCGGAAGCAGAGACAACGTTCAGATTGGTCAGATGATTGCGAAGCCCCAGTTCTCTCTCGGTCAGGTTCAAGGTCACGATCCGATCGAGACTAGATGCTTGCAATCCCTGTAGGCAGTGCCGTATGGCTTACCGACGAGAAAGCCGGCAAAGTCCAGTACCGTCACTGATGGATGATGAGCAACAAAAGCAACATTAGGGCGTTGCGGCCCCATTCTTGGCCATGTGGGCAGTAGCATTGTGGGCTTCCGGTTACGGATATCGTGAGGAGTAAACAACACCCAGAAACACCGTAGATCATGTTACTAACACATTGTGCACTACAGAGTGGAGTGTGAATGTTCTTGCCCCTGTCAAGTTCTCCGCACTCTCCTCCACAACGCCCCGGGTCTGCCCATGTCTGCCCATGTCTGCCTAGTTCGCGGAGGAGATGGTCTGGAGATGGGTTACGGCAAGTACACGCAGGCTAGCAAGCCTCGGACTGTTTCTTCAATCGCTACTTGCCTATCTCTGAATCTTCTCAATGCCTACGGTACACTCACCAGGCTCGCCAGGCAAAGTAGACTGACTGGTGGATTATGTAGGGAACCACGAGTTTGGCCACGAGTCCGACTGAATGGAGGGACTAAAGAGACTTGGAAGCGTCCGCTACCAGTAGGCTGTGTGCTGGGTGCGTTGGAGACGATTCGGGGTAGGTAGGTTACATTGACAAATCGCTGGGACGACGAACCAAAGCACAGCAGCAGAGGGCCAAGCCCTGGTCGCAGTCAGAAGGCAGTCAGAATGCAGTTTCTTTCCCATCATCTGATGCTTATCCCACAACGCCCTGCTCTGGCCTCGCTCTGGCCTCGCCATCCCCTGTCGCAAGGTACCGGTAGACCAAAGGAGCCGAGGTGTCTCTGTCTGCCATATCGTCTGCACGATCGGTAGTGCCCCGAACAAAGCTTGCAAGGTGCCTGCCGAGCCTGCTTAGAAAGGCAAAGTCGAAGAAGACGGGCCGATGACGAATGTTGGTTTGATTTCTGGTGCTGTGGCGAGCTGGAAATTCCGTCTCTGTCCGCACATTTGCGGTGGGTCCCGGAAGCAATCCCCTGGCAGCAAACCCTGGCAGGCGTCATTGGCCCTAGGTACTTAGTTCCCCGCCCCTGCCCGCCCCTGTTCCTCAGAACTCTCTCCCTACTCCCTAGAGATTCTTTTATTTAACTCTCGTCTAACTTCATTGACAATCAATCTCATCAGTAGGTTGAAAAGCCAAGGTCTGTATTCTCTGTAATAAATTCACCGACCACAATGGGCAGTGTAGGTATCCTAGAGGACAGCTCGTTGGCGGAAGGTGCTTACATTATTATCGTGGTTGCAGGTGGCTTGAGGAAGTCGTAATTAAAGTACATGTTAATCGGCACTTACTAATTCCCGCTTTTGCGGGGTAGTAGTGGGTGTGCACCATTAAGGTACTAGCTAGGTACTTACTTACATGTACCTGCTATGTAAATGCTGCATACAAGGGGTAAGATGAGTCCTAATTGATGCCGCCTTGCACTAACTTTTGATTACATCATGGAACCCGCATGGTACCTATTAGCACTGTCGATACTACTATCACTAAGAAAGGTACAATTCTACTCAAAGATCAATGTACTTACCTGCAGGTAGGTACTCCGTACTTACAAGTGTTAAATTCATTTCGGTGATTTTGTAGATTCCCCTCAGACTGCACCCAAGCATGACATTTTGCTCGTGTTTTTTTCTCTCCTAATGCCTGCTCTCCACTCAAGCGTAAATCTTTCATTGCTCTCTTCTCAACTATCCTACCGGTAGTACATACTTGAGGTGTTCCATCTCGTAGATGAGAATTCTTCTCGGCGGTGAAAACATGTGATGGCCATGTTACATTTTTGCACCTGTGCCAATGGTTGGACCGTGATGCAGCAATCTGACATGCATTGTCACGGCGCGAGTCCTCCAGAATTGCGCGAGGTAAGACATGTTCTCGTATCAACTCATGGGCAAACGACACCAACTGTCTTGTCATGGTAATGTTACTCTCGTATTCCCTTGCACTCAAGAAAATATTGCACCGAGCTTACTACCTCATCCGTAGCTCGCGCGACAGATAGTTACATTGTTATTCTAATATTCATAATAGCCCGACCACAACGGATAATAATGCCACCAACTCCAATTCATGGAATCGGCTAGAAAAAAACAAGATCATCTCACCATTCAGGCCTGTTCTCACCCTTTGTAAACCTCGGCCTCAGTGTCCCAGCTACGCTAGACTAGCCTCACCAGCTACTATAGGAATAGATCCACGCAATCTGATCTATTTAGTTTCGCCGAAGGACCCAAAGCCAAGGTTCTACAGTTGGAGAGGCGAGGGGAGGCAAGGCTCGATGGAAAACAATGCGGGGGAAAATGATCCACCTCCCCTCAAACTAACCCCCAGCCTCGACATGGCAGTTTGTTAACGTTACACAGCCTTCCGATGTTCCCAGCAATCTAAACAAGGCCGTTTTGACCACTGTGTTTGGCGAGCGGCTAACGGGTATCCTCTTCCTAGGCGCACCTGCATTGAAGAAGCAGTTCGATTCTCTTTAATATCACTAAGTAGTGCCCAAGAGGCGCGTCACTGAATCGAACCTTTGGTTTGCGTTAGTCTCAGGTGGCCAACCGTCTAAGGGTAAGATATTGATCTCACCAAACCATGGCAGAGAACCGAGCATTTCAAATTCTCATTTCCCCACTTTTCAACCAATCTTACTATATCTACCCCTTGGAGAAAGCTGCCCTTCTCATCGTCGGAGTGTTGCTATCTTAGCACTAGCTTCCCAACTTCGTCGAATCTCGTCCTTTAGCTCCTGGAGAACCGGCTCGATAAACGTAGGTCTAATTAATGCTGCTGTCTGTCGCACGAGTTTCTTGGAGGCCATGAAGCTCCCGACCGGCGTATCTGTGCCTTTCCAATCTGCAAAGCGTTCAAAGATCATAGCTATATCAAATTCGCACACACTTGCGAAAGGGTGCCAGAAATTGTCTTGCTTGTACGTGATGCTTTGTTTCAGGCTTTGACCGTCCCCACCTACCTCCTCGTACCGATATACAAGCCAGAGCGACTTTTCAGGCTTCATGACATCAACAACAAGATGGTATCCGGTGGAACGGTGAGTAGCCTGTCGTCCGTTGTATTTAGTGACAACTTTACGATTGAAAATTTCACCAATCTCATAGACGTAACGCGGAAAATATTTGCCCTTTGGCATAGCACTGTTTCGCTGGAGCTCGAGAATGGTCGGATAGTTCAGCCAATCGTCTCTTTTCCAGAAATCCGAGATGAGCCTCTCGTCTTTTCGGCTTTGACAAAGAAGATACGACCACATATGAACACAGGCCCTCTGGACTGTATAACAAGCATCTTCACACTTGTCTTTCTCTGAGAAGAGCTGCATGAGAAACAGGGTGTCTTCGTTCATTCTCAAGCTCACAAGGTCTTCCTGGCGTTGGAAGTTAGTCTGGCTCAATATCTCATACTGGCCTTCTTCCTCAGCTGCTACATCCTTGGATATACTCTCAGGAGTCGCAGCGGATTGTGACAGCTTCTCGTACTCTTTCTCGACTAGGTTTATTCGTTCCTCCAACGGGGCTATTCTTTTGTCAATGACATCTAAATGCTCAACAAGTCGATTTAATTCTGAGGCGTGATCCGTCTCTTCGCCCTGTCTTTTGATTTCCTGGCTTTTTGATTCGGGGCTCTGCATATTTTCAGACTTATCGACCTGTTGATCTGTTTGAGTGGCTGCTGGCTGCATAGAAATTTGCTTGTCCCGAGGAAGTGAATGTATTTGGCTCTGTGGGCTACTAGACTTTGCCGCTTGCGTTTCTTGCGATGTTTTTATGTGGCGTTGCAAACTTTGTTCCAGCGATTCGAGACGTTGCTGGTGGTTCTGCATGATTGCTGTAATCTGAGCGGGACTTAGCCCATGATCCGTTCTTTGTTCAAGTACCGCAACACGCGAGCTCAACTATAAACCCCTTGGTCAGCCGATATGCCCTTTTGATATTGAGCTCAGATGAGTATGACTTACTTGCTCATTTGCTTTATCCAAGCCACCCATGCGGTCATTATGTTTCGCTACGCACACATCGTGATCTCTAAGATGGCCATCATGCACTCGTAGGCGAGCATTGTGCTCTCCGAAGAGCCTATCATGCGCTCCCAGACGTGTACTATGATCACTTAAGTGCCTTTCGTGAGCTTGCAGGCGCGTATCATGCTCCCCTATACGTCTCTCGTGCTCTGTCAAATGCCTATCGTGTGTGGATAAACGGGCATCATTTTCTCCCAAACGCCTATCATGCTCCGCCAAGCTGGCAAAGCTTCTTGTCACTTGTGCTTTCAGATCCTCAATGGCGCTCTTCGCCTGGTCATTAGAACCACCCAGCGGACCTGGGCGCCAAGCGAGCTGACTAGGTCGGGTAGAATCGCGACCCTGGCTTGCGCGGAACTCCTGGCCCAGGTTTCCCCACGCCTCGATGATGCTATTTTGGCGCGTCATGGCTCCTGACAAGGAGTCAAGAGTCTCGCCGTGTTTCTCAACGCGAGGAATGACTCTATCGCGTATCTCACGCACCGCATCAATTGCCATATCCTCGGCATCTTCAAGTGATTGGACGCGTCCCTCTATGGACTGGACCCGCTCCTGCAGAAGACCAATTTGGTTGTTCTGTCGTTCAAAACTTGCCGCAACCTGTCTTTGATAATCCCGGAACATGTCAATCGTCACGACGGCTACACCAACCTGAGGTGCTTGTAGGCCGCCCATAGAGCCAGGTGGGGGATATGGCGGCCGTCGATTTTCGGCTTCATCCACATGTAACCCTGACGGAGAGAAGAAATCGGCGAAATTTCGCTTTGCGCCCTGCGGTGTTGCCACACGCTGCGCCATAGTTGTTGATATGTCAATAAACGATAATGCGAGGCTATGGAAAGACGCTTTGTCCAGTGAATGCTGTTTGCATAATGATATCGTCTACGCCAATACACGCTGGAAAGATAAAATGCGATGTGGCCGGTCTCCGGCACGTTGCAGTTGCTGCTGGCGGAAACAACGAAAAAGGAGAGTAAATCAAATTAGATCGAATGACTGAATAACCTAAAGGCGGCAGTTCGGATGCGTGGGAGATGGAGTGATTGTGGTGCATTGAGAAGAAGGGGCGAGCACATGCATGAAGTGTAGGAGGTACTGCAAGTCAGTAAGTAAGTAAGTGAATGAGTAAGGACAAGTGAGAGAGTCGTATCGAGTACCGCCCTCGGCCTCCACTAGACTGCCGTTACATGCAGTCAGAGGTGATCTCTCTCCTGGTCCGTCATACGGTACCACTGTGTCGAGCTGGCTGTGCGATGTGGTGCAGAGATATGGCGGTTGTTGGTGGGTGGTAATGAATTGGAGACGCCAAGGAAGGGTGGCAGGATGGAAGACCACAGAAGACGGCTGATATTACAGCAAAGGAGGACTGGGTGTCTAGATGCAGGATGCGGCCGATCCAGCTCTCCAGGCAACTGACTTTCTGCGGTCGGTACACGTACACTAACTATTATGGCCCTATGGCATGATTACATAGTAAAAAGACGGCGCGAGACTGAGACGGACCGACGATGATCGATTGGTTGGACGGGGGCAGTTGTTTGACGGCGCAGAGTGATGGCTGGTGACATGCAACCAATATCAGCGAGGATGATGCGCTCACGCCTTCACAGATTGACCAAGCAAGCCAACCAGTCAATCAATGTTTTCGTTCTCAGTGTGGCTGCAACACTAAGCAGGGATGGATGACGGTTGGGTGTGCGAGACAGAAGGATCTGCGAGGATGAGATGGGAACGAGATGGGACAGAGACGGGAGAGTTGAGTTGTATTATGGCCCCAGCACAGTACAAACAGTCCAGCACTCGACAGCCTGCCACCGAAGATACGGCGTTCCCGGATGAACAGGACTTGAGACGGGGCAGGATAGGATAACACTAAGCATAGATATCTGCTGGGAATTCAGAGAGGATGAAGGGGGCGAAAGAAGAGAATAAGATATTTAGAAAGCGACGTAAGCGCATACCTACATATAATTAGTTCTCGGGAAAGTGAAGCATTGGCGTGTTCGTTGGTAGATATGTACAGTGCCATATGGATCCTACATACTGTATCCAGTTCCCGTCATCCTAGTGTCTCAGGCAGGAGAAGAAGGTAACCAAGATACAGACACACAGTAGTGTGTCTATGGAAATCAAGCAAAGCATCCGATAATTATCAAGGGCCTTCCCTCCCTCCTGCTACGTAAAGGCATCTTGGGTGGTGAACGGGAGCATCACCTGCGTGCGTGGGAGCCATTGGGTCGCAAGGTTGCACGACATCGCGCATATTGGAGCCATAATTATTGGACTCCTCCTTACTACGTAAGTATATTATAGATTAACCAAAAAGGACCTAAGCTGAGGGCAACGTTGAGATACATTTCGGGGGCCGGGAATAGATAGACTCGGCACTGCTACCCGCTTACTTACTTACATAATACATAATATCGAGTTGGGTTTTGTTAGTCATTCGCAGCGCGCTAAATGTGCTGGAATCGCCATGACTTACAATAAACGCGATTGGACACTAAAAATCACATACTCTTCGTTGACGATTATATAATGACTAATCCCTATACACCGCAAACTACCAAAATATCAAGAAATCATATTCAATGCAGTTGCAGGTCAATGTCCATCCACGTGCTTGCGCCCCAAATTGACCCGTCATTTCCGCTAAATTACTCTAAGCCAACACCTATGACAATAAACGACGCCAGACCGTCACAAAGCGCGACAGCCGCTGTTTTCTGCTAATGTCTCATCACAATCAACAGCCTCGTCCCCAGGCTCTGCTTGCCAGCTCGATTGATATCTCCGGTCGCATAGCAGCTTGCGAGTCGTCCTCCTAGTCTCTCAAGTCAAAATAGAGAGAAAGATTTATTCCTAGGTGCTTTTTCAACACAAGAAAGTCTTATAATAACATTAATCAAGTAGTACAGCTGACCTAGATAGGTACACCGAATAGCCAATCCAGTGGCCAGTTCTCATGCGAACAACCCGGCATAAACGCCACTTTCACGATCGTGCGCTGGCTGAAATCACAGTCTGTTTGAAGCGGAATCAGCGATTGGCCTAATCATATGGCGTGGATATAATCAATTCACCTGCTAGAATTTTTAAATAAAACTAGACTAGATCAAGGAGTAGAGTAAAAGAAAAAGATAGCGATAGTATAGCCGAATAGATAATTACATGCATGTATGAAAATAAACCTACACAAATTGGCAGCATCACCGAGAGAATATTTACTCCAACAATGCTTCCCTCTTCACCTTTGTAATAATTAGACAGTAAGGTGATTCTTCATACCAAGCTACAAACAAGTAACTTAGTGGTCCTATATGTTCCTTGCCAGGGCTGCAGCCATGGTGGGTCGTGTATAACAATTGTTGCTTCACGAAGATTTTGAAATTTTCGTGCCTAGGCCAGAGTTATGTACAGAAAGCTTCGTTGTTGTAGCCCTAGGGTCTGCACGAAATCTCATATACTAGTTATCTCTCGCATATAGAAAAAAATTATGTGTAGATCGTTGCTGTCGTGCAAAGTTCTGATTGTCCCCATAGGTTAGTCACCAACTAGAGGTTTTCTTAATTCTTACTCAAAGGAATTCACATATACTAGAGGCTTATTTCTCGGCCTTGGTTGACTGGATTGTATAGTGTATGTGATCTAAAATAAGGGTAGTTCTTCTCCAGCTGAGTCTGTAAGGAGCACAAGATTTGATATCGTGGATTGCTACGTTGATCTGCTACATCAAGACAGCAAGCTCTCAAATTTAGACGGAAGAGTGTCAAGGAGTATAGAGAAAGATGCCCCTTATTGGTATCACTAATATCGCTTTTGAACCTCTTTTCTCCCCAGTTCTCCCTACTCAAGAGAGAATTATGGGACTATTACCGGTACCTGGGACGCCGCTTGTCTTAATTACGAGGTAAATTTAATTTTACATTGAAAACTGTCAAGTTTAGGGATACTCGGTATGTAATGTGAAATACCTGCACGCTTATATAATGACTGGTTTCACCACAAGGCCTGGGTTGGATTTGGACTGACCGGAATCGATGGATACTACATTGGTAATAACACATAACTGTCCCAGATCAAAATGACAGACAATTTTATAAGCACTTTGTCGGTGAAGGCGTTCTAAACTGCAGGTTGACGCCAAGCATGCTACTTGGGGGCTGGCTCTAGTCGAACCCCGCCAGCCTTGGTACTAATGCTAGAAATACACACTGGGTAAATAGGTATGATACAGTGACACCGTGGGGTCAATCCAAGAGAACGGGGTTCATTTCCGCCTATTGCCGAGATAAACGTGTTGCCGAACAGGGGTCAGCACTGAATGTAACATACTTCGTACATGTAATCAATATACACCGCTCAATGCGTTGGGGGTAACAAAGGCATAACAAAACCTGCCTGCCTAGGATCGGTCAAAATGCAAATATAATCCTTCCCCATGGACTAAGAGAACATGGACTAAATCGCCAATTACTTTAAGTGATAAAGTACTTACTTTTCAAACCTCATTGCGACTTAATGGCTCAGGTGAAGGTTAATTATGTCTATGTAACAGGCTCCCTCATCTCATCTATGGAAGAGTTCGCTTGAATACAACGCTCATATACTTATATTTTAGCAGAGTGGATAGAATTAGTCGATGACGGAAGGGGCTTCTGTACGAACGCAGTAAAGTGTTGTATGTTCGCTTGTGGTATATATATATATGTTACTGTTCAAGCTGATTATCAACCAGCTGTACAGGTCAGCTTTTCCAACTTCAAAATTTGCCCGTTTTAAGTGGAGGACGACTTTCGCTATATTCTATGATCCTTCTACTGCCAATGTCTACGTCCAGTTTTAAGTTTTATTAGACCTGCTCTAAGTGCCTTAGCCTCATTGTTTCTTTGGGCTGTCTCTTCCATAAAATAATTTTTCGTGGTTTATAATCTAGCTGGCTTGTGTTAGAGACTGGATATTAATGAATTAATTAGATTGTTGTATCGTAGATAAGATACTGGCTGGCAGTGCCTAGTCTCATTGTGAAAACTCATATGTTCCCACTAGTACCTAAACGTTATTTAAGTAAGAATGTCCTCAGGTCTTGACATATAATAGCAAACGCGAATATTAGACTAAAGCAATGCCAGAGAATATCTCTCCTTTACGACTTCGTCTCCTGTTATCTTGCTACACGCTGACAGCGCTGAACACCTTGTACGCATGCTGTCTCACTTTTCAATACGAGGATGCATGTTTTATTAGGGGGACTTTTGCAAGGCATGCGCCGGTAGCCGTAGGCGATCTGCATGATCAGCCGTACGCGCGTGTAACAAGATGCAACCAACAAACTTAAAGATGAATTTATTTGATCGAAGTGCTATCAGAGTCGCAGAATACGGTAAGCTGATGACTTCTACCGTTGCTCAAGGGTCTTTCCAATCTTCTGGTAGGAAAAGCCGAAGCTATATACAGTAATGATGTCTTTATTGCATTACAGCCTTATGGTTATTTTACAGCCTCACGCTGAGTGCAAACTAGGAGATGTTTGAAGCTCTTCACGTTATAATATAAATTCATGAGTCGCTTATCATAACAACTGGGATTATTCCTATGATTTTAAGTAATTGGCTTACACACAATCAGGAAAACATTTCGAAGATGTTCAGGTGTCACATCGATTGGTTGCTGCATAAAATTTCCGAAAGACTAAAAGCTAACACCTCTATATGCAGGCGGAAGCAAATGAAGCCAACTTCCTGGAGAGCTTGGATTGTGTACCATGAACATAGTTGATCCCTTGTTACGTGTGACTCTTTAAAGGACACGCTTGATGGCCCCAACACTCTTCTGTGTCTTCAACATAGTAGTTGCAGCGCCGTCGTTCCCCCTTAACCCCACCTTCCTCAAGTACGTTCACCCAGATCATAATTTCTGTGTCGATAAAGAGAGCCGTACTTGTTCTCGTATTGTGTTCTACTCTCTCTTGACGATAGAACGGTCGAGCGGTTCGTACGGAGGAGGAACAGCTCGCTTCCCGTTGCTTGTAATGGGTATTCTTCTTGATGCCTCGTATGGCCATGCAGGGAGCAGTCTTTTCTCCACGGTATCTTGAGAATTGGCTACCGGGGCAGCGGTGGTAAAGCCAATTAGGGCCACTAAGGCGATTTGGAAGAGCTCGAAACGCATGTTGCTTTTGGTAGTGTCAGATGAATAAATAATTGTGATGGGAGTAGGCAAGGTTGTGTGATGAAGATAAGTTTGTGGCTTGACATCTATCGGGGGGTGTTTGGGGGTTATTTATATTTTTGCATTCTATCTTACTCCTGCTTTGGAGCTGTATCTGGGCGGGTAGCTGGCGTTAAACAAACTATGTATCCTTACTCCACGCCTTTCGCTTCTTCCGGCCTCGCAGGCCTCTTTTTCTATGATGTGGAGCCGTTTGGCTTTGGCGAGGAAGCTGTCACCAATACAAGAGTAACTAGCTTTAATCATCTAAGCATCGCAAGTACACACTCACCATACGAGAACTATCAACCGGAGGCATTAGAAGATAAGCATGTAGAAAAGGGGGCTTTACGTCTACTCTCTGGTGAATTTTAAGATGAAATACGATATTACTGACCGAAGCCTATGCCCTCAAGGCCTGTTAGCGAGTTTGTAACAAGGAAGTAATGAATCTACACGATTTAGCTAGAGCGCATATCTTGTTTGCGATCTAGTGATCTCTGTAGAAGAATATTATTCATCACCAGTAGTTCGATTTTACGAGTGATATACGGAATCCGGTTATCATGTTGCCTGCACGGTAACCAACAAAGCTAACCTACAACGGATCTATTATTGTTCATGTTGGGACATAATAAGCGAAAATAACACTTGAGATACAGACTGATAATCAGAAGGCCTGCATTGTGATGGGGCTGAGTGACCAGGGTTGTGCGCTAGATCAATTATCTTGGCCAACCACGAGAAGCTTTGACCGCTGTTGAGCATATCGCTTTCAGCTCAGTTTCTTATAGAGGGAACTCGACAATCATCTCGTCACTCAATTGGTAGCAGGCTCATGTAGGTCACGCGATGAGCGGAAAGCGAACTGAATGCATCGCCATCAACACTCCGTAGTACCTTTCCCCTCAAGTTGACGCTAGATCCATAGGACTTCAAAGGACACTGGAAAGAAGGGATCCGTACCAATAAGTTCAGAGAGTTGCTGACAGTGCCTAAACGAAGCTCTAACAATGACCCGATCCTACCAATTCGAGATAGCCCCATCTGAACCGTAGCTCGTCAGCGACCAAAATCAAGACGAGGGAACGGTTTATCAGCAGCTATGAACAACATTGATTTGGAATGGATATCACAACATGACTTTTTGACTAGAGCTCAGGTGGCTTCATGCTGTTCAACCGATTAGTATAGACGTGCGGCCAACATCGCAATTGCTCCATCTCTTCACATCCATCTCAAGACAAACAAGTATTATTATTTACTTCCTTCATCATCTTTAATATGGATCATCAATTACACCCTACCCTATACGATGGTAAGGATTTACAGCTAGAGGTTAACCAGAGTGACCCGCCTGACCAGGAGTCAAGGGGGCTCCTCACTAATCTGCATAGGAGAAACCAAACCATCCCGAGACTGCAGTGGAAGACAAGATCGGGGATGATAACCTTAACCATCCTGAACCTCATTTTGTTCAGCATCTCTATTGTATTGTTTGGAGTGACATGGTATAGCCATAGCTCCACTGTGAAAAATGCCGAACTCAGGCGTGTCTCTGTATACAGTAAGGTCCCTCAATACATTTTCCACCAACCAATATCACTCCATCTGACAGACCAGGTCCTGTATATGATTCGATAGAACTTGGACTCCATCAGATCCAAGTGAATGGAACGTTCTACCCACCAGATCAACCCTCGATAGCACGACAAATGCCCAACCCAGAGGCGGACAGCGTATGGGAGGATTATGAGCTAGTCCGCCCGGTGCGGCTCACAAAGTCCCAGATAAGACAGATGGGAAAGGATCCTTTGAAGGTGTCGAAATATGAAGATAAACATTGGGGTTTTGGCGACGATGCCTATGTAGGCGACTTGGATGTTTTTCACCAGCTGCATTGCTTGAACACGCTGCGCCAGTATGCCTATGCCGAATACTATAATCTGACGGCGATCGACGCAAGTGATGGGAACTCGGTTATGGCTCTACATGTCAATCACTGTGTCGATATACTCTTTCAGGAGATCCAGTGCTCTGGAAATGTTGGGTTTATTACTTCCGGTTGGGTTGAGAACCAGCGTTACCCGCAGCCTGATATGTCAGTATTCCTTTCCTTCATTTGACGCTTTTCTTTCTTGTAGCAGTGCTACATCAAGAAGGGAACCTTATTAGCTCACTACTGGATAGGTCTATCAATCGCAAATGTGTCGTATTTGAGAATGTGGTCGCCTGGCGTAATGCTCACTCTGTTGATGTTGACAAGTATAGGAAAATAATGGCAGAGCCATAGCGAATATTAAGATGCGGGGGAATTAGTAAAGATCTTTCTAGGAAAAGATGCCATGTTTGAAACGGTCCCAAGCACTGAGCAATCACCTAGGCTTCTCAAAGCCTAACGCCTCCGAACCCAAGAACGTGCCATGGGGCGCAGCATCCTACTACATTTCTCTTAACTCCGAACATCCCCATGGCCATTGTAGGACGGGCTCATAAAAACACTCAGCTGTCCCAGCGTTCGCAAGAGGGGCCCCGGTGTTGGGAATGGGTTACCGAGTGATGGTCATAAATATGTATAATAATGTGCTGATGCATATGCCCAGTGCTATGATATAAGAATGGCTGTATTCTTATGTAAAATATCAATGTGATTCATAGGAATGATATATTCTTTTTACTTGCCCGCTCTAAGCTAGACGGCGCACACGTGTTATCTGAGACAGTGTCACAGTACAGTACTATATAGTGAGTGCAGAGACGTCAAGCCCTCGACTTGATAACTCGTCGTTACCTTTTGGTAGCGTAGTGGCATAGGTACTGCACTCCTTATGTCGTTCCGTGACAGACAGTTACTGCGCCATGAGTATCATTTGCCAGTATCAATAGGTATCGCGACGGCAATGCTTTAACGCCTATTACAATGAAAAGGGTCTTTGTGTGCTGGCTAGTAAATTTTACCAGTAACTAATGGGTCAAGGCTCTGTTCATGGCAATATGTAGATGTGGCCATATATTCGTGAGACGCAGGACAGCTAATTCTACAGCATGTCTTGGTTATATTAAAGACTAGAATGAATATCCTTTTGGAGCCTAAGTAAGCCCAGAGTTGAGAATTATTATCGGCAACACCGACCGGTCATCCTCTTGGCCACAAACCAACGATGTCATCATGTCTTTTCTAAGCCAGTGACAGTGAGTTGGCAATGTTTGGTAGCACGTGATCCTGGTAGCGGTCAGCTTTTGCCATACCAAGCTCCCTTCACATGCAGATTACACAAAACAGCCACGTCCAAGAGAGAGTTGTGAGCCTGGAGGAACGGGCTACGTTGGCAAATTGTTAGCTGCAAAGTGTCTGTCAATTGATCCCTTGAAAATTACCCCTTTCGACGTGGATAATCCAATAACAAACCAACAACCAACATGCATCAATACGTTGCATTACCTAGAGTGATCTAGGACCAACCCGTAAGAAACTGCATTTTTCCCACACAAATCGACGTCTACGACTTCAGAGTAACGTATCCAACTTTTCGTGAGTTTTCACCTCAGTACATATTGAAAGGTACAGTCTGTTCCTACGAGGCTGTCGTATCTCCCATAATATCTCACTGGTTGCATGTGGCGTACCTAGTGGCATGATCAGAAGCGTCAGGCTGCATTTCCGAGTTCAAACCCATGCTACTGTGGCTCAAGTAGATAAACTGTAGGTTCGCGCAGCCAAGTTGCCAAGAAAATCAACATTGCACATGGTCATCGCGTGGTACCATACATTCTCGGAGGTGAGCATCGATCTACCATCTCAGACCTGTACTGCACTGGAGTGCCACATCCGCCAGCCGGCCGCCTTGACTACTACTCTAGGCATGTTCTACCTATGCGGCTTGAAATATACGTATTCAATTCTGAGTCTATTGACATTGCTAGGTGTAAACTGGATGGTTCCGTGTAGATCATGTTCTGAAAATAGATTTGAGGTTGTTAGTCGTTAGCTATTGGCAAAAGCAATACTTGGATATGCTTACAAACTGTGCCGCAAAATGCAGTTATATGCACACTGCGCCGACAGGTGTGGGCACACGACGTCGGACGTTGTCCCAAAGCATCATCCTTGCATTCAGATAAGTGCTGTGCGAGCAAGGCTCTGTATGAACTGCTCTTGTTTGAATGAAGGATGGGGACACACCGAATTCCTCAAGGCTGTGGTAAAGGGGCGTAAAATGGCGGAGCTAACTGACTACTAACTTGCATAAACGAAATTAGTTCCCTCGTGTGTGCAGTAACGTGGTCGTCACAATTTATGAATTTTCTTGATTATGATCGCTCTGCCGCTAGCTTTTACTCTTTTGTGTCTTCGCCTGTCTTCTCAACCAGTGAATTTCATACAAGATGAGTTACGACCCTATCGACCATCTGGGTTTGACTTGCCCATCTGGCGGATCCTTCTACATATGTCAAGATAGCGAAATTCAATTCTTGGGCTGTTGCGATGTCGACCCCTGTGGCAGCAATGGAGGCAACTGTCCTTCATCCTCGTTACGCCCGTCGAGCTTCGAACCAAAAAGATACTCTGAAATTCAAGAGCAGAACTGTACCTCGTCCAGCAAGACGGCCGATTGGTATTCGTGCCGGGATAGCGCGCCGAGCTTCCTGGGCTGCTGCACGTTGGACGCATGTGCTAATGAGGGATGCCCGGGCGAAGATCTCGTCGGCGCTGTTTTGAGCAATGATATAAAAGATAAGGAGGCTTTTCTGAGCTCAACTACGACATCATCAACCGAAATAGCAGTGACTCCCACGTCCAACCCGACCTCTAGCCTAACTGCGGATCCGGCCTCAGGGGGGAGCTCTGGCGCGCCTGTTGCGGGCATTGTTGGAGGTGTCCTAGGCGGCTTGATCGCCTTGGGTCTGGTTATACTCGCCTATTTTCTATATCGCAGGCGGAGGAGAAGGGCACTCAGCGCAGCACCAGCAATGGCATCACCGCCACCGCCGTGGAGCCCATATCAAGGTGAGACTTTTACTACTCTCTTAGATTTTAGCCGAGATACTAACAAGTCGAAAGATGGATTTCGTTCGCCAGGTCCCGTGAGCCCTCCTTCCTCTGCTGCATCACCTCGAGGGTTTTCAACGACTCTAGGGTCTATGATTGGACTTAGTCCGAAAAACCAGAGGTGGAGCTATCGAACCCCTTCTGTTCGCGATACCGTCGTCTCCGATTGGGCTCCTACTGCACACGACACTTCACACGCGAGTCAAGGTTTCCTCGCGGTTACTGAACTCGACGGTTCGGTGCGAGTGGTGCCGGGACCAACACACACCGGCGCCTATTACGAAGTAGAAGGGTCGGTCCCGGATACACGGCCGAGGGAGATGGCAAGCTAATACGGGATATATATTTTAATGAGGAAATACTACGGGCGAAATTTAGCCCAATGTTTGCTTTTTAGATAATCTTACAGATACCAGGCACTACCCAGCAAAAGATTTGAATTTGATATATTAACTATAAAATTCGTCAAGTCTCCTGTATATGAGCTCAAGGTTGGCGGGCCTGTCAGCTCGCTCTGACCCTATTCCCACATGCCATTGGAATACATCGAGAATATGTTCTTATCCATTTTCATAAATGGAAACCCGTTGTGTCAATTTGCTTCACCATATCACTGTTGCTCACCTCCTTTTGCCCACGCTAGATGTTCTGATGCATCTAGTAGGCTGGTCTGTTCATCCACTCCCTGATCCTATCTCTCATTGTTGGGCCCCTGACTGGTCCAGCAGAGCTGGCACTGCTGCGACGTCGCTCTGGGTGGTCAATCTTGTTCGACATATTGCACTCACCCGATGATGGGTGACGCCCGGCGCCGAAACGGTTCGTCCGGCCTATAAAATACGAGTGAGCGTTATGACTACACCCAGGCTAATATGCGATTGATATCATGTCGATAATGCTATACTGTAGTGAGATGACTGGAAGGAGAGGCACTCACAGTAGTAATCACGACGGCCCGCGTCGTCTAATACGGCCTGATACTTCTCCTTGGCTGCTAGATATGCTTTGGACATGATGATGCTATGGTTGGGTCTTAGGCCCTGTCTTGAACCACAATGTTCAATTGATACGAATTGTTGCGTAGCGTGTTGAATCGCCGGATACAAATCCTCACATGTAGTTGTGAATCCAGCCGTACAGAAAGAGGAGAATCGTGTGCCACCAAAAGCAGCGAGGGGTGCTCGCGATTCATATATACTATGTAGGCTGGCATTCTCATTAGTCAAACGTCACGGGTCGCCAACGAACCCCTCATCGCAATGATATCAGAGTCAGGCGTCCATCGAGATGATCAACGCCTGGGGTGAGATTACCCCAAATATGCCTCTATACGTGCTAGTAATGATCTTCAGGCGATATGATGCGCATTGCTGGCGATGGCTGTCCCTGTTACGCATCGATGGCGGGTTAGGACCAGTTGGAGGAGTTATCGCATATGCTTCCACAGCTAACTATAATGTACATACATCCATATAATCTATCTTCATTGTGTAGTCACCAATAGGTATCTATCGAAAACCCCCCGACTATTTAGACGTCGTGTCCCCTCTTGGCGCCTCTTGTATAGGTATTTCGCTCTTTGTGCCGTCGTTGACTACAAGCCATAGCCGTACATAGACTCCAAACCTAGGTGCCCATGATTCCAGGTGCGGGCGACGAAGTATAATGAATAACGTCACAAACGGTATTGGCTGCCCATGCAAAGCTTCAACCCGCTTACTTATTAATATAGATCGTAGGTATCGGAAAGTTAGAGTGAGGTTGATCTGCGAAGAGGTCATTGATGATGCCATGTTGCTTCCTGAATTAGCGGCCATTGATGCTTCAGTGTAAAGTTTCAATGCTCTTCCTAATTTGGCTTAGAGTCCCAGCATTCTCCACTACGCATTATCCGATTCAAGCTAGGCCAAAAGCGAATCAAGCTCTGGCCGAAAAAGGAATGGCACCATATTGTGAACACGAGAGTCTGACAAGACAGACCCATTGATGATTTTTTTCCCTCCTGCCCGCTCGGGTAGTTGACAGCATCTGACAAGCACCTGACAGCCTCTGACAGCCCTCATCGGGAATGGCACCCCACTTTTTGACCCTTTTCCACGGCAACCAGATTTCCCAGACACCCATCGCCAACTTCAGCGTTTTAGCTTCTGGCTCCAGCTTCTGTCCAGGCGTCCTGTCTCCATCAGCCCCAGCCTGTTTCTGGCAGAGCAACAAGACAGCCAGCCCACCTCCCTCGCTGCTTTTGCTCTCCAGCCCGCCATTTGCATTCATCCATCGATGGCGTGACGCATCCAAAGCAGCCAACCCATCGCCTGTTTCATAGTCACTCGTTCCGAGACAAACCATAATAGCCAATAATAATACCGACCCCCGAGTCACTGACATCGTCCACCGTTCGTTCTGCCGGCTACACCATCACTACTACCATCGGCACCATCTACCTGTATCATTGATTCCATCGCTATACCATTTACATCTATATCTATCGTCGCCTGTGCCTTTACGCTACGCTCTATCGACGGAAAACACCCCGGCCCACGATCGTTTCAATCACCCTACTTCCCGTCGCGTTGTGCGTTTGAACCAAACTACCTCCACCCTGTCGGGATCGCAAGGGTGACGAGATGGGAGGCTTCGGTGACTTCACCGACATCTGCCATACGGCGCCTTTGCCGCTATGTGCTTCTGTCGGCCCCGTGACGTCCCTCTCCAGCGGTGTTGGCATCGAGACGGACTGCTTCGCGCGAAATATCGAACTTGCGAATACCATTATATTCCAGGGCGCGTCCAGCTTCCTGCATATCATCGCCTTGGCCATGACGGTTGTCATGATCTTGCACATACGGGGCAAGTTCACAGCTGTCGGTAGGTTTTCCTTGGATGTCCACATGTATCGATGCACAGTCGAATTATCAGTGGCTAACGAACATGATTGTGTTTAATAGGTCGCAAAGAGATTCTTACATTCTTCTACCTCTTTCTAACCCTAACAGTACTGTCACTCATCATTGACGCCGGTGTTGTTCCTGTGGGCTCTGAGCCGTATCCTTACTTCGTCGCCATACAAACAGGATTTTCATCAGCTCTGATTACCTGCCTCCTCATCAACGGATTTGTCGGCTTTCAACTGTACGAAGATGGCACGCCCTTATCACTTTGGATGCTTCGACTCTGCTCGTTTGCCGCCTGGCTTATCTCGTTCTTTGTTTCGTTGGCCACCTTCAAAGGCTGGGCCGGACTTGGACCAACCAACACTGTAGGCCTATTTGCAGTGGTCTATCTATTAAATGGCGTCCAGCTTGTCATCTATGTTGCTCTACAGGTTCTGCTTGTGGTTCGAACTTTGGAGGATCAATGGCCCCTTGGACACATTGCTTTCGGTGTCTTCTTTTTTGTCGTCGGACAAGTCCTGCTCTATGCCGTTAGCACAACCATCTGTAACAACACGAGTCACTACATTGACGGTCTGCTTTTCGCTACTGTCGGCAATCTACTTGCAGTCATGATGATCTACAAGGTACGTTTTCCTAAAAAAAAAAAAAAAAAAAACTCGACTGATATATGAAACTAATTCCATTGATAGTACTGGGATTCTATCACTAAAGAGGATCTTGAGTTCTCCGTTGGAACGCGGATGAACAACTGGGAAGTCAAGGAGCTGCTCCCAGAGGAAGATCGACGCACTACTGTATACGTCGATGATCCATATGCCCACTCAAGTTCTTATGATCACTCATACTCCCCCAACCGAGGATCCCGCTACTAGAAATACCGGCTGCGGCGACTATCTGGAACTAAAGAAGGTGACATGGTCTGATCGAACTGTGAAGACGATACGAAGTATTTGAATGCATTCGCAAGGCGTTTTTGGAATAGGTTTATGGGAAGAATACTCATTTTGGTGAGGAAACAGGGGTATACTTAATATTCTTAACTGCAACCCTGTATCAGCTGCTGGCATGGTCGGATTTATGCACTGGACTGGGCACAATGGCACTTGAAATCAATAGCGGTAGTAATAACATTGTATATAGCTTCACATGCTACGGCATTTTAGAGCTAGGAGCGAATTATGTCTTAATCTTGCTTTGCATCAAGAAATTGCCCAGTCGTGGGAAACAGCATTCTAGACTAGCTACTAAATCATCATGCTACTAATTTTTCAAATTGAAAGATGCCGAAATTCGGCCAGCACGACTTGGTGTCAACCTGCAAGCTGCGAAACAGCTTTCTTAGCCTCCATATCCCACAAAGTAAGACCATGAAACTACCGCTTACACTTGGGATCTAGGTAGAACTTCATTCGGTGAATCGTATGATCTACTCGCAACGGGCTAAGAAATTAGCTATTAACACTACCTAGTGTCCTGGCTGAAGGTGTCTGCCAAACACCATGAGCCTGCTGTTCCATTCATCTGGATCCACGAGAGCAGACAGGTTATGGAACATTAGTTATCGGCGCCTCTAAATGCGGCTCCATGCTATCACTAGTCTTCTGCCTGGTTAGAGCCGACGCTGTGTCGTCTCCTTTCCGCGAAACGCGCTGTGGTGTATCTAGCCTATGCTAAATCGCGAATGCGGCGGTGGAATAGCGTAGTTGCTTCGTACCGGGCCAATTGGCCAGGTCGGTCAGTGTCGTCAACGGTGAGCCTCTCGTCTTACGAGAATCAAGGCATTAACGCGCTGTTCCCTGCGATTTTCGAAACGGATAGAGGTCGACACATGTAGTAGCTGGCCTACTTTTAATAGCGATACAGCTTGAGTAGGAGACCTCATTCGCCGTCGTCATCGCCGAAGCTGAGCTTGATCTTCTTCGCAGGTTTCTTCTTGGTGCTCTTGACGGTCTTCTGTGGCGCCTCCTTTGGCTTCTCAATTAGCGCCTTTGCTGGGTCGGGCCCGCCGTCGCCGATGAGGTTGCGCACTTCTGCGCTGGCCTTCGCTATGTCGTCGTCGACATTGCCGTTCTTCTTCTTCGTCGTTCTCATCTTCTCGTCGTCTGAGTGCTGCTGCTCGCCGATCACGCGGCCTACTTTGCGCTTGCGAGAACCGCCTATACCAGCTACTTTCTCCTTTTCCTTCTCTTTGCCCTGGGCGAGAGCGCTCTCCTCGTCATTTTGTGTGTTGGTATCTGATTTGCCGTTCTCTTCCCTGGTCTCTGGTTTCTCGTCTTCTTCAGGAAAGGATATCACGTTGCCTGCTTCGTCCACGACCACGGGCGCGTCTTCGGCTTCTTCTGAGGCGGACCGCTTCTGCCCTGGCCGTCGATGCGCTGCGAGGATGGGGTCGGGCCCGCTGTGTGCTGTGGCTTGCCCGCGGAGGCGCGCTAGGAATGGGGGAAGAGAGTTGTCGTAGGTTAGGTTTTTGGAAGTGATTTTTTGCGACATTGTCGGTTGCTTTTGGTCGCTTGCGTTATGTACAGGATTGGAAAGATGCTAGCGCGTGTAATTGAGCTTGCGCGAAATCTTCTGAGTACTCTGGTTTCTTGTGCTAGAGAAAAAAGGTATTTGATCAGAGGTGTATTGTGATGCTACATATTTGAATCTTTTAATGGATGCGAAAGAGTTGCCGACGTCCCTGTTGAGCTGTCTTAGGTGGGGACCTAGGCCTCTGTAGGTAGCTGCTATGGGTCCGCTAAGGAATTAGCCGTGGGTTAGGTTTACTGTCCCTGATTTGGCTGCGCTCTTGGCTCTGCTATGAAGATGACATCCATTTCATGAGTTTTGAATATAAGACTCAGTCGAGTTTGACTAGAGATCTGTATGGTATTGTCTAATCTCTGATGCAAGAACGATCAACTAACGTACCAAATAAGCGTATACCTATATTATATAGCACGTGTCTTCAAGTAAACTTGCTCTACAACTCACAGTGTCATCTGCTTTCTTCAGCACGAATATCCTATATCGTCGTGATTATCGCTGCTGATGAACAGCCTGCCAATGCCTGCAAATTTCTAGTATTTGCTCTTGGTCTGTGCAATTCGTCAGCCGTTATAGTGAATGGCACCCAGGCCACGGAATACCCCTGTGTTAGTTGCCGGTGCCACGGGCGCGGAACGTGATGTATACGTGTAGGTTGGCCGCGTTCATGCCCAAGACGCTACTGATGGCTAACGATTGATCAGACATCGCATTTCTATTATAAGGTTGCATGAGACTCATGCAATTCTGATGTTGAAAGGTAGGTAGTTGATCCGTCAACAAGAAGGCATGACACTAATGCTATCAACCACTCACGGCATCTTGTGAGTTCGCATTGAGACTTATGTTGCTCGAAGATGGAATTCAGACCAACTTGTCCCTTAACATGCCGTTGAACTCTCTAATAGACAATCTGTAGGTCGACAAAGGGTGCTGCGGAGTAGAAGTATTCTGCGGTACACGTTCATGAGCGTCTGCTGCCGCAATGGGATCTTAACCACGCTACAACTCCAAGAATTTTTATGTAGGCTCCGAATAAATGCAAGTCTACATATAGACTTCTGCCTACTCTGCGGACGGAGAGGTTTGTTGGTTGAAATCGTCTCACTTACAAGACATGCTAGGCTTCATCAAACTGATTGAATACGTAGTGTACGCCTGAATATGTTTGCTGTCTATCGGATCTCGAACAATCGTTCAAGCTTACCAACGTAGCCTATTGATACATATTATTAAAACGCCCTGTTGCGCAGAGGCCTCAGTGAGTAGAGCCGGCTCCGGTCTCTCCGGGGTAGGTGAAGAAGCTACATACCTACATGCGTAAACAAGGCAACCAGATTCTGTGGCCTGCACGAGTAAGGCTTGAGGCTCGTTGAAGATGTACTAACTTGACCGGAGTACATGTATGGTCAGCATCTTGTCTCAGCGCACCCACCAATCAGACAACATTGGTTTCAATCAGAAGATATGATGCAAAAGTGCCCCTTTGACCCGTCGACGGGACGACCACTTGGCGAAACTTGGAATGATTATATAAGCATCTAGAGAAAGCACGTTTCTAACACGTTTGAAGACCCGGGATACTAAGCTTAGACTCAGGCTTTGCGTGCCACATCCCAGCTAACCCGCCTGTACATATCCAAGTTCTGGTATGTTTAAACAGCACTGAGCAATGTTGTCCAGTATCGCATCTATTATTAGAACGGTGGGACTACCATACCTGAGGCTGTACGCCCTTGCCTAGGTACGGACAGAGTACGGACCAAAGAGCAGAACTGATACAGAGCCTGGTATAAGTACCGACACAACACCACGATAAGGGATCCACATCTTGGAATACCGAGTCGACTGATTACGTACATGTGTACTAGTTTCTGGGCAATTTTCCAACACGAGCCGTTCCCCTCGGAATGGCTTGGTATCATTGGCTAGACTTGAGTCAGCTTGTCTAGGAACACCGGTAATTACATAGGTACCGTACTAGGGAAGTGTTGGAGCAGATTCTGTTCAGATTCTGTCGGAGGCTCCATGCACAATAAGCGGGTCGATGCTTCTGGACCTGACCTGCCCCTATTCCGTCTTCTGCCTGTCGCCTCTCTATCTGTCCCTCCAATTCTGCTCCAATGTGGCCCCTCCAGTACGATGCACAGTGCGTTGTCTGTGACGATACCAGGACCGGCACTGTACTGACAGGTGTCTACTGTTAGCGATTGCGTGTGGCCATCTGCTAAACGTTAACGGCGATTACCTAAACATTGTCCAGAAGAACAAGACAGCTGAAAATCCGCGTTCGCCCTTTTCCCATTCCAGACCAGTCCCATGCTATCATCCGCCCCCCGGGCCCCCAATACACTATTTGTCTTGTCTCATTTCCATTATTTTTGCACAAGCCAAGTCTCGTCGACCTTTTCCCTTGATTTCCCCATTTTTCACCACCACGACCACGACGATAATTCTACCCAAAACTACTGGGCTGTGCAGCAGTGTTGATCGTTGATTGCCTCTTGCTGGTCTCTGCCATCAGCTCCAGATGAAGCTCTGAGCAGCTGGTAGCGGGCAATCAACCAGATCGTTGCTCCTACCCTCGTCTGACATTTCTGCTGTCGTCCTCCTATCTATCAGCTGAAGTCTCTCCGACAACCGTCTTCCAGACACGCCCGCCCGCCTCGAACCTGTATCCCAGTCGCTGGCTCCGTTCGCCAATCATTGCTGCATTTAGGGACATTCCCTTGTCGCTCGTTACTCGCTCGATTTCACGATAACCAAGCAGGACGGCGCATCTTCAAGCTTCCGTGTCATCTTTTGAGGCAGTCAGCGCGGATAGAGATACGGCGCGGCCTTGTTTGATACTATTGCTTGACTTTGCGGTTCAGGTCTACGCTTCCCTCGTCCTACCATTCGCATGCAAGCCCCCGACATAGACGCATCATAACCAGCTGTTATCTCACTGGAGCAAACTTGCACAGTCCCCCAACCTTGCTCAAGCGTATATTGTATATGAAACATACGTCCACGTTATAATTGAGCATCGAGTAGACCACACGGCACGCGACGCGTGCATAGACCTGCATCATATAGGGAGTTTCGAATCCTGTTTTGTACTGCCGACTACATCATGGATATCATAAGACGCGCGTATCGCCGCGTGCCCTCCCCGGGCGGCGCCTCCCCGCTGCCCACGACTGACGAGAAAAGGCATAATCGTCGACACCAGCTGCAAGCGCGTCTCGCTTTCTTACGAAGGCCGCTTCGGCTGAGGGGAAACTCGAGTATTTCTGTGCCTCTGGGAGTTGTTGTGCTCTTCCCATGCATTGTCCTGATACTGATACTGGTGCTATTTGTGAGGCATCCAAGTTCTCCTGGGCGGATATTAATTCCCGCCGGCTCTCCGCCAGCCATTCGGTATGCCATCGTCGATCTCAATGCATTGTTTGACGTATTTTGCTGATATAGTGGGGCCAACAGAAAAATTAGCGAGGAACATGACAAGGTCTTCGTGACTGGCTGTCTGGAACCAGACACGTCGAAACCTCGGGCAAATGCTGCTTTTGTAGTACTTGCACGAAACAAAGAACTAGAAGGTGTAATTCAGTCAATCAAGTCCATTGAGCGTCATTTTAACCGATGGTACCATTACCCATACGTCTTTCTGAACGATGGAGATTTCAACCAGACGTTCAAGGATACAGTCCGCAACTACACTTCTGCCTCTGTCGAGTTCGGCAAGGTTGGCCCGGAGATGTGGGGTTATCCTGACTGGATTGATCCTAAAATTGCAAAGGAGGGTATCGCTAAACAGGGTGACGCCGCCGTCATGTACGGTGGTCTAGAAAGTTATCACGCCATGTGCCGATTTTATTCAGGGTGCGTAACGACGAGCTAGTGATCAAAGATGCTTGCTAACGATGTGTTAGATTCTTTTACAAGCACCCTCTCCTTGCAAAGTACGAATGGTACTGGCGGTTGGAGCCTGAGATCAAGTATTTCTGTGACATTACCTAGTACGTTCGGCTAAGCTGCCTATGTTCTTCTCTGTTGCTAATTCATTGAAGCGATCCCTTCTTGAAGATGATTGAAAATAACAAGACTTATGGCTTTACCATTGCCGTGAAAGAACTCCGAGAAACCGTACCCAACATATTCCGCTACGCTTCTGCATACAAGCGCATTAACAACATTACCTCCCAAGGTCTCTGGGAGATGTTTGTCGAGCCAAGGGAGCCGCAATCTCGTCCCGAAGATGATCCCAATTACAAGCCGCCGCTACCAGAGGAAATTCTACGAGCTGAACCAGGTCGCGGCTTGCCCGAGATCGACCCTGAAGCTATGGAGGGCGAGAATTACAACATGTGTCATTTCTGGTCCAACTTTGAAATTGCTAAGCTGAGTTGGTTCCGAAGCCAAGAGTACGAAGACTTTTTCGAGATGATGGATCGTAGTGGAGGTTTTTGGATGGAAAGAGTACGTTCTCACATAATTTTAATTCAAGGTCATAGGCTAATCATTTATACAGTGGGGGGATGCCCCTATTCACTCTCTAGCGGCTGGCGTGTTGCTAGCTCCGCGTGACATTCACTACTTCCGTGACTTCGGTTACCGACATACCACTATCCAACACTGTCCAGCCAATGCTCCAGCTCGACAGTTACCTCGAGAGCCTTATCTTGAGATGACCACAACTGATGAGAAGTATCGCATTGAGGAAGATGACTACTGGGAACAATGGGATGAGGAGAAAGAGAACGGTGTTGGATGCCGCTGCCGCTGTGACACAGACATCGTTGATGTTGAGGGTAAGGAGGGATCCTGCCTGGCCGAGTGGGTCGACGTCGCTGGTGGCTGGCAAAGCCCTTAGGCATACGTAATAGTCACCGAAACGATCTCCGCCAGTTACAAACTATCACGAACCTCCTAGTCAGCTCATAAAAGCGTCTCTGGAGGTAGATACACCCCATTTTTGGGCCGAGATGGGACGAGCACATCACCATCCATGGTCACAGACAAACCTTATTTATGACGGCCCTCTTTACAAGCGGAGAAGGTTGTATGAGATCCAGGGTTACGATTTGGGTTATTGAACTTGGGACTTGGGTCCGTTAACTCTACAGGCGTCAGCGGGGTCTACGGATTTGTACGTGTAGATGGTGCAAAGAAGCTGCTAATGTTGCTTCACATATATATACTGGGCTTGATATTACACATACATAATAATCACACATTGTCACGAATTATCTGGTTGCATATTGCAGTCTGTTCCTCCGTTTGAGCCATAAATTCTCCGGTATGAGGAATGATAATTGTGTGGAAGAGCAAGTTGACTCTCCTCCGCTTGGTCATTCGATCGTTTCCATGCTCACTATGTTTAAGTAAGCATGCAGGATACCTAGCTTTCATTGCTAGTAAATGGAGGCAGACATTCAATTACAGTATTTGAGCATAGAAAGTTGGTTTGTCCAACTTACCACCCACAGAACGGATAAGTGGGTGATGGAAGGGAGATGAAAATGGTGCCAACTAATTTCACTCCGAAAGTGAGGATTTGCCTAGTGGAAGAGTAAGGTGCAGTAGATATGAAGCTATATAGGCCTTGAGTTTATAGTGTACCAAATGTGGGCTGCAGATAACTGCGCTTACAGATAGCTAATAAATGCAGATTTAAATGCAAAGGACTACAGATCTAGCTACGCTCTTAAGTTAGGGGAATCCAGAAATAGTGATGTGCTCACAGTCTGGTATCCGCGACGCCCGCTCTTGGTAGGATGTGCGCGACAGCAATTTAGTCAAGGAATGCTATGTTTAGTCACAGGATTATTAGATTCCTAGATATCCAGATTGAGAGTCTGTGATACAGAAATACTATAGCTAATTGTAGGAGGTTATCTGAACCTCCTACTTTGTTTGTGGAGGGCTCAAAGCTAATTATCCGGCGCCCAACATGAACAAGTGCACCCGTTTGACCGAAGGCGAAGGTCAAGCGGTGCTGCAAGACAATCTCCTTGTTCATATGGTTTCTGTTGTTTGTTCTACATTGTTCAGCCTAAACAATGCTTTCAAACGTCAATGAATTGTTCATGCCTATATCTACCCTGGAGGGGCGGGCAGGTCTATGGACTGCAGCTCCCACACTCACAACAGCAACGGGACCGACAACCAAATAAATATACGTTTCATTACAGCATATATCGCAAAATACGTCAACATGGATAGAAATGGGAACATAAATATCAATCATTACATCAATTTGGAACGGAGGTTGTATCTCGAAATAACGGCATATACCCAGTGGATACGGAAAGTAGCCGTAGTTCTCGCTGATCTCCCAATTCACGCATATCTCCGTCCAGATCGACAGCAGGTTCGGGACACAGGTTTTGGCATTTCAGCCCCCAACGCCTACCGGTTCAAAGATGTGCTCCGTGAAGACTGGCCTATGGTGGTGGCGTTATTTTCTTTGATAGCCCTCCTATCTCGATTGCTCTACCTCATTATTGCACCCCCGAGTATTTTCGCTCTCGAGTACGCCTTAGCTGTCTTGTTTCTATTTTACTCAATTGGAATCATCGTGTTAACATATCAGGCTATCCGTGATATGGACCATCCTACAAGAATCAGCGCATTGCTGCCTGAACGATTCAATCCCTTTGAGAGGTGTGCTATCTGCCAGGAGGACTCGCCCCACGAACAACTTATCGATATACACTGCCGGGTTCCTGGCCAGGGAGACCAAATAGTACGTCACTCGTTTCATGAGGAATGCATCATCAGCCACTGGGAGGCTCGAATGGTCATTGCCAATGCTGGGGAGGAATATCGGTGCCCCATATGTCGGCAAGAACCCGATGGCTACAGCAGGCATTTTGGACCTCGAAGCCCGAATTTCCTCGATAACTCTAGACTAATGTGGTATATACACTCGCTTTTCGCCCGAAGGCTCGTTGTGATGATGAATAACTTCACTCGCCGACCTAGATACCCTTTCCAAGGGCACCCGTACCAGTTTAACACCATCTACTATATTCAGCTTATGCCTAACGTTGCCGTCGGCCACGTGCTTCTGGCATTGACCTTGCTCTTCTATCTCCGTCTCGCGACTTTGATGTTTTACTTGCCTCTTTCGTGGCCGGCGTGGGTAGTGGTCTTGAGCATCTCTATCGCATTCCTGAACCGCTTTAGTCGGATCATTGACACAAGACTCTACACAGCAGCGGATGATGGTATTTTCCGTTTAGGAATGATGGTTTTTGACTCGATTGACTTCTTTGCTTACCTGTTTCCTTCACGTGCTCCGCCAGCGCCGCCAGTAAGACGGGTACCAGATGACGGCAGACCGAACCCCGATGGTCCCGACGACGGCGGCGCAAATAACGGCGCACCAGACAACGCTCTAAACGACGGCATACCAGACAATGGCCGGTTGAATAACGACGATCCAAACGTTGGTATCCTTATCGATATAGACGACAATGGAGCAGGTGATGCCCAAAACGATGAAGGTGACGATGGCGATGATGGCGGTGCCGACGACCACCTCGATCGGTTGTATGGCCTCACTCTCCTCAAATTTACCTATATTAACGTTAGGGTAATGTGGGTATACGTCAGACGACTATTCTGGTCCATAGGCAGCCGTATTGCTTTTGATCTTGCCAAGTATGTTGCGTTGATTATCCCAAGGTTTGTTATAGGGGTCGCTCTATATCATATCGTTAGCCTCTTGTTTTTTGCCCTTGAGAGCCCTCTAGTTACGCCATCAGTTATAAACAACTAAGGCTAGTATTGTGGCCGGTGACGCAAAGGGGGCTTGTAGTGTTTTTATGGATCGTTGCTTGAGTAAATTTACTATTAGGAAGATACTGTTATATAGACATCTCTTGAGCTTGAATATACCTCTATTGAGTTTATGTTCGTTTCTAGTGAGGGTTTTTATATAATTATAGTTTAAAGGCTTTAACTAGTTACCTTGCTAAATGAAACTAACATTTAAGTCTTAACAAATAAAAATATTATAACTATAACTATAAATATTAAAGTATTAATATAAAAGCCTTTAAAATTAAAAATAAAAATAAAAAGTTTTAGTTATATTATATTTAATATATGAATATTCTGCTCTGCTCTTTCCTTACTTAGTTGGCAATGCCTTTTTCTGATTGTGGTGCTAAGCCAACGAGTAGAGCCGGTTTGTTGATCATATGATCGTCATAACTGGCAGGCAAAGCTGTTAGCGGGCATCCAGGTTTAGGCCGTGCTGACTTGCCTGAGAATTCCTATTGCACCTGAAGGCATCATAATAGAGAATTGATCTGCCATCGGAATCCGGAGCCAGCGCTTGACGAATGTGCGCAAGATATGTCCATGGGCCAGCTGGTGCCATACGTAGGGTAGGTGAGCAAAACAATCAGGAGCGCAGATCATTGGGAACTTACAAGAACAACATCAGCCGGAGCCTCTCCATGCATAATACATGAGCGATGGATGTCGTTAATCTTCGTAATAAGATGGTCGAGGCGATTGGTTACTTCCTGCACTGATCTAACATCGTAAAGATTGCTTAGTATTACTCCCATGTATAAGGTAAAAGTCATAAATGCGTAGTGGGAATACTCTTCGCCTTCGCACCCGTCTCGCCATATGTCCCAGTCGCAGTCAGAATCTAGGCCTTTCGCTCGCCGGTAATCTTGGATTTCGCTTGTGAGAAGTCCCTCGTAGTCACCATAGTTCCAATCTGCAGTCTCTTCCGTCACCGTGACTTTCTCTGCCACCACCTGCGAATGGGAGACATCAAAACCAAACAAAAGGCCGTATGTTGTCTGCGCGCGCTTGCGAGGGCTCACGAAAACCCGGGCGGCGATGCCGGGGTCGATTAGTTTCCCCGTGCCTACAAGAAGTGTGCCGCTTCCGCGAACCTAGTTCACGCCATTTTCCGTCAAGTCAAGCTCCGTGATGCCTATGTACCGTCCATTGATCATCCATTCCGTCTCCCTTAGAAAACACCCCTCCCCATGTAGGGCGTATGCTAGACCATGTTTCCTGAATTCATGAGTCCACATCTATCACTACATCACAACTTACCATGGCGGCATAGGAAGACGCGAGGAGTGGTGGCATCGCGGTCAGATATGTCTAAGCAAAAACCCTGCCTCACGACCACCCCCCCTACCTACTAATTACCCAACTTTTAAAGCGATTTTCTCAACGAATATATTATTTGCGATGCTTTTTTTTAATATTTTTAATTAAATCTATTACTTTTAACCTTAATAACCTTTTTTATATTAATATCCTTATATTTTAAAATATATTAATTAATAGCTTTATTAATATATATTAAATAATTAAATAATTTATATTTTACCTTTTATATATATATTATATAAATAAAGTTATTATTAAAACTTATTTTAATTAATTTTTATTTAACCTTAATATTTTTTTAAAGTTTAACTTTTAATACTTTAATTTTTATTTATAAAAATATAATAATTTTAACCTTTTTATTAAAGGCTTTATTAACCTTTATAAAAAATAGCTTTTATAATAAATTATTAAATAAAGGAAAGATTTAAATTAATTTTTATATATTAATTTATAATTATTAACTTTTAAAAGGTATTTTAATTATAATTTTTAAAGTTATTTTTAATAAATTAAATATAATAAATTATTTTTTTATTATAAATATTAATATTATTACCTTTATAATACCTTTTTTTTAAATATTATATATAATAAATATATTAAATATATATTATATTAAAATACTATATATATTATAAAGGGATACTGTAAAGATATATAAAATATATACTAATAAAGCTATATAACCTATAATAGCTGTTGGTTTATATATATCCCTACGTATATATATATTTTAATTTCCTTTTTTCTTCCTTTTTTCCTTAACTTAAAATCTTCATTTATAATATTAATATAGTTATACTTTAAACCTTAATTATAATACTATTTTAAGCTCTTCCCTTTTATTAATAAATGTTATATAAGTATATTATCTATATTTAATTATTATTATTTATAATTTATAAATTAAACCCTTCCCCTCTTTTTATTATATCCTATACTTAATAATAAATAAATATAACCTTATAATAAACCTAACCGATAGAATTAAACCTTATACCTCTTAAAATTAAAAAAACCTTAATTAAAATAAATAATTTAAAACAATTTTAATAATTATTATTATATATTGTAACGCATTTCCCACTTAACCTGGCCAACCAATTAACCTAACCACATTTTTAACCTTTATATATACATTTAAAAATATTTTAACAATTATTTATATAATTGATTTAAACTAATTTAAATCTAAATCGTTAAACGTTTTTATAATATTTTTATAAGTTTATACATTATAGCTGGGTTTATTATAAACCTTATAATGCTAAGTATAAATTTCCTTCCTCCTTATATAATAATTACCTTAATATATAATGCAATTTTCTACTTTAAAAGTACCCTATACCTTTATTTAATCCCTAATATCTTTAATAATAAAAGATCTTCCATTTTATAATTTAATTCTTTTTATATAGCAATATTTATTAAACTTATAATTTACTTTATAAAAGCTTTTAACCTCCCCCTTTAATAATATAAAATAATATATAACATTAATTATATTATATATAATTTAACTTAACCCTTTAATAATAAATATAGGAAAGCTATTTTAATATTATATAATTCTTTCTTTAATATATTTAAAAAGGGAATTAACTTTAATTAAATTATTTAAAGTTATAATTATATAAGGATTAAATAATATTAAAGATAAAGGGTTAATTTAAGGTATAATTAAATAATTTAACTAATTAATAATATAATTTAAATTATATAATATTAAACCTATTCCTTTAAATCCTTCTTATATATTATTTAAAATAATTGCTTTATTAAATATATAGAAAAATATAGTTATAAAATCTTCCTTTTAAATATAAGTAATATATACCTATATAAAGCCTTTAATTTACTTTTTATATAATTATTTTAAAGGGCTAAATACCTTAATATTAAATAGTTAAAAGTAATAAAAAAAATGGAAAGGTATATAAAGGGTAATAATATTATTTTTTTATAATATAATTTAAATTTATATAAATAGTAGCTTTTATAATTATTAAAGAAAAGAAAATAATAATATTCTTTTATATAAAGCTTTATATATTTATTAAAATACTTAATTTAATTTATAGCTTATTTATTTATTATTTAACTATTTTTTATAATTATAATTTTTTAATTGCTTAATATATTATTATTTTTATATTAAGGTATAAGGTAATTTTTCCTTATTAAAATAATATATTATGGAATAATTTAACTATATAATAAAATTACTTAAATAATTATAAACTATTTTAAATTATTTAATTAAACAGTTTATAGTTTTTATTTATATTTAATTAAAGTTATAATTATTTTAAATATAATTTTACCTATTATAAACTTAGTTTTATTAAAGTTATAAATATCTTCTTTTTAAATGCTATTTTTATTTATTATCTTTTATATAAAGATAAATTAAATGTAATATTTAATTAGATTTTTATTTAATACTTATTAATAATTAATTCTTTAATTAAAATATATTTAAATATTTAAAATTTATTATATAAAGTTTAATGTTTAATTCTTTTTAATTAGCTTTTAACCTTATAATATTATTAATTAATTAGTTATATCTTTTATATAACTATATAAAGGCGGAAATAATTTTGCTATAAAATTAAAAATATATTATATAATTAATTTTTTTTTATTTAAAGTTAATTAAGCTTTTAAAGGTAATATTTTACTTATTAATTTAAAACCTTTTATTTAAAGGGTAAGTATTATATAAGAAACATTATAAATAACGCATCTCCCACTTGACCTGGCCACCCAATTGACCTGGCCACCCCCATAGCCTATACAAATAACGTCGGTGCATTAATCACGTGATAATTTAATAACTCTACGAATAATAGTCGTATAAAATAATAAGGTATACCATTAGATTCGTAATAAAAAGAGCTATTTAACGGTACCCTTTACTAACTTTTACGACTTATATTCGCGGAGTTATTAAGCAATACGCTAAAGTAAGCGCTAAAATAATCCTTGCCTAGCGCCCTTTTAGCGTATTGCTTAATATCTTGCTTAATAAATTTTATAAAAAATAGTAAAAAATACCTCTGGATTCCCCTTTAACTAACGGATTTAAAGGTATTAATTATTTTATTATAGGCCTAATATTGGTTAAGTTATTATAGATTAAAACATTGGACTTTTATATAGGTTAAGGGGGTGGCCAGCTTAATTGGGTGGCCAGGTCAAGTGGGAGATGCGTTAGTAGTAATATATTAAATGGATAATTTTAAGTTTTATTTAATAGCTTAAAGTATAAGCTGTAAATTACTTTCTTTATAAAGGGTTTTTATAATTATTAGTAGAGAAATAAGGGATTTTTTTTATATATATATAAAGGTTAAAAATGTAGCCAGGTTAATTAGGTAGCTAGGTTAAGTGGAAGATGCATTACTTAACGTTCCTATAATTAATAAATAATTAACCTAAAACCCTATCCTTTTTATTAAAGAAGAAGAAATTAATATTAAATTTAAAAATAGCTTTTAAGACTTTTTAAACTTTAAACTGGAAAATATAATACTTTTACCATTAAACCTTAATTTAAATAAAGGATTAATAAAACTACCTTAATTAATAAATAAAATAAACGTTATTAATTAAGCTACCTTAATTTAATAGTTATAAGAATAAATTATTACTTTTTAAGCTTAAATAAAGAAAGGTAGTTTAACCTTAATACTATAAAAAAGCATGGTTAAAAGTACCTTTAGTAAAATTAACTTTAAATTAATTAATATAATTATATAAACTATCTTTAAAACAATTAACCCAATGGGTAACCTTATAAACTTAAACTTAAAATATATAAAAAAAGTTAAAACCTATAAAGCTAACCTAAATACCTTTTTTAAAAATAAAGATTTATTTAATAATTAATTAAAAAAGCTAACTAATAAATTTAAAGAAAATATATTAATATATTATATTAAAAAAAGCTAAATATATTATATTATATTTCTTTTAAAGGAAAATATTAAAAAAGCGGTTAAAATTTACTTTTATTTTACTATTTAACTATATAACAATTTAATTAAAATGGTATAAATATTAAAAACTATTTATTATAACTTAAATTAAACTACTTAAGTATAAAATACCTTAAATAAATTTTATTTTAAATTAAGCTTTAATATTTATTAATTTATTTTTTAATTTAATAACTTAATATTAAAGTTAAAGTTATTTAAATCTAAATAGTTTTAATTTTTATAAAAATATATTAACCTTAACCTTAAAATTAAAATATTTAAAGCTAATATTAACCTATTAATATTATATAAATACTTTTATAATAAAGTAATAAAGGTAATATATAACTATAATTATTATTATAATTATTAAAAAAAAAGATAAGCTATTAGCTTTATTAATTATAACTTTAATAATAAAAAAAATATAAATAAAGGAAATATTATAATAAAGCTTAAAGGGATAAAGCTTTTAAAAGAAAAGAAAAAAACCTATTAAAAAAATAATACCTACTTTAAATATAATAAAATAAAATATTACATTATAAATTACCTTAAAAAGAATAAAAATATAATTTAAGTATAAAATAAAGAAAGTAAAGAAAAGCTTATTAATTTTTCTTTTATTAAATCTAAATTGGAAAATTAATTAAATTGTTAAAAAATTCCTTAATAATTTATAAACTATCCTTAACCTATATAAAAAGTAATTAAAATATTATATAATTTATATACCTTATTTAAATATAAATAAATAATTTTAAAATAAAAGCTATTATATTATATAATATTAAAATTTAAATATATTTAATAATTAATTATAAATTAATTTATTATATTAACCATTAATTAAAAGTTAAATTAATTACCTTAAAATAACTATAACGATTAAATAATTATTAAAAATAACCTATTAATATAATTAATTAATACCTTATTATTACTTTAAAAGTAAATAAATAAAAGTTTAAAAATTAAATCTTT